GGGGGGAGCGCACAGAGCATACTGTGTACAGTACCAATAATGTGGTACATACAGGAACACCGTCAGGTTGGGTTCTAACTTTACAGTTGGGTGACAGTACCTAGGCTTACAGTAGGTGGCCACCCATCTACAGGTGGCATCAGTGGCTAAATTTGGTTCTAGTCTTCCTCGCATCTACGGGAATCATCTCCATTTTGACCGTTGACGTACCAGGTAGGGAGTACGCTTCACAGGTTCCTGCGGTTCCTGCGGTTCCTGCAAAGATCGATTCCCCGATGGCGGTAATAATAATATCTTAGTTATTTTGGATTGTGACAGGCGGGCCGTGCAGGACGTTGTACAAGGACCACGATACCTAAACAAGGACGGGATACCGACACTGTCCGTTGAACCGAATATATATGAACGAACGAACGAATAGAACAATCGAAAGGCTCGGACAGACAGTGCGTGCTCTACTCTTTGGTCAATGACAATGGGCTGAGATGTGCTGGTGCTCTCTGTAGCATCGATGTGTTTTTGTTTTTGTTTGCGTTTTTGTTTTTGTATTGCTTTTGGGGTCATGGCAACACCGGGGCACTTTCGAAATTGTGGTCACGAGGTTCTAAGATATCTCTGGAATGATGGACCCGGGGAATGATGAAGGAACGTACCTCGCATTGACCATTATGCACGGAGTACAAGGTTTGAGAATACGGGAAACAATATGAGAGGCTTATCTTTGTCACCCGTGGTGGGAAGACCTGGCCATCATGGGAGTACTTACATAGTAGTGAGTACATAGTAGTCGTAGATGCATAAGGTGAGGTGAGGTGAGATTGTGATATGTGTGGCATGCAAGGCTCTCTGAGCAAGGCTGCGATTCATGAAAGCGAAACCAACCCACTGCCGCTATCTGTCCATTCTACTATGTACAAAGCTGACAGTCAAGAGAACATCACATACAATGTGATCCGTGTTGTTGCGAGAACTCGTATCTTCCGTGCTGGCCTTTTCTTTATTCTGGCCCGGCTCCGAACGAAGGAAGGAAGGGAAGGGAAGGAAGGAGGATATGCTTGCGAACTGGGTGAGGCAAGCATCCTTCGGTGCGTAACGGTAGCGCGAGAGAGAGAGAGAGAGAGAGAGCTCCCAAACCTGAAACTTGTTGGAATTCAATGACCCAGGAACAAGGCTGCTGTTGTTGCTCCGAACAGGGGCCTACTACCTAGCACTGTAGTCCTAGGTTAGGTCTTACGCTGAAACGACGAGGCGCCAACAAACCAGGTTACAGTCCCGACTGGCTAGGCACGCTAAGGGAAGAGACGAGCTTCCGGTTTCCTCGCGAGGCAAGCTCAAGGACGAGGCGGCCGACACCAGTCTGAGCCTCGTCAAACAGCCTAGCCAGGGGGACGCGATGCAGCCTTGATGGTCGCGTAAAGTCTTAGTGTTCATGGCCGTGGCGATCGTCTTCTAAGGCAATAATATCTGGACTCTGCTCTACTCGGGCACATTTGAGGGCCGACGAGACGGTGGGTGATGGACGTGATAACGCAGCCCATTGTCGTGTCGCTGTGGTAGTCAGCATCAGAATTTCAATTCATGTCACGCAGCATTGCATGTAGAAAGCTGGAATTAACCGATGGTTTTTGTGTGGAACTGTTTTTCTGGGTATTTCTGTTTATGCGACTTTCGTGTCTGTGTAAACTAATACATGAGAAATAAGGCTAATCGGACTTCTCTTCCACCGCCCATCCCATGTGTTTTAGCTTGCACGAATTAAGCTCTCAAATTAGGACATAAGGGGAAGATACGCCTTGCCATGGACACCTTCTCCACATTCCGGAGTCCAGGCGACATATCTTCGAGATTTTGGACTCAAATGTGTCTGGAGCTGACACCTTCAGACAGCGAGATAAGTCGAGACCAGGAGACACCTCCCTACTCTTCCTCCTCTTCGCCAGTGCCTCTTGCGCCGAGGACCCACTTGGTCTTGCCGTGGACATCTGTCTCGTGCTCGATGGCGACGCGGCTGAGGTGAGAGAGGATGTTCTCCATGTGGGTATCAGCGTGGCTGCGGGAGTCACGGCCAAGGTTGTCGATCCACTTGATGCTCAGGAGCAGGAAGTAGACAATGGCAACAACGATGGTGACACCGATAGAGTAACACCAGATAACGACAACGGTGACGACCGAGGTCTGGACGCTGTAGTTGTTTGACTGGAATGAATCCTTGGGAATGGTGTTGAACTCGTGTAGACCGCCGTGGAGCCAGCCGAAGATACAAAATAGGGTAGAAATAACATCAACGAGGAAAATGGCGCCAACCAACTTCCATGACGGCCACGTCTTTCCACCGCGGGTGACAAAGATAAGCCAGTTCTCAACCAGTGAGACTTGGAGGAAGAGCATAAGTTGAACGTTGCCGAAGTTTTGAACCAAACCACCAGATGGCAGATAGAAAGTTCCACGCATAATCCAGGTGGAAATGGCGAGAAGGAAACCGAGAATGACCGAGATGACCCAAATCTTGGGGAGTTGCCATTCGACAGGTCGGGGTTCGTAATGAGCGTTATCGTAGGCGACGGCGATGGTGGCAAGATCGGCAAACAAAGCCAAGAAGACAATTAAATCAGTACGGATGGTTTCGTTGATGATGATCATGGATGTGGTCAGGTAAAGTTCCAAGTGCAAGCAAAGAGCAATACGGTATTGCACGTAAGCCTTCATACGCTGGAAAATTTGTCGGGCGACCTTGATAGCGTCAACGATGGTGCTGAGACCAGGGGCCAAGAAGACAATGTCGGCGGCGGCTTGAGCGGCTTCAGTGGCACCTTCGACGGCGATACCGCAGTCGGACTTCTTCAAAGAAGGAGCATCGTTGACACCATCACCAGTCATAGCAGTCAAGTGACCACGCTGTTGCAACATCTCGACGACCTGGTATTTGTGCTCAGGGAAGACTTCAGCGAAACCGTCGGCCTTCTCCACGAGATCATACTGAGCAGAGCCAGTGACGCCACCAGCAATCAGACGCTGAGAGTTGTAAACTTTGGTGCCGAGAGCGAGGAGCTTGCAGGTTTCTTTGGCAATGGCGATGGCATCACCAGTCAACATCTTGACGCTGAGACCGAGATTTTGAGCTTCCAGAATGGTGTGAGCGGTATCTTCACGAGGAGGGTCGAACATGGGCAACATGCCGATGACCTTCCATGGCTCGTCGCCACGCTTGGATGCAACACCGAGAGATCGGAAACCACGGCGAGCAAAGTCAGCCGCGGTGTCACGGTAGTGCTTAGCAGTAGACTCATCGCATTCAGCAATGGACAGGACAGCCTTGGGTGCACCTTTGCAGAAAGCCCATTTCTCACCCTTGAGAGTGCAGATGGTGGTGATACGCTTGGAGACAGGATCGAAGGGTGTAAATTTCTCCGTCTTCCAGCCCTGTTGCAAGATCTCACGAGCCTTGGGGTATATCTTGAGAGTGAGAATGGTGATCTTGTCGATAGGGTCAAGAGCCTTCAGGTTGTGGGAAGACGCAAGAGCTGCGCATGCCATCATCCAGTTGACATCTTCACCCTCAGCCACGTATGGCTCACGGATAGTCAGCTGGTTAGCAGTCAAAGTACCGGTCTTGTCTGAGCAGAGGACATCGACACCAGCCAAAGACTCGATAGCAGTCAGTTTCTGGACGATTGCCTTTTGCTTGGCCAAATAGGCGGCGCCAACAGCCAGAGTGGTGGTGGTGACGACAGGCAGACCAACGGGGACACCGATGATAAGAAGAATAAGTGCGTAGCTGAGCAGAGTGATGGAGCTATCCTCAGGAGTCGCAATCTTGATGTTGTGGAAGAAACCACCAATCCATGCGGCAAGAATGAAGAAGACGACCAAGACGAGAAGCGCCGTACCGATGGAGTCCATGACAGCCTTGAAGTGACCAGAGTCGGTAGCACCTTGAACCAAGGACGCGGTCTTGCCGACGAAGGAGCCGCGAGCGGACTCGGTGACGACAGCATAGCCCTTGCCTCGCTTGCAGCCGGTTGTGTAGTAGCAGATATCACCCATGTACTTGTCGACGGCAAGGGATTCTCCGGTGATGGAAGACTGATCAGTTGCGACAATGGAAGTACCAATGTGGTGTTCCTCATCATCATCAGAGTCGGTGTGGTTCTTGGAATGGTAGCCTTCTGGATCGGTGATCATCTCCTTGTATTCCTCGAAGCCGGCAGGGTTGTCGTAAGAGCAGATCAAGCGGCATTCACCAGCAACAACGGCACCTTCTTCAAGAATGAGCTAGACAAGTCAGTTTGAGGAAACCAGGAAAAGTCTGGAAACGTACAATATCACCGGGAACAAGTTCACGAGCCTTGATTTCCATCTCTTGACCATCACGAACGACTTCAGCCTTCATGGCAATGTCACCTTTCAAGCTGGCGACGACATCGGCAGCTTGCTTCTCTTGGTACCAACCCACGACGGCGTTAAGCAACAGAATGCCGATAATGACACCGAAATCGATCCAGTCACGCAGACCAGCGGCGAGCAAGACAGCAAGTTCCATAACATAGAGAATAGGGCCTCTGAAATAGCCGAGGAACTGAACATCTCGTCAGCAAGCAAACAGGATACCGAGAATGCGCACATACCTTCAAGAACATGTTCTCCTTCTCCGTCGTCAACTCATTGAAACCGCACTTTCTTCTTCTTGCTTCAACCTCAGCAGAGGACAGACCCTGCTTGATGTCGGTGGTGAGCCAATCCTCGGGGACTTCGTAGAGTTCGCCTGCGCCACCACCTTTGCTAAACCACCTCTTGTAGAAGGGCAACTTCTTGGGTTGTGTGGCATCACCGACATCTTCCTTGGAGACCTGAGAAGGAGCTTTGCTGAATCTGCGGTCACGGTAGGTGGAAATGAAGCGGATCAGGTTGGCATATTCGCCTTCATCCTTATCGGGATCCCATCCGTCGGCGAAGGATATTCTTTCGCGCTTGGGGTCGCCGTTCTCGAGGTCCTTTTCGTGGTCCGCCATGATGTACTGGTGAGTGGAGAGGTTAGTACGCCGAAAAGGAAAGCAAAGAAGAAAAGACAATGGCAACAAGGTCAGGCGTCGAGACCAAGCTGAAGGGAAAAGAGAAAAGAGAAGCTTGAGCTCGCAGCGCAGGACCCCTCTTTAAAGGTGAAAAAGGTTGTCCACAACATGCGAGCAAAGCAGAGGGAAGGGCAGCTCACCTATCTCGTCACGGTGACTGGAGAGTTTGCAGGAAAATGGTCTCCACCAGCACTCCGTCAAGCCGTGGAGCTGCGATAGCTCGAGCAAGGTCCCCGGGACAGCGATCTGGTTGGCTGCTTAAGCTTTCCTTGAGGTGGAAGTCAGCAAGCATGCCGCGTGAGCCATTTGATAAGAAAAAGACGGAACTGTGACGGAAGGAATTTAACGGTATCAGGATTTGTTTGTTGTACCGGAAAATACGCACCACGCCAAATGATTTTCACGCAGACAGAAGCGAGGTCCGTGCAGACAGCTAGGGTGGGATTTCAGGCCAGTGTGCGGCGGGTGAGGATGACGCCTGAGGGACGCCGGAGCAGGGATGGACACGATGGAATTGCTTTCAAAAGTTGCAAGGATGCGGGCAGAAAGATGTGAGAAGGGGAAAAAAGAAGTTTGAGCCTGGCGAGGACCTATCGAGGACCTGCAACCAGAGTTTCTCCACCAGGTGCACTGTGGGTGCTTGGCTTTAAATCACTCGTTCCGGGCTAGACGGCGGTCCAAGCTAGTCAAGTCGATCCAATGACCTGAAGGCACTCTGCGAGCGTGCCCCCATCCTCTGCCGACATGCTTTGTTTTGGGCTCCAGTGGCTTTCCTCCGGTAGGTGTCTGCTACCCTAGACTAGCTGCCTGTCAAATCTCAACTCAGCAATAGCTGGGCTGCCCTCCATCATTGTTTATTGAGATCATGGTCGGTTTCCATCCCAGAAGAGACACAATGAATAACCAAGCATCAGGTTATCTCTGCTTTTATTGATCAGGCGAACTCGGCACGATTACGGAGTACACGAGCTCCCAATAGATCATCTGGCCTTGTAGGAGTCTTGAAGGATAAAAATATATCTGAGCGGCCTCCCGTTTTTCCTTGTTATCGATGGATGGCCTGGAAAAGCAGACAGACAGTAGAACGAGGCAAGGCCTTGAGACCGTGATACGGAGTATAGACCACTAGTATCATATCCTGAAACCAGGCCCAAGAGGAAGCGAGGATAGCCTCATTGCGCGGGAAAAGAATTGGACACCACATCGCCCTGTGTGAGTGCTAGGTAGTTGTGGATTATGCTTTGCTTCGACTGTGAGGTGTACGAGACGAGGTTCAAACCGCGGCGGAAAAAGCCACACTCAAGCTTCGTCACGGCTTCATCCAAAAGTCTTTCGCTTACAATCACTTATTCTGTTAGCTGGGATCTGCCTCGCATCCTTGCCCTTCGAGCTGTCGCGCTGCTCGCCATCGATCGTGTTGGTGGTCTTTTTGGCGTCCTTGATCGTCACAGCTTGCGGACTGCTCGGCGCAGAAGGCGACTCTAAGAGGGATGGCATCTCGCCCCTTCATCATCTTGCATCTGGCTTGATATCGGTGGTGTTACTGTACTTTCAGAGAATCTTCCCTGTGGCCTGGACATTATTGTACCAGAACTGGCTGCGACTGTGGCTTCTCTACTCTCGCGGGCAAGTCTCCCGAAACATCACTTCGTCGCTTTCATCCGTCGGGACTTCACCAAAGAGTACTCTGGTGCCGAATGTTCTCCCGACGCTCAACGCCTATGAGCTGGTTCACTAAAAGCATGGCCCAGTCTGGAAATGTGCCATTGCCCATGGGCGATGGCCCACGCTGACTTCATACGTCGCATCATCACCACGGGGGCTCTTTAGGATGCAGCGGCATGGGCGGCGATGAATGGGTAGTCCGGTTGATCTAGGTCACAACCAGCATAGCTTGCTATCGGTCCGCTGGGTTGTGTCATTTGAAGCATTTCCTCTATGCGAGATCGTAATGCCTGTGTATCGCCATTCGGCCATGACAAGAAGCGACTGTCCTTGACCAGAACTTGACATCGGCCCTGCTACATGCTTTTTCTCCGACCTGGCCTCCCCAGCTTGGTGGAATCTAACGGCCACGAGTACGACGGCTAACTTGTCGGCTACCTTGTCGCGCTGAGCATGCCCATTTGCTGAAGACGATTCCGCGAGCGTCCTACTGCGAACCTGCAGCGTGCCGTCATCGATGTGTTTGTCCACCATACTGTAGCAAGCACGTCCAAATTCCTCAAGCATCCGGTGCTGTCGACCGATTATTCATCTGGAAGCATCACCAAATTCAAGTCGACTCGAGCCTCATTCGTACAAGCGCTCATACTATGTGATGGGTCAACCCAGCAGCTCCAAATTAAGCCTGAGGGTTCTGCCCGGCGCCGGAGCGGTTATCGCTTTTGCGAGATTCAAAACAAATTCGAGGCCCACAGTTTGATTCAAAGCTTAAGCCGTCGAATTTTCCACTAGCGGAAGACAGGCGAGGAACAAGCGTTGCCTGCACAGTGGTTTTGTGAGTGGCCCTGCCCACAGACTTTCCATGTCTAACCTGGCCAATCCTGTGGGTTCCAAAAATGAAAATGTAAACAACAGCATCGTTTTGTTGAAATTGGCCGCGCCAAATCCGTGGGTTGAAACGCTGAATCAATTTGAATCAGCCTGATGGCCGTAGCGAACAGCCTTGTGTCTCTGATCAACAAGGTGGATCCCAGGTCAGGAGGCCCAACTCGCTTTGTTTGTTTTGTTGTACTGGAAGTTTTCTTAAGAAGTGAGTGGACGACCAGGCCGACAATGGCAGAGCCAAAGCGTTACCCGTGGAAGCTTCCTCAGGCTTTCTGGAGCGCGCCTGTAACTCGGTGTGCCCCAGCTTCTCGCCTTCGGTGTTGAAACATGGTCTGTTCCCTCGAGACCGCCACAATAATACATATCCTTGGGTGCAACATGCTCTGTCTGTGAGCCTTGAGGGATTTTCTCGGCACAGCTGGCAAGATAGCAGTTCAAGGTCCCTTGTGCGAATTGAATAGTTCGTAGTTCAAGCCCACCTTGAAAATTTCTGCCCAGGCTGTTTCACGATTGTTTATGGGCTCCTTCATTCGGCACTTCTCCGAATAGCCGCTGCTATGGTTGCCGTGGCATTCCGCGAGTATATCCTCTGTATCCGCTGGACTGCTTCGATTTAACGGAGTGCTTGAGGGATTTTCCTTCATGCCAGATGCGCTGGTGGGACACTCTCAGTGGGGACCATAGATGGTTACACTCAAAAGATATGAGCCAGCATTGCGATATTATCTCGCCGACTCCTGACCGTCGGACTTCGCGCAAACAGAATGCAGAACAGAAGAACTTCTTCCTTTCCAACTGCGTGCGTTGTTCTCGCCGGTCCTTGAAGCTGGACTCCCGTTTAATCCGTCGCAGACAGTACATGGATGGCGCCTGTTTATCCTTGAGCGTTTTCTTGACGCGGCCGCGGCATTACTGCTTGACTCGACCCCAAGACTCTCAGCGTCGCATGCCCAGCCTGTGCCACCACTTTGTGCCGAAATGAAGAACCTCAGCAACAGCCGAGCAGTATATTTCACGGGTAAATTTGTCATTCCTTCCTTTCGCAGAAAGAAAGAAGTGTGTATGCACTGCAGAAGCGCTGCGGTCGACTCTCAACAGCAGCAGATGTTCGAGATTGGTGAGGTACACTCTGGGCTTCATCTAGTGCACTCCCGGCGCAGCGCTCCCTTCTGCCCCGTTTGACGGAACCATCACTCACTGCGAAACCCACCTCGACTCGAAAGCCCATGCGACGAGTACAAGCAGACGCAAGCGGAATGTTAACGCATAAAGCGAAAATACATTGAGCAGTTCGCCCGGAGGTACCCGTCTCTCAACCATAGGCCATCCCTACGACGCGTTGAACACCCTCGCGCTGCCGTCTCTCGGTATGACCTGCGCTACAACTTGGACGATTTGAACCATTACGAAAACTTCGTGAATGCGCGGCCTATCGTTTGCGCTCTACCCCCGTTTATCTCGGCAGGAACAGCACGCAGCGGTCCTAGCGTGTGCGTTCCTTATCAGCATGCTTAGTCCAGGCTGGAATTGCATCACCGAGTTGCTACTGCATGACCCAATGCATGGCACACTGAAACCTTTTGCAGGTTCCTTTTCCGAGGATTGGGTAAGGATAGGCGACCAGATCGCCAGACCTGACTGACGTCGGTTTGGCACCCCGCACTTCTTCGGGGACAGCTGAAGTAGCTGGCATTTATTGACCCAGCCGCAAACGATGATGCAAGCATGAATGAATGTCAAAAGATTCTGCATCCTTCACACCCTTCCATGTGGGAGCGCTAACGTTGGTTGCAGCATGATCCCGGTATTGCGACCTGTTACTGGGATGGTTCAGGACGATCCAATGGTGCAAACGAGCCGAGCGGGAAGCGAAGCGAACGTGGTGAGGACAGGACTCGTATAGCACGCATTGAGACAATCCTTGCCGACGGTAACATGTGCTGCGACTTGGGAACGGCCAATCATTCAATGCATGTACGGTGCGTTGCAGACTCGAGGCCCCTGGAGGTAATGAGACGGTCACGTGACCAGCATATCATTTCTTCCCGTCTAACTCAACTTGTAACCTCATCATCCCGCCGAGACAACTGCATGCCAACATCTCCAGGCTGAAAGCGGTGGCATGGCACAAGCGCACGTGTGCCACTACCGACTGCGAGCATGTAAGTGCTGTTGAGAGGTGAATGGGTTGGGAAGACGAGGAAGAAGATACCAACAACACCCGTTCGAGGCAATGGCCCAGTCATTGTGTGCAAGCTCGACAAGTTGAAGAATTGCAACCGGGTGAAATATGAACGGACTGTCCTTGACCCTTGCTTTAGAGTCTTATTCCCTTGCAAACTAACAAGAACCTTCAACCTATGGGCCATGGTGCGACCGGAAACTCTGTCTCACGTATTGATGCATACAAGAATGGCTCCGACATCCTCGTCGCCGTCCTTGATGCTTCTCTGGAATTTGTGTTGAGTCTGGTGTCATTATGTTGCTGGGACGCATGGGCTAAAGTTCGTTGGAGTTGAGCTGAAAAAACCACTACAATAACAAGACTGAGGATCAGAGAGCCTGCAATTCTCCCACCATGTTCAGTCGGTCCTTCATGCTGATGCTGTTGCTTTGAACAAAGATGAGTCGTTAACGGCGTGCCTACCTCAAATAAATGTGGTTGAATCGAAAGCGCAGCTGCTGTCCCAGCACCTTCCTTCCCTCTCGCACTTGCCTCAATTCCTGGTCAGACGGCCGTCCTCATCTTCTCTTCTCTCTTCCATTTTCCTCCTCTTCTCTTCATCACTCTCATACCCCTTCATCATCACAGCTTTGACAGAACCCATCACTTTGCCTTTGTTGCTGGTGCTGCAGGCCATTGTCTCCCTGAAGCTCACTTTCTCTCGACAGCTTATCATTGTGAGCAGTGCCTTCATCCCAGCGCCATGTGGCTCTTCAAGCTTCTTTTCCTGGCAATGGCCGCGCTCGGTCTGCCTGCTATGGCTCAGACACCCATGTGTGCATCAGAGCCATCATCGTCAACCACTTCCTATGGCTGCACAGTGACCTATACTCCCTACATGGCTCCTCAAATTGGTCCGACTACCACAATCTATGCTGCCATCATGACGACGTACTATTATGTGAGTTGTCACCTATCTCTGGGCGTTTCTCCCTCACTGACACATGTCAGGTCGTTGATTGCCGTTACTGCACCGTTACCAACTACCAGAAGAATCCGACTCCAAAGGTAGATCTACCACTCGTCCTAGGCTTGTAATGCCACTGACATCTCCAGGGTCCCTTCACTGCAAAGACTACAAGTTCCATGCTCACCATCACTCGGGTTGAATGTATGCCAGAGACCACAGCCTCCACCAGGGGAAGACCTCGTGGCTATGAAGAGATTGAACAACCACAAACGAAGACCCTCAAACCAAAAGAGTTGGCTGGTCATGCTCTTTCACAGAATGTACGCCGTTCAGGCTCTGGCGTCACTGGTGCATTGGTTGAACTTGCAACCACTATGGGCAATGACATTTCTCCGGACATCAACCTCCTCTCTGGTCCTTCCCAGGAATCGTTCACTGAGATCATGTCTGCCTTGTTTGCACTCAATGTGGCAGACTCTGGAATGAACCTTACTGCAGCCTGCCAGCAAGTCCAAACTACTGAAGTCAAATATCAGTTGCTGGCGTCTGCCTTCAGCCCTGATCAGGTCAAGGGACTTCTCTGCTGGATTGCTGCGAATGGCTATTCTTTCAACAGCACTCGTGCTCAAGTCATTTCGACCTTGCAGGCTGCTGTTTATGGTCTTGAAGTGGCTTCTGGCTTCACAAACAACCGTGCCGAAATCTGCAACAACCTCGACCTGTTCAATTCTATTGCAGGTTTCTTGGAAATCAACGCCCAACAGTACCAGGAGATCGTCTGCACCAAAATTCCCTCTGAGACTCCTACACAACCCATCTATTACGAGCCCACCCCTGTCATCCCGTACGCCACCAACGGCATGACCACCTGGGGATCTCCAACCTCGTGGGATTCTAATGCCACAGCCCTTGCTACTGGCGGTCCTCAGTCTGCTACAGGCGGCCCATGGATGTCCGGCAACAGCTCCTTCCCTATGTCTGGTAACAGCTCCTTCCCTGCTGCACACAATGTCACTACGTGGGGACCGCCTATCTCCTATACCGGCAGCGTTCTGGTATGGCCAGCCAACTGGACTCAACCAGCCGGTACCATGGGTACCGGTGTTGCTTCTGACACCATGCTTGGGTCCTGGAACGAAACTGGACTCAGAGCACGCACACCGCCGAGTCCCACCGCGAAGCCATTCTATCCAGCTATCTCGACCCCAACACGTCACTCGGTCTTCAAGAGATACTAGACTGAGAAAGCATGATCAGAAGTCCATCCAGCGCACTGGCTTTCGGACTTATGCTGGCACACTGTATGGAGGAGTGGGCCTTCTCATGACTGTCATGCTCTAAATATGTATTATGAGAGAGACAAAGCAATTGTATGCGACATCGCTGTATGGTAGAGCTTACTATGAGATGAGCTGTGCATATGTAGCACTGAGTATGATAGTACCTCGTGATGAGTTGAATGACATGTTGCATTCTGATCAGATGTTTTGCTGGCGATTCTATTCTGCCTAGTTAGCTTTGTGAGTTTCAACGTTTGCACTTTGTTAACACGCAGCATGGATGACAGAAATCATCGTCGTCGCGACAAAAACTAGATAAAATAGATAGTGGGTCGGCAGCTAGAGTTCTCATCTCTAGTGACTATACGTCGAAGACTCAAGTCGCCAGGAAAAGCTCACCACGCGATAAGGCAGATAGTAGGTATACTTGACCACCATCAATTGAAAGTGAAATTCGAGGCGGTCTGAAAAGCACAATGATAAGTTGTAAGCTGGTCAACACAATTACAAAAGGACAATCAGCAAGACCCGAGAAACGTAGACCTTGGACAAGATACACGGGGAAAAGACATGGAACAGGTGAAGACATGCTTGCTTTTTCCTTTCCTTTCCTATCGTTTCCGATCCTATATAGATACCAGTTGTCATAACAAGACTGAGGTCATATAACATCCCATTACGAAACCTTTTCCCGTGCCCATTTTCCTTCCGTTTCATACAGCAACGCTGACAACTAAGAACGTATTTCCTTGCATTGGAAGAACGTCCTGCCTGCATCGCCGAACGAACGTCGTACACCGTAAGGCTGGGCAAAGAGAAAAAGGCAGCAGCGCCAAAGAACGACACAGCGAGACCCAGAGCGCCGACGCTGTGAATGCGAAGATTGCCCACGCTCAACGCTGCAAATGGCAAGGAATGTAGAGGTATAAATGGAGATGGAGCACATTGGCGAGATACAACTTTTGCTCCTGCCCCCGCGTGCTGTCGTCGTCGTCGTCGTCGTCAAATCTCGCTTACAGCGGCAAAACGATGCTCTTTCTGGGCTGTCTTTCGATGATGCTATCAGTTGGATGGAGCGAGCTCATCGAATTGCCCGGCCCTAGACCGTCCTTGTTTTGGAACACCTTGTTCAAGTTCATGGCCGACTTGGTATATAGGAAGTCGATGGCCTTTTGATCTCGGAACGGATTGGGTGATTTGTCCCAGGCATGGGGCACGCGGGGGATGAGTTTGCTGTCGATTCTCTTGCCGAGTTTCTCGAGGCGCTCGGCGAAGACCTGCCCCTCGCGCAGGAGCATGTCCCACTCACACAGCCACATTTGGATATCCTGGGGAAGGCTGTCGATGATCATATGGTCGTGCGCCAGACCTGGAGAGGCATACGGGCTGCAGTGGTCGCCCGCGATGTCGGGTGGTGGGAGGTAGGAGAAGTCGAACAGGTCGGTGAAAGTCTTGGGAAGGCATTTCTTAGGATTGCGAGATTCGCGGATCTTGCGTGAGCGGGACATGGTCCAATCCAGTAGAGGATACCAGGCTACTACGCTGCGGATTTGGAGGGGTGTGTTGGTCCGCTGTTGGACAAGCTTGGAGGTTGAGTGCACGGGCGTGACGAAGTTGTGGGTTTCCTGGTAGTGTAGCTCGGTATCGTTGGCCTCGGTGTCGGTGTCGTCGTTCAATGTGCTGAAGGTATGGGATGTGGTGGGTCGGGAGGAGGACTTGTTGTCTGCGATAGGATTGACGTTGTGGTGATGTGCGAGCCGAAAGGGAGCGGAGAAGGCGAGATTTGCCCCGGCGGAAAAGCCCGAAAGGGCGATATTGGTCTGGTCGACGTGTAGCTCAGCGGCATGTTCAGAGATGTAGAGTATAGACTCGACGCAGTCGTCGACAGGGATGGGAAATGGGTGCTCCGGAGCACGACGGTAGCCGACGCTCACGAAGATGGCGTTGGTGTGTTCGATGACGACTCTTGCCCAATACCGGTCGTCTCTGGCGTCGCCCAAGCAGAACCCACCCCCATGAAAGTTGATGACAACGGGGAAGCGAGAGTCAGGATCGCGGTTGAGGACTTCTTGGTAACGTGGAGGGAGGTAGAAATGTAGGTCGATTGGGATAGTGTCTGTTGGGATTTTGTGTTTAAAGGACGGTCGCGGGGCTCGCGGAGGAGCGAAGTCGTGGAAATGCATAGCCAGACTCATGAGAGACCGCCAGAATCGTGCTCTTAACTTGAGTGCTTTTCTTGATGGGATCTTTTGACTGGATAGATGGTGAGACATGGAGCGAGGCCGTCTGTTGAAGGCCTCTGGGATGAATGTCTCGGCCAGCATGTTCTCGGGAGGGTCGATGGTCGAGGCATTTTGGAAGTCGGCGATATTGTTGAAGGTGACTTTGGTGCTCTTGGGGCTCTGGGGGCTCTTCGAGCGTGCAAAATCTTTTCCTTCAGTCATATCGTAGGACTCGTCGGTCGAGGAGGACGACTCTTCGTTCCTCAATGGGGAAGAAGTTGGAGGCATGATGGTGGTGGGGTGCGCATCTTCTAGCTATAACCTGCGTAATTGTGCAAGCGGACGATATGGTACAGCCGGTCGCAAAATTAAAGCGCTCATTCAGTCGTAATGATTTTGTGTTGCGAAGAGAAGGAGGGCGCAGTACTGGGAGACCGGGGGGTGGTTACAGTAAATGTGAAGATGGAAGATGATGTTCCTGATGTGGTCTCAGCGCCGTGAAGGAGACGTCTCGTGTTGATCGCTGTAACGGCTGTAATGACGCGTAGTTTGGGGGCTTGGATGATGATGCGATAGGCTCACCAGGCCAATGGTGAGCGAATCAGGCGAAGCTGCGGTGTCTGCTGGAGGGCTCCGGCAGCCAAAGAACGGGCATCTCCTTTAACTAGAACCCCTATCAAAGACGCCGACAGGTTGGGTGACGGGCAACTTGGCAGGGCCCTCAAGGCATGTGCCGGGGGCCGGGGCTTGCCATTGACAGCATGCCTAGGTAGGTAGCGACTTATCACTGCTACAAGTCCAACATGCGCCCAAGATGCAGTTGACATTTACTTCGCCGCATGCTCTGTTTGCTTCACGCACGTAAAGTACCAGTATCTCTTGATGCATGAGCTGCAATGTTGCCCACCAGCGTTGTCAAGGCTTCGATGAAACCCTGACCGTGCAGACAACACGCGTCCTCACGAATGTCTCATGCTTGGCCAGGAGGATAGTGATCAGTCATCCAATAATCTCAGCTTGATGACATGATCCGGAACATGTATTGCTCCTTCTCCTTGGTCCGTGTTCTGTGGAGGTCATCGAAGGAGAGGCTATGTTGCGAGAACGAGTGTGGCTTGCAGGACTGGTTGAGTATATATCTTCTGACCCGCAGTCTCATGTATTTCTCTTCCCTATCTTCGATTCTCTTTCTGCACTGAGAAAAATGGCTCCGACCAAGACTCCTGGGCGACTCGATGGCCCTGGCGCTCAATATGTCGATATGACGTCGGCCGCTAATGAAATGGATCTATTATTGGACGGAGGTTGGGATCCTTCACAGTCCGTTCCAGCTCGTGACGAAGTCCTCTTGGAGCCGAAAGAAGTGCATAACTGATCACAATGTTGGACTTCGACCACCGCTGTTGTGGACGTTTCACCATTACAACTGGTTTTGGAGAGCTACAAGTTGGGTCTTCATACTATGGATATCAGGTGTTGGAAGATTGAAGATTACGCTCTCTCACTACTTCATCAGGGAACCAAAGCTTATCGTTATTGACAAGAGGGGCCGAGGGGCATCAGCGTGACTAAGCCATCTATGCACAGACTTCGACTTTCCATCCATACGATGCCGGCCTTCCCGCCCGCATCATCCTGCTCTTCCACCTTCTGCCTTGTCTATCGCTTGTTCACGCTTGTTGTTCTTTGCGGCCCAACTCTATCCTGAACCTGCATCTGCCGCTGAATCAGTCGGCTACTCTCCTTCTTCACCTCTGACTTCTGGTATCACTGCAGGGGCGACCGCACACAGCACCCGCCCCTCTCAGCAAGGTTCCATCGTGGTGCCATCCTGCGGGCTGACCGACAACCCCTCTGCAGGAAGACCAGTCTGTCAAAGCGTCTCTGCCGTAGAACTTCTTGGGTTGCTCTGATTGCTTGGAAAGTCGCTGCGTCCGAAACGCCCTAAGCCCAGATTTGGCCATCCAGAAACACGTAATCAAGATATCTCCTCAATAACCTTGACGGCCAAGAAAAGCACTCGGCCGTAGCCTCAAATCGGACCTTCCAACTCGACCTCTTGCGAATACTGAAGCCTCATCTTCCGCAACTGGAGACACCTCCTGTCCGAGAAGTGTTGGCCGAGTGATCGCGGCCATGTCGGTCCTCAAAAAGATCACGAAACATGTGCCTACCAGAGGGAGCGACTCTCCCAGGGCGAGTGGTGAATTCTCTCCCATCTCCTCCTCGAGCCCCGGCCCTCATCGCCGCTCTCTTGCTCAATTGCTCCACCTCGAGAAGGACTATACCTCCAGCGACAATGAGTCTGACATTAGCGACTTCGATAGCGATGGGTTGAGCAAGAACGCCCAGAAGCGGGCCATTGCGAAACAGAAAAAGAAGGAACAGCGCTCCAGACTGAGCCTGGAAAACCGTGATGACTCAGAAGAGCGCATCAGAAAGAGACTGGAAGAAGCTGGGAAGACTGAGACAGCCGAGATGAAGGCTCGCTACGGCGACTTGCCTTTGATGCAATCTACGACTCGCCACACAACCGACCGCATCGACCTCAGCACCATCACCGAAGACATGGTCGGGAAGGAAGTTACTTTTCGCTGCAGACTGCACCATGTGCGAAACATGGGTGCAAAGTTGGTCTTTTTGATCTTCAGGCAACAAATTTCTACAATCCAAGGTGTGCTTGTAGAGGCGCCTGGCAAGGTCTCTGCCATCATGATCCACTGGGCCGAGCATCTGCGCACAGGCAACATCATGTTGGTCAAGGGCGTTTTGCAAAAGCCTCAGATCCCAGTCAAGTCTGCGTCTATCCACACTATCGAGGTTCACGTAACCGACTTGCACGTCGTCGTAAAACGTGACGAGCCAGGTACGTATCTGTCCGGTCAAATGTGGGCCATTCGCTGACACATGTAGTCCCCTTCTCCGTCCAAGAGGCCGAGTTGACTGTTTTCGATGAGGAGCAGAAGGTGGATGGCCGGCAGACTATCATCCCTGACCGAGTCAGACTGGCCAACCGTATCATGGATTTACGGACTGCCACCTCCCATTCCATCTTTCGCATCCAAGCTGCTGTAGGAAATCTTTTCCGCAGTGCCCTTGATGAAGAACGCTTTGTTGAAATCCACACACCGAAACTCCAGGGTGCGGCCACCGAATCGGGTGCATCTGTCTTCAAGGTCAACTACTTTGGTCGGCTGGCTTTCCTTGCACAGTCTCCTCAACTTGCCAAACAGATGGCGATTGCATCCGACTTTGAACGGGTCTATGAAATTGGAGCTGTCTTCAGAGCCGAGAATTCCAACACCCACCGTCATCTGACCGAATACACTGGTCTCGATCTGGAGATGGCTATTGAAGAGCATTATCACGAGATGATGGATGTTATTGACACCGTCCTCAAGAATATCTTCTCCGGTATCTATACCAAGTACCGCACCGAAGTGGAGATTATCAAAGAGCAATTCCCTAGTGAGGATCTCGTTTGGTTGGAAGAGACTCCGCGGATCCCTTTCAAAGACGCGGTCCAACTCCTGACAGACTCAGGCTGGTTGAATGAAGATGGAGAACCAATCAGTCCACTGGAGGATCTGTCCACTCGAGATGAAATTCGTCTAGGAGAGCTCATGAGGGAAAAGTACAAAACAGACTACTATATCTTGGACAAGTTCCCGAGGTCTGCACGTCCTTTTTACACTATGCCAGACGCCCACGATCCCCGATACACCAACTCTTTCGACGTATTTGTCCGCGGACAAGAGATCATCTCGGGTGGCCAACGTATCCACGAGTCACAGATGCTCGAGGACAACATGCGCACCGTTGGTATCGACCCTGATGACATGGCTGAGTACATGGAAGGTTTCAAGTGGGGCGCACCACCTCATGCGGGTTGCGGTGTGGGCCTTGAGCGTATTGTCATGCTCATTCTTAAGCTGGGCAACATCCGTCTCGCCTCGCTATTCCACAGAGACCCCAAGTCATTCCCCGCCAAACCCCAAGTCGAGAAGCTCAGACATCCAGAAGCAGACACTCTCAATCCAGTCTGGCGACAGGAACGTGGCCGGGAGGTTGCAGTGGAAGACCGAAAGATGCCCGACCTATTCGACCTCATCGCGAACTATGGCGATGCCACATCGACGTCCTGGGGTGATGAACGATACAAGATCTGGCGCCATGCCGATACCGGTGCCGCCGTTTCTTACGTACCTGAGGGTCATCATGCCATTCTTCCTGGAGACCCGCTATGTGACCCTCGACAGTACTATCGCATCGTCGTATCCTTCCTGCAATGGATGAAGAAGGAGACCCATCTGAAGCCTATTTGGATCTTGATCAGTCCGGAAATGGAAGAAGTCCTCGGTGAGCGTTTAGGCTGGAAGACACTTTCTTGCGTGGCCGAGGAACGTGTTGATCCACACAAGAAGAGTGCAGAGTCAGACCCTGAAGTCGCGAGAAAGATTCGCAAAGCTCAGAATGATGGTGTTAAGATCACCGACCTTGATCCGAAAGAACCCGTTCCGGAATCTATCAAAGAGCGCGCCAACGCCCGAGTCAAGGATTGGGTTGCAAACCGCAAGGGTACACAAATCCATCTGTCCAATATCGACTTGTTCAGAGATGAGAAGCATAGAAGATACACCATTGCAGAAGACAAAGATGGCAAACTTTGTGGTATCGCTGTCTTGGCTATGCTCGCTCCTCGCAAAGGATGGCAAGCCAAGTACACTCTCGATTTCCCTGGTGCCCCATCAGGAACCATTGAATACCTCACCACACATGCGCTCACGACTGCCGCTAATGCCGGTGCGCATACTGTTACTTTTGGTGGTGGAGCTGCTCAGCATTTGACGCCGGGTCATCACATGAGTGGTGCCAAGGTCAAGATGTTGCAAGCGACATATGATGCTATTGTTAAGCAATTCAACCTTGCCAGAAAGTCAGAGTTCAGAGAGAAGATGGGTGCGAAGGCTGATCCGCTTTGGATCGCTTATCCTCCACATGGTCTTGGTTCTAGAGGTATCAAAGCAATCATGCGGTAAGTACATGATCTTGAAGAGATGTCTATAAGTGACGACCACATGCTGACTATGAATGTGAACAGATTCTTCCAGGATGATTAAGCAGAGCTTTCACCTCGAGTTCGACTGCCATGGCCTACAGGTGTGCCTAGATACGGTCTATGATGGTTAAGAGTGGCACTGGCCAATGACGAAGACCTGGACAATGTGATCGGACTACCCTAACTTGCCACGGTGGTTTAGCTAAACGCAGAAGCAATGGGAACACGAAACAATCTCTCTCTCTCTCTCTCTCTCTCTCTCTCTCTCTCTCTCTCTCTCGGCTACCTGAAACGAAAACACGGGAGGCGCAGCCGCATCGAAAGCCTAGTAGTGTCAACAGACTGCCAGTGCTAGCGTCAGCATGGACTTGGGCCTAATTTGGAAGAATTCGTTGTGCCGTTGGATGGGAGAACTGCAGTCTATGCACATTTTTTTAGCCTACATACCCTTTTGTCTTTCGTTTATGTCCGGTAAATCAACGAACTAGATAGCAACGGGCCCGTCGTAGCGGCCCAATCCTCTACACCTCGCGGTCCATTGAAGCCTTTCCTATGGCATATCTGATACCTGTGGTTCATTTTCGGGGCACAGAACATGAGCTGCCACAACCGGTTTACGGAAGGGAGAACAAGATATATTGAGTAAGGACACCTTCTCGTACCCGGAGACCTGACCGATGACCAATACTGAAGGAAGGCATGCCGTTTGCTATAACGATTTTCGAGTGTCGTAGTCTGCTTTCATATCTCATAACATGTGTAGACCCTTCTTCCTCGCCCTGATCACTAGGGAAAGAGCACCCTCTCGACCAGTTGGACAGTGTCCTCCCAGTTCTTACTACGTAAGCCTAGTCGTACGCAGATCGCCACGCTCCAGATCAGCATTTGCTAATTTCTCATAGCAACATGTGTTGGATGACATTGTGCTTCTCGACATACTAGTGTGCAAAAGTCCGGCCAGGGGCCCCGCACAACACGCAACCACTAGACGGGATGAATACTGGTGATGATTTTAATGCCCCCGTTTGTTATCGGATGGGTTGAGAGTCAAGAACTTGTCTTCATCCGTCCGCACGCCGAACAGGTCCACCATTGACTCTCCATCCAATTCCTACAGCCATGGCAGACCCATCCAATGGGCTTTGATTGTGCTTTCGCGCTGGCTTCAGAATCGAACTTTGCCAGTGCCTCTGCGGAGGATAGACGTGGTTGCAGCGTGTTGGGCGGTTCATGTTTTCTTGATCTTGAGGATGGCGTGGCCTTAGGCCGGCTGCGGTTAGATGCGGAAGAGTTGGGGGAAACTTGTGAGTATATCGCAGGTCTTTCTGTCTCGCAGGCGCCGCACATAAGGTGTTGGAGGGGGTTGATGAGCGTGCAAATTTCGCATGTCCACGTCTCTGCTTGGGGTTCAGGGTCGTGGTCGTGGTCGTGGTCGAGGTCGAGGTCGTGTTTGGGCTGCGGCTGTGGCTTTGGCGTTGGCGTCTTTGCCAATGGCTTAGTATCCAGCTGCTGCGCTTCGAGCTTTTTATTTTCGTGTAGCTGCCGCTCAATTTCTATCTGCTGGTCACGAAGCGCTCTTGCGTCGAGGGGCGGGAGCATGCTCGTGCGCAACCCGGGTGGGGACGATACCCCCCGCATACCCGCTGGATTCTCATGGCTGGGCGGAACGTAGTCTTTGCCGAAGGCCCGGCTCTCTTCTTCCTGAATGAGATCGATGAAGGCTTGCATGAGCGCGGCATCATTCTCGTCTTCCAGTTGCGCTTTCGTGGTTGTGACTTTGTCCTTCTTGGCGGCCTCTTCCTGCGCGATTTTGGCGCCGTGGTCGGTTGCGCTGGCGCAGCCCCGTTCAATACGTAGACGCTTCTCGGCGGCCGCTGCAATGATTTCGCGAGCGTTTTGGCCGCGGATGATGCCCTGCCCACCAAGACGCTGGCCGCTTCCTCGCGTAAGATCGCGACGTCGTTCGGCGGCTGCGCGGGCTTGTCGTCGGATCTCGCTCATAGGGATGCGACGGCCGCCGAGGCGGTTGCCTTTGCCCAGGAAGCCTTCGCCCGTGTAGCCCTTGCGAAGCAGGGCCTCGTGCTCGTCACGGAGTTTGTCCCACAGTGCATTGAACGCCTGATCGTGAGGCCCGTGGACGATGTGGCATAGTTCGTGGAGCATAGTGTCCAGCACGTTCTCGAAGGGGAGGAACTGGGTGTCGTCGCCTGGGTAGCGCAGACGCAGACAGATCTTCTCCCCACGGTTGATGTTTAGGCCGAGGAGGTTGACTTCATGAGGGTAGAACTCGGTCAGGACGCCCACACGCCAGTTGCGTTGGCGCATGATGGGTTTGACCATGGATGCGATCTTCTGGAGCATTTGAAGAGCATCACGAGGTCGAGACTTCTCGGAGAGGTGCTGAAACTCGTCGACCAAGGGGTCAAGTTCGGAGGGGCGTGTTAATGTCATTGTGGCAGGTAGGGCAACACAATCCCCAATTGATTTCTGCAGTGTATGAGGAAGGATCAGGACATGAGAAGGACCAGTCCGGTGAGACGACCTGCCTCCCCAATACCGCTGCTTTGAAGTGTGAGAGGGTGACGACTATAACCACCGCGCCTTCGCTAAAAGAGAACGCCTTTACCAACCAGGCCCACTAAACAGGTAAGTGACGAGAAAAAGACACAGCAAACAAGAGATGATGATCTCGCAGCCCGCAAGACAGGAACCCACAGGACGCCGGAAGATGCCAGAAAGATCGCTTCGTGAATACTTAATAGTGGATGGGATGCGTAAGAGTCGTTCAGCCTGGGGGCGACCTTTGAGAATCATATAGTCACGTGATTAGCGTCATTACAACGGCTGCTTTCGGTTGGACACGTGATTGGATGACTACCGACGTCTGAATACTTGAATTGCGGAGGAAGTGGAAATCGATACTCAGGCCACAACCTCAGCAAACTTGAACAGCAGGAATTGGAAGCACAGAAGATCTCCAAGATGACGAGCGACGACCAACAATTCCTCGACTTGGTGAGTCCTCCGAACGAGCTCCACCTCACTTGCTGACCTTCTTTCGATCGCAGCTTGCGTCCATCCCCCAGGACATGGCGCACTATGGCAGTCGCATTGCAGACTACATCGAGAAACATACCAACGCCCTAGCCTCCGACATCCGTGATGCGATAGACCATGCAAGTTGGATCCCCGACTCCCTGCGACCGCCACGACACGCTGGCAACGGCTCGTCTTTCTTTATCCTTCCTCCCCCGCCTCCGCAAGGCATCCTCGAGAAGACCACAGCATGGATCTCCAGGAACCGCACCATGATTGCCGTGTGTGTGGCTTTCACAGGAACAACTATATACATGATCCACAGACGGAGGAAAGCGCATGCTAGAAAGAGACGGGCAAAGAAACTTCCCAATGGCGCAAAGAAGGAAATAGTTGTACTGGCTTGCTCGACATTCCACGACGCCCTGACACGGTCTCTGGCTATCGATCTCGAACGACGAGGTTACGTCGTGTATGTCACGGTGTCGTCCACCGAAGAGGACTCGCTTGTCCAACAAGAAGCAAAACAGGATCTGCGCCCACTCTGGATCGATCTCACCTCTACTGTCCCCAATCCAGCAGTCGATGTGCATCCTAACCTCGAACCAATTCGGGACCACATTACACATGCCGTGCAGTCTCAGACCTACATGAGTCTCGCTGGCATTGTCGTCTTCCCAGGCTGCTCGGGCTATGCCGAAGGCCCCCTTGCTCTTCTCCCACCCAGTGATATAGTCGACAACATCAACACAAGGCTCGTCTCGCCGCTGCTGACGATCCAACAATTCCTCCCGCTCCTAGCAACTCACAGCACAGACCCGAAATCCCCATCTTCTATCGTCATCGCCTACCCTTCGATTCCCAACTCTTTGGCTCCTCCTCACCAAATCCCAGAATGTCTAGTGGCCGCTTCACTTTCCGCGCTCGCATCATCCCTGAGACGTGAAGTCAAAGCGGCTGGTGCCAATATCACCGTCTCGGAACTCAAATTAGGAAACTTTGACATGGGATCCGTTGCCTCTTCCCGGAGTACACCCACACAATCCGCATATCAAGCACCAAGCTCATCGGGACCTTCCTCGGCGTTAATGCCATGGCACTCTTCGCAACGGGCGGCCTTACAACGCAAATCTCTTGGCCAGCGCAGTTTCGTCCGTGGGTCGTCCGCACGTGAGTTTCACAACGCTGTATTCGATTCGCTCGCGCCGCCACAAACATTCAAAGCATTCGGCCGTGTAGAGTGGAAAGCGACCCGGCGGCCCGAAGTTGTCTTTGTGGGCAGTGGTGCAAGAATGTACGACATCGTCGGTCGGGTCATGCCAAACAGTCTGATAGCCTTGATGATGGGTTATAGAAGGCGTGCGGATGAGGAGACTGATCTAAGACCTGGCAGAGTCCATCAAGTTGCTGAGCACAGCGGCCAGAAGAGGGACAGCTCAACAGGAAGTGCAGGTGCTGGTGTCGCTGCTTCGCCTTCCTGGGGCTCTGGCTCGGCAGGTGGCGAGAGCGGCATTTGGGAGAAGGTCTGAGCGTGAGCGAGCGTACTTCTGGCGAGGAAACGTGGCGGAACGATGATTATATGACCTGACATCTGATTATGAGGCTTCCACTCAATTGATATATGAATAACACCATCCACCTCAAGCGAATATTACGATACACCTGGCACCCCTCGCTCTTCAGTTTTCGCAGATTGTCATTACAGCCTGACCAACGCACTACGACTTGTCACAAAAATCGCTCGGTTGCCGCCCGAGTTATCTTGCCACCACTCTTCGACTATGCTTGGCGAAATTCCGTCTGCGCCTTGTCGTCGCCAAACTCCAGCACGTCCTCCGCCAAGCTTCTGTCCCAAAATCCCGGCTTTATATACCAAACTCACAGAATTGTGCTCAACACCGGACCGAATCAGACCTTCAGTCTGTCTGGGCTTGCATCTTCCAGTATCCAACCTCTTTAGTGCACGTGGATTGACTATGTCAACCATAGTGACTTAATGTTGGAGAGCGGCAAGGTCAGCCAGGCTGTCGGTGTGGTACGGGACCGGTGCTCCCCTACTACGTAGTAAAATCGGTTCTGCCCGGTTTTGATATCCCATCGTTCATCCCCCAGGGGAGGCTCGTTGGGAGAAGTTTTTGTCACTTTTTTTGGCGGGTTTCTATGTTTGAGTTTTTGGTTTCTCAAGTTTTCCTCTGCTATGTGGGCGGGCGGCAGCACCGCCCTCGTTGCTCCTCTTGGCCGAAATCTGAAATACTGCCGTACCGGATGCTTTCACGTGTGTCTGATGAGGTGGAATGCCGAAGCTCATGCTAATGACCATTTTGCTTTCTGCTTTGGCAAGAGATATTGTCGTTGCAGTGTGCCTCTGTGCAGGCAAAGGAAGCACGACGATCGAAATAGCCGCTCAGCTATGCTGCCACTCACACTCCGCTCCACTCCATTTTCTTTTCTTCAAGGGATGAGCAAGCTCGACTCAACTGTCGTACTACCTCGAAAGGTTGGACGAGTGTATGCAAAAGTGACGAAGGAATATATGTGCGCAAAAAAAGAATGTCACGAAAAGCAAAAGTACTCGTTCCAAGCCAACAGGCTCTCGGGCGAAAGGATAGTACGCATGCAGATTTGGCAACATTGAAATCACACAAAGGAAGAGGTATGGGAAGCAACCGCGTTTATTTGTTTCTCGAGCCCTAAGATCTCATCTCCGGCGAGCGGTTGACCGATGAGCTTGCTCTCTCATGCAGCAAGACCCGAGCCGAGATTCGATTTCTCAATAACGCCGTCCATTATACTTCTCCCACTGATGACGCCAGTGCTGCAAATCACAATCTTCTTCCTTTGTCCAGACTCGGCCATTTTCCGCCCAATGAACCTCAGGGCCGCGATCTCCGTGAAAGTGATACCACCAAGAAACATTACGAAGATGGTCTTCCAACCCGCTGCGCCAGCGAGAGCCGCCTTGGCTTTGGCCGCCTTTTCGTCTGTGGCTTTCTGTGCAAGACTGAAGGTCGGACCTCGAGCTGATTTCAAAATGTCCTCGAATCCTGTCCAACCTGTACTGGTAGGCGTCAAAGGTAGTGGTGACTTGTGGAGAGCTTGAAGGTATTGTTTCTGCAGGATGCATTGCACCATCCTGATGCTTAGCGGCGCGTAGCCTGAATACACATAGGCGACGTCCTCAGGGTCTTGCTCGTTGTACTCATCGATGATAAGCCGAAGCTCTTTGCGCAGATACGCGTAGTTTGTCTTGGTGCCTTTCTCGGACTGGGCTGCCCCACCACCCACAGGCAGGAGGAGCGCCGATGCGGAAGAACGTGGTTGGAGCAATTCCATCTTTTCAAGCGCGTCGAGGGTGATGAGATGCTGGAAACCATACGCGTGGAGGATTTGGCGTCGAAATGAGTCTAGATCTTTGGGCCGGAGACCGCCGGAAATGGTAGACTCTAGACATAAAAGGCGTAGAATGGTGCTGAGCGGCGCATCCCGGGCGATGAGCTCCTCTATCGTGTCATGCTGATATATTGGATCGGTACCGGCTGCTATGTTCTGTTGGATCTCGAGCTCCCGGTTGAATGTGTCGGACCGGGTGTGTTTGGTCATATCATCGGCAAGATTGGTATGGACGGCAAGAGACTGATGTTCTTGCTGGAAGCCCGGGAGTTTGTTCACAAATTCGCGCAGCTCATTGACGCCACGCGCGCTGTGACGCCCTTCGTAGTCAGACTCGAGTCGTCGGGCGATTTTGTTGAGATGTGGCCCAATCAGAGCAAAGTTGGAAGATCGCAGCTGTTCAAATAAGGGGTCAGACGAGTCGAGTTGAATCTTGCGTTTGAGACCTTGACGGACGGCTGGAGGTGGTGATGTCGACGAGGACCCGGTGTTGGTTCGCTGCTGAGGGACCGCGCCTATGATTGATGAATCGACTTCGGCCCGGTTGTGCTTGATTCCAATCAGCTCATCGATTAATCCTTCGTAAGTCAACTGTGTCAGGAGGGGGGTGGCAAAATCGACATCACGATCAATGATAATGAGTTGCTCGATGGTCGTACTTGGCATGTTCGTGTACTGTGTCGCGGCTTCGTCGGCGTCGAGTTCTTTTCGTCCACGAAGTAGCAGGTTGGCCAGCTTTCGGGCATTATCACCTTTCCCCAAGATACGCGGAAACAGGCCATGTCTTTGCTGGATTTGCATCAGAGCTCTTGAAGCAAGGTACAGTGATGATGAATCATTTCTCTACAGAGAGGTTAGAGTTGATGCCACTTCTGCGCATAGGTAACTCAAATACCAGATATAAATCGTGAAAAGCCCCTTCCATCTCCATCGACAACATGTCGTCTTCCAGCGGTAGGAAATAAAGTGGTAGTTCCGAAATATTGACATCGCCTAGTACGCCTTCGTCCTCAAGGATTTTGTTGGATACTAGCGTTCTCCTTGGTACCCAGATAACGGAGATTTCATGTTCGACCGTGCCGTTTCTTTGAAGTTTCTTGATCTGTTCTTGAACAGAGAGATATGACTGTCAGCATTCCATGAATCATTCACAAACAATAGGTAAAAAAAGATGCGCTGAATCGAGAAATGCCGCTTCCAGGATCGGATAGATATTGATGTTGGGAGCTAGACTGACAGCGAGGAATGGAGAAGGGAGTCCGCGCATTCTCTTTTAAGTCCCGTAGTTGGATGGACTCCAGGGAGCTAGCTTACCTGCTACGGCTTGGACCAAAGGTGCCTTCTCGCCGTGCACAAGGTACACGATGTTCCTCTGGGAGGAGTCGGTGTTGCCATTTTCGAGTTCGAAGACCTTGTCTACGCCATAGTCCTTGAGCGTAGGAAACTGGATAAAGAGGCTCAACAAGCCTGTCAAGTCCCTCCCGATGACCAAGTTCTTCTTTCCCCGAACCTGAGGTAGCTGTTAGCCAGGACATACGGAACAAAATGCATCATTGATGTCTGTCTCGTACGCCTTCAAGCAATTCTAGAAGATCCTTTCTGGCTTTGGTCTTGATGTGTTCGGCTTCTTCGTCAATGACGGGGGCCATCAGCCCTAGCTCCTAATTTGATCTCTATTGTCGATGTGTCAGATGTGGAATGCAAACGGAGTCGAGTAGGCAGCGGTTAATATCTCGTTCACCAAACAGACTGCAACTCGAGCTGGTGACGCCAAGACGTGAGATGATTGGTTGAACGTCGGTCGACTCGTTCTAGAAGCCGAGGGAGGAGGAGGCTCGGAGGCTTCACTGCATTGCACCGCCCCGTCAGCCACGTCCCTGCGTTTCAGCTCGACATCCTTCAATACTCTCCCAAGATTACCGCCTCAAAAGCAGTCTTCTTGGGAGGACAAATCTAGACATACTCTACAGTTCTTCATTCCTTGTTGTTTTCCAGGCTTCGTTCTCAAAAATGGGCAAATTCAGTCTCAAGAAAGGCGACAACGATGAAGACTCCGGCAGACTCGCCCTGTTCGGTTCCCGTTCAAAGTCCAAATCTCCTGCTCCTCCCTCAAACAATCCCTACGCACAGCCTGCCATCCCTCCAGATCCGTACACACAGGCAAAGATGAGTGCTGGCATTGTGCCTCCGCAAGGTGAGGCACGTCCGGGCTCGAATCCAAGGGCTGGCTACCGTCCGGGTCCAGGGCCTCAAGGGAGTTACTCTGGTCTACCAGGCCCTGGTCAACAGAGGCCGTCACATGGTGGGGGAAATCCATATGCCGGGAATCAACCAAGCAATTACGGTGATAACAAGACTGGCCCTCCTCAAGGAGGTTATGGTGGCAGTGGTGGAGGCTATGGCCCCGAGAAGTTTGGCAATCAAAATGGCTATGGAGGCGCTGCCAATGGAGGTAATCCCTATGCCAGCATACAGCAAACCAGTGGCACATCACGCGAAGGCGGCTACGGGGGACTTGGCTCGTCCAGTCTCTACGAGAACGATTCCAGCCGTGATGAACTATTTGGAGGCGCCCAACAACGTATGCAGCAGAAACAACCACAGCCAGGCGGACCTCCTGACTATCAGTACAACAACGCCAATGAAGGTGGCGATCGAAGCTTTGGGGCATACGGTGACCGTCAACTCACGGCTGAAGAGGAGGAGGAGGAGGACATTCAGGCAACTAAGCAGGAGATTAAGTTCATGAAACAGCAGGATGTGGCTTCCACCAGAAATGCTCTGCGAGTTGCTGCCCAGGCTGAGGAGATGGGCCGCAACACCCTTGCTAGGCTTGGAGCACAGGGCGAAAGAATGCACAACACAGACCGAAATCTTGACATTGGAAACAACCACATCAATATCGCCGAAGACAAGACCAAGGAATTGAAGACGTTGAACAGAAGTATGTTCGCAGTGCATGTCAACAATCCTTTTACCGCAAAGGAAAGACGCACCCGACGGGATGAGCAGATCATGGACCGGCACCATGCCGAAAGAGAAGCTCGTGAGGCTACTCGTGAAGCTGCCTTCAGGAGCACACAACGGATGAACCAGAATTTCAAAGGCTTGGAAGACACCCCAGGGGGACCCCAAGCCAAGCAAAGCCTGGCAGAACGAGCCAAATATCAATTCGAGGCTGACAGTGAGGATGATGCCATGGAGGGTGAAATTGATCGAAATCTTGACGACCTCACTGGCGCAGCCAGGCGTCTCAATTTGTTGGCGCGTGCCACAGGAGAGGAGGTTGAACAACAGAACCAACTGATTCAAAATATTGCAGAAAAGGTGAGTGTGTCACACATCGCCACTCTGGCTCTTGCTAACCATGCCGCAGAGCGACCGCTTCGACGATCGCCTACACTTCCAAACCGAACGATTGAAGAGAATTCGATAGGCATTGCTGTCCGTTCTTTCAAGTGTACACCCACTTGGAAGCCACTGGCGCCAGAGGACCACTGGCATGAAAGGCAGAATCTCGTCGTGTCATGTTAAATTCCGTGTGCAGCCTCGTCCAATGTTGTGGGTCCTCGACAGAGCAGGAGCCTTGTTGATCTGGACAAATAGATCAGCCTGTCCCTGTGCAACGATCAACACTCCGACTGCTCATCGACGTCCATCACCTCGGGAACAATGTTTTGAGGTTCGGGTCGTCGTGCGGCAGGCGCCATGACATCCTGATAATTACCCCGGTTGATCTCACTGGAAGTGACAGCTTTGGAAATACTTGGAAGTGCCTGGGATACAGGTTGGGCCGGCTGAGAGTGCCGTTTGCTCACATATTTTGTGGATCGAAACTTCAGCCTGACGGGCTGGCTGTTTGGATGGCACAACCAGCCTTCATGGATACACAAGGGCAATTTCAGGGGGGCGTTGACGGTTCCTATGGAGTAGAATTTGACTCGAGACAGTATGGGGCGGAATTTGTCACGGCAGGATTGCTAAGCGCAGCGTCTTTGGACTACGGAGTACTGGACTTGGGAATATGATTGTGGGCGTTCTGTTCAAGGCCATTTCTTACTCGAAATTCCGGTCTTCTCATGCCAGGCTTTCACGCTGTCCAATTTCTTTTTCTTTCGATCTGACGCAGTCAAAGTAACTTGCACACTGGTGGTGGCAGCAGGACGTCGCGAAAATAAGCAATTGCGGTTGCTGCGAGTTTCAAGACCGATAGTGCTTTGGTTGACGGTCAGTGCGCAGACGACTATTCGCTTAGCCTGATGTGATGGAAATTGTCCTAGCGAGTTTTCTCCTACGAGACTAAATCTCACAGACCCTCAGAAGTCCCGCGCTTTACTGAACACAGTACAGTAGGAAACGAAAAAAAGGGGAGCATGCGCGCAATCGCATAGAGGAGGCCGGACAATAACCAGAATGGCGCGCCCGGATCTGCAAAGATCGTCGATGGCTCGATGGGAAAGAATGGGGAAGCTTCGAAGACGCAGTCCTTTCGCAGAGTCCAATTTCACAAGAGGCGATGCCTTCAAGCCTAGCCTTTGCAAGGGAATCAGGAATCAGCAGCTGAGCAGACCCAGACATGGCTCCAAACAGATTGGTCACATCTGGTCACTTTTGCACTTTTTTCGGTGTGCAAAACACATCGTCATTGAATGAGCATTGAATCAGATATCTTTGGTATTCGACTCGCTGTCAGTACGATGGAGGAGAAAGTGAGTTTGGCGACCTTTGATCCAACCTTGGGCTTCCGTGATGATTCCACTTCACCTCCCACAGCTGGTAGAGCATTCACGCATTGTAGGCAGCCTGAGCTTTGAGTTCCGCCTTGCATCAAGAGCCCAAAGCGCCGACAAACTCAAAAGACAGAGCCAAAACAGCCGGAAGCAGTTTGAGCTTCCAGCATCAAGCTCAAACGAGAAACGCCACCAACAACGCTGTATCGTCAAGGCCTAAAAGCACGAAAAACTAGAAAGCGCTGATGGTATGGAGCCAATTTCAACTCCCCAGCGGAGAAAGTGCTCATTTATTCAACTCTGCCAGATCGGGATAAAAGGTTGACCTAAACTGCTCCGCACCGCGTACGTTAGCTCCAGTCATCTTGGGCCGTCTTGCGTGCTTGCGCAAAACGCAAAGGCTCACCAGGCCAAAGGGCGGCAGGACCTCCAGTCCTTGGTTCTTGAGTGCTAACTGTAGAGCTTGGATCACAGAGTCCGGTCACTTCGGCAGCCGCAATGATTGCATCAGCCTAAGGAGCGTGGTATATGTCTCCTGCGAGTGCGTTTCCTCTGCCATGGTCAACAACGACCGTGAGTACCGGGTTTGGACAAAGATCTGGTTACGAAGTACTCGTGCTCGCACTGCGGTATTCCACTGCTGAAGGGACAAAGTATCACAGTACGAGTAACGAGCCTCATGGGGTACCATGGAATCATATCTTCGGGCGAATAAGAAGGAGATGCCTTACACCAACAGAGGTCCGCATGACGTCGACGGCTCTGTAGCAGCGGAAAAAGAACACGAAGCACAGGCAAATAATGGGTTGGTGGCGCGCCTGCTGTCCGTTGATTGCCCTGGACAAGTTGTGACGGGTCTCAACTTTCAAGCAGGGCAGACACTGGCAGGGCATCTGCTGATCTGGGCTTGACGCCACCCGAGCGCCAACGGAGCCCACTGCAAGCATCCTTGAGCAGAATCTTCCGAGCCGATAACTCTGGCTTCGTTTCAGAATTGGACTCCACTGCCTTCAACAGAGCTACTTGCAGATTGGCGATGGCGTTGCTGGTGGAGTAGCCGGAGAATCCTGTGAGCATAGCGCAGGCAGGAAGTGACCGAAGTTGATTGTCTTGATTCAGTCGGGAGATAATAAAAGAAATTGAGGCTGGGATGGTGAATACTGAGTGCGTCAGTGAAGTCAAGACAACTAATGAGAATGGTCACATATTGAAGACCCTGCGTCGGATATCAGACCGGCTTTCCCTGAGCCCTGGAGTAGTCTGCAGGGTCTTCGGTCGACCTGGTGAAGGGTTGTGTAACCCTGTACGAGTAGTGCCTGGTGCATCGTTGGGTACCCTCGTAGGAGGTGTTCCAGAAAGGAGGCTGAGCAGTACGCGAGCCAGATCAGCGATCAAATCACAGTAACCGGAGTCACAAGGTACCGGGAATGGTGGGCTCCAGCGCTAAGTATTCCCAGTATCCTCTGGATTGAAACTAAGGTGAGTTGAAGGGTCGCTTTCGTCTATGCTTCTAATCTTGAACAAGGACATTTTACTGGCAGGGAAGGTGCATCCATGGAGGTGGCAAAAAAGGCAGCTGGAAGTTCTGCATGAATCCCTAGGTAAGGTGAGTGGTACACAGAAGGTGGTCGCATCACTTTGAAACTCATCGCTGCAGATGCAACGGTGAGTATCTGCGAGGGAAAACCCGAAGCAACGGGCGGGATCAGCGCCCTTTCTTCCCCAGCTTGATAGACAGATCAGCGTCGATCTGGACAACACCAAGATATTGCTTGCATGCTGCTTTGCAGACCAGGCTGGATGGGCTTCTCATGAGCAGTGTCGGGAGTCTACCACAGCATCGAAATTGTTGCACGCCCAAGAGGTCTGAACGGGCCTTTACCATACTAAGTGACAAGAGGGGATTCTCGGATGTCGGCACACACATACCTGACTAGCTGATACTGTTGCTGTCGTGGGCATTTGAGGACTGACTCGTAAGGGATTTGTTTGTGGAGACAGTTTGCCAATGAGTACATAGTATTTTGTGCTAAGGATGCTGCATCTCAGCTTCTGGTTAGGCTAGGAGCGTAGGGCAGTCCGTCAAAGTACTATCTGTCTAGAGGATGAAAAGAGATGACAAGCCGCTTGTCAAATGTTAGTTGTGTTCGCTATTCGCTATGGCTGAAGTTAGCAAGTCAACAAAGAGGGCGCCCTCCTAAGGTTCGAGGGGGAAAAGCGGCCGCGTCAGTGGCGTTTGGCACCTTGTACTTCTAGCGGCCTAGGAATGCCTAGGGCACGCACAGGGCAGCAGTTACAGGGAACAAGCGAAACCCCTGTAAGCCACAAAATTGGAGGGCACGGGGTCGATTGGATACTCGGTCGCGCTGGAGAACCGTACTATAGTAATTGTCCGGTGGCTTCGAAGCTTGCTTCATGAGTCAAGAAAACTTTACGGAGTACCCTGGCTACTGTTCTATCATCGTACAGTACCATAGTAGTACTGTTCTACTTGGTGTGTCCCTTGGACCCTTTTTGAGGCTGTGAGAAATCGAAGCGACTTTCGTTTGGGACCCTGATTTGAGTCATCACAAAAGGTGGCTACGTAGGAGTATAACGAGAAGACAAGGGCAAGTACTGTTTATTTCTGTGATTGGTAGGCCTTTCAAGCCACTTATTGCTTCTTCATCTGCACCTGCAATCTTTTGTATCTGCGCGCACACCGCCTGTTGACGGAACATACCCAGGGTATGCATCATCCACTCCAGTGCACGTACGGTAGAGGTTGGGTGGTAACTCTGTATCGGCCTGAGAGTCTCTTGCCTCATCCAAACCCTCTCTCCCAGTACCTAACAGAAACCTTGTCGTAGTTCCCTCCACATTATCTCTAGTACTCTACCACAGTATTTGCACCAAGTATCCTCTCTCTGAAACTATACTTCCTTCACTATCAACTCCAGAAGGACCGGTCACTTTCCGTCAATCAGAATACTGCTTGGCGACATTTAATGGGCGACCTCTCACTGCTCAGACAAGAGACCCAGTGGACAAGCCAACAAGCGCAACAACGGGGTGGCTGCCGACGCCTGCAGTGAGACGAATGACACAAGCCGCCACTCAAGCCCCCAGTGGCCCCCCATCAATGCCCGCAGATGTCATCGTGCCAATAAGCCTGTGCCGCTGCAATTCTTTGTGCTCCATCCCGTTCGTCTTCTGTTTTCTCTAACACGGCCGGCAGTCTCCATCACAAAGAAAACGCCTCCATCTTTCAATCTGGCATCAAGACGGGTGGGTATCCACTCCCTCATCTACCCACTTCCGAATCAGCAACCCTGTCGCCCGTCCCTAAGCCTCATCCAGGGTCCCTCACTTCTCGCCGATGCTGAGACCAACCTCCATCACACAGAGCCCAGTCACCCAGTCCAACGCTAGCCTTACTGACTCCGGACCAGGCTCCTGACAAGAATCCCTGCCCTGGTTTCTTGCCTCCACCGAAATCATCAACTCCGGCCTGGCGCAGGGTATCCCTCCAGTCAACCTCTCCTTTACCCTCTCCACTACGAACGCCATCCAACTGCCATCTCGAGCTAAGAGCACCCTGCATTAACAAGAGCCCAAGGGCAGTCCGAGTCGTGAGGGTGATGATGCCGGTCAATCAGGGTTCTCGACAGTGCAAAGGGTCACTCCCACCGACGTAACTTTACAGATGCAAGCACTGGCACTGTCTTGCAAGCTTCCGTGCTGTTCAAAACAAACTTATCTACCCTCACATTCCCCACACATTGCGCGAACGGACCTGATCCTTTCATACTTCAAGACACAGTTCATCTACTCAGCATTCCTGCCTGCCTGAAAGACAGGTCACCTCTGAGAAACATCCATTGACTCGAGAGATAAAGAGCGAATCACACTTGACCACTATTCACAACACCCGAGATTAGAGAAAGATCCCATCAGATCTTTTATCTGACCACGACCGTTGAAACTCAACTGCTTCCATTTGGCTTTCCAACCTTCCTACAACAGCCAATCCTGTCGATCTGCCGTTCGCCGAACTGGTTTGAGGATTGCGCATCACCGCAGCAGAAAGGCTACGACTGTCTGCTATCAAAAGTCAAAGGGGCACTGCTCATTCCGCTATCGACGACTCCAGCAAAAGATCATCACCGATCGTCTGTGGATCTCTCATTGGCAGTTGCCGGCTCCAGGCTCTCCACACGATATCCTACATAACACTCGCCGATCCCCTCGGTCAGAGTTGGATCGTCTTACACGTTCCAGGAACCAGTATTCAGCTGGCCCTTCTATTGCTACCAAGTTCGATATCTTGCCTTGAGCGAGGTCAACACATAACGTGGCCCTTCACCTCGAAGCCTTTCGATTATACTCTGCCCTCAGAACACCGCCCCCATGACGATGGTCATTGACAACCAAGTTCGACAATACGGCGGCATGGGTTACGACCACATGTATCCCAGCATGCATACGACGCCGCAGTTCAGTGACCCGTGGTCGCATCAGACCAGCACGTCCAACACCTCCTTTCCTGGTCTGTCCAAGACGGATAGTTCCAGGTCTACCATGTCAATGCCGTATTCACACATGCCACCTGTCTCTGGCTCCATGGCTCAAGGTAGCGACTACTCTAACACTGGATATTCTGGCACGGATGTACTAAATTTTCCTCAAGACATCCCACGCTCGACCTATGGCGAGCAGTCTTATCCTTCTGCATCTACGGCGACGACGACGTCGTCGTACGCTCCATCATACTCTTCCATAAGCTATGCACAATCTCTTGCTCAACAACAGCAGCAGCAACAACAACACAGAAAAATGTCCGAGTAAGTGGACTCGTACACCTAAGATGATCTTCGCCTGGTCTAACTATGTTGTTCTAGTGTCGATAACTCTCGCGCTGCGACGGCCAGCTTCGGTGAGCTGGACGCCTCTAGAGGCATGCTGGCGCTCAGCCACCAAAACCTTCAGGACTTGACGCCCCGCAACATCTACGAAGCCCGGACTCAAAGAGCCTCGACGGACGCATATGGTTTTCCGCAGACTGCCTCTGCTCACTCGTCGATCTCGAATGAGTCGGGTCGCGGCTATCCGTATTATGCGCCGAGCTCAGTTGGCTCCGTTGCCGACTCTGCCACAGATTATAGCTCAGCTGCCTCAGACGCAGGTTATGAGTCAATGGCGGCGTCGCGAACACTTCCACGACCGACGCAATTGCTCGGAGCTCCGCTTGTACCTCCAGCCCCTCAGTCTATGATGGGCCAATTTTCCTCCAAGATGTCGGCCAATACCCAGAAGAAGCACAAATGCAAGGTTTGCGACAAACGTTTCACTAGACCGAGTTCGCTCCAAACGCACATGTACAGCCACACAGGCGAGAAGCCGTTCGCCTGCGATGTTGAAGGCTGTGGTCGTCATTTTTCCGTCGTCTCCAACCTGCGCCGCCACAAGAAGGTGCACAAGGGCGACAGCACGTCGACTACCAGCCACTCAGATACCGAGGAGTAATTGTCTGGTTGTCCAAAAATGGTTTCAAAAGCAGTTTGCTGGCCATCTCAATAGGCCAATCCTCAGGCACTCTTGGACAGTGCCTTGGGCGGTTTTTTTGCTGATGATACAACATTTTTGAGCGCTCACGCTTCGGGGCAGCGTGGGGCTCGTGTACAACAGGGGGTTAGAAAGGGCAGCAGACGGAAAAAGCCCGGTGCTTGCCGCACCGACACCGGCATCAGAAATTGCCACTCTATTCGATTCACGACACTCGCTATTTCTATCTATATTGTTTATTGTGACGACTTGATACCCAGCGATGACGGTTCCTATCATGAATGATTTCTGCTTTTCCGCATGGTGAGCCCCGGAAGCTCATGGCAGCGAAGCAGCGGGCCAGGAAAGAGTAGGGTCAGCGTCGGAGTCCAACGAGTTTGCTATGGTACTTCATGGCCGGCGAGGACTGGGGAAGCGTGGGAGGACTGTGATTCAAGTGGGTTTACGTTGATACCAAACTGTGTTTGACGTGCGGGATGTCTAGAAGTCCCAACTGCACGATTGGGTGATATGAGGTATAGTGTGCCGGGGTCGGAATTTGTGACTGCGGCGCATTGAGTAAGAGCCTCTACATGAATGAGAAATATGTGTGCAAATAACGTCTTCTCACGGCTCCCATGATATTCTGTGTCTCGTGTTCCTTGTGAATTGTTTGGCTGAGCCCAATTGCTGCATGGCACCCAGCAAGGGAAGAAATAGGTGCCATGCCTGTAGGGTGCCTGGTACGGGTGATGTTTGGGGAATCGTCTCACGTGCGATGAAAGAAGTGGAAGAAACAGCCATGACATCATCTACGGCAGACCCCATTTCATCATACCTGGTAACTCGTGCGTGCTCGTATTTACTAGTGACTCGTACCCCTGGTGGGCTGTACGGTGGACTATACGGAGGACTGCACTGGAACTACGTAGGCGCAGTTTGTTTGTCATTGACCACATCGAGAGTCGAGAGTCGACAGTCGCGAATCCGTCATGACTGCCTCAATCTTCCATCATTTCCTCGCTACCTTTGTCTCATTTTCCACTTCTACACTACTACGTATATGATGATGTCGTATCACTTCTGACAAGTCCCCAAACCTGACCCTTGCTTGATTTACTGGCCGGCGGGACGCTGGCATCCCCGACGTGTCACGAACTAATGTCGCAACCTGGGACATTGAGCTCGGATGCGCCGCTGCGTCAGTGGCGTTTCCTACGAGCTGTGATTGCTACAATTTGTATCCCCACCCGCCCTCCATCTCATCTTGTGCCGAGCGCACCGACCAGGGTGCGACTCCAGTTCCGTTATCCCTTTCGTGTTTCGAGAGTCCGATTCGCACGTCAAGTCATCATTGACGAGCTAGCATTCCTTTCAGAAAACGACCTTCTCATCCCTTTGACATCCGTTGCGTTTGGCGCCAGCAGCAGGGCCCCGGCAATCACACGACCGGACACGACCTTCTCTAGGCAAAACGATGTAATCTCACATCAAGTGCACACGCATTGCCTGATTCGGCACACCAACTATTTGCCCACCTGCTGCAAAGTGCACAAAAAGTGTTAGCTGCTCAGCTCCTAAATTTGTGGTGAGGCGTCCAAACTCGGACCATGACGAATTTCCAGCCATGTCCGCTCTAGTAGGGTTGATACGAGTATGCCCCATGAATATCTCTTTGGATTTCAAGGCATTCAAAACGACATATCCACCCGGACGTCAATGCGGCGGCACGATGACATATGTCTCTTCAGGCCTGACCTCGCTACCGAGGCACACAAGGTAAGGCTCAACCAAACGAGTTCTAGAGAGTCGTGATGCGGCTGGTTGCCAGGAAACATTTGACTGACGCTTCGGACTTCGGTGTATCTTGTAGCGCGCTAGCATCACACCTTGTTCGATGCTAAGGCCCTTGCGGTCGGCGCCTGACTGATGAAAGGTATGAAAGCTGCTTGGTGTGAGCGTTGAAGCGCTCCAGATTGGGACAAGTCGGTGGCCACAACCACATTGATGAGTCCTGAAGCTCCTCGTGCCTCATGCGGAACGCTCCACGTTTACTGGCCATGGGGTTTGCCATATGATGGACACCTTCTTGCTCTTCTCGACCCGCTGTGCTCGAAAGCTCACTGTTGATTATACCCTGCGTACTGCTTGCATTGAGGTCCCGGGATGGATAGGTTCGGCGTCAAGGCGGTTTGTGGAGCATATTGGCAGTGACATTGAACATTTCCCGACGCCGCCACGAAGCTGTCATTATACGATTGAACACTTCAAGTTTCAGGTCTTGATGTGTGTCACGGAATGCTGTCTTCTGCACAAGTACTCCGTACCATCTCTGTGACAGCCAGGGGGTGGTTGGGGTGGATTATGTAGTTGCTCGGACTTATCCTCTGAGGTAGAGCCTTCTTTTGCTCATGCAATCCGAGTGTGTCCTTGGAACACTGTTTCGGCACTGTGGTAGTGCCGGCTGCAAGTTGTTCGCAGTATTTTCTCTATGAAGGTGGGTGCTTCATTGTTCTTATGGTAAATTGGTCTGTTATCATGAGCCGCCCATCTTGAGCTTCGAATGTTTGCTCCATTGCTCCATTGCTCCCAGCAATCAGTTGAGTGCAGACAGCTGAATCAAGAGGCATCATTGCTTCTGACTCTGCTGCTGAAATGCCTTCTGCCGCTCTGCCTCGTCGTCACGCTCCTCGTCCGCCAAATCGCTGCGGCATCGATACTTGCATTCCCAGAGGACCACCAAATAAGTCGAACGTGGCCAAATCGGTCGAAGTTGAGGGTTGCGCATCAGGATCAGCGAGCAGCACAGAACTTGGTGGAGCGAGCGTATAGATCTCGCCGTCCTGGCTCTCCTCGGTTTGTTCCATGACGCTGTCCATCATCTGCACATCATCCAGGTTCCGTGGCGTGCTTTCTCTAGTAAAGCGATCCTTGTCGGTCGAGCTTTCATCTTCTCCTTCACACTGGTTTGTTGCCTGCGTAAGACCTGGAGTATCTTCCCACCGGCAAGCTAATGACCTAGCCAGGATCTCGTCACATAGTGCCTTCTGCGGGTCCGTCGCCAGAAAATCCTCCACTCGATTGTTGATAGGGTTGGGCTGGTCGGGGTTTTGATGCAAAGGACACTTGCGGCTCGCTGAAATGGCCTGCACAGTTCGCAAAAGAATCAGTCACTGAACTTGCCAAATTGGCATTTTTTTGGGTTTTAGAGAAAGGGGAGGAGGCTGCAATTACCTGCTGGGTGTTGTTCCGCATACAGGCCGGACATATCAAGCCGTCAGGACACTTGCCGCACGGGACCACAAATTGATAATGAATGCAGATGCCCAGACTGCGGCACCGCTGCTTGCATGGGAACTGGACAAAGAGGATACATGGAGGCACGCGCTGCAGAGAGAGCTGTCGAGTTTCGGCAAGATCGGGACGTTTGATCGCGAGTGGAGGCAGGAAAGAGATCTCTTCGGGCTTTGGCGTGAAGAAGCGATGGCCTCTGGGGTACTCTGTGCTGTGGACGAAGAACTGCCCGATCTCTCGAGCCTCGGACGGTGGTTGCGGGCATTCCGTTTGCTGCGCCTTTGTCTGGACAAAACCTGCCGTGGAAGATACGGCTGCCGAAGGTCGTCCATATGGATTTGTGAGGGGCTGCTCTCTGATATGGGCAGGTTCGGTCGAGAGATATTGGCTCGTCGGAACGTGTTGGCCAGGAAGTCGGATGGCGCCGTTGATCGTGGAGGGAGGAGTCGTGTCGAACCTACTCTCCGCGAGGGTTTGACGGTGCGGCATGCCCTGTGTGCTAAGCCCAAGACACTGCCGCTTCATGGTTGCAAAAGCTAGAACAAAGTGACGGGGGTGACGATGGGATGGGATGTTCCAACGAGGCCTCGAGAGGGCAAGTTGCCAGAGTCATGCCAGAACCAAACGAAAGATTGCTCGGGTCTTCCAGTGAGTGCCACGGGAAGTATTTATACCCTTTCTTCGCCCCTTGTGCCAGTGAAACCAGGCTATCGCTGACGCGGATTGTCACGCTCCAGTGTATGGAATGAGACTGCGAACATATCCGCAGCCTGCATTGAATTCGAGATATCTTTTGGCCTACAAACGAGCGAACGGAAACGGACAGTGATGCCGTTCACTTGCGATCAGGAAAGAAGGCAAGGAACACAATACAGGCACTGGTGCGAGGTTCGAGGAACGCCACTGTACCTATGTAGGATACCTTAGTGACAGGGCCAAACGGGAAAGAAGGAACAGGGGCATAGAAGGGAAGAGAGGGAAGAGTCAGCGGGCGACGACCCAGTCATAAGCCTCAACCCAGATCTGTATTCCCGACCAGAAGCCATCGAAGCAGAAGCACAATTTACCATTTCCCAGAGCCGGAATTCGCACCCAGACAGAGTATTGCCCCATGTCGCCGTCTTGGTTTGGCAGGCAGGGAATCAAGGGCCGCCGCCGCACGCTTGGAGGACCCGAAGATCTCCCGTCACAACTTGGCTTCAAGGGGAACTTGTAGCGGAAATGGAATGAATGTCCAGCGCCCTCGATTGCGGTTTCATTTTCACCTGCAGGCGTCGGAGAAAACGGTACCTCCGATCCGATCCAGCCGGGGGAGTGATTTGCGAAGTGGGTTGCTTGAATGTGCCGCGGCAGGCCGAGACCGGGACAGGGAATGGAAAAATGGAAATGGGAATGGAGAGATCTCTTGGGTGCGTTTTGGATTAAAGTGCCCAGACAGGTGCGCGTGATGGGACGGCGAGAATTGGTCTGCATTGAATGGTAGCCTACGGCGTTGGCAGACAGGATAGACCGAGGAATGGCGGAGGTTTGTGTTGCTGCGGCGTTCGGGGTCTGGGTTTGAGACAGGCCAGCGGAGTGGAGGGGGAACGGAGCAGGTATATGGTGCAGCACATTGTGACCTGGGACGGAGTAGATGTGGATCGTAGAGGACTTGATTGTGGGATGGAGGGAAAGAAAGAAAATATGGAGAGGGATGAGAACCGCCGCGAGAGATTTTTTTGGTTCTTTTGGTGGTGGCCATGGTCGTCGGCGGCGGCGCCTGGCCGCCTGGCCGCCAGGGAACATGATCAGCAATCTTGGGACATAGTCCACAAGTCGTTGTTCAGCCAGTCTTCCGCGGAGCCGAATGTGTTATCCACGGTTGCAGGAGCGGTACCAGTGCTGATGAAATAACGATCCAGTTCATCCTAGGCCAAGGTCAGCTCGCACCAGACACGCCTCCATGACACACGCGTACCCAATCGATATTCCCAGGCTCAGCAAACATATCCGGGACCTGCAGGCCTGCACGAGAAGTCGAACTTTGAAGCGGAGCGCAAGAAGTCATATTCGAGTCGGGGACCGACTCGGAACGTCCATTCGCACACGATGATGACCCCGGTACACCACCATACTTGGTCATTATACCAGACTCGGGCCGGATCTTGGCTAGCATCGCGGCCAGTGCCTCGCTGGCCTTGAGGGCCTCCGCCGACTCTGCGCTGTATTCCTTCCAAATGTAGTAAGAGGTCTCCAACGCTTTGAGCATTTCGTCACGACGGTCGCGGCCCCAGATTGAGAGATCGCTTGACTTGTTGGTCGACTTGGTGGCGGTGGTGGTGGACAGGTGGATGTCCAGGCATATCAGCATGGCGGCCAGAAGCCAGTCATTTTTCGTGAATGACAGCATCGTGCCTCTGAGGCCAGCGAGGCGCCCGCCAGGCTTGCTCTCGTGATGTCGGACGTTCTGGTACTCGAGCATTGTCATGGCGGCGTCGATGCATGCTTTCCGCGAGTAGATGGAGTGCTCGTCGAATCTGGCGGCCACCATGCCTTTCCGATGGAGGATGCAGAACCCGGTCAAGCAGATCTGATCGACTGCGTAGCGGCGCATGATGACATACGCGGGATCAATGAGAGCCTCTTCGATCGGGCGGACCTGGTAATATGCAGGTACGCCGGCTCGTGCCGTACGGAGCTGGGCATCTAGGTTGTGGACTGCTTCCTTGGGGACATGGACGTCTTGCAAGTGGGTGGCGATGCGGCCCAGTAATTCGATGACAGGAGCCTTTGCCAGATAGAAGGCCACGTTGGTCGTGCCGTCTATGGGCCGACTTTCTGGAAGCACCTTTGTGTCTTCGTCGAAATCGTCTTCGCGAAGGTTCTTGGGCATGCCGGTGTCGGATTGTCCGTAAGGGATCATCGATGGGAGACCCATTTGGAAGGAGAGCAGGATGTCACCATGGACGATGCACAGCCACAGACGACGGCGTGTCTCGGCCTCGAAGGGGGATAGGTTGCTGAAATGGCGCGGATCCCGGTGCAGGTTGATCATCAATGCTACGCGGACGATGGTGCCGGTCAGGATGTAGAAGTTGGCTTGAGGGTCTAGGGACTGGAAGTATTCTGCCTCGAGATGCGTGAGCATGCCCTGCAACAGATGGATGTCGGCCTTTGCGTAGTCTTCCAATGTGAGACATTCAAGCGCACAGTGTCTGAAGTTTGCCACCGTCTCGTCCATGTCGAGGACAGGCTGCGAAGCGTTGCTTCGAAGCTGGCTGGACACTTGCGCCGAGAGTTGGAGCATCGAGAAAAGAAGCCCCAGCCAGGGTACCGAGACGGCGGTTGGATTCTTCCAGAATTGGTGGTACTGAGAGAATATGTCAGTGGCTCGAGCACCTGCCAGGGGTGGATGGTCTATACCTCTCGCTGGAACTGCTTAGGATGAATCACAGCTGGAAAAATCCGTCAGTTTGGGGGGTGCTTTGATGCGGGTGTTTTGCTCGGTCACTCACGTCTGAAAAACGCCAGCATTTCAAAATACTTTGCAATGAGCCTGTCGACCTGAGATCGTTCGGGCAAGCATGAGAGCAAGGCACCTATGTTTTGCCGGTGGTTGACTCCGTATATGACATCCCAGACCTTGGGCGAGGGCCTTGCGATTTGCAGTTTGTCAATGTCGTGTTTCAGGGACTCGTCGTTTTCTTCAAAGTAATCCCTAATCCCGGTGATCTTGGTGTTGGTCAGCTGGAGCGGAAGGAAACATATGACATGATGCAGAGGGTGGGATGGTCCACGGATCACGCACGTCTTCTAATATGGCTTCCCATTTCGTCGTTGAATCATTTTGTTGCTGGAGGTGTTCCGGGGACAATTTCTCCTGCTCCGTCGATTGCACATTTTCGGAGCCGCCGCCTTGGATAATACTTTGGGTTGTTGTATCATTCTTCTCGGACAGCTCCAGAAAGACCGTCTGCAGGCGATTGATGCGCTCTTTCACCTTGGTCGATTTCGTTGAGGTACGTTTGGCAAAGTCCGGATAGGTGCAGGTTTGATGTGCTTCTCTCCTGGCACAGTTCTCGCATGGTCTTCCTCGATTGCATTTCAACCTATTCTGCCCATCAGCCCATCCTCGAGTTGACGTGGTTGGCTGAAAAGCTAGCGAAAGCTATTCGGATCACTGACTTCCGTTGTCTGCAAGGTGTACAGGAAAGCTGACGACGATTCCTCGTGCCGGCCAACGAGGCTTCAGCCAGAAGTGTCCGAAGATCCGGGTTAAGGCGCGACGGGTCCAACGACGTTTCCATCTTGGCGAGAAGCACAGCGTCTTAACGGCGTGGGCTAACAAAGTCCCAGAGGACAAAACAGCACAGAAGAGACACAATCGATGGTGCTGATGTCGCCTTTGAGTTATACTTATCAAGGACGAATGTTGGGATCCACGTCCGTGGTCTCGCGAGGGCCTTAAGGCTATCCTGCTTATGTAACCAAACAAGAATTGCTTGCCGCCTGGAGGAGTCACAGGAGTCCATTAAAAGGGTCAAAGCGTCTTTGGCACTCAGTAGTCAGTACGTATATAAAAGTCTTGTGATACGGGAACTTCTCAACAGGTCTACAAGCGTTTCGGTCTTATCTTGTGAATACGGTAAATGTTACCACTAACGGTACTATTTCATCTCTTCGACTTCAAGTCCCTCACTACTCCACGAACCGCTCGAGCAATATCATGCCGCCCGTCATAAAGAGGATACACGACGACGGCGAAAATGGCACCGAAATGCCAGATGATGGCCATGCTGACCCAGCCGCCGAAAAAGCTCTTCGTGAAGATCCAGTCTCGGTATAGAGGCAGAGGCCAAAGGACGATGGTGACCAGGACGTTGATGACAAAGTAGATGCTGGCGATTTTGAACCACTTTTTGATATGTCGGAGTGTGTGCTCGTCGAAAGGGTGAACCACTTCGTCGAGCGAGACTCGAGCATTGTGTTGGGTAGGTGGTGGACTTGGTGTTGGGCCACTCTCCGCTCCACTGGTGAAGAAGGCTCCTTTTTCGGGGATGTTGTCCGGCTCGAGCGTCGCATTTACGGCTTCGCTGCTGGGTAGTTTGGACTGCAAAGAGCTGTTCGGTTGGCTTTCGTCCTCGATAAGGTCGATTCTGAGGAACTCGCGCCAGTCAAATTGGCTCGGCCAGACCAAGGAGATGATGACAGAGTAGAGCGCGGGACTGAAAAAAGAGGTGATGGCGCCGTAAAGGCCCGGCAACTGAGCCTGAGTAGTTTGAATGTTGATTGCACCTGACCACACCCATGATAGGGAAAGCCAAATTGCCATGCCCGACATAAGCCCAAGGATGGGACTGAGGATGGCCGCCAACTTTGTTTGTCTAGACCAGAGGAGCGTTAAGATCATGGGAAGGATGCCAGGACATGCAACGATGGGCCGGAAGTAGGTGGACCAGTTGTTTGTTGCCCCAGCGTACTCGAGCATGATAGCAAAGCCAGCCATAAAGCAGCCGTGGAAGACAACTCCCCAATGGCTCACCTGGAGGGTCTTGCGGTCCGACGCACGAGGGTCGACGTAGGTGCGAAAAAAGTCGAGAGAGATGATACTGCTGACAGCTATCATAGACGAACTAACTGTACTCGTGATGGCCATGAAGATGAGTACAAGTAGACCGGCAGTGGCACCAGGGCCAAGCAGAGACCTGAGCACGTATGGCATCACGAGACCGGAATTCACCTGAGTCGTTGTGAGAGTATTGGGATAGTCGAACCAGACAGGAGTCTTTTCGATTGCCCGGGCGCTCAAACCGATGATGGTACCGGTGCACCAGGGGATGGCAAGGATGACGACAGATACAAGGTCGTATGCTGGAACGACCGATTGCACTTCCGAAGCGAATGATTTCTGCCAGAAGGCCGTATCCATGAGCACAAGTGCAAGGTTGCCGAACTTCAGCACGAGGCCGAACAGGAGCGCTGTACCCCAGATTAGTAGAATTCCTGCATGTGACATGACTGATGACGACTTACAGCTCCTGGATTTCATGGTCAAAAGTGAGCCTTCGTAGTTGCCAGGAATATAAACATTCGTGGCTTTTACTTTCTCGTACAAGCCCGAGAGACCGCCAATGTGCTCATTGGTCAAGACCGCCAGAGAGAACTGGAGAGACGTCAGCAGCTGTCTTGACAGAGTAAAGGACTCGTGCTGCAAGGCACAGCCTCATGGAAACGGAGATATTTACGTAGATTAGAAGGATCAGAGCAATGGTGGTATGCAAGAAATCGGTCAAGAAGGTCGCTTTAAGGCCGCCAACTGCGGTATATGTGACGACTTTGAAAGTAAATGTCAGCGTCTGCATGCACCATAGACCATAGACCGACTTACCTCCAGCAGGAATGAGGATACATGCAGCGATAACATGCATGCCAGTCATCCCAGTCACCAGCTGAGAACCTGCGAGGATCATGCTGCCGCAGCCAAAAATGTTGTTGACCAAGTTTAGGAGGATGAACAGCCAGTGCGCATATTTCCCGTATCGCAATTTGATGATCTCAAGCGAGGTATGCGCGTACGGTACGCGGAGCTTTGCCACGATACCGAGCACTGCCATGAGCGCAATCTGGAAGGATAGCCCACTTGCCCACCAGATTGGTAGAGCAATACCCCACTTGTACGTGTAGGCGGCTGAGAAGACACTTTCATTGATCCACATCCTATATCAATCCATCATGGTCAACACATATACTTCAGGTCACTGCCCTCGAACTTACCAACTCGAGAAGACCGCTGAAGCCGTCAATCCAGTCCCAACAGAACGATTTGCGACCATGAACATCTCGGAATGATCGCTGTCCTCCGCCAGGTACCTCTTCTGTATGCGAACAGCCGCCATGATAATGAGGCAGAACAGCACCGAAAGGCCAATGATAACGCCATAGCCGTCGGCCTGGGTGAGAAGTTGCACAGCCATCTTGGGGATTACAGGAGAAATACCACCGAAAGAGTGAGTTGGGAAGACATATTCCTACCGGGTGCATCTTCGAGGTACTTATACCACGATATACCATGGCGTCCACCATGCAGAAGTCGCGCCTCCAAAAAGGCGACATGTGGAATCCTCAATCGTAGCGCTGATACTTACGGAGTACCGCCGTACCACATGCCTTTGTGTAATGACTAGCAAGGTGAAATTCTCTGATAGTTGAGCATGAGGCCATTTTATTCGCTGACATACCTATATGAAGGGAAATCGCGTGCTCACGTGGTGGGGAAGCACGATTGCGTTATGCGGCTTTCGCAGCACGCCATGAGACGTTGAAGCGAACAGCTTGATAGACCCTTTCTGCATGTGGCGAGTCGATCAAAGACTTTCACCACGTTGCCACGGTGTTTGACGATGTTCGATCAATTGCTGTAAGGAATCGACCTCGGTTCCTATTTCCGAGTCTGATGGGTTGCGAATCAATTCCCTCAGTCGACTCTTATCGAGCCCTTCGGAGCTCATACCGTATCGTGCCGGTTCAATGGTCTCGATACAATCGTACACAGTGCCTCGCTGTGAAGTGCGTGGTGTTGCTTTGTTATGTACGCCGTGCTTCGGCTGTCAGACTGGACCACACTCGTACCGAGGACCAGGTGGCCAAGAAGTATCTCAGGAGTCGTGTCGCATCTCCAGGCACCTTGCCACAGAACTTATCATTAAGGGCCTTTGATGTTGGAATAGTGACAGGTTTCCGTGGTCAATATCATTGATGAATGAGGCCACTACCTAGGGGGGGAGATGACATTCGAGAAGGCATCGAGCATACGTAACAAACATGCCAAGGAGCTCTGCCAGACATAAATTCACGTGACGAACTAGAGGTCACGTGGAACGGTGTCTAGCGAGGCTAGCAAGGCTAGCAAGGCTACCTTAGGCTCCTGGGACGCTCTGGTCTCTTCCCCCCTGGACACTTTCAAGCTGTAGGACTCTAATGCGTAGAGAACTGATTGATTGTCATGTCATGGCTAGAGAGAGAGAAATCTATGAAACAATGACAGAAATCCAACTAGGCAGCCGATTGGTGGGTAGCGCCAAGAGTGAGGCTAGGCAGCCATCCAGGCAACACTCACGTGACTGGGCAACTGCCCTGTCGCCAACACCCCCCCATCGCTCTGGCGCGTAAACACCTAATCCCTATTGGTTCAACGCTATAAACAAATTCTACCGTTTCCTATATTAATTTGGCCTATCAGCTCAGTAACTTTTTACACCTTTACACACTTTTTGCTAATTTCCCTTAAAAATATTAAATATCGTAACGCTATCTAGTGCTCGTAAAAACACTCTCTCTGATGCTAATTTTAAGCGCTCTAATTAGTCGAGAAAATTAGTACATAGTTTTAAAAAACTCGTCGGATTTAGCCTTTTCAGCCTTAGTTGCGCTTCTATGTAGACTACGCCCTTTTACCTACGCTCTCTTTCTCTATAAGGATAGCGGCGGTATACGCGTAAAAACCTATAATTCCTAGTCCGTAGGAGCGCTATTCCTTTATCCTCTTAGGATATCTTGTAGTCGTCGTATTCCTAGTTATCGTCGAAATCTCTCGAACTTAGGCTATACTAGTAGTTTCGTTATACTATTAGCTACTATATCGTCTATCCGGATATACTTAAAAGCGACTATTTCGTTAGCGACCTTCTCTTTTATATAGTGATACTAAAACTCGATATAACGAGTCTTTAGCTATATTAAACCTTACGCTATCGTAATAGTACTAGTACTATCCCTATAGATAAACGTTAGATAGCCCTTCTAGAATCTACTTAATTCGAGTATAAATTATCGTAAATAGATAGCTTCTTTTATCGCTATATACTCTATAATATACTTAGCTTTAGCTATCGACGTCGTAGTTATTCTCTACTTTCGCGACGTCTATAAAATTATATCGCTAGCTAGCTTAAAAATATAGCTTAATATCGATCGTTTATCTATTAAGTTAGAATCTCTTTAATTACTATTAGAATAACCCTTAACTTATACTATCTCGTTACCTTTCTAGTAGAGAATACCTTAGTCGGCGGTTCCTTTTAGATAGTAGAATAGATATTTTATATATTCTACCGCAATCGACGATAGATTAGTATTATATTGTATTAATTTCGAGACGATATAGACTATATTAAGATATATTTCTAGCGTTAACTATTTAAATAATTCTATTTATTCCTAGAATTGTTTAACTATCGCTTTAGAGTAAGGATCTTTAAGATCGCGTAGTTTTAATACTACTTTATTATTAAACGATATCTTAATAGTCTTATTGTTTAGGAATCTATATTTTTCGAGAATATTATTTATATAGTCTTCTTAATAGATAAAAATATATTATCTCAATAGCTATAATACTTAGATATCTATAAATATCTTTAGATTACTAATATCTTATATCTTATAAGCGCTTAATAGCTATTATTTAGTCTATACTATCGTTATCTTTAATTAAGTAAATAATACTAAATTATCTACGTAGAGAAGAATAATTATACCCTTCGCATTAATATAAATAGAATAATCTTCCTAGTATTATTTAAAACCTAGTTCCTTAAGTTTCTTTAAAATATTCTACTACTACTCTCGCGGAGATTAATAAAGACTAAATATAACTTTAAGAATTCGATAGACAATACCCTTCTTACTATAGCTATATAAAAGTTTTATATAGACCTTCTCTACTAATCTAGTATTAAGAAAAGCGTTGATTATATTTATTTATTCTATCTCGAGATCTTTAATCGCTATAATAGTTAATAATAGTCGGATAGAACTAGATCTAGCCGTTGTAATATAGACGTCGTTATAGTCCTATTCTTTAATTTATTTATTGCTATAGATAATTTATCTCGCTTTCTTACGATCTAGCTTTTTAACTAGAACCTAATACCCTAATAATATATTTATACTAAGATAGTATTGAACTTCTTACTAGGTATTAATAGCGACGTATTCCTTAATTTATACCGTAATTATCTAATACTATTCCTCTCTATTAGAACCATTAATAGTATCCTTATAAGAGAGATTTCTTAGATCTATAACTACGCTAGTATTAAGAACCGCGCTTATAATTACATTCTTAATTACTTTTCGAGTAGAATATCGCTAACGCTCTCTATAATATAGTTCTAGCTTCGAAGATAGCGGAGTTTATTTTACCTTTATTATATTAATTTCAAGGTTTTCTTCCCTATAAAATAATAAGTATAATACTTTAGAAGTATCCGTAATATTTTTATTTTCGTTAAAATCCTTAATCTCTACGATAGATTCCTTAGAATAACTCTTATCGTTTATCTTATTTATTATAATATTCTACGTCTCTAGAATCTATTGCTTTATAAGATTATAAATATAATAGATATACTATCCTCGTCTATATCTAACTAGGATATAAGACTTTTCTTTATTAATAAGCTTACCTTTATATTTTTCCTTTAGTATATAGATAAATACTTTTAATCTAATAATTTATAAATAAAATAAATTAGATTTAATATTATTAATCTTCTTAAATAAAGTCTTTCTTTCTAATAGTCTTAATAAGCTACGATTTTAAAGGTATACTACCGTCGCCATTAACTTCTTTTATAAGAACTTTAGTAGATAAACGTCTTTTATTATAGCGCGTACTTTACTTACGAGAGTTTAATTTATACGCTTCGTAATACCATTAGACTTAGGGCTATAGCTAACTATTAGCTCGCTAGAGATACCTTAATTCTTTAGGTATCTCTATAGAGTAATATTTAGATATTCCCTTCCTTTATCGTTATAGACTACTTTAATTAGATAATTAGTGTTAGACTATCGCTATTAGTACTCTTTTATATAATAAATAGCCTCGTCTTTTATCTTTAGAAAGTAAATTTATATCTAACGCGTAAAATTATCGACGATAACTATAGTATAACCCTATAAACTAATAATATCCTATAAACTAGATAAGTCGATATAGATTAGGCCTCCTCTAATAGTTACTCTACTAGACGTTACTCTATTTCGTGGAGATCGCGTCTAATTTATAAGGAGATAATAGTCGTATTTATAATCTATAGAACCTTTAAAATTTACGCCGTTAGCGATATTACGTAACTTCTCAATATTATCTATTCCTAGATGGTTTATCCGACGATACTAGATACGCGCTATATCCTTACCCTCTATCGCTAGAGCTATAGTTATATCGCGTAGTTTCTAGTAAAGTTACGATTACGCACTAGTTATCTTTAATAGATAAACCCTACTAATCTATAAAATCGATGATATCTTATCGTTATTCTTATATAGATTATCGAGTATATCGCTAATATCTTCGAATACTATCTCTATATCTTATTCTTTTAGGGATATAATATTAAGAAGATTGTAGTTAAGATTTAGTATATACTAAACCTTATTAAATCGAATACTTACGACGTCGTCGTCTTTTAAGTAATTAAGGATAATATCTCTATAGCCCTTCGTATAAACTTTCTCGTTATTTACAATATTAATAGCTATCGTTATAGCTCTATAATTAATATAATTATCTCGTCGATATATTATATAATAAGAAGCCTCGCTATCTAGTATATAGACTTACTCTTTATCTTTAAGACTCTCTTAGTTATAAGGATTAGCTTTTATAGTTATAATATAACTATATCTATAAGCTACCTTTATAGTTTTAATCTCGTTATTCTAAAACTAGTATTATAGAGATTTTCTAATAGCTTTAACTATATCGTTAAAACTTATTTATATTATTATATTAGTAGTTCTATTTATATCTTTATTACGATTCTTACTTTTCGAAGCCTTCTACGAACTACTTTATATTTTATTACTCTATATTATATTTTATAGATTTAAGCGATAATTAGTCTATTTATAATTAAAGATTTTATAAGTAATATACTCTTCTTAATATTATTCTCTCTTAAGCTTTATATCTTTATCGTCGTTATTATACTTATCGCTAGACGAGTTCTTATTCTTATTCTTTTTATTGGAAGATAAGTTATCGTTATTATACTTATTCTAAACCTTAAAGGTAACTTCTATCTTCGTATTTATTTTCTTTTAGAGTTCCTTAAAGAATATTAACTAAATAATCTCGTCGAATAATCTCGTACCCTTATTTATAGATAAAAGCTATAAAGTTAAAATCTCGAAGGAATCTCTAATCTTATTAATAAAGATTATCGATTAGATATTATCGCCTAAAGAATATTTAAGTGTAATAAGGTTAGACTAGATTTACTTTATTTTATTAATATATTTTTTAAGGCTATTATAACTTTAATAGATAATAATATTAATTAGTTCTATTTACTTATAAATTAATATAAATCTCTATTACTTATATATTTACTCGAGATATTTTTAATAATCTTTAATATTCTTCTCCTTACTAATAATAGTTTATATATAGATATTATAAAGATTATAGATAATATCTAAAGCCTTTTCGCTAGCTTTCTAATATTCCTTCTATATCGTAAGAGCTACTTTTCTCTATTTAACTCTCGCGCTATTTATCTTCTAAGAAAAGAAAGTATTATCCTTATTAGGCTATTCTTCTTCGTCGATAAGTTATTACACGATATAAGCCTTTCTCTTCTTAATATTTAGTTTATTAAGATTTAGTGGCTCGTCGTTAAAAATACTACTTAAATATTCTTTAGTACGTAGTTCTATCTTAGTCGTTAGTATCTAAGTAGTATAGTTACTCTTACTCTTTAGGATAGTTCGCGCTTTATCTTTCTTTAATAATCCCTTTATAACTACGTTAGTTATAATATATTATTATTAATACTACTAAACTAAATATTTATCTAATAGCGAAGAATTACTACTCGAACCCTAGGTTAATAAGCGAAAAATATCTACTAAGATTAATTACTTTAACTTACCGTAGAACTAATAATAGCTTATAGTATTATGTTTCTACTTTTTCTTAATTAATCGCTAGTAAAGGAATTAGTCGAGAAGATAAGGAGAATACGTCGTTAAGTAGATCTTATATAATTAATAGGGTAGGATAAAGTTATACTCGCTACCATCTCTATATAAGCGGGGTTTCGAGATTTAGCCTCTAACCGAGGTCACGGCCCAATTCGAGCGTTTCTTAAGCGCCACGCCTTCTCTAGACGCCTCGTCGGCCTCGAAACCTCTGTAAAAGCGATAAATTGATGTCAGCAACACTACAATTAGTCGCGTAAGGAGCTCATAACCTGTAGGACTCTAATGCGTAGAGAACTGATTGATTGTCATGTCATGGCTAGAGAGAGAGAAATCTATGAAACAATGACAGAAATCCAACTAGGCAGCCGATTGGTGGGTAGCGCCAAGAGTGAGGCTAGGCAGCCATCCAGGCAACACTCACGTGACTGGGCAACTGCCCTGTCGCCAACACAAGCCAACACAGCCGCGGCGAGGTGGTCATTGCCGAAATCTCTAACGACCAACCAAGCAGGCCATAGCGCAGCAGCCCACAGTCCGAAGTTGATGTACACGCCGCCGACCTGAGCGAAGATCGTGATCGAGTTCAGCCCATAACTCACCGCCTGCCACGCGCTTTCCGTTCCCCTCAGCAATGCGGCATACCGGATGACCTCGCCCGGATCGATTGCCAACTGACCCATCAGGAAGTAGCAGAACAGGTAGTTGATCTGGAAGCCTGCGGTCAACAGCAAGTACGGGGCAAATGCGTGGCCGAATCCGCTACTACTCCAGTCATAGCTTGGCTGGGTGTGACGGAACCGCGTTACCAGGACCGTCGCCCAGATCCACCATGCACCTTGCAGAGTCACTATGACCGCGAACGCGACTCGGGACCTCGTCTTCAAGTTGATCGCTGTCCGGTCAAGCCAGGCTCCGAGAAGGTTTCCACAAGTCACGGCAATGATGCCGGAGAGGAATGAGCCGAGCGCCCTTGCGCGCACACTGAACCAGAGTGACAGGTAGGTGAAGAAGACGGCTTCAGCATACACTGCTTGTCCAATGAACAGCACCAGCAACAGAAACTTCTTGTTGAAGAACGTCTTGGTCATCAATTTAACTTCCAGCCACGGATGGTTGAAGATGCTCAGGTCGACCTTGACTCCATCCGTCCTCTCCACCTTGCTCGGACGATTGAGGAGCAGCGCCACAAAGGGGCCGCAAGCCTGCAACGCGATGAAGATCAGGTACACGGTGTAACTGACCTTTCCCGCCTGATCGCGATCTGAGTTGAGGCCCAGGTTGATGGCGCCGCCCAGGATTTGACCTCCAAGTCGATATGTCAACCAGTATCCCAGCACTCGGCCCCTGTTGTATGGTTCGGGGTATGCCAACGCGATGGCCGCCTCGGCTGCCCAGAACACCCCGGCACTGATTCCGCAAAGGGCAGCTCCGACAAGTACGAGCCACTCGGTTCCAAACCGGTTGTTCGTGTACAGCCCCGCCGCGTAGGGTGCGTAGCCCAGCGTTCCGAATATCAATGCTCCCTTGATGCCGATGTACTTTGTGAGGATGGACGAAAAGAAGCACGAAACAACCATGAGACAAAACGTCAGTGCATTCGCCGTGTTGACCAGATACGGCTTCTGCGCGCCGCCCGCGCCCAGGGAGTTCATGGCACCCCATATCCCCGGCGCCGCGAAATTGCACAAGCCGAGAATGGTGGCATTGTAGAAGGTGCTATGGTACCAGCGAACTACACCGACATGCTTAGCAAGACAGAAGAGAGAAGAAAGGAGGGTGGAATTACCGGGATGCTTCTCAACCGATGCTTCGTTGACATCTTGAAGTTCGACGTGTTTCCCTTCCGAGGTACGGCGAGACATGTCGAAATTATTGAATTAAGCTGCCTTCCGGCCAATTCTTTTCGAGTATGTATGTGTTGAAGTCGTCCGTACGCATGGAACCAAGGGGCTTATGTACTACGACAAAACTCGTCGCGCCTCTATGACTGGCTTACCACAAGCCTCCTCGGCGAACGCCTGAACTGCAGCGTACCCTGGCAATACTAGTAAGTATTCGGAGACAAGAGATCGTTCGTGCAGTAGCTGTAAAGCACGCCATACTGTACCGACAAGAGGCAATTCTTCTATCGACCATGTGCAAAACGTGCAATGTTCCTTCTCCGGCGGTACCTCCTTGTCGCTGACCACGATGCCACCATGGGCCCTTATCATACTGTGTATAGTGCCGGAGCAAATGCCACGTTTTCGATCAATTATGACCCCTGTTGAAGATCAGCTCATCATTAGCGGGTCATATTGCACCATCTCAGAGTTTTTTGTACTACTGTCATAGCCTACGAGATACAGTAGGATTCAAATGAGGGCATCTCCATGGTCACAAAAGAAGCCAAGGGACCTTCCATTACCGACTACCACTTCCGGCCAACCGATATCAGAACCCTCTGCTATTCCGACCCTGTATCGTCGCTTTTGTGCTAAGATAGCTTTACTGGGTTCAAGTTCCCGATTGCAGGATGATGCAGGTTTGCCGCCTCACAATTTTACATCATCTCCTGCCCACACTGCACCCTCGCTGTTCGCCTTGATTCTGAGTCTTCGAACACGTTGGATGTCCTTTTCGTTCCGCCAAGTCAAATACCAGGTGAAAGCGCTCGCAACCCAGCTCCCTCCGATGGCACCCGCGCAAATGCCGAAGGATACCTTGTATCCATTGTGCGCATATTTGGATTGAAACAATTGCGGACCAACCACGCCCCCAACCTGGCCAATACAGGACTGAAAAGCGAGGGTGAACGCCGTACCGGTGGTTCCAATGAGGGTACCAGATCGCCATGCCCAAAATGGAATAAAGTACACGGCGTAGAACATGGTACCGAAAATGCACGCGATGTAGATTGCGACTTTCGACACATCGGTGCAGAGGACGACGAAAAAGCTCAAAGCCCCCGCGCAGATGATCATGATAAACTCTGGGCGTGTCATGTAGGCGCGGCTGAGGAACCAACCGGCAAAGATGATAGCCAGGACACTTGCTGCGGCGGGAGGGATGTTGAGAAGCTGATTGCGAGGAAGTCCGGCGAACCCAAGTGCTGTGGTAATGGTAGGCAACTGCCATTGCAGGCCGTAGCCACCCAGGTTCATCAGGACTTGAGAGACGCAGAAAGAGTATGTTCGTGGATCGCGTAATGAAGCGAGGACTTCCGCTCGGTTGAAGGCCGCATCGTCCGTGCGTGGAGCATTCTCCGTGAGACGTAGCTCGAGATATTCTTGCTCCCGAGGAGATAGCCATTTGGCGGAACGAGCCGACTTCGGATAATCAGGCAGCGCGAAGTAGACGACGCCAGCGAAAAGGATAGTGAAAAGTCCTTCGAGGAGATATACCCTGGTAGGGAACTCGTCAGCAACATGTGAGTGGTTTGCAGTATAATTGAGGACGAACCATTGCCAGCCACTGAGACCGCCTAATCCATTCATATAAGAAACCCCGTATGCGACAAGCGAACCGACGATACCGGCACAATTCTGGAATCCGAACATCCACATGATTGGCTTGCCCATTTCATCACTTCGATACCAACTGCAAAGTTGTGCGGCAAGCCCTGGGAAGAGGCCTGCCTCCATCATCCCAAGAAAGAAGCGCGCAGCATAAATACCCTGCTTGTTCTTCACCGCAGCGTGGCAGGCGAGGACCTAGTAGATTCTGGTTAGGACCCGCCTTGAACACAGGCAGTGGAAGCTTACCAGCCCCCAGGAAGCAATGATCCTGGCTTGCCAGTTTCTGGGTGTCATCTTCTTCAGGAGCAGATTACTCGGCACTTCGAAGACGATGTAGCTGATCTTTGATGAGATATTAGATGTTGCAGCATCGCAAAAGGCACCAGTACTTACGAAGTATATGCTTTGAACCCAGTTGTACTCGTCCGCGGTCATGTCAAGTTCCTTCAATATGTTCCTTGGCTGACCAACTTGAAGAACCTTCACCGTGGCCGCATTGGTGTAATCGACGTTTTTGAGCATGTACATGAGTCCAATCAGCAACAAAAAGCGACGGTCAACCTTTCGCATGACCGCTTTGTCCTCCTCTGCTGAGAATGATGACAAGACCGCATTGCGGTAATCGCGGGGTGAAGACGGAGTACCAGAGTGTATAGGATCCTCGTCAATGGAGGGAGCCTTTTCACCCGCATTGATTTCAACATCTTTCGGAAGGGAGCTCATGGCGGCGGGAATGTATATCGTAAGCCTTCCTAGGTGTTTCACGAAGTGATGATGATGAGATCAACCGGCTCAATCAATGTCAGGCTATATAGCAATCCCATGGACAGGTGACTTGTAGTGGAAGTCCGACCATGATTCCTCAACCCAGAGGAACGGTTGGGCCATTACGGAACCGATATGGCCATGCGACAACGGGCCTCGACCCTTTGGCGCCGGCCGTGCACATATCCACATCTCTGGGACCGGCTTGGACGAGCAGTAACAATGCATTGTTGGTGGATAATGTCGTCCATGTCGACATGAAGCTTGCGTTGTACTCCGCTGTGGGACAATCCAGCGAGCGGTACGCTGCCAGGGCTCTGCATGCTTGTTGACGGTATTGATCCCGACAAATGGTGGCAGGAGCAGTGAACGCACCTGAAGGTTGTTGTCTATAAGCATAGACATTGGCATGAAGCTGTATCGGTTTTGTAATGTCAAGGCTACAAGCCGTAACACTGCAAATACCTTATGGAGCTCGGTATTGTACGTACCGGATTTGCTTGCGGTCAATCACCGAAAGGATCCTGGCTGATAATGTCGATTCATCATCGAGGGCCTGAATTGCGCCATCTCAAGGCCTTGCAAGTATGGTAGGAGTATTTGGGTGGAGAGGCACACGCTGTATGGGGGTAGGGTGAAGCACGCCATGTGTATCTGCCGCTAAGACGTCCACGGACGTCCAGTGCATCGTTTATCATTGTTGTTGAAGTCTGCGATAACAAACACCCTGACTCGAAATGGGCCGAGTCGAACTGCTTGGTGGATTCGATTGGCAACGGCACGTTTCGGCTTTTCAACCTTGGGCTTTTGTGGTCCATGTTTCGCCTTATCTAACTTTGCTGTCCCAGGGCTACGGATCCTGCGAGGCTGTCTCGACCAAGTCATCTTTGACGTTCTGGTCGTAGACGTTGTACTTGTACTTAGCGCCAGTGTGGTCATCTCTTAGGCCAGCCTGGCCGGGCCCGTACACCTTCTCCCGTGCCGTCAACGGTTTGTCGTCAACAGATCGTGCCTCAGGATATATGCCCCGGCGTCTGAGCTCAGGAATGAGTAAATCAACCACGTCCTCAAACGTTCCAGGCGTCGTTATGTAGGCCAGGTTGAATCCGTCCACGTCTGCTTCTTCTACCCATCTCTCCAACTCATCCGCAACCTGCGCAGGGGTGCCTATGCCAAGGGGTCCTAGGCCACCGATTGAAGCTTTCTCGGACACCACTCTCGGTGTCCAGCGTGGTATGTCTGCGGATGTAGTTGTGAAGGCGTCGAGAATGCTCCTGATCTTGTGCGCTTCCTTCGAGTCTTCTGCAGTGATATCTTGATCCAGTGGTATCTGGGAAATGTCGACCCCTGTCCATCCCGAGAACAAGACGAGGCCACCGATCGTAGAGGCATGTTTCTTTGCCTCTTCATACTTTTGCCGTGCTTCTTCTTCAGTCCGGCCAATGATGGGAGTGAACGTAGCAACGAATTTGATGGACCTTGGATCGCGTCCCTGCTCTTTCGCAAGCTTTCGGATATTGTCAATCTTGGGCCGCAGTACAGCTGGACTATGTGAGGAGACGAAAATGGCCTCCGCGTGAGTGGCTGCAAACGCTGACCCTGCTGTAGATGTACCGGCTTGGAAAAGGAAAGGGGTACGTTGGGGCGAGGGGTCCACGATGTGCCGAGTGTCGAGATTGAAATATTTGCCATGATGGTGGATCGTGCGTATTTTGTCGGGGTCGATGTATGTGTCTGTTTCAGGGTCTGGCGACAGTGCATCATCTGCCCATGATCCCTCCCAGAGCCTAGAACATCGATCAATCAGTATTGCATGTAGTAGCAGCTCTGGAACTCCACGTACTTGTAGAGCACCCTCAAGTACTCATCTGCTTGGGCGTATCTTTCGTCATGCTCAATCGGGGTATCAATGCCAATGGCTTTGAATGCGCTCTTCTTCCAGGAAGTGACGATATTCCATCCGATACGCCCCTTGGTGATGTGATCAAGCGTGGAGAATCGTTTTGCCAGGAGGAATGGTGGCTCGAATGAGGTAGAAGCTGTGATCCCGAATGCTAAGTGCTTCGTGACACTTGCCATGGCTGAAATGGGCTAGCAAGTGCAAGTCAGGTCAAGTTCCTCTCCGGGGCTTTTCTGGTGAGCATGGTGACTTACAATTGTGGGATCCAGCATAGGCCACTGAGCAGCGCGCCTGATGCAGTTGTCCTCACTGTCTTCATAGGTACTGTAAGATCCATAGGTGTCGGCGAGAAAGAGTGCATTGATCTGCCCACGCTCTAAGATCTTTGCAAGCTCGATCCAGTACTCGAGGTTTCGTTTTGTGCTGGAGCGATCCTTGGGATCCTAGAAAATATATCAGCACCGACGAAGCTGTTGCACTGTCGAACCAGCACACCCAAAGAGCACGAGACCGCGGCTTGCGGACGTACCTTCCACTGTCCAGGGGAAAGATGGCCAACCGTAAACATATCAAAGGCATTGAGAATCAGCTGCTTCTTGGGGGTGGCTCCATCGCCGGCTGTTGCTTCAACAGATCCCATATTGCCCGCGTTCTTGGTGGTATATCGGCAGTCCCCAACGCGCCGAAGCCCAGCAGCAATGTGAATTGTTAGAGCCGTTGAGAGATGATATTCTCGGGGCACGAAAAAGACCGGCTTTCTCACACGCCTCGTGAAGGAAGATGTGCATTGAGCACGGAGGTGCCGCGATAGCCGAGAATGACCCCTGTCATGGTTGGAGCCCTTAGGGGAGCTGTACGGAGAACTATGGATTCATGAATCGTCGCTGCATTTTGCTGTCATACGAGGGGTGTACCCTCTGAGTACTCCGTACGCGATACAAGAATGGCGTCAACTTGTGGGGCGCGCGCGTGCTGTGCTGCTGGCGCGCAAGTCCATCGCCATTCTCGACTCCCGGAGCATGTGCAAACATGATCGTCCAATACCATGGTGGATGCATCGATGATACGAGGGAATATTGTTGAACCTGATAAGTGGAATGGAGACGCGGCTGAAAATTTAGTGAACTCGAGACAAGAGTGAACATTGTTGTAAGAAGCAAAAGGGCAGAGGAATAGAAAGAGATAGAGATAGAGATGGCAGCAGTCGACGGGATCCCGGCGCAAATCGAAAATGCAAAGTTAACAAACTTGACAAACTCGACAAACTCGGTCGGCAAACATGACAAACAAAACAACCTCAACGGCCTTGACGACGATGCTGTTGGCACTTTGGATTCCTCCGAACCAGAAGAAGTGGTAGCGATTTTGCCAAACGGCATCACTCCAGGGCAAAAAGGTCCCGAGGTGTTGATATTGCCGGCAGACGATCCAGCAACGCCAGGAAACACCGTCCACCCATCATATCCTGCCTCAAACCTCGAGCTCCCCGATCACCACATTGACGAAGTCCGAAGTCTGCGAGTCGCCGTCATTGGAGCTGGTCTGTCAGGAATTCTCGCAGGGATACTGCTACCCGCCAAAGTCCCCAACATCCAGTTGACCATCCTTGAGAAGAACACCGACGTGGTAAGTGAGCAATATTCAGAGAGATCTCCGGCGACCCTTGCTGACTAGAGCACCACCAGAGTGGCACATGGCTGGAGAATATCTATCCGGGAGTGCGATGCGATATCCCCGCGCACGTCTATCAATCAACGTTCAGCCCCAACACTCAATGGTCACAACAGTTTGCCGAAGGCCACGAAATCCGTGACTACTGGCAAGCACAGGCACGAAAATACGACGTGTACAAGTATGTCAAGTTTGCGAGAAAGGTCAAAGACATCGCTTGGGACGATCAAAACGCCGAATGGACCATCACCGGGACAGATCTGAGCAAGGAAGAACAACCGTTCGAGGAGAAGGCAGACTTTGTACTCACCGCCATCGGCCGCTTCAACGACTGGCGGTTGCCGAACTACCCTGGGGTAAGCGAGTTCCAAGGACATCTACGACACGCCTCGAATTGGGACAAGAACTTCGATCCCACTGGCAAGAGCGTGGCGATTATCGGCAATGGCGCCAGTGGGATCCAGCTCGTTCCAAACCTGCAACGAGTGGCGAAGCACATTGACCATTACGCCCGGAACAAGACCTGGATCGCCGCATCCTGGGCGGGTGACGAGCGGACCTTCGAACCGCAATGGTATTCTGAGGAGCAGAAGAAAGCACTCCTTGACCCGGACGAATACCTCAAGTTCCGCAAGGAGCTTGAAGCGAAATACTGGCGTCGCTTCGCGTCGACGTTCCGCGGCGCGCCGGAGAATGAAGCCATGCGACAGCGCTTCATCGAGATCATGACCGAGCGAGTATCTCGCAAACCCGAGTTGATCAAAACGTTGGTGCCGGACTTCAATCCAAACTGCCGGAGACTTACCCCTGGTCCCGGGTACCTGGAAGCCATCACCGCCGACAACGTCAGTTTCATTCAGGACCGCATCCGCCGCTTCACCAAGACCGGCATTGAGACGGTGACCGGAGAGCACCGCGAGGTGGATGCTATCATCTGTGCCACGGGCGCTGCCATCGACTTCATCACCCCCTTCAGCATTCGCGCTCACGGCAAGAACCTTCAAGATGTTTGGCGACCTCGCCCGGCGGAAGAACTCGCCAAGAACCCCGACTATCACGGTTGGCCGTACACCTACCTCGGCCTGGCCGTGCCAAACTTCCCGAACCTGCTCCTCATCCATGGGCCTCATGGCGCAGGACCGTCCGGGACGGTTCCACACAGCGTCGAAGTGCAATTGACGTACTTCGCCAAACTCCTGCGAAAAGTGTCGTCGCAAGGCATCAAGACCGTTTCTCCGTCCAAGAAAGCCGCAGACGACTTCGTGGCCTACGCCGACGCCTTCTTCCCCAAGACCGTGCTCACCGACAACTGCAGCTCGTGGGCGAACGGCGGCAGCCCAGGCCAGCGCATCCACGGCATCTGGCCCGGCAGTGCAGGACATGTGACGCTGGTCAGGAAAGAACCGCGCTGGGAGGATTGGGAGTATGAGTACTGGCACGACAGCGGAAATCGGTTCGCAGGGTGGTTTGGCAACGGCTGGACGAAGAGGGAACGAGAAGAGGACTCGGACATTGTGCCCTACCTGCGGAGAGAAGGCGAGGTCGATCTCAAGAGCCTGCATGAGGAGTGGTGGAGTTGGCCCTGAGGTGCATAAGACATGCTCGGCCTGCATCAACGTCCTGTGGTTGACACGATAGATTTTATGGCTGCAACTATGGTCCCAAAAATCCCCAAAGATGCAGTCGTCTATACTTCTATACTCTAACGGCAATCCTCCCGCCACTGACCTCCCCTTTCCTCATACGGTCCAACGCAGCGTTGACGTTGTCAAGCCCTTCTTCCACCCCCAGAAGCCTCGGCGGCTCTAGTAGTCCCTGCTCCAGTAACTTCTCGAGCCAGATCATAAGTGCCTCACCGAGTTCCGGCACCTCATGAAACAGCTTGATCGGAACGGCGTGGAATTTGACGGATCCCGAAGACGTTTTCGGTAGCCCGGTCAGGCCGATTAAATGTGTCGACGTTCTAGGCGTCGAAGCCGAAAGTGAAATGGAAGAGGCAGGTGGTGTCGCCGGCGGCGTAAACACGTCCTCGGACGGAAGGTTGGTCTTCTCTGCAAATTCCGGGCCAAGAGATTGAAGAAGGTACTCGGCTGTTTGTTTTCCCACCGTGTCGATACCAAAACGTAGATTGCCGTGTGCGGATGCTCTGACTATCTCAACAGCTCGCTGAGGATCGTGGCTGTCAACAATAACGTCTGGCCGTGACTGGCTCGAGGAAGAATGTAGCCAAACGCTGTGTTTGCGCGCGTCGAGGATGCTGATGGTTCTCAATCCCATCAATCGTGCTAACTGATTGACAATGAATGCAGTTGTGCTCGATCCGCCCCAAATAGCCAGCCAGTCACCCGGACTTGCTCTCTCTGTCTCATCGATGCCGTCGAGGCATTCGCTACGGATGTCCTTGGCTAACCGTGAAGAGTCGAGGCTCCGTACCACTGACAGCAAGTTCGGACCGCCCAGGACGCTGTTAAAATCAAGCCCAGCACAGATTCCTAATGAGATGGCTGCAGCAACGAATGCCACCCCTAGGACGGATCCAGACTCGGCGGTGAGGCGACTAGGCAGCCTTGCTAGGTTGTAATCTGTTGCTAAAACATACTGCTGGAAGGCGGCTTTTCGAAGATCGCGGTAGTCCGTAGAGATGACAATGACAATATCGCCTATCTTGAGACGTGTGTTCTTCTTGGACACGGTTACCACCTGACCAACGAGTTCGCGACCGGAGATATAAGGAAGGGTCGGAATTCCAAAATTGTAATCCGGGGCCTTCCAATCTATGGGATTGAGACCGAGGACGAGATTCTTGACGAGAACTTCTCTGTCCTCCAGGGGGGCTGGTATACCATGATCTTCAACTGCAGCATAGGGCTGTCGAGGGCCATGCAGTAAGAGAGCGATTTGCTTTTCCGGAATAGGAAGAGCCGTGGGCGTAGTCTCCTTTGGATTGTCTCGCTTCTCGACAATGGCAGGCGGTATACGGGGTTCAACCACCTGCTTCCTCCCTGCACCAAAGATTCGTAGGAAGGCCATGGCTACCGGGTTGATCAGAGACTTCACTTAGGGTTTCGATAAGTACATGAGTTGTCGACACAATCACATATGAGAGGAAGTCACCCGTTTCCGCCGTCACTCCTGTTCCGATCTCGTAAAATTTTCACAGGATTCAACTGGTATCATTTTCGCCATATGGTTTCCGAAAGTTGTCAAAATTCGTATCGATCAGCTTCTGCCCTAGAGCCGATTCTGCTTCTCGGACTGCTCTACCAAGGCGTCTGACGATCGCGATAAGTGAGTAGAATTTTTGGTCTCCTAGTCGAGCACGACATCGCTCCGCAGGAGACCTCTTACGCATGCCAGCACGTGCGTTTTCGGACATTCGCGTGCTGAGAAGACACGAGTATCGTGGGCCATCATTGACTGGAATGATAGAAGTGCCTCCAGAGGATAGCCGATACCCACGAGGGGGACCCAGGTATCTCGGCAAGCAAGCAGTATTGCTGGAACGCTGGTGTAATATGGAGTAGGTGAATCGATACTTGTAATGACAGCGGAAATTGTTCCTGAGCCGCAGTTTTCATTGACTTCCCTAGTAAATGGCGTGATATCTTGCTGTGATGGCGACAGAGGCTGGGCTCAAATTTCAAGTCAGAGCACAAAATCCGTGTCGACTATACAGCACATACAAAAATTTGGAGCGACTGGCGGCATGCCCTCCCGGGTTGGGGACAGTAAAGCAAGCGAAGGATTGCCAGATGAGAGCGATGGAAATCCACCAGTCACGCTAGGGCTTTGCCACAACCACAGAAGGCCCCAACATGATAGAGACAAGTACAGCCCGAGATTTGTACCAGTGATGTAGGTTTATCCTCATGGTCTCATCGAAAGCATGCGATCTTTTGGACGGATCGGTATGACCTGAGTAGGTCGACGCTCTTCTGAAGTTGAGAGGCTGTTTGGTTTGGCCACCCAGTATTGCAACTTCTCTAGGATTTCGGCTGGTTATTCCAATTGCTATTAGAGCAATTTCGAAGGAGAAGTCTGCTCCAAAACTTTATTGAGCATTGCAGGCATGCATCAGCGCATGCTTCAGTGGGAATCAAAACCGATCAGTAGTGGATGTGGATATGGCGTGCTGGATATGGCGTGCTGCATGAAAGGATGGCGTGCGAGTCCGGATAAACTCCGCATGGCGACATGCAACAACGACAGAGTCCAGGTAAGTTCGCCAGTAGTGGCACCCTGGCTCATTCATCTGAAGAGACAGGTTCAGGTTGTTTTTGAAGAGTTGTAGCTCGAGTAGAAGACAGAGACTTCCCAAGCTACCGAAATACCAAGATGGCGACGGTCACCAATGGCCACACGGAGGCACCAAAGACGAATGGCTCGAGCAGTACCGTCACACACAACGGCACCAAGAAGTCACAGGCATGGATCCTCAACGCCTTTGCCATGAACACCCCATGCCATCTGTCACCAGGGCTCTGGCGACACCCACGGAATAGGACGACCGAATATAAGAAGCTGAGTTTCTGGACAGACCTGGCCAAGACTCTCGACGAAGCCGGATTTCATGCTCTGTTCCTGGCGGACGTCCTGGGCTGTTATGACGTTTACAAGGGACCGGCTAACCATGGCCCAGCCGTTGGTGTGGGCGCGCAATTTCCCGTCAATGATCCCTTGTATCTCGTGCCTGCCATGAGCGCCGTCACGAAGAACTTGGTGTTTGGGATTACGGCGAGCACAACTTATGAGCAACCGTATTCGCTGGCCCGGCGGTTTTCAACGGTCGACCACTTGAGCGAGGGCCGGGTTGCCTGGAATATTGTGACGTCCTATCTCGACAGTGCCGCGCGTAACTTCGGTTTGACCGACCAGGTCGAGCACGACAAGCGATACGCCCTCGCCGAGGAATACATGGAGGTTTTGTACAAATTGTGGGAGAGCAGTTGGCGAGATGATGCTGTGGTCGAAGATAGAGAGACCGGCATTTGGGCTGTGGCGGATCGTGTCAGGCAGATCAACCACAAGGGCGAGTTCTTCAGCGTCCCTGGGCCGCATATCTGCGAACCTTCGCCACAACGAACCCCATTTCTTTTCCAGGCGGGTACCTCAAAGACAGGCCGTGCTTTTGGTGCGAAACATGCAGAGGTGATCTTTGCTGGCTCTCAGTTGCCAGAGAAGCTCCGCCCTTCTGTGGACGCCATTCGCCAATTGGCCCAGGAGCAAGGTCGCGATCCTTACCATGTAAAGGTCATCGCCAGCATGTGCGTCATCGTGGACGAAACCGATGCGGCTGCGCAAGCCAAGCACGACGAGTTACTCTCATACGGCAACAAAGAAGGCGCTTTAGCGCTCTTCGGGGGCTGGACCGGTGTTGACATGTCGGCCTACACCGATGACGAAGACTTTAGATTTGTCAAGATGCCCATGATACAGTCGATCGTGAATGGTTGGACGGATACCGTTCCTGGCAGTAAGGATCTGAAGTGGAACAAGGAGAGGATTGCCGAGTATTTGATCCTGGGTGGATTTTCTGCAAAGGCGGTTGGGAGCCCAAAGACTGTGGTCGACATACTCGAACAATGGGTCGAAATTGCTGACATTGATGGATTCAACTTATCCCATGTCACGAACCCTGGCAGTTTCGAAGACATTATCCAGTTTGTGTTGCCAGAGCTCAAGCGTCGAGGTCATTTCAGGTCTCCGCCGCAGAGAGAAGGTGAGACAGCTCGAGAGCAGTTCTTTGGTACGCCATGGCTGCTTGACGACCATCCTGGACACAAGTATAGATGGCGGGCACCTTCCTCTGAGTAGTTCAGTGAGGAATCGCATTCGAGGCCACTCGTCACAATTCCAAGTCTCGCTCTGGGGTTGACACGCACGAATTGGCAGCACTCCTAGGTAGACTCGTTCAAGGAAAGCATTTGCATAAAGCCAAGAATGAATATCGAAAGCCCGGCAGGTGTTGAAATCTTGCACGTTGCGATAGGACTGCACGACGACCTGCTCAAGAACCATCTCTTTCAGGGTGACTTCATTCTATTACTGACCTTTCAACGATAGTGTGTTGCAGCAGCATTTTATCCAGATCATTACTTTCCCCTGAGGCATCATCGTGGCTCTTTTAGGGCTAATATACCGCCATGGAAGGGCAATGTAGTCGAGTTGAAAGTTGCGGCCGAGGTTTCGTTCGGGACGTATGTTTGGAAATGAGGAGATCTTGCTGCGTGATGGAATATATCCAGTCATGCTGGGCGCCGGCAGAGAGGTACTTCGACGGGTTCGTGGATGGGTCTGCTCTACACTCGATGTGACGGGGCCAACCACACAATGGTGGCATCGGGGGCCGCTTGTGGGCTTGCAGAAGGAGAAGGCAGAGGCATTGTGAGGCCGTCGACGTCGTGGACGGTGTGGACCTGGTGGACTGGTGAGTGCAATGGGATCTTGCGCTGCAGAAGTACGAGGCGGAGGGATCAGTGGCCTTCTCACAGCCAGCCTCGTGGTTGCCGAGGCTGCGAGGCTGCGACGCCGCCAGGCTGAAGTGAACTGATCGATCAAACCACAATACGTGGGTGGTACGCAGTGGTAATTAATACGGGTAAGTCGTAGAAATTAGGGTCAAGCTGTCATTCGACTACGAACAGCAGCAAGGACAATTTGTGTGGTAGATGGGGTTCCTGACGACTGGAATGGTCAGCTGCTGCTTGGATGATTCAAGCGGCAGCTGGTTTTGCACCCCAGTTGAGCGGGTTTCAATACACGAATTTACACATGATTACCGTAGTACTGTGTTAGATCAACTGATACCTCACCTGGGGAAACTCCACATACCCATGAGAAAATTTCCCATATTTATTTGTACTTCCGCGGCCACCTTCACTTTGGTTGAAGCCTTTTACCAGAACAGAATTCACCCGACGAGGGATATGTTGACCGTCTCAGCTGCCACGAGGATTTATTGTCTTTGTCGGACTGTCCTTGCATTTGGCCAGGGAGTTTGGCCGAGATGTCCTAAGCGTAGGTAGGCAATGCTATTAACGTTGATTGCAGGGAATCTCCTCGTGCCGCGGAGCTGCTATGAAGTTGCAAGCACTGACGGACATGGACCTGTGGCAACTCTCGCAAAACGGTGGCATGATGTTCACTTTATGTTACGTACACGCAAAACACTTCGCACCCCGAATCCTGCTTATACTGACTATCTGGAAACAACTATTTATACTGCTCGTTTTCCAGCGAGAATATTAAAAGGTATCCCCCAGCTTGAAGCGAACATGCTGGCGAGAAAGCAATTCTTAAAACTGGTTAGCTCAACGAAGACCCCCACCTCGCTACGTGGTGCCATCCCGACGACCGTAACGATGACTTCGACTGCTACTTTCCATTCATCACCTCCGCGACACGAGCTAAGTGTGGAACACCAAAAGATTGTCAAATCGACAGCCCCTGTTCTTGCCGAGCATGGCGTGGCAATCACCTCTCATTTCTACAAACGCATGCTCAACAATCATCCTGAACTCCGAAATGTCTTTAACTCTGCACATCAAGACACCGGCACACAACCAGCGGCTCTCGCCCATGCCGTCTGGGCCTACGCTTCGAACATCGACAATCTGGGTGCGTTGACTACTGCCGTGTCCCGGATTGGGCATAAACATGCCAGTCTTGGAATCACCCCCGACCAATATCCAATTGTCGGTGAAAACCTCCTCGCATCGATCAAAGAGGTACTAGGTGATGCAGTCAATCAGCCACTCCTGGACGCATGGGGAGCTGCTTACCAGCAACTGGCCGATATATTCATCAACTTTGAACGAGACCTATACCAGAAAGCCGAACAGACCTCGGGTGGCTGGACAGGATGGCGCAAGTTCAAAGTCGCCCGCAAGGTCCCCGAAAGCGACGAGATCATTTCTTTTTACCTAGAGCCCGTCGATGGAGGAAAGCTGCCTAGCTTCCAATCCGGTCAGTACATTTCTGTCCGGGTGTTCGTGCCCGAGCTGGGAGTATATCAGCCTCGCCAGTACAGTCTGTCCGACACACCCGATGGGAAGCACTTCCGCATTTCAGTCAAGAAGGAATCTGCCAAAGGCCTCACCCCAGCAGGCCGCATCTCCAATGTCCTGCATGAAAACGTACCCGAGGGCGCCGAGATCGATGTCAGCAATCCCTACGGAGACTTTACGCTCGATGTGGAGACGGACGTCCCAGTCGTTCTGATCAGCGGTGGTGTCGGTATTACACCGATGCTGTCTATGCTGGGCACTCTTGTGGACCATGCACCAACAAGGAAGGTCGTCTTTGTGCATGCTGTTCGTGGTGGAAATGTGCATGCCATGAAAGACTACTTGTCCCGGATCATGAAAGAGAACCCCCAGGTCTCCCGGCTTATCTTCTATGAAAACGTCGCCGAGGCCGAGCTTGAAGGCGTCGACTACGACTACAAAGGCCGCATCGAGCTTGAAAAGGTCAGGGACAAAGTCCTACTACCAGACGCAAACTACTACTTATGCGGACCGATCCCCTTTATGCAATCACAGCAGAAGAGTCTGGAGGCTCTGGGTGTCCCCAGCGAACGGATACATTCCGAAGTGTTTGGTTCAGGCATTGCATAGACAATCATGGCTTACTGGAAGACGCGGAAGCGTTGGGATGACCTTCTGCCTGGCAATGTTACTTGGCGTATGCTTGTTCGCGCTACATCTGGTAAGACATAAATAAGGCTTTATTCAGCTGAGGGTTATTGTGTAAAAGAAGCGTCTCTGTGTTGCAATATAAAGTCGATTTTTTTTAAACCTGTTGATCGCGTGTTGGCTGCTACCTACCTGGAGGAGTTTATATATTATTCTAGGCCTAATTAATTATAAGCTTAGCATAAATCCCGTGATTACCATAAGAAAGTTCCAAGCATAATACAGATAACGCGTCATTACCAAGAATCCGACTGCTACTTTTCCAGGAATTTCGCCGCTTACAATAAACTTGATCGTTATAGCTATCTAGCAAGATCAGCACAGCCTGCATCAGTATTCTTCGAGCATTCGTTATGCTGCGATACTCTACCTGAGCGTTACTAAGGGCAGTTCAGAAACCACAGCTATGTCCGGGGCCAATGTCTTTCTCCTGCGACATGCTGAATTCCCAGCATAACGTTGACCAAAACTTTCAACGGCTTGATCCTCCATTAACGGAATCTGGGACTAAAGCTGCGGAACAACTGGGCTCGTCATTCCCGGAACCAGATTCTGTGGGCGTTGTCATGTCGTCCCCGTCGCGACGCGCGATTCAGACTGCGTTTTCTATATTCCGCAACGTCCTCGACCGGCGCTATTTTGACCCAGCAAGTGGGAACGGGGTCGAAGCAGGCGCGGTCTTCATTGTAGACCCAGATGCGCAGGAGCGGAGTGCCCTCCCCTGCGATACCTGTTCAACTCGAGAGTCCCTGCAACAAAGTTTTCCTTACATCGACTTCTCGCCCCTGTCAGATGCGGAGGACGCAACATGGAGGTCAAAGACGGGCTCCTATTCTGAGCACGACGAGGCTGTCAATATGCGAGCGATGAGACTTCGAGAGACGTTGGAAAAGCTGGTAGCATCTTGCGAAAAATCCTCGAGGCCAAATGTGGCTTTGGTCACGCATGGTGTTTTTATGAAGGCTCTGACAGACGATAGCAGCATTGACCTACCGAGACCTGGTTGGGCTGCGTACCGTATTGAAAAAGATGACGTCGGCAATGTTGTCCTTGTTGCTGCGGATTGAAAAGGATCGAATTGCGCAAGATGGGGTCATTCCGTACTCTCGAGGGCTCCAACATGTTAGACCGGTTGCTGTAAATTACGACTGCGTGAAGGGCTCCGGCAGTTGGACATGTTTGCCACACTATTGGACAGTTGAATGCGCGCGAATGCCGACCACGATACGGCCGGCTTGATGGATCATCTGCAATCCCAGGACATTGTTTGTATGCCGTTTCACGCCGCCGTCATACACATTCATACTACTGTCATACTATCCATCGCTTTCCTTCTGGTGGGACTTCTCCTGATACCAACCTCTGTTTCCCGAACAGGCTCTCTACCCGGTGACAGTCTCATAGCTTCGCCCGGAAAGGTACGTCTTCTTCACGACTCTTATCATACTTCAACCACGCCTTGATTTTCTTCCCCGTGAAATCGCCCGTGCGATGAGTTTCTCCAGGTGGCGGAACATTGCGAGGCGTGTAAGGTCCCCTAGTGAGAACGGCATTGGCTGCCGTCTCGAATTCTTCATACGCATATTCTTGTGGGTCGTGGCCGAACAGCCAGTCGGGTCGGGGCATCTCGATGGATTGCTTGTTCTTCTTGAACTCTTCCACATCAAACTTATGCCACGCGTCGCGAGTCTCGATGCCGATCTTCTGCGCAAGCGTGGCTCGAGCGTACCTAGATCGAAGTCAGTCACAACGATTGCACATCGGGCATCAACAAGAAGTCTCCGTACCGAATCTTCTCACACGTCTTCAGTGCCAGGGGCACATTGTCCTTTCCTGCCAGCTCGAGGCAGATGGCGATGGTTCCAGCATCCTCCACCGCTTGACCAGCTCCTTGACCACTCGTTGGAAGAAATGGGTGCGCAGAATCTCCGAGGAGAATCATCCTACCGTGCTTGGAGGTCCATCCCGGGAGCGGCTCTCTCCACACAAGTTTGTAGTCGACCAACTGGCTCTCTGGGGTCCATTTGACAAGATCGATGATCCGTTGATCCCAACCGTCTAACACTTTCAGAACATCAGCTATCTTGCCAGGATATGACCAGGATTCTTCGATGTTCCAAGTGTCTTTATGAGTGCAGGTCCACACGATGTCTTGCGCGTGCCGGCCTGTACCGATGATGCAGTGCACATCACGGCCAATGTACGTCTCCATTTTGTCATGCTTGCCCTCGAAGGCCCACGCCAGCTTGGGGTCTTTCCTGGCTTCTTTGCCGTCAAACCAAGCGCGGAACACCGCGTAGCCCGTTGCGAAAGGTTTGTCGGTCCGGCCAATGATGAAGCTTCTTGAGTTACTGTGGACGCCATTGCAGGCCAAAACACAGTCAGCGGCGATTCTCTCACCATTGACCACAACACCAGCCTCATTCTGATCTTCGAAAAGATCTGTGATGCGATGTCCGAGTCGAATGTCAATGCCGAGCTCTTTCATGTGCTCGTAGAAGATCATCTGGAGGTCGCCTCGGTTCCTACACAGATGAGTCTGCGTGCTCAAGGCGGATTCAACCATTTTCTTACGCTGCGTAGCCAGATCCTGCGGAGTAACCAAGCATGGTATGCCCTGTCAAATACTCTCCTGTGTGCGTGTAGAGGTTCATCCGCTGATAGTCACACAGGAATGGCTCCAGTCGGGCATGGACCTTTCCGTTGCCCCATTTGGATATGATGCCGGCAGCATTGCCTGTAATGCCTATCACGTCCCCTGTTGTGGGTTGTCAGCTTAAGAGCAGCGGTGAATGTGCGTAGGTACGAACCCAAAGCCTTGATCTCAGGGGCCTGTTCAAACACAATAACCTTGTGGCCCTTCCGATGACATTCAACAGCAGCAACAGATCCAGCATAGCCCAAGCCAATGATGATAACTGTGATGCCGCTGGAATTAGGCTGTTGAATGCCATCTGGCCCAGAGGGCCTCAACTCCTTCACAGCCATCTTTACGGCTCAAAATCTTCGGCAGGGGGCTCAGTGGCTGACCATCTGGGTCTTATCACGTTGGTCTATTGATCGCAGGCCAGCCCAATCAAGTACTAGTAAGTGAGAGCTGTGCTCTGTATGGTATCCGATGTATGGAGGCCCCGGGTTTTGGAGACCGCCCGACAGCGAATGGGCATACCTTCGGTATTGGAGTCCCTTGTGCCCAGTGGAGGAACCCACAAAAACATCCCTAACTTCTCAACGGCGGTTTCTTATTGCCGCAGCTTGTTGGATCGAACTAATTGTATGTAGCGAGGATCTGTTCAGCTTGATAAAGTGTTGCATCATGGAGCCATTGACGGTAGCTCATTCAGACGCAGCAGTAGATCGCCACTATGTCCCTCTTGCAAAGCCTCGTGCAAGACATTTCTTCCCTCGGAACCAAACTACATCAACACTTGGGTGACGACACAGGCCACCTTTACGAAGCTAAGCCATGGAAGACCTATGATCAAGAGCTTCCAGATCGACAGGCGTGGGACTTAACACAAAAACTCATCGCTGATTGCGAAGAGCTGATCGCACTACTCACACCCACCAAGATCAAGCTCGTGACAGAGTGTGTCGCCAACAACAGCACCGTCGGCCTGGGTGTTGCCGCTGACTTTCGGATAGCCGACAAGATCATTGAGAACGGAGGAGAGGCCTCCCTGGCTCATCTAGCTCGTGTCTGCAACACTGACGAGCATAAACTAGGGTGTGTTATGCACATGCTCGTGAGCAGATTCATATTCACTGAAGTGGCGCCGGATGTGTTTGCAAACAATCGGCACAGCTACGAGCTGAGGAAGGAGACCGGCGCCACCGAAATGATGTTGATTGAGTGAGTCTCGATTCTTGCCAATGGCGTTCTGGAAGAGCACCTTACTGACATCGCCACTCCCCCAATCAGAACCAACGAGGGCTATCAAGCTGGTCTAGGCTGGTTACCGGTCATGAAAGATCCCGAGCGCATGCACGAGCATGATCCTGCCAAAGGCGCCTTCGCCGAAGCCTTCCAAGTCGACATGGGCGTGCTACCGTACCTTGGAACGCCCAAGGGTGCGAACCTACTCAACAATTTCAGCATCGGTGTCCCTTGGCTCTCCGGAATCACCGTAGTCGCCACCAGGACGGACATACCCTGGGACAAGTTTGGGTCAACAGTCTGCGATGTCGGCGCTGGACCAGGCGGCGTCATGCTTGAAGTCAAGCAGAAATATCCCCATCTGAACATCATCTGCCAGGAACTGGATCATATGATACCTGTGCTGCAAGATGTGAGTTCTTGGCGTCCCAGGCCAACCCAGGGACGTTCCCAGTTGCTTTTCCATGCCAACTCGACCCGGAAGACCGGTCGTAATATTGATACTGATCCTGGGAGTTCTCTAGACGTTCAAAGGTTACCAGGCCGACCTGAAGACAGGCAAGATCAAGCTCGAAGTTCACGACTATTTCACCCCTCAAACAACCGCCGCAGACGTCTACTGGCTGAGAGGCGTAGTGTAAGTGCATTACCGCGAGAGATTCATCCTGATTGCTAGTCTTTTTTTTTTCTTGTCGCGCTGATCCTGTGTAGCCGCGACTACGACGATGAAACCTCTGCGCAGCTCCTCGCACAGCTCGTTCCCGCGCTCAAGAAGAACCCCAAGGCCAAGGTACTTGTCAATGAGCTCATAATTCCCAGTCTTCTCACGCCACGGTCCTCGGTCGAAGCCAATACGCCGGCCTCCCAACGCTTGCCTCCTAATCAGTCTGGATATCCACAGGCATGCCACATGATGCAGCTTAGCACCATGGTTCTGATGGGCGGCAAAGAACGCACGTTCGGCGACATTGTCAAGATCGGTCGCGTTGCCGGCTTGCGGGTCAGCAAGTTCCATCAGCTCCGGATGTTCACAGGTACCATCGAGTTTGAGCTCGATAACGGCGTGGCCGAATCCGGAATGCAAATGTCAAGGCTGTGAAAATTCGAAGTGGTCTATTTCTTCGGTGTCTCATGCTCGAACTTAGGTCTCAAGGATTAGTAGTGCAGCTGCTAGTACCGTTGTAATGGGATCAACCACCGACAGCAGAGAGGTTGAAAATGTGGCTCTCGATCAGACTGGACGTTGTGACTGTCCAGGCTCCATTGCCCAATTCCTGATGTTACTGGACAATATTGCAGTAAGACTCACCATTAGTACTACTTAGTAGGAGTAGTTGAACCTCTGGAAACAACAAGAACATGCTATAATGCTGGACGTCGTGATGGATAATCTCCATAACGTCCTCGTCCTGGCCCTATCAAACGTCGGGAGCACACTTATTTGACCACGTAGTCTCGAGACTCACTACGGTAGCGGTACCGGCTTGAAACACATGTGGTTCGAGACCTCAAGCCCTTCTTGACTGGATGTCTTACTCGGCTCAAACCTCCTTTTCCTGTCCCCGTGACCTTGCCGGTTGACCCCGGCATCTGAATACTAGTAGTTAGTATCTGAGCGTTCGGACTGTGCACTCCGGCCCCATGGGTGGGGTCAGTCACACAGCACCCCACACGCTCGCAGCCTGCCGGCATCGTGCAAGTTCACGTCGGCAACAGCGGCGTAGGGCAAGCTACTGTCCAGCGAGGCCGCCACGCCAATGCAGCAAAAGGAGAATACTAGTATTGGTAAGTTATACCAAGCCAGAAGCCTTATCTCTGGTCTTATTTGGGTCCTCCCAAAAGCACTCTGGGAAATAACTAATATACTAGTGCTAGCATTACCGTACCTGACGAAGTTGCGACTGACCGTCAACATCCGACATTCCTTCGTGCAAAGATGGCCGTTGGTGACAAGGTAAGAAGAGCGCCTACTAGTATTTGCCTCGAGCAATCGACTAAAGAAACAACTTGAAGCTACAGACGAAAGACACCCATGTCGTCATCGTGGGTGCCGGACCCGTCGGCATGATGTGCGCCTCGAAACTATCCAACGCAGGGATCAAAGTGACGGTATTTGAAAAGGTCAGTCAGTTCGTCTCCCGGGGCTGTCTGTTTTGGGGACACGAACGAAACTCCCTCCTCTGACAAAAGAGCGACCCAGGACGCCGAAATCGACCCTCGACCCAAAGCATTGACATACACGTAAGCTTTCCCGTCCGGTTCGGTCTGCTGTTCTCCAGACAGAAAGAAAACCCGTGCTGGCGATTGACAAATCACAGTGCCCCTGTTCTCGCAGATCTGGCCAAGCTGGGTATCCTCGAGGATGTCGTCAAGATCTGCTTTGCCGATGAGCGGGCGGTCTGGACGTGGCGGACCCTTGATGGGAGCATCCTCGCCGAGATGCACTGGTCGCTTCTCGAAGATGTACGGAGACCGGACTTGCACAAGCCGTACACTCTACAGTGCGGCCAGCATCTGTTGGCCAAGGTCTTGATCGAGTACTGTCAACGCTTTGACGCGACGACCAAAGTGCTCTTTGACCACCGACTGGTCGACCTCAAGCAGACAGACGACAAAGTCACCGTGTCCATCTCGCGCTCTGGCGAGCAGGAGCCCTTCGAGGTCGAGGCAGATTATGTCATTGGCGCGGATGGGGGCAGGTCAGCAACTCGCAAGTTGATCGGCCAACACCTGGAGGGGTTCACTTGGGGTGAAAGCTTTGTTGCCATGAACGTTCATTTCCCCTTTGAGAAGTACAACTGGGGAGCGGCAAACTTCTTGATCGGCGGAAAGGAGTGGGCTGTTGCTGGAAGAACCGGGCCGGGCAGTGACCCCTGGCGAGTAGCTTATGGCGTTGAACCAGGCTTGACAGATGAAGAGGTCCTTCAGCGAGCTCCGGAGAGACTCAAGAAGATTTTGCCGGGGCCTGACGAGTTCCAGATCGTCCAGTGTGCCCAGTACAAGGTCCATCAGCGCCAGGTGGAACAATATAAGGTCGGCAGGGTGATGCTTGCTGGCGATGCGGCACATCTCAACAATCCCATCGGTGGGTTCGGCTTGACCACAGGAATGACGGACGCTGGGTGCATCTCCGACGCACTGATCGCAGTGATCAGTGGACAAGCGTCCGAGCAGACTCTCCAAGAGGCCTGTGAGATCAGGCACGAGATCTGGGCGACCATCAGCAATCCAGGCTCTCAGAACTTCAAGCGCATTGTTCAACAGGATCCGAGCAATATTTGCCAGGAGGATATGGGCTTTTTCAAGCGACTGAATGATGACGTGGAGTTCCAAAGGTCTGCTCTGCTCGGATCTTTGCGAATTCACACACCGCTTGGGACTTTTCCCAGCCAGCGAGGAAATGAGAAAGTCTATGGGTTGGTGGATTAGAGATTTTTCAGAGAAAACAACAAAGCCTATTCTCAGATCAGGGTCGTCATCCACCGGATCGTGCATAGATCTGCATGGCCGAGCCAAGTATCGAGACAAACCCCCATGTTTCGTGCTTGGTGAGAATCGAAGCCCAGGCGCGCATTATTTCGACGGAAAGAGGTAGTGTAGATTGGCACAGCGATGGGTTCGCTTCCTGTAAAGTCTGCCGCACAAGGCTTTGGACATTCTGTTCCTCTCGTGATAGAGGTACGGCATGCTCAGCAGCTTCGAAGGTTTCCAACCATTTGCTGAGGAATAAGCCTGCCCTTGTCAGCAACAGTGGACCATAGCCCGGAAGTAGCTAGCACTCACAACCGTCGAACCACGAAGAATAAGTTTGCGGGCTCAATTCTAGGGACCATCTCCTCGTGACAACATTTACGCCAGCTTTGACGATCCTTCGAAAGGCGTGGATAGCGAAAAGAGCCGCCGTGGAAGCAATTTCCGAGCGCAGAACACCACTGCAATGACTTCTCATGGCCTGAGCAATCCCTTGCGCGTCTTGACGGCAGATGACTGTCTTCACCTTCGATGTGTCGAGAGCCAGCATCACATGAGTAAGGCGAAGCAGATTCATCGAGTCTCTTGATAGAGCACCACTCTCCAAGTTCGACCCAGATGACTCTGCAGGGGGCTCAGCTTTCGTTGCCATCACCTGCCAGTCTCGTAGGGCAGCTTGGAACTTGGCGAGCCCAGGAAGGTTTTCGGACGGCGAGGATGATTGTCGTGACTGCCAGATCTGCTGTGAAAGGGCGCTCAGGACTACGTGACAGCCAAAAGTACTGCATCGCAAGCTATTTGTGTCTGAAGCAGACATCAGACTGCGTAGCGTGTCCTGGAACGAGGCTGAGGAGAGGTTCCTCCGCTTGCTCCAGGAGGCCGTACAGTTTGCAGTCCACAATCTCTCATCGCAGGGCAAGTCCATATTAATCTCCGAGTTCGTAATTACGGGCGGCACGTTGTACGCCAATGTCAAATCGTTGAAGAATGTGTAGATGACAAACTTGGTTCGTTTCGCGGACTCCAAATCGATCCACTCCTCCCATGATAGGGAGGGGTCTTGATTATCGTCAACCCACTTTGCACCTGGGTAACTGACATAGCGAACAATGTGGCCAAGGTTGGATTGGAATGCTAGGGATTCCTGGACTGCATCGAAATTGCTCCGCCAGACACCAAAAGCCATTGTGAAGAACAGTGACTGTAAGATCCATGTAGGGCGACCCTTGGCAGTGAACGACGTCTTCTCCATCTGGTTGAGTATTGACAGCCGAGCCGCTCGGTGCAGAAGCATTGCCACGTCTTTCTCCTCGTGATATTGTGCCCCCAAGGCCGCCATTGCAAGGATCAAAGATGGCTGCGCACTCTCGGTTGTGAAAGTGGGTACATGGATGCATGGGGCATGGACCAGAAAGGCATCGAAAAAGGCGGTAATATACCTCTCCATTGCCATGCAAGAGGGCACCCTAAACGTGTCCGGTACCCTAGCAAAGCTGAAGACGGCCTCGGCATCTTGCACAATGAGGCGCCTTTTCCCATCAGAAAGGCCGAAGGAGCTTTGCACACTGTCGGGCATCAGAGAGTATATGAAGTGAGCAGGATCGGTATCGGGGATGTCAGGATCGGGGTCCACATCAGTGCCAGGGCCGCCTGCGAATGGTGCGCCTGGCTCAATAGTGCCACTATCAGGGGGACCTTGATTCAACGGTGGTGATTCGAACGAGAATTGAAGTCCACCATTCGCTTCGTCCGCAAGGATTCCTGCCATCATCGAGGGAGTATGAAGCACCTGGTTCCCATTCATGTCCCTCAAGAGACTCTCAAAATCATAATGATCCAGGGCATTCCCATCCATTGGGTGGCCAGACACTGTGTCTCCCATGTTGTCTGGCAGGTGGGCAAATTCCTCATGGTTGTGTATTGTCTCTGAGTCAAAAGGGGAGCTCTGAGGTTGGAGTCCCAACTGAGGAAGTGCCATCTGGTTCGGCGAGATGCCTGACCCATCTTGGCCTGCAACAGCAGCATCATCGTCTCCTGCGCTCTCAGCTGTCGCGGCTTTGTCAGCTGCACCCAACTCGGGGTGACTGCGAGTAAGGTGTCTTTTTACGAGATCCTTGCGCGTGAAAGTCGCGTTGCAATGGACGCAGGAGAAGGGTCGTTCCTTTCGGTGTGACCTCTCATGCCTTATGAGATGCTCCGCTCGAGCGAATGCTTGTGAACATATTGAGCACTTATGTTGGCGACGCTCTCGTGTGCCGGAAGGAGCTCCGGTTGTACTTGTACGTGGCCTTTTCGACGGAGAGCTCCTGAGCGCAGTATCTTGTCTTGATGAATCCAGAGCCGCTGTTGACGACGAGATGTCGTCAGTAGTGGCTGTCCGTTCAATGCGTGGTCTGATGACGGCGTCACTCTGACCTGTGCCATTGAGGCTTGTTGAAGGCGATCCAAGCCTATTGGTGGGGGCACGCGGCCGTATCTCTATGGCTGGAAACCTGGTTGATCCAGCCTGACCAGCGCCCCATACCATAGCAGTGAGCATCTCGGTTGTTACTCTCCGTTGGATCGAGCAGATATCGAGAGAAGTGAAGTGGTGGGGTTGGAGTAAGAAGAGTCAAGGACGCTCGAGGTGGAAAGACCATTGCAGCCGAGAACATGGGTTGGAGATTCCGGAAGAGCCCTCGAGGTAAGTTCAGGGCAGTCGTTGTCTCTCCCGCAGCCCCCACAAGCTCCAGTTCCCACGAACTGCCTAAGTCTCTCCCCGCAATAGATTGACGGAGCCTGGTAGCCTCATTAAGTTAGGCACACTAAGCTGACCTCCACTTGTGGCCATGGCACGGGCTACCACTACCGTAGACCCTGGTGGCCTCCTAAGGAACAGGTGGTACTGTTGATGGCTTCGTAGGCTTCAATCAACCTCCTTGGATGAACATTGAGCTACGGTACTAGTAACCTCTGCACTTCCTACATGCCACCTGGTTTCATACTTGAATGTCTCGCCCTACTCCCACCAGCGTCTACCGCGCTGGACCACAATGTACAATAACGTATGGCGACGTGGTCTGCCCCAGCTTAGAGTCTGCTCAACTTCTCACAGTGACTCAAGATGCACAGTCTCCTCGTCCTTCTGATGATTCTCCACACTCGACGCAGTAGGATTGTTCGATCTGACGCACTCATAACGCTTGAATTTCAGTGCAGGCACTTTCTCCTCGAACATCTCGTCAATTTCCTCAAGAGTCCGATCTTTGGTTTCCTGACATACAGTTAGCGATAGAGCCCCCAAATGGCTTAGAGAGCGTACAGGAACACAGAAAAAGACAAAGATGAGGATACAAATATTCGAGCCGAACCAGACATAACCGTAGCGGCCACCCTGATACAAGGTTAGTTCATCTTGGTTTCCAGATCACTCTGAAGAAATCTTACCCAGTTAAGTTCCAAAGGATTCAGGAAATAAGGAGCAGTATAACTCGCGAGCCAGTTCCAGAAGAATGCGATGCCAATGGCGCTCCCCAGGGTATAGCCACGTAGTCGCTGGGTCGGAATCTCGCCGGCACTCAGGTAGACGTAGGGTGCGATGCAAAAGTTGTAGAAGAACAGATATATAATGGTAAAGGCGACCAACACCTTCCCAGCCGTGACGGTTAGAGTATTGTTGCGGTATATAACGGCGAGAATCAACATGCAGACTGCCTGGATCAAGAAGCCGGCTAGAAGAATTGTCCGACGGCCAATTTTCGTAATCACCCACATGGAGATGAGGGTGGCGACCTGCCAAGTGTCAGGACAATGGACCAGTGTAGACGGAAACAAGACAAAAGCCGCATGATTTGAACGACAAGGCCCTTTGGGAGGATACATACTAGCCCAGCTGCGGTCATGCCAATGCTCTCCTGGAATGCTGCAGTCTGCCCAGCCACGGCGAAGAAGTACGTTCCGTAGACGAGAAACATCAATGATCCCGACCCACCAAGACAAGTCATTAGTCCCCATGACAAGAGCGTTCGTCGCAGGTTGGTCCTGCGGAAAAGATCCAAAACTGCTACTCCGTGGACCAATGCCTTCTCCGCCTCGAGCCCACGTTCGATAATGGCTATTTCGGCATCAATGGCTGTTGGTGATGTGTGCTTATGGCGTAGTTTGATCAAAGCCTTGCTTGCCTTGCTTGGTTGATGGTGTTCCATCTAGACTTGTATATAAGTGAAGGCCCAATAAACTGCGAAAACGGAGCTCAACTAACCAACCACCTCGGACTTTCAGGCATAAACGGCAGAGCAACAGTAATGATTGTCGGTATAATCAAGAAGAGGCCAAGTGGAATGCGATAGGATGCCTTGCTCATGATGGTTGCGGTGTAGTTGTCGACAATACTTCCAATGAGCAGTCCCACACTGACCAGGACGTTGAACATTCCGAGAAGAGAACCACGCATATGAGCTGGTGCGCACTCGTGGATGTAGAGCTGAGGAATCACATCAAAGAGGCCATTGGCAACTCCAACGATGAGACGTCCTGCGTAGAGGGCCCCAAAGTCCTCAGCAACAATCATCAGGATAACCCCAACATTGTTAAAGACGATTGCAATGACAAGTGACCATCTTCGATTGACGTATCTTCCAAGAGGACCAGTACCCATGCAGCCGACGAGGGCTCCCAGCGACATGAGCGAGTTGATCAAGGTCTGAACTGTGGGATCGATGCCATAGCCGAACGTCGCCGTCTTGTCGGGGAATCCAAACACCATGAGGAAACCAGGCATAGCCTGCATGCCCGCGATTGAGCCGAGATCAATACCTGCGAAAAACAGAGTCAGGAAATGGCATGATCCGTAAGAGAGGGCATGATTAGCTAACCGAGCTGAAGACCACCAAGACAGGCGATGGAGCAATGGAAGAACGCCCGCCAGTGATGAAAGAAGCCCTGCTTGACAGGAATGGTTTGCGATGCATGAGCCTCGTCCGGCACCGCCGCGACATTGGCTTCGTCTTTGGACATTGTTGTGGCGCGCACTGAGATTTTGTAAGAGTATTTCCGTCGACTTGATTGAAAGTGAGAGAACTTGAGGGTCTGAGGCAGTAGCAGCCAGAATGTCCGGGTCAAGATATACGTTTCAACGACTGTACTGAGTGTAACCAACATGGGGTAGGTGAAGTTGTGGGGTGCATAATGCCTGGGGTCATGTCCAATATTCAGCCCACTTGTTTTTGGGGTTAGTCCTGAATCGATATAGACAATCACGGAGTTTGGGCTAGTGGTCTCAATGGACGCATGAGGAACTTTGGGTCGGAATCCGAGTCCTCGGGGGAATGTCAAAGAACAGCAGTAATGAGCGGTTTGACCACGCCGTGGGTATGAACACGATCGAAGCGCCCCACTAGCATACCAGCTTAACCCACCGTCCTTGACCCCAAGGAGTCAAGTCCACGGGTTGAAGCCGATAGACCACATGGCACTGAGGCCTGCAAGTCAGCAAGTCAGCCACCAAGGAACCGTTATGATAGGACAGCCTGCAAAAATGTGGGTTGAGTAAGAAGATACTTTCGACCTGTCGAGTTGTGAGGGCTGACTACAGCAGTGTAGGGTCATCAGCGGCTGCCGGGTTGGTCCTGAGGCTTGTCCAACTGAAGTTTTGGACAATCTAATTTCGAGCCTGGTGCATGACCGTGTTGCCATGAGAAGATCAACCTGTGGCCAGGTAAGGCTTCTCTCTCGGTAGAACTACCGTGGTCCTCGTCGCGACACCACTGTTATCGTGGCAGTAGCATGAACTGGATACGAGCGGCCCTCCTTACCGTCCATTTCCCGTAGATTTGAGAGCGAGAGATCAGGCAGTAGAAAGGCATGGCAGACCGGACCCGGGTAGTGTAAAAGAAGCCTTTGCTGGACCAAGCTGATAGCAGAGATCGCTCGAAGGGTTCGGCTCCGAATGCCGGAGGGGTCGTGATATGGACTGGAGTAGTAGAAGATGCGGGATGGACATGCCGGGTGGCTTCCTCTCTGAAGACACTGAGGACTTCAATTAAGCTGCCCCGCCTCTGTGTGTCCGGTTGCAAATCGTCAATCGGCTAGAACATACTGTATGAGGTGGATGTACAGCCTCGTGCAGAATTGGTGTGGTTAGTTAGTACCTACGTGAATAGTTCGTAGGTATTACTGCTATTTTCCAGCCCTCGACATAGCTACACCTAATCCAGGAGGGACGGATACTCCCTGTTGACCTTTCCAGGCTTAATCCCTAGACATCGCCTTGACGCCGCTGTTCGCAGGGGTCACCTATGGTTGGTAAGCTCGTCTAGGACATGCTGAATATCTGCGTATCATTCTGTTTCTTGGGCCAGATCTTGTCGGCACAACAGATCGAGTGTCGTTGTTGTGACCTGATCTCCTGCTTGCGTGGGACTTTACTTACGAAGCTGTGAGACCTGGTGATAGATGTTGTGGGGCCTTGATGGGCGCTGCAGGCTCGATGCCAATGCCTAACTTAGCCAAGTTAGAGGCTCGCCAGGCCAGCCACTAGGCTTCGTGGGGCTTCCAGTCTGTTGTTCCAAGCGTTGGTCCTTCCCCAGAGATACCAACTGCAAGCAGTAACTACTGTCACCCACACTGTAGTCCCCCGCACTTGCAGCATCACCTTTTCCTCGACGGTGGTTGTCTAAGCTAGGGCTCCAGCCGCAATTCTTTCCCACCTTTGTTTCGATACAGATGGCATGAATGTGAGAGAGTATTGCTTTTCTTCACAGAATGACCCCCGAAATGACCGAGCATGACACGATCCATGTCTCGGTGCAAGATCGCCTGCCTTCAGGCAAAGCCTGCCTAGGCTGTCGCAAACGAAAGAACCGATGTACCGGAGAGCGCCCAGTCTGCAGCTTTTGCCAAAAGCGCAACCTGGACTGTCAATATGCTTCTATAGTGCGAAGGAGCGCTGCAAATCAAAGGTCAGTGATATGTACGCGTGTCACCAGCAATAACTAAGGTAGGTGCATAGCTACGTCTGGTCGCTTCAAGAGAAGATCCGGCGGCTGGAAAAGGAGTCCGGGATCACACCGCCACCAAACGATCCTTTGGGGAGCCATGCAACTCCTACGAACTCTGATGAGACCGATGAACAACTCCGACAAAAAAGTGTCACCTACAGCAGGCCGACAACCTCCGTTCATGTTGTACTATCCCCAGCGAGGACTGGTGAGCATCAGGCAGAATCTATCATCGATGACAACTCCCCAGATGTCTTGGACTACAGTAAGCGCCACACGATGAGTCAGATATCTCAATTCTCTGAGCTGATGATTCTCCAGACCAGACTTCGGTGCAAACGACGGTCGGCGACCTCGTTTTTGCCTCTGAGCCGACCTCAGATGACATGCGAGGTTCCACGGCTAGCTCAGCCTCGTTTCCACCCAGAAAAAGAGCCAGGAGGGCAACCGTGATCCGGCGAAGCAACGAACTCGAACCCGAGAATTTCATTCTGCCTCCTTTTGTGCTCGCAAAGGAGCTCGTCGGGTACTTTTTCAGATACACATACCCCCTGTATCCGATACTGCATGAGCCGACATTCCGGGAAGACTTCGAAGCGACCTATCAGGACTCGAGCCAGCCCACCGCGGCCTGGCTGTCAATACTGAATCTAGTCTTCGCTTTCGGCTGTGATTATCTTGATATGTCTCTGCGCGATGCTTCGGAACTGGCCGAGACTTTCCACGACCGAGCATCGGAACTCATTCTCTCCGTATGTTTTCAGCAGAGCACTGTGCAGATCGTTCAGGCCTTGTTTCTCTTGACTGCTCATCTACAGAGCGATCTCAAAATGAACAAGTCATGGTTGAGCATTGGCTGTTTAGTCCGTACCGCACAGGGTCTTCGCATGAATCTAGATCCTTCAAGCCGGGACATCAGCCTGGTTGATCAAGAGATCAGAAAGCGCCTATGGTGGGGCATATACTCTGTAGACCGGTAAGCAGAAGGTCTCACAGATATGCGGTGCTGACAAGGTCCTCCAGATTCATCAGTCTGAGACAGGGACAATCGCCAGCTCTTATCTCAGAGAGTGCATGTACTGTCGGGGTGCCTCTGACATCTTGCGAGGGCATGTCAGAAGAGGATCTCAGCGCCTTCCCCGAGCTCCACCAAACACCTTGCCCAATATATCTCTTCAATGCAATGGTGCAACTCTCACATATGGTCGAATCCATCTCGACTCCCGCCCTGAAAGACTCGAATTCCTTGGTACAAATGTACACAGCAAGGTCTGACGGCCTACTGGACTTTGACGAGGTGCAGATGAGCATCCAGATTGCTCAAGTCGGCGAGCAAGAGGCCAAATTAGCAGCGTGGAAGAGGACACTGCCTGAGCATCTACAGTTTGAAGCAATCTACGAAGATGAGGAATGTCGACGTCAGTGTCTCATGCTCCATCTGCGCTACCTACATATTCGGCTGCTTGTTCATCGGCAGGTGCTGTCGATCGTCGTCAGGCAGGGAAGTCGGAAGGTGAACATGCCTCCACCAGGCTACTTGAAATCAGTCATCACCGCCAGCGTTGAGCAATGCGCCGAGTGCGCTAGCCAAACGGTTTCGGTCATAACAGGCAATCAGAACGCCAGAGCCATTGGCCCATGGTGGTACAACATCTCGCGTAAGGCTTTGACAGGAAGGAAATCTTGCACGAAGCACCGGCTAATCCATCGCTAGTGATGTTTACGGCTCTGGGCACTCTCTTCGCCGTTCACGCAAGTGCGAATTTGTTCCCGAGCATCGACGTGGAAGCAATGGCGGCGGCCATAAGTGACGCAAGTGAATCGTTGAGCCAATTATCAAATGTGAACCCCCTCATGGCCCGTTGCTCCAGGTACTTCGAGTCGTTACGCAGACGCATGGCAAAGGTTGCAAGTGTCCAGAAAGCGGACTACAGGAAAGGCAATCCACTGGAGATCTCAGTCCACACGGACAGCAATGTTGATACGCAGAATGGGCAAGAGGCGCAACACGGCGAGGTGGAACTTGGTGTAAACGCTGCCTCGGTCGGCTCAGAAAGTGGTGCCGGCTCCTTGGACGAAGACTGGACTCGTTTATTTCTTGAGCCTATGCTACCAGACTTCACAGACGATATCTTCGATATATAAAGCCCGAGGGGGGCCAAACCCAAGCCCAAGTCAGATGACGGAGATACAATCTTTCAATGAAACGTTGCTCCGCCTCCGCAATCGAATATCTGCCCAGTGATGAACTGCGCCTCTGGGCTTGCGATGAAATTGACAGTATGAGCGATGTCCTCGGGCCTTCCATGCCGCTTTACACATTGCTTCTTGATCAACATGTCAAAGAGGCGATGAGAGCCATCCGGTTGAACGTGATTGTTCCAGACCGCCTCTGTTCTGATCAAGCCCGGAAGAATGATATTGGCCGTGATGCCTGGCCCTGCTTCGACAGCCAGAGCTCTTGTAAAGCCCAGAATGGCCGACTTGGCCGCGACATAGACCGAAAGGCCCGTGTCCGGCAGCTGCAGCGTCCCCGACGATGTGTTGATGATTCGCCCGTAGCCGGCCTTCTGCATGTGCGGCAGGACTGCACGCGCGAGAAAGAAGCAGGCGTCCATATTGACGTTCATAATCCGCCTGTAGTCCTCTGTTGAATGCCCCAGGATCGGGATGAACGGATAGACGGCGGCAAAATGGATCAAGACGTCGATCTTGCCGTACGTTTTGACAACCTCGTCGATTAAGACATTTACCTGGGTGTCGTCACCGACGTTGCAGATCCGGTAATCTGCCTTGCCGCCGCCAGCACTGTCGATTGCTGCTTTGACCTTCTTCAGCTTGTCCTCCTGGATATCGACCATTACTACCGTGGCACCCTGGGAGGCGAACAATTTGGACGTCACCTCGCCAATACCTTGCGCAGCACCGTCGATAAAAACCACCTGTCCAGCATATTTGTCGGAATACACCTCGATAGGTGGGATGTTGGCACCAACTTCTTCCATGTCTGCTGAGCTGAGAATTACTTCTTGCTGGAAAGGGGACGCCGGGAGTATATCAGAGAACGCCCAAGTCGGGAAAGAAATACCTCCAGAATTATAGTACGAGCGTCCTTGTCTGATGTTCGGTACCGGGCCAGGTGTTTCTGCAGTGCGAATCGACGCTGATGGCAGATCACCGTGAAAGCCAGCCACTGACTCGAGCTAACTAGTTAGTTAGGCCGGGAAGCACAAGCACGATTCGCTGTTCAAGGCCCTGGGGACAGCTTCGGGCCACGGCTGCCGCTCCCTTTCTTCGAAGGGGTAGGCGCCTAACTTTTGCTGTGGTCGCCCGGAGAAGGTCCTCCAACAGAGGGTATACCACCTACCCCACCAATATCGAAGATTACCAAAGGGCGTTTCCACTGAGAAGAACTCTAGGTTGTCATGACCCTAGTGTGAGAACAGATTTGGCCTGAGCTTGTACCGCCATGATCTACGCTGCAATCACTTGTCAGTACATATTGGACTGCATTGTTCATTTCGCGTATAGCTGTGCTCGCACTCACGAATTCGGCCAACGGCGTCAATGAAAAATGGCACAGCTTCTTCAGTGGCCCTTGAACGTCGAACATTTCTCTCTGAACGTGCTTGTGTCGGTGGCAACCTCAGCATTACTGCTGGCTGTTTACTCGATCCGACGGTTTCGATGGCATTCGAAGTACAGGTTCCCACCCAGTCCTGCCGGGTGGCGTCCGTTCACAGGACATTCTCACTTGATGCCCAAGGAGTTCCACGGCGACAAGGCCAAAGAATGGGGTAAGGGCGCCGCATTATGCTTCTTCCGCGAGCAGACCAAATGGTGCTGACTGAGATTGGAGCCGATCAACTAGGCAGTGAAATGATGTATCTAAGGCTGGGAGGAGTCGACTGGATCTTCCTGAACTCGTCGAGGGTGGTGGAAGACCTCCTGGAAAAGCGTTCCTCGATCTACTCCAGCAGGCCGGCGTTCGTCATGGTTGGGGAGATCATCTCGCGGATGAAGAGGCTCGTTCTCCAGCCCTACGGGCCCCAATGGAAAGAACTGAGGAGAGTGATGCATATCCTTCTCACTGGCAGCTCTGCAGACTCATATCGGCCCCTGGAGGATCTGGAGTCAAAGGAAGCTATGTGGGAAATGCTGCATGAGCCGGAGAAGTGGTATCTCCATACCATCCGGTTTGCCGCGTCTTGTGAGTACTCATGATCCTTCCCGATCCATCGACACCCAGTAGGCATTACAGCTCATGGATACTTACCTACGTACCAGTCACCATCGGTATGATCTACGGTATCCGTCAGAAAGGACACTCGGAGCTTTTCCAGAAGGTTTCCGACGCTCAAGACGAGTTCCTGAGAAACAACGTACCAGGCACATGGCTTGTTGACGACTACCCCCAACTGCAGAAACTCCCAGGATTCCTCCAATGGTGGCGTCCATACGGAGACAAGGTCTACCGGACCACTCGAGACGCGTTCAAAGGCTACTACGAGCTTATGGTAGAGAATACCGAGAAGGGCATCCAGAAGGACTGTTTCGCGACAAAATTCTACAAGGAAACCGACTCAAAGAAGGGCGGCGGCTTCGACTTTGACCAGAAGCTCTTCACCACGGGCGGCCTCATCGAAGCCGGGAGCGACACTACCAAGAACCAGCTCAATATGCTTGTTGCAGCCATGGCGGCCGACCCGAATACATGGATTGCAAAGGCTCGAGCCGAACTCGACAGCGTCTGCGGCGCCAACGCAGAACGCCTACCGACGTTCGACGACTGGGACGACTTGCCTTACATCCAAGCCATCATGAAGGAGACCTTGCGGTGGCGACCCAACGTCAATCCGACCGGTTTCCCGCACGCCCTGATCAGAGACGACGAATACGAAGGCTATCGATTCCCCGCCGGTACCGTAGTCACCATCAACAACTGGGCCATCAGCTTGAATCCAAACGAGTATGATAACCCGACTGAATTCAACCCGGACCGTTTCATGAACGAGGATCTATGGAATCCGACAAAGGGACACTATGGCTATGGTGCGGGCCGGAGGACATGTGCGGGCTTCAAGGTCGCTCAAAACTCCATGTTCATCTTCTTCAGTCGCTTTATCTACTGCTTCGATGTCTACGAGGATCCGGTAAGTACATCAATTACTAGCAAGAACCTCTTAAGACGCAACCAAAACTGACCCATGGGTTGTGTGCCCTTCAGAACAATCCTATCGACACGTTCCACATCCCTCTGACTCCACCGCCTGGCAAGGCCAACGACCCACCCTTTCCCGCCAGAGTCAAGGTCCGCAGCGAAGCACATAGAGCATTGATACTGCGGGAATGTGAAAGTGCGACCAAGCAGTATGACTGAAGAACCGGAGTTGAAATCAGTTATGGTGTCATTGTCAAGTAGAAACGAAACACTGGGCATCTGACCGGAACCAGTCACTTTTCTCTAACTAAGTTAACTCGATACCTTCGTCGTTTTCACAGCTTCGGCACCAGTAGATAGCTCTCTCCAGCGAACTCGCCTCCCAGATGCAAGCGATGCATGCCTTTATTGAAGACGGGCTCTTGATGCTTGACATGTGGATTGTCCCACTCCGGCAGCGCCATGGTCTTGCCGGAAACCTGCAATCTCAATCCTTCGCCCTTTTCGTAGACCACGCCCATGGGCCATATCCCGATGTTCATCTCGACCACCTTGCCGGGCGGACGGACAAAATCTGTCTTCAGGTGCGGATGGTATGGCCAGTACTCAGTGGACTTTTCCGGGTCAATCTCACGATGTGACGCGCGCAAGATACCGGCTGGACCATGGTATTTGACTGGATTGACGTTCTTGACGTCCTTGACCGACTTGACCTCGGCTGGCAGCTCGTGAAGCGGAACATTGGATTGTTCCATCAGCTCGCTTTCGACGGAGAGCTTTCGCAGCATCACGTAGATATCCAGATCATCGTGCTCGAGGCAGGACACGAAGATCCGGAGCTTCGAGAAGCCGGCAAGCGTGGTCTTCTCGGAGAATGTGTAGTCGTAGGTGAGCATGTCGCGGGTCGTCGAATCGTAAGAGTGGATTTCGTCTCCGGATACGTTCGGAGCAGGAGCCGTGTCCAGGGTTCTGGACGGAGTAAGGAAGAGCTTGGTGTACTGGGTGCGCGGTATTGGGTAGTCTGCCTCGATTTGATCGTAGACAGGATACCGGTCTCCATAGCGGTACAGAGAAACTCGGACCTTGGGTGTCAATTCCCAATCATTTTCCTCTCCCTTCAAATATCGGGCAAAGAACCTGTCGAGATCTTCGACGGATCGGTGGAAGTAGTCTTCATACCACTCCTGGTGAGGGTGGAAGCGGAGCCATTTGTTCTCACTGTCGATGCCTTGCCAGGCGCGCACGGCGCCCACGGTGTGGAGCATCGATGAATAGGAGCCGAGGATGTAGGACGGCACCTTGATCCTGGAGAAGTCGACACGCTTGTTTTCCCAATACTTGTCGAAAAACTCGTGCTGGAAGGCCATCGTTGGCACGTCCTCCTGTCTTCCACGGCCGGGAACACCTAGAAGCACCCACTTCAGGAAAGGCGCCCATGGGATACCACCTCTTCGCATCATGTCGCGATAGAGGTCGCTGTATCCTTCCCAAGGAGCAATTGCCTTGAGGTGCGGCGGTTGTTGCATGGCCGCCCAGTACTGAGAAATCCCCAACCAGGAGTTGCCGGCCATGCCTACCGCGCCATTGCACCAGTCGAGTTGAGCACCGTACTCGATTATGTCGTAACAGTCCTCGCCGTCCTTGGGCCCAAAGAAGTATAGATCACCCTCGGAGTCGAAGGATCCTCGTGCATTGGGATCGAGAATCGCATAACCGCGCGCACACCACTCGTTGGGGTCCGGACCTTCAAACTTTTCTAGTCCGCTCTGTCTGCTCTTGGGCACGCCCACACGATAAGGAACGACATCCATCAGATTTGCGCCTCCGCCCCCTTTGCCGTAGGGCGAGTAAGGAACGATGATGGGGACTTTCTTGCCGCCTGTGTCTGCTGGGCGATAGATGTCAGCATAGATCTTGACGCCATCTCTGAGGACGATCTCGACATCCTTTTCGAATACGATGTCCAGGTCGAGAGGTTTGTTGTCTGGTGTCTTTTGCCATCCACGAGGCAACGTCTTTTTCTCGTAGCCAAGTGGTATATAAACGACGGCTGGGTCGCGATTTGGTTCATCTGGCGGTGTTGCATCCTGCCATGCCCAAGTGATACCTAGGTCAGGTGTTTTGCCTTTGGCGTAACCTGGCCATGATTTATCGACAGGCATGATGTAAGACCTGTCTCACATTGATCTGGGAAAGACCTTGATCTTTCTTCAGCGTCCATATGAGATACTGGACATCCACGGTGATATATCAGTGCTTCGTCCCTGTACATTCGCGTCATTGGCTGCCGCAAGCTCCACTGGGACAGGTTAGCCTATCAGAACCCCCCATGGCCCGGTATTGGGGTAATGTGGAAGGCAGGAGAGCCTCAAGCCGGCGCGGGTGCTTGTGCCGGGATCAGGTCTCACCAGCACAGCACATCCCGCATTCAGAAGTGGTGTGGGAGCGTTCCGGAGCCCTTCGGCAAGTAGAGAAAGACTGCTTGATAGGCCCGTGGAGGTGGAAGCGTGTACAAAGCAGAGTGTGCATGGCCTGGGGCTGCTGAGCCGGCCCCAGGTTTAGAAAGAATACTGATTGCAGGAATCAGATTTTGGAACTGCGTTTGCGCACTTTGCATAATAAGCCTGTCTGCTTCACCAACCACCAGTTTACTGTTTTCCACGGTATTTCTGGATCCGCTAGCACGAGATCGAAGTCCCGCAAGATCTGGGGGATCAACTTCGACATTTCCATCAAGCTGATATTCTTGCCTAAGCATGTCCGAGAGCCCACTCCGAACTGTTTGATCATCAGTGAAGGTGGCCGAGTACGATTTGACGTGCCAGCGTACCTCCAGAAAATACCTTTCCATCCGCTTCGCTGCCGTTTCAGACTCCAGCCACCGTTCTGGGCGGAACACTTCCACGTCTTCGCCGAAGACGGATTCGTTTCGGTGAGCCACCCAGGAGTTGATGCCTACAACAGCCTGTCACGCTAAGAGTCAGAGATGTGCCGTATAAAGATACGCAATAGAGCTTACTCCTTCTGGTAGACGGTACCCTAGAAGAATCACGTCTCCTTCGGGGACCACTCGACCCATAGTAAATCCAGTAGAAGGGTGAAGTCGCATTGCTTCTTTCAGCACCGCCTGAAGGTAAGGCATGGCCATGGCTTCTTTGTAAGTGACTGGATTCGATAGCTGGCCTACCGATTCCATTTCCGCAATTTCGGAGCGCAATTTTTCTAGCTTCGTCGGATTTCGGAGTAAGAAGTATACTACAGCCCTCAAGGCGATCGCTGTAGTGTCTGAGCCCGCTCCTGTCAGGACCATGCAGCTCTTATAAACCTCCGACATGGGAAAGTGCTCGGGCTTCTGATTGTGGATCCGCAAAAATTGCGTGACGAAGTCTGGGTGCGAGACGTTAACCTTCTGCCTGTCCTCAATGACGTTGCTGGCAAACCGCCTCAGACTCTCAAGTGGCACTCCGTCGGCAAATAGGGTTGACATGAGTTTCGTAAAAGGCGCATGAAATTCTGGGATAACACCCATCCATGAAGAGTAGGACAGGAATCCATCCAGAACGCTCATGATGTCGCCGATGTCTTCTCCCCGATCTAGGAATCCAAATCGTTTTGCAAACGTAATTTCGCCAATCACGTCAAACGCATAACATTGAAGCCAGTGCCCAAGATCAAAGACTGCAGCTTTCTCTGCGAACTCGGCCAACCGGGTTTCGAATACCTGTACACAGTTGCTGATGTAAGACTCCATGGCGGAGATTGAAGTCATTGAGAAACTGTTGGCAACCAGCCGTCTTTCGCGCGCATGTCGTGCAATGTCTGTGTCAGTGAAGATAGAGTGATGACCTGGTGCGTCGGACGCTTTATACCATGAGGACTTGTGGAAAGTCAGCCATACGGCGATTGATACAGGTACTTGGGTCGAACCTTGACGAACTTCGTCCCGTGGCCATAAATGACACGGAGGCTCTCTTCCGGATCATCGATGCTGACTTCATTGGGGCCAATTCTCACGATCGGTCCTACCAGTCGAGTAAGCAAATAAGTCCTCGTTGTTGTCGGTCTCATCTCACCATATCTATTGTGAAGATCAATATTCGTCCGTTCGAAGTCACCCCTCAGCGTTTTCTGCAGCTTCCACAAGCGGGTGAAACTGGCAAGGAATGGGCCAGGTACGCTTCGAAGTGGCGTGGCATATCGTACATAGATCAGATAGCAAAGTATTGCCACGGGCAGAAGAGACACGCAGACATAATAATTGCGGAGGCTGTTCGGAAAGAGCAACCCACCTTGAGCCAGCATCTTGAGCTCAGGTGATGCAGTAATCAGTCAAGAGCTGGCTTGTTGTATCATCGTGGTGAAGAAGCCTTCGTCTAGTTATGAAAGCCGATTCAGGTTTGTTTTCTCTAATGGGCCTGATGCTGGCCTCATCGCAGCGCCCAGAGCCGTCGAAATGATTGGGTGCTCCTCAAGTGGGCTGAAGGGGCCTTCGGGACAGCTGGACCGAATTTGCTGTCTTACCCCAACATTGCTGGGAATAGCTTGCTTGCCGGGAGGAGCCAACGGAAGCGCAAAAGTTTCAAACTCGCCGTAGTCGCTGCTGTATTGCCAGATCACCTGAGGATTCATGTCTGCTCAGTTAACCGACGGTGGACTGCTTCATAAGAGGAAGACAATTTTCGATTCAATGAAGAAGAAGCAACCAAATTCAGCCAGGCCTTAGTTCTTGGCACCGGCCACCCCTGAAACAGCCGTCGAGCCTCCGGACATCAAGGCTGCCGTCTCAGGGGCAAAAAGTGGCGAGCCACAGGTGACAACGGCAAAGGTCACCACCACCTGCGAGTATTTGAAGAGCTTTTGTCCTTTACAAGCAAGCGCTTTGCCTTCGATGTACCCTTGGTAGGGCATAACTCAACAGGATATCCCCGCGAAAAACATTTCGCTATGTCTCGCTTGGATATACCCCACAGCCATCGGAGCAACAGACCCCGGAGATACATCAACAGCGCAACCAACAGGAACCCGAGCAACGTATCATACTATCCAAAGATGTCTCTTCCGTGCTTCCTGACATAATCCTCCCATGTTGAAGCTTTCGGGAACATCTGTAACGTTTCGGCCTGATCACGGACCCCTGTTTCCGGAGGGTGCTATTTCACCCCAGAGTCAGATTACAACCACAGTATCGGAGCAAGTAGCTTACCGTGATATAGTACCTTGTCATCCTGTACAAATCGACAAAGATCTCCCCTTGCTCCTGAGTCTTCTCGAGTTCTTGGACCGTACACTCGCGCGGTCGGACGTCTAGGCCCGTGACTCTTGAAGCAGCTGCTGCCATCTCCCTCGTGGTCAACCACTCGACGACCAGCTTGATATCACGGTCGAGGTATCTATCTGGGTAGAGGAAGACCTGCGTAACCCAGGAACCAATCTCTGTCCCACAAAAAGCGAAGAACTTGGAGTCTGGGAGGATCGCGTTAAAGTTAAGCTCGTAGAAGGTCTCACCAGACTTGGGATCCGTTCGCCTGCTCGGTCGGAGCTGCTTCTCAAAGTTCTCGTAGTAAGCGGCCGTGTAGATGGACGTCCTGCCCAGGCCAGAATCCAGTAGGTAGTCGTTTACTCGGGCTTTCGAATCGAAATGCCAGATGTCGAGCTCTCCCGAGTGTTCCATGGTAGACCACACGAAATGCTTGACCCTTTCTGCCTTCGCTGCGTCAACCATGTTCTTGCCATGTCTGGTCTCAGCGTCCCATCCATGTTCCCAACAATTGGTCACACCGTACACGCCGTAGCAGCCACGAAACGCCTCGCGAAGACTCTGGACATCGTCCAACTCGGCCCGCACAACTTCAACACCAAGGCCGACGAGCTCCGTCGCGCTGTCGCTGTCAGGGCTCCGAGTCAGTCCACGCAGCTGAAATTGTCCTGTTTCGAGAAGATGCCGCACCACGGATCCTCCCTGCAGACCAGTGGCGCCCGTGACGGCGATCAGGCGCAACGCGGCGTTATTCGTTGCCATGTGAAGAGCGAGTATAGTCACTTGAGAAGTACGTTGCTTCAGCCGTCGTCGACAATAGTAGCAATTAACTTTTCGTGAAATGACCTTTGCCATGGCACCAAGCTTCCCATGGGCCGGGTGAGCAGTTCTGTCACGGGACCCCGGGAGTCGTCAGCCGAATGCCGGAGTACAATGGTACAGTATATCTTGAGTGCCACGGCAACTCTTTCGTAGTGATTACTCGAACCCTCCAACGTTTTTCCGTCACTAGAACCGAAATGGCCCCTGTGTTAGAGCTCATGATTCTGAAGGTGAGCATTTTGCACATACATATGTTGTGCTCTACTAGATGGCTTATCAAGATTCGAATAGCACAAAGAAGTGCAAGACATCAGTGAGGCTCTACAGTCGGCTCTTGGGGTGCTCAAAGAGTACGTGATGTTGGAAGAAGACAGAACGTGTGGTCCTGATCAAGACATAGTGCAAAGGGGGTCCGATCTGCCTTCATAGGACCGGCACTAGATGCTGCAAATACAACGGTGCTGGCATCAACATGGGAGTCCTACGAATCGGTGATCAACTTTGTCAGGAGCGAAAGATACGCTCAATTCTTCCGAGAGATCCAACGTCTTGCAGAAGAGCCACCAAAGACGACACATTGCTTCCTCTCTGATGCTAAAACGGACTTGGAAGTCCTTTTCACTGCGAAGGCAATCGAAATGGCGCCGCTCACTTTGTTCGGAGACAAGGTTCACCAGCATTATATCAACTTTCAGACTGCCGGGAAAATGATTGCTGCTGCTCGTGGTTATGTGGCTCAGTTTCAAGAGCCACAGATTGAAGCTCCGTGAGTGACCGTCCCCGATCCAGACCTGGACAGTTCTAATGGTCTCAATAGGTACAACCAATGGAGTTTGGTCGGTTGGGATTCCATCGAAGTATGTGGGTTCTGCCATCTGTCGCTACAGTGCTTACTATTTTGCAGCTGCATCATGCCTTCAACAATGCTCCTGAGTTTCCAGATTTCCTTGAGCTGGTGGCACCAAATGTGAACCTTCCAGGACCACCTCCAATCATACATGCTTGCTTCAAGAAAGCCTTTGGTAGCTTATGATGCGTAGACGACGAGGAGAGGCAAATAGCTAGACTCTCGGAAAGAAATTAGCGTGTCAATCAAGTACCAGAAAGGGAACAACCCTTCTTGAAGTCTAGGGTTCAAAGATAATGAAGACTGCCTCTGATCACTGTACTGAATAGTCATCCTTTATGGCGGCCTATTAGTGCCTGTCAGATCGCCCTGCAGCCCGGAGTGATGCTCTTGGAATCTGCCCGTGGGGTGCTGCCTGTGGGCATTCATCACCCATCCGAGACAGGTGGAGCAAGTTGTGCATAGGCATGGGGTTGATATCGCACGACCGACCGGCTTCGGTAACCCGCATCCAAGTCATGTGACTCGGGGAGGGCTGACTCCAGCCGTCCATGGCGTGTTACAATTGGATATGTTGGAAGTGGAGGTTCATTTAATAGAGCATCCAGGTCGGGAGGCACTGTGCAGAGCGATTCAAACCCTTCTACGAGACTGAAGCGACGACATGACGAAGTCCTCCGGGATTAAGGTCATCATCGTTGGAGCTGGGTTTGGCGGACTTGCTGCTGCGATCGAATGCCATCGCAAAGGACACGATGTGGAGGTATTCGAACAAGCACCCGCTTTTGCCATGCTGGGTATTGATTCAGGACTTTGCTTGAGGACTTCGCTGATCGTCAACAGGGGACCTCATTGTGATGACACCGAACGCCTGCCGAGTCATCGCAAAATGGGGCAATGTGCTGCCAGAAGTGAAGAAGAGATGCACTTGGGCCAAGGAGGCCATCATCCACAACGAGAAAGGCGAAGTTCTTCATACCCAGCAAATGGTCCTGGAAAACAACGGCTTCCCCTTCTGCAATACCCATCGAAGCTATTACCAAACAGCCTTCTACCAGTATGTGCTCTCGCTCGGCCTTAAGATCCACATGAACGTGCGCGTAACCGAGTATTTCGAGAACCAACATGAAGCGGGCATCATTGTCAACGGTGAAAGGTATATTGCCGACGTGGTGATTGGGGCCGATGGGGTCCACAGCCGCTGCCGTCACTTTGTGACTTCCTCGACGACTAGCCCTGTCTCATCGGGCTTCGCTATCTACCGTGGCTGGTTTCCATTGTCTGCACTGGGCGACAATCCCCTAACAAATCACCTCAGGGAGGGAGGCGATTCGATGAATGCGTGGATCGGGCCCGATGTCCATGCTTTTGTGACGGTCTGTGACAAGCTCAACAGCATCGCTTATGTTTTGACGCACAAGGATGAATACGAGGCCAAAGAGACTTGGTCGTTCCCTGGAAAGGTTGAGGACGTGTTGAAAGCCATAAACGGTTGGGATCCGACATTGCAAGCAGTGGTAAAAGCAACCCCGAAGACGAAGCTCATAGACTGGAAGTTGCTGTGGCGAGATCCGATAAAGAAGTGGGTGTCGCCTAAGGGCCGCATTGCACTGAGCGGCGATGCAGCTCATCCGTTTCTTCCAAGCTCGGGAAATGGAGCCAGCCAAGCAATTGAGGATGCAACGACGATAGCATCGGCTTTGGAGCTTGCCGGCAAGGACAATGTTGCGCTAGCTCTTCGCGCCTATGAATCGTTGCGGTAAGCGTTCATGATGCATTCACCAAGGCTCTGACTGACCATCTTAGGTATGAAAGAGTTTGCCTTGCTCAAAGGAATGGCTTTGAGACAAGGCATCGCTGGCACAAGACAAATTGGAAGGAATTCGACAAGGATCCGAGTACCATCAACCTACCGCAGCCAAACTGGCTGTATGCTCACGATGCTGAAGCATACACATATGAGCGGTGGCATGATGTTGTCGAGCACTTGACAAATGGAAAGCCGTTCAAGTCGACGAATACCTATCCCGGGCACGTTCACGAAGATTGGACTGTAGCTGGTGTGATGGAAGCCGAGAAGGAGATGGCGCCACCTCCAGCATTGCGTGCACGTTTGTAGATTACAATGGAGCGCATACTTGGGGGTTCATCGTTTCGCCGGGAAATGGTTGGTTACAGTTCCCGACCCCGTTGGATGTTAGGTTTCTCTGAATGTGAATCGTTCCTGGAGCCATGGTGCTTCACTGTCATTGTCGCAGGGTCACACTGATAATGCTACCCCTGTGGTTGCCAGCGACAGCGACTTTGTCATACTCGATAAGTAGATGCCCCATCATGCCCAAGCTTGGCTCGAGTCGGTCTTGTTGCCTAGATGGCCTGCTCAGCCGATCGACCAATTGCCATTAAACTGTCCGAGCTGCCTCCTCACATATGTAGACGAACAAAATGCTTCTTCAATCTAGCCGGCAAAGAATTCCCCGTTGTATCTGAGTGAAGCATAAGGTCAAGAACATTGGCCCGTAGACTTCGCACTACCACAGCCGGCTCAGCGCGACAATTTCTCCTTCGTATTGACCGCGGGTTCCGCGTCCTTGGTTGCAAGTATTCCGTTGTCTAGATGGATTCCTTTTTCGATGACAAAGTGTACGCCATATCTGGAGGTGCATCAGGTATTGGGCTCGCAGTCGCCAAGGCTCTTCTACGTCTTGGTGCGAAAGTGTCAATCGGCGACATCCGATTCCCCGACACATTACTTGCAGAACTAAGACAGGAAGCTTCCCATACCAAAGGGACTGGCAAAGCTGAAGGAATCATCTTGCTGAAGAAGGTCGACGTCGGTTCTCGAGAAGAGGTGGACAGCTGGATCGATGAGACCGTCGCCAAGTTCTCCGCTCTCGACGGTGCCGCGAACATGGCGGGTACAATACCCATAGACCACAACGTCGGGACCATCGAGACGATGGACGACGAAGACTGGGATTTTGTCTTCGCAGTCAATGTAAGCGGGATGAAGAACTGTCTCCGAGCCCAATTGAAGTATATCGGCAAGGATGGAAGGGCAGGTGGCAGCGTGGTCAATGCCGGAAGTGGATTGAGTCTGGAAGGTCGAGAATGCACTTCTGCCTACACCTCAAGCAAGCACGCTGTCCTCGGTTTAACCCGTTGTGCGGCTAAGGAGGTGGGTAAGAGAGGTGTGAGGGTAAATTGCATAGCACCGTGAGTAGAACTCCTCTCGTCCTGCTCGCTAGGTGCTACCCGGCCAGGCTCTGCTTGTTGATTGGACGACACGCTAACCTCCTTGGGTCTGTAGAGGCTTTACCGAGACGCCTCTGATGAGACAGTCGATGAATATTGAAGGTTCCGCGTCGAAAGAGGACTTCTCGGTCACGGCGTTGGGTAGAATGGCTCAACCATCCGAGATTGCTGATACAGTAGTGTACTTGCTGAGTGATAAAGCCAGCTTTGTTACGGGCGCTGTCATATGTGCCGATGGTGGTTGGCATTGCTGAGGGCATTGAAGGGAGAAGCACAGAAAGAGTGATGTGTCGACGTAGTCCACATGTTCAGGCATGATGGGGGTAAGTCCGTAAGGTAAGCGGACCGCCATCTCTTCGAGATATGGGCCTGAAGAAGCAGTAAGCTCATCAGCGACATGCTGTCTATGTGAACTTAGCCGTGATCTTATTGACTGTTGTGTTGCTCGATCAAATGGAGAAAACGTGAAAGGAGTAAGATCTCTCACAGCCTTGTCCAGCCTCGTCGGCCAAATATCGCCGGGATTCCGCCGGGCAGCCGAAAAGACGATGCGAACTATTTTCTCCCACTCATTTGTCGAGGAATCTGACAATTCGAGTCCTCTGTCGTCAACGGTGCCTCAATGCCTTGCTAACATGATCTCCCAGCGTGCCGTCTGGCGTGCCTCTGGTGGGCTCCGAACCACCGTCACCATCCTTCGCAGACCACGATACTACTCAGCCGGCGCGGCATCTCCAGAGCAGAGCAAGACCGCCCTCTCCCCTCGTTGGCTTTCCGACACCAAAGCCCGCGTAGGAAAATGTATTACGTTCGGCATGCCCAACAGTTTGGTCGACGAGGCCGGGGAGATCCTCCGCGTTCTGGGCCATGACTGGCGTGCAATCGTTGCTGGTAGCGAGGGGTACCTGACCGACCCAAAAAGAGCAGGGCTGCACCGACACAACATCGTCTGGGGCGAGCAAGATTCGATGGGCCACGTAAACAATGTTATGTACGTCCGTTATGCGGAGAGTGGACGGTGTAATACGATGCGGAATTTCGCAAAGTACGTGGATCCTGGGCATCGGCAGAAGTGGGAGGACATGTTGACGAACCGCGGCATTGGGTTGATTCTCAAGAGTATCACAGTGGACTTCAAGTTCCCCATGACCTGGCCGGATAGGATCTCGGTGTACCACAAACTGCGCTCGTGTCCGGACGCGGAGACCACGTCACTGATGCTCGATGTCTTGATTTTGTCGGAAAATCGCCAGCGTCCGGCGGCACGCTGTCTGGAAGATGTCGTCGTGTATGACTATAATCTCGGCAAGAAGAGTGCCATGGAGCCTTTCATGGTTGAGGAGCTGAAAAAGACATTCGAACTGCAAGAGGCTGCAAAACGAGAGAATCATGCCAAGGTGCAGAGGATAGAGGAACAGGTCCGTCATCTGGAGAAGCAAAGTTGGGATAGACCAGACGCGAAGGAAGACTTGGGCAGTGCTTCAAAGCATTGAATCGGCTTGGCTAAACACTATGGGACATACCCAAAAATGCAAGAATATATATGTGGTCGGCAAAAAGTTGTATCAACACAAAGACCCCGAAGTGACAAGTTCAGGTCAAACCAGATGGTCTAGCCGACTGACTACGTTACGACAATCTGGAAGGCGGCTTGTTTCTAGGCGAGAATGTCACGAGTTCAAATCCGCATCGAGTCACCTTCCACCGAGATCGACGACAATGCACAGCCATGCGAACCCGGCTTGCATCCTTCCTTCGAGACCGACGACAATGCAGAGCTGCGAACCCGGCTTGCATCCTTCTTCCACGACGACAAAAAAGAATCCCACCGGGGGGTTTCCCTCACCACCAGCGTTATCAACACGCTGGTGGGAGAGTTTTTGTCAATTGGGCTAAATCTTTGTGCGTGCGGCAGAAAGTGTGCGGTGGATGTTTGAGGACCACAACCTTCAAAGGTGTGGCAAATGCGCTGGACGCGCGAGGACCGCAAACCCTTCTGAAGGTGCGGCACGTGCCAGACGATCATGCTATAATTTCCCACTCGGGCGCTGTTCAGTTGCCAGGAATATCTCGACGGAGTCAGTGACGACACACGTAAGGCCACGGCGCCTCCGAACATAACATCAACGGCGTTGATCGTCATATATCACCAAGCTTGGGAGGAAGATATGTCACAGGGAGCAGTGGCGTTCATTAAGAAGACGTTTGCCCAAAGTCGCACAGTTTGACCTAATCATCCGGCAGCCTCGTCGAATAATCTGAAAATGAGGCTGATCCGACACAGGGCGACAGGGCAAGAAGGAACCATCGTCCAGCGAATTGACCTGAGGCTGCTGCACCTCTTCTATACAGAAAGTGTGCCCGATTGTTGTGTCTATCCTTGTCATTTTCGCGCGGGTGCTGCTCTGGTGGTGATGATGGAGCTGGTGTCTGGACGTGGCAGTGCTTAGCTGATCACGAAGCTCCACTGATTTGCCGTTTGGCTGGAGATTTCCGTGGGCAAGAGCTGTCCAATTCCTCCGCTAAAACGCAAAGTTCCGTTGCATCCAAGGCATCTGAAGGAAGGTGATGTGGCCACCTTGAGTCCGCGTACTGAGTACTGTGCCACGCCCATTCCTGTGGTAAAACGTGGGCCACAGTATGATATGTCGTGATTTAAAAATGGCATGATCTTTGAGATTATCGTCTAAGTCGTGAGTTCGCAATAAAAGCTACGTGGTGCCCTATTATGAGTCCATCATATAGCTTCATTCACCGTACCTCTCCTGGTCGTGCTGCAGCGGCCGCCACATCTCCATCAATATTCCTTTCGCCTGTCCCCGGTCGTCGTCCTTCCCACAACCGAACCCAGACTTCGGGAGGATCCATAGGTCGCTGTCCGTCGTGTAGGCCAGGCCATACATCGGCAAAGAAATAGTAGACGTGACCAACGATCACGCCTAGAATCTCGTCCTTCGGGATGCTGCCATGCATAAACATATGGAATGCCATCAACACCCAGGGTAGATAAGGTGCAGTGAAGACTAAGACTCCAAGAAAACTGAGGCGAGTATCCGGGTTCCGTCTAGACCAAATGTAGACCAGAGTGCTTGACAATGCCGAGCCAAGGAAGGGTATCGATGTTGTAAGCGAGCTCAGAGCAAGCAGCGATGTGCAAGCATACAGGAGAAGCCATGAAAACACCGCTGGTGAAGGGCCTGAACCTTGTTCCAGGAGTCGCGAGTATCGCTGAAGGAAGAAGACGTGGAAAGCAAGGTCGAGGGACGGTGGGCCGAAGTATATGAACGTGGTTATCAGTCGCCAGTACTGGTATCGTAAGCGTTTGTGCAAGGCAGGAGGAAAGGATGGTTCTTACCTGTGACTTGTAGTATACCGCTCGCCAGGAATAGAACAGTTGGAACGGTGTGATAACCTTGCACTGCAACAGAATCGACGTGATGACCGTGGCCGTGGTCCAGTACCGGGTACAAGGTGGCATCTCAAAGAACCATTGCTCCAGCGGGAATTGTCCCAATTGCCCCATGGCTTCCTCGCCTCCTCCAAGTATGGCCGCCATTATCCACGGTATGAGCTGGAAGAATGGGAGGATGGTCCGGGAAAAATCTGAGAAGAATTCGGGGCTCTGGACGATGGTGTAGATAGGAGAAGGGACGGACTGTGTCAGGATCGGAGAGCGCAGGTCAGAGTAATCATGGTGATATTTGTCAGGAGGAGGAATGGGCGACAAGACAGGGAACGACAGGTTCATGTAGTGGCGTTTAGAGGGCAAGAGTGGTAGGTGGCCTCTTTGTGAGGACTGTGTCGGTCTGAGGCGCAGAGTGTCGAATGATGTCGAATAATGAAGGTTCCTGGAATGTCGGCAGCGAGACCCCCTGCTCCTCTTTGTTGGCCATCTCCAATTCTGCTGCGAGCACTGACCGACGCGCGCCGGGGAGATACTCGTACCAATGCGACGCGACCTGGAGACCACTTGCAATACTCGACGAAGTCCACGAAAGCTTGCGCCGACAGCATTATCCTTGGACGTGTGTCGAGACACGCTTGCAAACGACCAAAACCACTGCGCTCGTTCAGTGCCTCACCTTTTGCTGCATCTACCAGCTCCACGAATTATTGCGCGCCCCGACCTCGAATGCTCAACTACTTGCGCCGCACCCTAGATTTCAATTGCTGAGCTGAAATACTATTCCTCTCAGCAATACCGTGCCTGCTGGATGGTTCGCTCTCGGTAGCACGAGGTCAGACTTCTGCACAATGGCGCAAACCAAGAACGTCAGACGTCGTTCTGGGCCTACGACACCCAGCAAAAGCCAGAGAACAACTCCTCGAGGAAGACCGAGAGGTCGGCCTCGCGCACAACGTGAGTCTTGATTGTCGCGCTCTACATACTATTGCTGATATGAGAATCATAGCTGGCGATCCAATCCCCACAAGAAAACCGCACAGATACCGTCCAGGAACGATCGCCCTTCGAGAAATTCGACGGTACCAGCAGTCTACAGATCTCCTCATACTCAAACTCCCTTTCGCTCGTCTAGTTCGAGAAATTGCGCTCGATGTTCTCCCTGCTCGCGCAGCGCAAGATCTAAGATGGCAAAGTCAGGCGATCCAAGCTTTGCAAGAAGCTAGCGAAGCTTTTCTGGTTCATCTGTTTGAAGACACGAATCTGTGCGCCATACATGCGAAAAGAGTAACGATTATGCAGAAGGACATCCAGCTGGCGAGAAGAATAAGAGGCGCCTGGGGCGGGCTGGGTTGATGTGTTGTTCCTCTTCTGCGAACTTCATGATAACTGTTACGCACGCATTGCAACGGCGTTTGGGCGCATGAGCGGTTCTACAGCACGGCTTTTGGTCTTGGTTGCCAGCCATGATAGGTCGCATCCTCTGGGGCGAGGTATTGTCAGATGTTTGGACGCCGGCATTGGGCTTTATGTTATTATTGTATAAGCGTACTTCTTTTGTCGGGGTATCAGCCCAGTGCCCTGCCACCACCAAGCGAGTCGAGACATTACAGCAGACAGAGGTCCAATCCGATCCGAAGATCGCTTATTTCACAAGACTAAATCCATGATGAATGTCAAAGGGAGAGATGTCCTCCTCAGCCATTGACACTCGACCCGAGCACTCCCTTCGTACTCGTCACGTCTCCGCTGCCGACAGTGCCTTCAGCTCTTCTCTCGCAAGCCTGTCTGCATGCCACAGCAAGGGCTTTGAAAGCACTCTCGGCCCTATGATGGTTGTTGTGTCCGTAGACACATTTGACATGCAGCGTCACACTGGCAGCCTGAGCAAAGCTCTCGAGCCCGTGAGTGAGCATTTCCGTGCTGAGGTCGCCAATCTTTTCTCTGGTGAACCCGAAATCAATCACACTGTAGGGTCGATTTGATAAGTCGATCACAGCCCAAGACAAAGCTTCATCGAGTGGCGCGTCTCCACGACCAAAGCGTACAAGAGATGTGCGTTTGCCCAAAGCAGCATTGAATGCAGATCCGACTGCCAGGAAGACATCTTCAGCTGTGTGGTGATCGTCTATGACCAGGTCGCCCGATGCTCTTATAGCTAAGGACCAACCGGCATGCTTTGCGAGGGCGTGAAGCATATGGTCCAAGAAACCGATCCCAGTGGAGATGGCAATCTGCTGCGTAGGACTAATCTGGGTAGCATGGTGTGAGCTGGGCAAAGGGAAAAGTACATCTGGATGGGACTGCTTCTGTGCCGTAGGTACTGAGGACGGAAAATGCTCTGATGGTTCGTAGGCGAGGAGGGAACCTCCGTCAAGTGATAGTGAGACTTGGATCTTTGTCTCATTGGTTGTGCGTGAGAGCACATGTGTGCGCCTAGGCAATGACAGCGGTGCTGTCCTTTCGATTGACCCCATTTCGGCAACTCGGTGAGCTTCAGGCTTGTTTGCTGGTGAGGATGCCTCTCGCAGTTTCAGATGAAGCAGTTTGTGTTCAGATGTCATTCAGGGCAAGCATTTTCTTAGAAAGAGTCTTGCTCCACTCGCATAGAGGTCAGGTGGTGATTGGCGGGAAGAAGAAGCAGGTACGCCGAGTTCAAAGCTCCGCCCGGCCTGCACCCCAACATCGATCCAGCAGACTGCGCTCAGCCTTCCAGGACCTCATATCTAGCACTCTCGTGTGAGAGCAGAGAGTCTGAAGATGGTCATCAACCCAACATACCTCGCTCAACGGGCGCGGACGTGTACGTCAATGCTTCCAAGTCAATTCCTGCGAGTCTGCTGACCTATCTACAGCCGTCAATTGGGCAGATGCGCGCCGACGTGTTCTCAAATCCTATCGCGAATGGCTCAGAGCTGTAATACTAAGAAGTTTGTCCATGTTAAAGAACGTTGCTGAAAGACGATAGGGCCCTGAGATACAAACAATGTACTCCTTGAACATGCCAGTCTCCAAGGTTCGAACGAAGGTCAGACAAGAGTTCGAGAAACATAGATACGTCAACAATCTACAAGCAGTAGATGTGCTGCTACAGCAGAGCCAGGCGGAATTCCAGGTTCGTACAGCACGAGGACAATACACCTTGCATAGCTGACGTAGGGGTGCCTGAAGGAAACCCTGAATTTCTGGAAACAAACGACGCATGTCATGAAATACTGGAGGGCGGAAGAGGACGAGAACGCCAGATTACCAAAGAACTTCATCTCCGGATTCCTTGAGGTACGTCTCGTGAGAGAAAGCGAGAGCGAGAGACTGCTTGTAAGGGATCTAACATCCTTTCCAGGGACGAAATTAACGGTCATTATGTCGGCCATTGTATATAGCTAAACAGAAACCCGGGCGCCGTCGCCATGCATAACCAACATCGATGAATCATCACGATTGCTTTGCGTCAAACTCGTCTCGCGCTTCGGTGAACTTTTCCGAGATCACATCGCAAGCCTCCATCATATCAATCAGCCCTTTTCTGAGAGCGTCGACTGCCGTCGTCCTAGTATCTTCTGTGAAATGTCAGATATGTAACGCACTTCAGCGCTCAGCAAGTTAGACTCACCCCATGTTTGGATGCGGATGTTCATTTTTGTCTCAGATGGATGTGGAATCGTGTATCCGCAGAACTCGACATCCGGACTGGCAGCAATCAGTATTGCAAAAACTGACGGGTGCTAAGAAATACTTCTTGTTGACGAAATATCGTAGAGCATTGCCCAGTGTATGATCTTCCTTCTCGATCTGGAATGATGCAGCATGGGAAGAAGCGCCGGGAAGCTGTGAGTCGAAACATCAGTCTTCCACCATGGAATTCAGGCTTGTGGCGGAGAAGTTTTGCGACGCTTACAATCACCAACTTTTTCGCCCCATCTAGAAGCAGTTCCTCCCCGTGTTCGTACTCTTCGTCTTCCATCGGATTGTCTCCGCTATTGGACATGATGATGGGCGCTTTGCGGATTGATAGCAAATTACAGGATCCTGTTGAACGGATTCTCGTGCAAAATATCAAAATCTTGCCGCAAAGCCGCTAGCCTCGTTGCCAAGATGGATGATGTCAGCAAGGCTGAAAAAGCACGAAAGACAGTAGAGTTTGTCTGACAGAATGATTCAATGGGGTCAAGAGCGACCAGGCGATGCCAGAACACGTCTCAGGCTGCGCACCTCCGCCTACGCAGTAAACCACCCATCATCTCTTGCTAATTTTTGAGATCTTCTCTGACTGACTTCACGTTCCCTTGCCGTTCCCAAGGCTTACAAGATGAACATTAGCCTCTCGATGGTATGATAGCGAGGCTCAAGAGGGTCGTGATACCACTACTCCGCAGTATTTCATAGAGAACGGAATGATCGGATGAGCTGTTGAGCAGAGGAAGCAAGGGTAGTCATTCGAGAGTCTCATGATCCTAATGCTCAGAGGCCACCGACATCTGAAAGTCGCAGCTTATCGTGCCTATGCTATTGGCAATCGCCATGGTGCAGTCGCTTCCTACTGCCTGGCTTTCAGAGGCAAACACAAAGGATGTGCAAGATTCTGCGGTATCGAGCCTTGTATTGGCCCTTCATAAAGGTGTTGGCCATTCAGCGGGTAAATATTGTGCCTGGCCCCTCAGCCGAACGCAAGAGGGATTTCTCCTTTCACTTTGGACTGAGTTGGCGCGGCCATGGATGCTCATAATACCAGCTCAAATCTACAAGAAAACCACATGGGCTACGAATGTACGAAGGTCGGCGGTCACGTTGAGCGTTCGTCGACGTTGGGACATTGCTTCTCGCTACCGCACAGAAGAGCCCCATAGGCGGTGACCGCAAGCGCGAGGCCGTTCGCTTATTTCATGCCACTCTTATCGGCACCGACTGCGCAATATTGATAAGTTGCTTCGCCACGAGTACTCAATCCAAGCGACGCAGGGATCAAGCAGGACTATGGAGCCTGGCACGCCTGGGGAAACTAGTGTCCCAGTGAGCGTTTCAGGACAAGGCATCATTCGCCCATCACTACGACATTTGTTGACTCGCCTCGTGGCTCCCTAGATCGGGAAGGAAATACTCCCGTACTAAGTTAGTACCGAGATGTATCGTTAGCGATGCGTGAAGAGTAATCATGTGCACGGTGGAGAGTAAAGCATTCGTGGATTCTGCACAAGCTCTGGATGACAATCACGAAGATATATATTTTGATTACGGAGCAAATAATATCCCGGTAGGACGACATATTCCAGGGAGTGTCTCAAGACAACGGCCACAATTGAACGGGGACCCGTTCAGTACTGTAGTAGATGTGCAGGTTACTGCTGCTTCAGGCTGGTGAGGCTTTACATCTGACACTCGTCGCAGCACGATCGACCACTAGACTGTTTCAGCAAATCATCTGGCCAGTCTTCAGCCTCTCCAAGCACTCACTCCGCCAGTGCAGAAAGTCTGTTCGGAGCACATCGTGCACATTGTTCAACACCCAATTTTTGGCTGCGTCTAGTAGCGCACTGGAAGTGAGAAATACGACATGGGGGCGTCGAGGGTCAGGCTGACGGCCTACCATTGCATCTGGAAGACGCAGCGTGAGTAACCTTCGTTAGGACCGCTGAGAAGTTTTAGGAGCTCTCGGTGCCCAATGAACTTCAAGCTTTCCCTACTTCGGCGGCTGCGAATATGCAGGTTTCTGCTAGGCGATCCAATACTCAGCATGGTCTCAGTCCGATTGCAACGTGTGACAAGCATTCCGTAAGACCCAGACTGCCAGAGTAATCCGCGCATCCAGGTTACCTTTCTGCCACTATTGACGACTGACCTGCAGGAGAACATTTCTTTTTGACAGCGAACCGTGGCACAAGGCTAGAATCAAAGCAAGATACTCCGTATTCAACAAGGGGATAAAACACGCCGAGGACGCGTTGAGTCGGAGGGGCAAGAGTGCGACGAGCAGGAGAAGCTTAGAGGGGGTCTTTTTTGTGCATTGACGCAACCTCCTGAATATTTGAAACATTGCTTGCCGCACCGTGCACGAGAAGTCGGAGAGAGACCCGCTCTAAGGAAGATGGAGCGATGTCGACTTGAGTGGCGGCCACGAGTCGAACAGAGTCATCTTTCGGCTGTCGCAATCCAAGAAATTGGGTAGCCTACAGTTGGTCAAGGATGGCTGCGGGAGTCGCTAACTATCGACCTAGGTGGTAAACTAATGGAGTTCGAAACGAATGTTATGGACAGAAAGGAAAGATGGTACTTCAGCTGCAAGCATGGGGTGGCCGTAGGTGGCGCATTAAGTGCCATATGCGTAGGTGTTGTGTCAGTTTGGGGCACCCTAGAATCTGCCTGGAGGCGGTGGGAGGGGCTCCTGAATCCCTGAAACTCTCGTTAAAGGAAGACTGGTCGGGGCCACTAATCTGAACTCGGGTAACGGAAACCTCTGACTGAAGAAGACTGCCAGTGAGTGCCTGCGGCTGGCTTTTTTGACACCTGGAGAGTGGAAGAGGGCAGTCGATCCAATCCCTGGCGCACCACCACTGTCTGTGCCACACCTTGTTCTTCGACATCTCTGATTCACGATTCACCCTGGCTTGTCCTTGTCCACTTGTCTTGGACTGCTCCGTTTCTTTGCCCTCCTTCCCGCAGCCCGCTTTTTCCCTTTCCCTCTTCCCTCGATCACCACCATTTCAACCTCACAGGCCGCGCTTCTCAAAGAACGACCTAGCCGCTCGTTGCTTTCTCAGCCCGTTCCCTTTCCACCCATTTCCGCCTTACTAGAGAAGTATTCTTTCTCTGAGCGGAGCGCTTCTTTTTGCGCCCTCAGGTCACTCGCTTTCCGAACAAGGCTGTGCCGAATCAACGGTCGAATCGCCGTCCTACCTCTCGCGCTGCACATCTGCAAGGCCACTCGTTTAGTTTGCATTTAACCAACTGACAAACAACACTGAAGACGCTCAAGTCGAGAAGAGTTGGTAAACACAAGAAAAAGAGGTTGGGAATCTATCCAGGACAATTCGCGGCAACCTCTCCAGCAAGATCATCCTCCATCCTCTCACTGCTCCTATACCATTGAGCCAGCCTCGCCATGTCGACTGCTGTGGCTTCTGCTGCGGTAGCTCCGCTGCCTTCGCTCGACCGAAATCCAAGTCCCAGAAGCTATCCTCCCTTGGCTCCTGCTACCAATGTAACACCGAGAGACAGAAACACGGACCCGGGCATGGCTTCCGAGATCAGCATGACAGTACATGCCAACGAGAAGACTCCCTCGGACGGGAAGAGGTCCCCAAGGTCGTGAGTACTCTCTATATCCTCCAAATATAGCCCAGGTTGACCGTGACGGTGTTAGAATACGGAGTTCAGACCATCCCAAGATCATCGTCAAGAAGGAACCTCCCTCGTCCCCTTCCCTTCAGACAAGCACCCGACACAGACCCAAAAAATTAGATCTGAACACAACCAGCACTTCAATCTCGGCAGGTCTGAACTCTCGGCCTTCAGCTACGCCGTTGACTGCAAGAGATGGACTAGTTTTGCATGATGTCGGCCTGGCTTGCTTGTCACCAGGTTTCCAGACTCAGGACCCCGCAATGCGTGAACAATTGGAACGCAGCATGTCGGTGAGAGATCAGCAGCGATCTATCATTCAAGCAAGGCTGCTCAAATCTGCCCGCGGAGACGGTCCAGACACGGGAAAAACCAGTGAACCAGCTACTTCAACAAGAACCCCCACGGCCTCATCCAAGAAAAGGCCCCCGCCCGGTCTCTCGATTGTTCCTCCTTCAGCCGAACGCTTTGCCAACGAGCGTGTCATTCAGTCTGCGCCTCTGAACCAAACCTTTACCGGGAGACACGATGCACCACTGTCGAGACAAGTGAATGAGCATCCTGCCATGTCATCTCAAAGTCACATCCATCATATTCCTGCAATTCAGACCAACAATAGACTCCCTCCGATCGCGGACGTGTTCGGAGCCAGTGAGCTCAACCCTGGGCCGGCTCGACCACCTTTCCTGCACGCAAACTCCACTCCTTCTCATAGTCACGGCCCTCCTCTTCCTTCTCCAGGCTTTCCACCACAGACTGCTCATCCCATGTCTCAGCCTGCGGGCATGCATTTTGACCGCCCTCGAGAGTATCGTTCAGCAGAAGAAGCTGTCCACGAGATGACTGGAGGACGAGAGGATCTTTTGCCCAAGATTGTCCACTATGGGGGTCATCAACCGCCTACGCCTCCCTCACCTCAACCTGGCCACAAAGATACTTTGACTCCTCAGAAGTACTTGTCCAACAACTCCGCCGGTCGAAGGAGGAGCCGTATGGAATATGAAGAAGGTAGCAGCCCGCCGTTGGGCTCTGGACGAGAACGACTCCGCCATAGTGGTCCATTTGGCGAAGGCAGAGACAGTCCTGCTACGCAAAGAGCAAAGAAGGAAGAGTTCTTGAGCTTATGTGCTCGAGCATGGGATCTGTTCCATTCTTGAGGCCGGTATTGCGAATTTCCACTCCTGTCTATATCGGCGCTCTTCGATCCCAATTTTGAACTGCGATGGCGCTATGGGGCGTAATGAGGTGGACGGCTGCTTTGGAGGTATTCTCTTACGATGCGAGTCTCGTCAACAAAGCTATGCCGGGTTTGAAAATTTCTGCTTGATGAACTATTTTCAAGGAATACCATGTAATGACAAAAAGGACTGTCTGGACAGGGACTATTTTCTAATACCACGCGATGATTAGCGACGACTGACTGGGAAGGATTGGTATGAGATAACATGACAGTCTTTGGGAGACGGAACCAGGACTGCATGAATTGGTGATGGGTGCGTTTGATGATTTCGCATGCATTTCTTTCAAACGATGAGTCAAATGGACGGGTTAGGATAGCTGAGAATCCTCAAAAGCATTGATCTTGCAGGACTGTCAGTATCGGTAGAAAGGATGTCCCACTGTTCTCTGACCTGGCTCGCTTATTATTTGATGTTCTTGTGAAGGGTCTAAAGGGATTTTATAATTGTTCCAGGGGTTGTTCCCATATCCCAGTGATGTAAATCAGCCTCGTCTCTTGTCCACTTCTCCAATCTGCAAATTGGGGAATTCACGAGGCTGCGCGGGAACGGAGTTTCCTTCTCCAACGCACCACTCCACCTTGCGGCGGTTTTCTATCGCTGTCAGGGCGATTTTGTCCTCATCCTCCTGTCTTGCGATTCCTCTTACACAAAGCATCCGACTTTGGCGTGGCAGATAAGAGCTGGACTAGGCATTGCTGTGGCAGGCTTGCGTTTGCCCGAAACGACTCGTGCTCCAGTCGAGGCTGGGTTATGAGAGCGAGTTGATTGATATCAACAATAGTCGACTATACCGCACAAGCAGGCCTCAAAGCCCGCTTAAAGAAGCAAGACAGGCAGGTCACCATAGCTTCCATCAGATCACTGCCTACAAGCTACGCCAGAGGCCATCACTACAGTACTACTCTTCCAATCTGCAAGTCCGTCCAATCTATATCACGATCTAGCTTTGGCACCTCCAGTCGGCCCGCCATAAAGCAACCGCAACCGCCCATCGCCGCTCTCCAACATCAATCTGTCGTTCAGATCAACAGACACAGACGTTCGTCATCGACTATGCGCGCCCAAGTCCTCGAATCATTCAACACCCCGTATACCTTCAAACCCGACTTCCCCCGCCCTCCGCCACCTCAGGGCCATGAGCTGTTGATCCGCGTGACAGCGGCGTCGTACTGCCACACCGACGCCGTCTTCGCGAGTGGCGCTATGCAGCAAGGCCTCCCTCGCGTCGGGTCTCACGAGTTCGCTGGTGTCGTCGAGCAGCTTGGCCCGGATGCCGAGAAAGTCGCTCAACTCAAAGGAATCAGCGCCGGGGCGCTTGTCGGCGTGCCAGGAAGGGCGTTCGCGTGCTGTGGCGTGTGTAACGAGTGCACGGAGAACGGAGGCGATCTGCGTGGTTACGGCGTGTGGTGTCCGCGTGCAAGTAACTTGGGCTTGACGCGCGACGGGGGCTTCCAAGAATATTGCCTTGTTGATGTGAGGCAGGTGGCCCGTGTACCGGAGAATGGGAAGCTGCGAGCCGTGGATATAGCTCCGCTCATGTGTGCGGGGGTGACGGTTTGGAATGCGCTGGGTGCGGCGGGCGTGGATATGGCTGTGTCTGGCGGAAAGGGGAATGGAGAGGCCGGAAGCAAGTCGGTGGCAATCCTCGGCGCGGGAGGCGGGTTGGGCCATTTGGGCGTGCAGTTTGCTGCGAAGTTGGGTTGGAGGGTTGTCGCGGTAGACACGACGCCTGCGATGAAGATGCTTGAGAACGTGGTTGCGGAGTTGGGTGAGGACGGCAAAAATGTCGTGCTTGTGGATGCATTGAAGGAGACCGTTGACGATGCGAAAGCACGGATCTTTGGCGCGGCGGAGAAAGGGCTCGAAGGGGAGAAGGGGTGCGATTCGAGCTTGATCCTGCCGGAGTCACAGGCTGCCTTTGACTTCGGGATGGGGGTTATTAAAAACCACGGCACGTGCGTGTGCGTGAGTTTTCCGAAGGATGGATGGCGCTTCAAGCCGGGCGATCTGGTGTTCAGACATATCAAACTTGTGGGCGTGTTGACGGGCCGAAATCATCAGTTGCAAGCTATGGTGGATTTTGCAGCAAGTCATGGTGTCAGAGCGAAGATAAGGACGTATCCGCTCGAGAAGCTGAATGAGTTGGTGGAGGATTACCATCGAGGCGTAGGTGGGAAATTGGTGGTTGATATGGAGATGAAGCCGTAACAATGGATAATGGTAAGGTCAGGTTGTGTAAAAGGTCCAGGACACTCATCTTTCCCGCCTTACACGAGGCATGTCTCTGGCTTCTTTGCCTTTTTCCCGCTTCCTTCGTCTCTTCTCAGACTTATCGCGAGCACGTTTGCCCATACTTTGTAGTTTCTCTTCTTTAGCAAGTTTCTTGACCTCGGCGTCTTTCAGGTAGTATGGTGCAGCTTTCTGCCCGGTACGCAAGGCTTCTTGTTCCTGCTGCTTGTGTCTCCTCTTCACTTCTTCCTGCTTCTGTCGCATTTCGGCGTTACGTAGCTTGGACTCTAATGACATGACTTTCCGCTTTAGGTCGGCAACAACATCGGGGTCTTTGGCCTTCTTGATCTGCGACTTGAGGTCCAAGATCTCACTCGCCTGGTATTGTGTCAAGAAAGAATAGTTCTTGCTCGCCTTCTCGGTGGCGTTGGTGTCTCGATTGGCTGACATGACTGTAGGATCAAACCGAGGATCCCGAAACTTCTGCGCCGGCGCGGGCTCGAAGATGGTTCTCTTTCGCGAAACGGGCTTTCGTGCAGATTCGACTACAGGTGCATGTTTGGATGTTCGCTTCGGTCCGTCAATGCGAGCCTCTTTGGCTCTCTTGCGGGTGTCAAAAGAATCTTCTTCATTCTTTTCCGGTTGTGGCACTGGTCCTTCGAGCGTCTCTGCCAGTTTTCGCTTGCGCGGCCGTGGATCAAAAGTTTCTTGTGCCTTCACTAAGGCTCCGAAGCTGATGTCCTTCAACGGCAGTCCGTCTTCTGGAACGGATTCTAGGTCATCCTCCTGGACTTTGTCAATAGAATCCAACAATCGTGGTGTTGCTGTAGTACCTCATCCTCAAACCCCAAGTCGCTTTGGGCGGACTCGCTGTCCTGCGACTGGTCTTCATTGTCATCGTCCTGGTCTGAGACCTCATCTTCAACATCCTCAACATCTTCAACGTAGTCCGGCCTTAGCTGAATAGGCTGATCCAGTAAGCTTGCTGGGCTCATATTGTGTTGTAGGTGAGGACTATGTAAAGACTGGACGACAGACAGCGTGGACAGGAACTTTTTTGAAAAAGCGGCAAGGGACGTATCCGACGCTATAAACAAGGTTAAATTTAGCGTGAGATGGAGGCAACGCCGAGATCTGGCGAGGATGATGAGATTTGCCTGCGGAATCCAGTCTGCCAGAGTTTGTTTCTATGTGGTATCACTACAGACAACGACCGCTCTTTCCAACAAGTGCGCAGGGTGACCTCCGTACTTAGCCATCGTTGTACATACTGGACGCGCTCCGACTGCGGCAGGGATTAGGCCTCTGTCGCCGACCGTCACCAAAAGTCTGCCTGACCTTTACAACTTCTTCTGTTACTTCATTACTAACCCTTCTACATCAGTGGCAGCATCAGTGCCTCGCCTCTTCCACCCCTATCTACTCGTCGCAGTATTCTACAACAACCATGCCTTCCAGCCGCGGGAGCAGACGTCATCCGTCGCAAGCAGACAATCCAACCCAGCCGACCTTCCATGACCATCGTGACTACATTCCAGATCGAGCCACCCAATTCCGACAAGGTGAATACTATGATATCTTTGACGAGGAGAGGATTAACATATACAAAATAGTGGACTCATGGAGGTCTTACAGAAATGATACCGTCAACCTCCAGACTTCCACAACCCTGCACCAATCGCAGCGGGCACCAACTGCCAGACCGAACGAACCTCGATACCAGGACTTCCAGGTCATGTACGGAAATGCGCCTTTTCTTCAGTCCTGGCACGCTAGGGGACCGCAACATACTCTACACGAACGGTTGAGGTCAGTACATAATTATGCTCGATATCCCACATATCGGGTTGACAAGGCATACAGAGTGTCTGATAGCACGCGTGGCAAACAAGTTCCCCAGCAGGGGCAGATGGACGCGCTTTTGACATCTACGCAATCGCCGCCTCGATATCCACTTCGTTCAAGACGTAATGAGCAGATCGCAGCCTACAGTACTGCAAACCCAGCCGACATTCCCCTCCCTTCAATTGAGGTTCCGCCAGAATCTGCCACTGCGCAAACGCTCTTAAATCGACCGATCCGACATATTCCCAGTCGCCGCAGTCGCACAGCGACTCCGCGCGACGTCGAGCCTCCAGTTGCCCCGAAGCCTACCTCTGCATACAAGAAAATGGCTGCGCTAGCGCCAGCTCTGAGAGATACCTCGCAGAAACTCCTAGTCGTACTGGATCTGAATGGGACTCTGCTCGTTCGACCGAACCGCCGTGCTGATCCTACAAAGTTCAAGATAAGACCCGGCGTCACACAATTGCTTGACTATCTGTTCAGTAACCATGTAGTCATGGTGTATTCCTCTGCGAGGCCGGAAAACACAATGGCAATGGTCAAGAATCTTATTCATCCCAAGCAGCGCAATGAGATGGCTGCAGTTTGGGCGAGAGACAAGCTAGGCTTGACCGGTCGCCAGTACAACAACAAGGTCCAAGTATACAAGAAATTGGAAAAAATTTGGGCTGACACCGACATTCAAAGCAAAGCCGCGCCTGGGTGCAAATGGAACCAAAGCAACACGGTGCTTGTCGACGATAGCCAGCTGAAGGGGCTTGCTCAACCGCACAACCTTTTACAAGTTCCGGAGTTCGAAGACAACGCGCCAAAGGAGGGTGGAGCAGTATTGCGCGAGTGGCAATTGAAGGAGCAGGCGATCGTCAAGTCTCTCGAGTTGAAGCTTGAAGAACTCAAGTGGCAGGTCGATGTGTCGCGGTTGATTCGAGAATGGCAGACCGGCAAAAAGCACGCACCCGGAGTCGTCGACGAGACCATTGATCAGAAGACGCATCGCAGACTCGAGCAGCCGGAGCTAACGCCTGCACCCAGTGTCGGTGAATCTCCTGCAGCGAATGTCGAGCAAGGTGATTTCCCATCGCAGGTTTTAACGCCCAGCAGTCTGGCACGATCCGACACCTTCGCCACGGAAGATGAAGAAGGGACTGACAAGGTTGTGGATTTCCACAGTACAAATGTGCTGGATGAATTGGAGAAGGAAATTGATCGAAACCTGAGATTGGGATACGGGACTAGTGGAGATGAGAAGATTCGGAGAAGTGAGTCCCCCATCAATGAGAGTGTCTGGAAGGATATTCTTAGAACGAATGGCGAGAAGGACAAGGAAAAGGAGAAAGGCAGCTTGGCCAATGTGCCGCCGACGCCGGACAGTTTGTCGTCCTGAATGCTTCCTGCGGAGGACAAGGTACGTTTCGTCCTTGTCCACGACAACGGCGCCCGTGCCCAGTCAAGGGCTCGGTGATACATGTATGGGCCATGGCGAAGACACGGAGCTTGTGCTTATGTCATGAACCTGATACTCCTCGACGCGACTATGCTATCCTGCGCTCAAGAAACCAGCGCGGAGAAGGGCTGGATGACATGACCCAAGCATAAGTCCAGCGTTTAGGAGCCAGAAATGAGCAAGTGTCAAGACACAGTATTAGTGTGCACCCGCAGACAGAACACACAAAGCTTCCTGTAATATCTAGTTGTGCAATCCACAAAAGCGCCATGGCTCTCAACGCTTCAACTAAATGCCTTTCACGCGAAACAGTTCGACTAAACACCTTTTCACTCAGTCGCTTTTCAGACGTTTGACTGCTTCTGGCAGTTTATCCCAGCTCGCCTCCGCATCGGCCCTCCTCTGCTGGGCATCTCCCAATAAACCATTGATCTCGAGTGCCTCCGCCTCCAGACCGGCCGCGACGTGCATCCACATCGGATCACCCCATCGTCGGACCTGGTGACTTGCAGCCCTGGCACACTTGATTGCTTGTTCATCCACTGTCCCCCTAAACAGCTTCTCTTGCATGTAAACCAATGCGAGTGCAGTCGTTTGTGTGCTCCCGATCGCTTTGGCTGCTTCCATTGCACTTCTGAGATATTGCTTCGCTGTCAGCGTTGTAGTTGACAGGACAGACACCAGAAGCGAGTAATGCGCTTGTATGTACTTGTTCCCACAGCTCTGGACAGCCGTACTCAGGTTATTGACCAGGTAAGCCTGTCGATTATGCTGGGCATGCTGGGGGTCCTGGAGGATGAATGCAGTGTTCATGGCGGCAAGAATACACATGTTGCGAGTAATGTCCGAGTCTGCATGATATGACGTTGAGATTTGATGGTCGGCCTTTGGCCTCGTTGATGGTGAGGAATGCTTCTGTTCGAGACTCAACATTGGCGATTGGTAAATTTCGAGTGCTTGTGCAGTGTTCCCTGTGCCTTGTAATATGACACCTTCCAAGTAGAGCAGCGCAGACTTCATACTCAGCGGAAAATTGTTGCCAACATCTTCTGAAATGCGATGTATAGCAGACACCATGCTGCTCGCTTTTTGCCAGGAACCTCTGGAACAACGCATAAAACAGATCAGAAACAAAAATTGTGCCTCGAGCAATTTCTGGAAGATGTGCACTCTCTGTGATTGTTGATAACCAGTAGCAAGACCTGGTCGTCCCCAAGACCGAACTTCCGCGAGGCCTGCTTCAGCAAACTTCTCTGCTTTGCCGCCATCGGCTCCGCTCTTGTAGGCCGCACTGTCGGCGCTGAATAGAAATCCTAAGGCTTCCACGTGCTCCTTGCTCAGCCACGAGAAGGTCATAAAGTACTTCCCGCATCTTTCAACAACGTGTCCGTTGCCCTGAAGTTGAATGCCTGTTATTGCCCGCTTCGAGACAGGGATGTAGATGAAGCCGTCCTCACGCCACTCAGGGTTGCCGATCGATTCGTAAAGCACATCATGCATAATCTTACGTTTACTTTCCGTTTGCGCAATATTGCACTCTCGGACACTGCATGCGAGATCAATGAACTCCATCAGTATAGTCAGTTGGGGAGTTGTTTCAACGTCCGAATTTAGTTGCAAAGCCCGGGCTTTTGCTAAAGCTGTCTGGCTGGCTGTGACCGCTTCATGGCTGGAGCTGGAGAGATGCAGCAACGCTTCAAGTACTGCGGCCAAGGCCAGGACCGCACTGTCTGAATTTTGACGTGCCAAATTGGTGATCTTTTCGAGCTGCACGGCAGCGCTGTGCACTTCTCCTGGTGCTGCTGATGCTAAGGAAAACATTGCATGCTGAAAGCGGAAGATGTAAAGCCATGCCGTATGGCGATAGGCCTCGATGTCGTCAATCATTCTTTGGATATCTCGTAGTGCAGCTTTGGGATTGGACTCATAAAGGATTTTAGATAACAGCAGTTGCATTTCATATTTCAGATCAATGAATTTGTGTCTTTCACACAGCTCGATTGATTTCGTCAATCTTGTTTCAGCTTCGTCGCAGTTTTCTGTCTCTTCATAGAGGATCCGTGCATAGTGTAGAGAAACTTGGGCTTCTCTCAGAGGTGGAAGTTTGAAATTGTTGAGGACAGATTCGAGACAGCCAAGTGCAGTTGCTATCAGATTGTAGTATTCCTCCGTCACTGCTGGCTGTTTCCGGGCTGCGTCAAGGTAGTCGTCAGCCAAAACGCACAGCACAGAAGGATAGTTTGGTTCTGGTTCATCTGGTTTTACAGGTGAATGACGATTTTCAGCGGGTGTGGTGGCAACCTTCTTCGGCTTTGTGTTGATCTCGACCGCTTGGAATACTCTGGATGGAGTCTGCAAGGGCGTCTTCTGCAGCATTTGAGGGTTTATCGTGGTCAGCGGTTGGTCCGGCGTTTTTTGTGGTGGTTGAGGTTTTGTGGCTGGAACAGGCGATTCCCATTTCTTTTGAGATTCCTCGATTTTGATGCTGGGTATTGTTTGCTCTCGCTTTAGCTGAGATTGATCGGCACCCATCCTTGGACTTGCGATGTGTACTATCACATCTGATCGCCGTTGCGGAGGATCAGGCTTATATTGGGAAGCGTATTGTGGAGGTTGCTGTCTGGGAGGTGGTTGGAATGTCTGAGCAGGGCTTGGTACCTGGTTGCGAGGTTGCTGCGTAGGCTGCGTAGGCGGCGGATGATATGTTTGCCGTGGCTGCTGGAATTGCTGGTGAGGTGAGGAGGGAGACTGAGACGAGTGAGGCGGTATAACGACTTGTATACGAGACTGAGAGGGCTGGACAGGAGGGCCCGGTGGCAGATAGAAGGCTTGTTGTGAATACTCATGGACCGGTGCCTGGTAGTGTTGATCCTGATTGTAGTAGAACTGAGAGTAGTTTTGTGGAGGATACGGTTGAGGATGGTGATAAGATCGAGGCTGTGGCTGTGACTGTGGTTCGAACTGTAGATGCGGCTGAGACTGAGGATAAGGGAGGGTTTGCTGTTGTTGCGGGACTGCATGAGATGATCTCTGGTATTGAGATGGATGGAAGTTGGTGTAGATGGGATTAAATGGATAGTTGGGATCCATGGTGAAGGCGGCCTCCAGGCAGTCAATCACTCGGAAGTCCCTCCTGTTTCGCCCTCAGATTCTACGCTGGCTGCCGGCCGACAACGCGTCGTGTTCAGAGCCTTCGCCAGCTGCTCTTCTTCTTTTGTTATTGAAGTGCAGGATGATGCAGCAGCTACGCAGCTTGACGCGTTCAAAAAACAGTTTGCCTCTTTGTTTGACTCGGCAAGCCTCGTGCAAAAAGCCGCCCTTTCCGAGCCTCAAACAACGGCGGCAATCATTATTCGTCCCGTTAGCCTCTTTTGTTCCTTCGCTGTATCCGAGGTAACTGATACTATTGCTTGGTGCATTTCGAAGTCGGTGTACATCGACTTGAAGAATTGTACAGATCAAGCGCGTGGCCAGGCCTCCTTTACGAAAGACGTCGGCACAAACCGATTGGGTGTTAGGAACCCGTGCCCCATGTCGCATAACGTGGGCACTACTACGTAGTATGTCATCAACTGGGGCGAACGATTTTACCTAGGTACATAGTCACGGTACTGCATATTTCAGGCGAACGACATATGTGCATTTTCATAGAGGTCGGTCTTGTTCCATTGCTTGAGATGGCTGGACGGTTGTCATTCCTTCTTGTTTAGAGCGAAGATGAGGTCTCATGCTGCGGAGGCACTTCTTGGACAAGCCCAGGAGCATCAGGTCTTTTTCTCCCTCTTGGCCCTTGCTATCTTCGCTGTCTTTGCAGTGTCGCCCGGCAAAGTCGTCGGAATGGCAAAGATTCGATATTGGCACTCGGCGAAATCACTGGTACTGAAATACAAGGATGGCAGAACGACTTCGCTCGCCAACTTGTGCATGTCTCTGATCCCACCATGCCGGCTCAATCCATTCCTCTTCAACGGCCATCTTCAGACTATTTGGACCGTCATGACCCGCCAGTCTGTGCCGATCTACTATAAGCGATGGATATTTCAGAACAAGGACCCGACCTACACAGGACAATTTGCGGTTGACTTTGCGACGACGCCGAACGATGACCACGATCCGACTCTACCGCCAAGAACAACTTACTACACCGACCAAGAGTTCAACCAGCTTGGCTCACTCGACACTAGACCTATGCTTGTGCTGCTTCACGGTTTGAGCGGCGGGTCTCATGAACTTTACCTTCGGCATGTCCTAGCTCCTTTACTTGGGGATGGGGGATGGGAGGCATGTGTCGTTATTTCCAGGGGTTGTGCTATGACGCAAGTCACCACCAGTGTTTTATACAATGCACGCGCAACGTGGGATGTCAGAGAGACTGTCAAGTGGTTGAGAAAGACCTTTCCCAATCGACCTCTGTTTGGAATTGGATTCTCGCTTGGAGCCAACATTCTCACCAACGTAAGTATGAATCGTTGGTCCTCCCTTTGTGCTAATTCGTATAGTATCTCGGCGAAGAAGGCAGCAACTGTTTGTTCAAAGCAGCCGTTATACTGTCTAATCCGTGGGACCTGCACGCTGGCAGTCTCGCCTTGCAGAGAACGTGGTTCAATCGAAATGCATATTCGGCGGCGATGGGCAAGAGCATGAAAAGGCTGTTCGAGACGTGAGTGTCGATCAAGGAACCCTGGATATCTCCTCCTGACAAGCTTCTTACCTGCAGTCATGTTGACCAAATCTCCACCAACCCCAAGATCAATGTGGACGTTGTCCGCAAGATCAGGTATCTTCACGAATTTGACCGGTATGCCTCCTCCACTCTTCTGACACCGAGTTTCTGATCGCTTTAGACATGTGCAAGGCCCAACGTGGGGTTACCCGACCGAAGGAGCCTATTATCGCGATGCATCGTCCATTGACTCTCTGTTTGCCATAAGGGTTCCATTCCTGGCGATCCATGCAGAAGATGATCCGGTGGGTCGACGCTCCCGCATGTCGGTCCTTGCTAACAGGATAGGTGACTGCAAGCGAAGCCTTGCCTCGAGAAGAAGTCCAACAGACACCATATGGTGTACTATGCACCACAACAACGGGTGGTCATCTGAGCTGGTTCGAACTCGGCGGCAAAAGATGGTTTGCCAGAGCAGTAAGTCCCACCCCAGCCTGACCTACTTCTCCTTCGTGGAGCTGACAGGTTGATCTCTCCCCCTCAGACCACAGTCTTCTTTCAGACAATGGCGCGAGAGATAGACCTCGACGCAATATCTCAAACCGATGCCGCCGGCTCTCAGCTCGAGGGACAAATATCTCGAGAGCAAAGAGATCCCCTGAAGCCAGTGTTCGAGCCCATGAGGAGGAAAATGCACATCCCAGCACAGCATTAGACTGTCATAGACCTCATAGACGCATAGAGCCATAAAGTCTCTTTCCAAGCCTTTTCTCCCTCACATTCACGCAAATGAAACGCGCTTCTTGCTCTTCTTCTCTTTCGGGACATCTCTCTCGGCCTGCAGCTCCTTGTCGCTGCCTTTCTTCCCCTTCTTCAACCCCTTCTTGACTTCCTCCAGCGCCTGCTGCTTGTGCTCTTTCTTCTTCTCCATCTCTGCCCGCCTGGCCTCGCGGATCTCCTCCATCTGCCGGGCCTTCATCATTTTGCTTTCAATCTGTCCCTCTTTCTCGGCGTTGACCATCGCCAGGATTGTCATCATGCTCTCCTTGTCGTCAACGAAGATCTTGCCCTTCTTCTTCCCGCTGGGTTTCTGCACACCGACGGGGGTAATCATGTTCAAGGTTGGCAGGCCGAGTTCTTTGTCTGTGTACGTTCGTGCGTGCTTTTTCGACGTCTTTGCGTTCGACGAGCCGGTGTTTGAATGTGAGCCTGGTCTTGTCTTTACTTGTTTGGATGAAGGGCGTTTTGCCGACTTCGATTTTGAGGTAGAAGGTCCTGCGGTGGCAGACTTGCGGGCTTTCGGGTTATTCTTCGATGCGGAAGGTGGTTTGGGAGCCATATCGATGTTTTCGTTCGCTCTGGGGCGGTTGAGAGGATGTTGATCTGGAAAGGTCGGGCTGTGAAAGCGGATCGAGGTTTTGCTGGCTTGTTGGCAATTAATTGTCTTTGCGGCTTGCGCAGCGAAAATATTGACCGAAGATCAACCGCCGTGAATTTTCTTATCTTATCGTGGTGCGTCTCGTGGGTCTCTCTTTCTTACCAGCTCGCCAGGTATGCTTATTGATAAATACGACGGCCACGGACGCCTCTCTAAGCTATTCTTCTTCTACGGATGTGAAGCTGGAAGAGCTCTTTTGGACTTCCGAAGTCTGATGCCGCAGCAGTGCGTGTCTACATTGTTCCAGGGTTCAGGCCCCGGAGCACCTGCCGGGCTTGAACATTCAGCCTTGCTACCCATATCTTGCACCTTCAATTTCTGGATCAAACCATGTTGGCTGAATGCCGTAATTGATTACAGTACTCTTGAGCTTGGTGTAACTCTCGAAGGCTTCCTGTCCGTTTTCCTTGCCGACACCGCTCTCTTTGAACCCGCCCCAAGGCGACGATGGATCATTCAGATGGTGGCCGTTCACCCAGACAATACCCGCTTCAATTTTGTGGGCAACACGGTGAGCCTGATTGAAGTCATTGGTCCACACCGAAGCACCCAACGCGAAGGAAGTGTCGGTGTTGGCGATTTGGATGATATCATCCTCCGACTCGCATTTGATTGCTGCAATGACCGGACCAAAGACTTCGTTGCACGCGAGATCCGTCCCTGAACGGGTTTCGATAATAGTGGGCTCAAAGAAAAAGCCTTTGCTGTTGAGGCTTGTTGAATTGCCGCCACATAACACTCTCTCTCCCTCCTTCCTCGATCGTTCAACAAATGCCTCGCATCTCTCGACCGCGGCCTTGGAAATCACCGCACCGATCTGTGTGCGGACGTCCTGCGGATCACCTAAGCGTAGCTGTTTGACTCTCGCCACTAGTAGTTTCAAAAATGGCTCATAGATATCCTTGTGCACCAAGAGTCTGCTCCCAGTTACACAAGTCTGCCCACTAGCAATGAAGCTGGCAAAAAGTGCCGCTTTGACCGCTTGTTCGACTTCAAGACTGGGAAACAAGCATACGGGTGCTTTTCCGCCCAGTTCAGCAGTTATCGGAACCATGTTTAGTGCAGCAATGGGGGCAATCGCTTTGTAAGTCAATATCCCTCCAGTCAAGTCGATCTTGGATAGGAATGGACTTTCACACAAGAACTTCCCTGTTTCCCGACCGTAGCCGTTGATGATCTGCAAGACACCATCGGGAAGACCTGCCTCTTTGAATAGGTCTCCCATCTTCAACACGGACAGAGGAGCAAGCTCGGAAGGCTTTACAATGACCACGTTTCCTGCGGCCAGTGCTGCCGAGATCTTCTTCATTGCAATCAGCAACGGATGGTTCCATGGTGTGATTTGGGCGACAACGCCGAGCGGTAAGCGAGTTAGAGTATTAATTACTGGTCCCTTGAAAGGCGTGACTCGACCTTCATAGACTCGTGCTAGAGAGGCAAAGTACTCCAACCATTCCGGCACTCGGGCTAATTGAGCTCGCATTTCGCGGATAGGACGTCCAGTCTGTACAGTTTCTAATTCGACAAATTCGGGTATCCTGGCTCGAAGCAGCGTTGCTGCCCTTGATAGCACTGCATACCGCTCTGAGGCATCAGAGCGTGCCCAGGGGCCTTTTTTGAACGTGTCGACAGATTTTTGAACGATTTGGTTGACAGAGGCTTCAGTGGTCGCATCAATGGTAGCGATGATGGCCTCGGTCGCTGGATTCAATACCGTGATCCGTTCTGTCGATTCTGAAGTGTGGACACCATCGACCCAATTCGAGACATGAGGTATATCGGACATATTGGACCCGAGACAGACCCTCTGGAACAGCGTCCTGCACGAGAAAACGGCTCGCACGTTCGTTAACCACGCGCGAGTAACAAGAACACTCACGATAAGGAGGGCGCCTCAGGGAGCAGTGGATGGCTGGATCCGCAACGTAACCCCTTCTTGACCATCGGTGAAGTGCTAAGCCACTGAACCAAGCACCGCTGCCTTTTTGCTGAGCATCCAATTAGTCCTCTCAAACGATACGCTTGCTGGATGCGCAAGTGCCGTCTTGGAAAGGTAGATTAGACGAAGCCTCAATGCGACGGGAGACGGTCTGATAAGATAAGATTAACTATTCAACCGCTGCCATTCAAAAGACGTCACCACTTTTCCGCGAGCACCAGACCTGCAACGCATAATTGAACATTCTCGTACTCGGGCTGCACACCTCTGAGGAGTGGAGCTTGGGGTTTTCTTCTTCAAGTCTACCAGGTATATGCACATACCTACACGAGTCTGGATGAGCAACTTCCGCTTTCGCAACTGTCGATTCCTGCACAGCGTCTCTGATCGATCTTCTCGGGCCATTGCTCCTACCACTGCCCAAGGTCTCCCGGCTTCCGCCCTTTCTTCAAGCGAGGCTATATTCGAGCACATAGGACGTTGTCAATCTTCGGCTAGTCACAATGCCTCCTCCCTCGAACGTCAAAGACATTGCTCCGCCTGAGCACCTTACCTCCCTTGCTGCCGGTGGCTTCGCCTCAGGTGCTCTGCGCTTTGGGTCCATCTCTCTACTCTCGCATTTCCTCCTGCTTCGCCATCCGGTATACAGAGGCTTGACGGTCCAATTTAAGGTATTTCTGCAGATCAGTGCAATGACACTGGGCGGGTGTATCTTCGCGGAGAAAAGAGTGACAGAGTACAACGACGCTGTGAGACGCAGAAACCGTGCTCTTGAACGGAGTCGACGGGCTTGGAGTGAAGAGCAAGAGATCAAAGAGATGGTGGAGAGACGGGAAGCTGCTGGGAAGTAAGGTTACTCGACAGGGCATCCTGGAAGCATACATTTCATCTCCCCAGCGCCTGCGGTCCTTCTCGATCCGTCGTTTCAGAAAAGGGACATTTAACAGAGTCTCCGAGCCTGCTCCTCATGGGCAAGTACCATGACACACGGCCTAGTTGCAGCTTGGGACGATCTGTTCAACGAGATTGCGTTTTTCAAGCTTGGCTTGGTGAGGTCCGGCTAACCAGGCCAAGCTGGGCTGCGCCCGAATCGATGCGTGGTGCTACGCCAAGTCTGTGAAAGGTCCTTAACAAGTTCTCTTACATTGCATAACAACCCTTGGGAATCTTTGGCCGCTTTCGAGCACAAGCACGAATACCACGAATCGACGGGCTCAAAGTTGGGATGACGAGACGGCAATCTCTTCTGGTCAAGAATGAGAGTTACACGAGACTTGCTCCAATTTCATTGGGCCACGTGCGATGCTAGGAAGAAGGAACTACATACAACTAGGCCGGATACCTGCCTGAAGGCGCCTACTCTTCTGCAGGCTGGCACAATGATATCGACGAATCAGACTGCTCGGAGGAATACTTCGCTGAACTGGCCGTTGTATGAAGTAGTAACTAATGGACATTCAAACCTGAAGAAAAGAGCTGACGGTTGGTTAGCCGCACTGCGTCCTATTCTGGTCTCCTAGTCATGCGCAAGTCATCCTGCAGTGCCTGAGGCTATGCTATAGCCCATGAACCACACCTCTACAGTTTAAGGCATGGTCTCCTCCTATCAACCGCAGTCCTCGTGGACTGAGTGAACCCTCTGGCAACCAGACCTCAATGGATCCCGTCAGCGCTGCTGCGAGCATCATCACCCTTGCAGCACTCGTAAAGGATGTTCTTGAAACTTGCAGCAAGTTCCGCAGAGATCTCCGGGACTGCCCACGGCTCTTGTCCCAATCCTGCGACGAGGCCCAAACTCTTCATATTTTACTGCAACGTTATGTGAGCCTCCAGAGCCATGTCTCATCGTCAACCAAGTGAATGGCCCAACCGTGCTTCGGACGGTTCTTTGCGAAGTTGAATACTGAAGTCTTACACTTCACAGCTGAACAAGCTTCGGACGGAGCCCGCGAGGAATGATACGAAATGCATAGGCTCTAGGCTACTGTTCCCGCTGCGGAGGAAACAGCTTGAGGATGCTCTTGACGGCGTCCACCGTCTCAAGTCTCTACTCGAGTCTGCTCTCGGACTTGACAACAGGTATGTAACCAATAACCAACCTTGACCTTGTACTAATGGCCTGTAAGCCTTTATCTCCAGAGTTCTTATGTTCGAATCGAGAGACTGGAAGGACTGCTCCTTGCTAACGGCGACTTTCCCTTGAGCTACACACGCCACGGACCTGTAGAGGAAGTGCCAGGCCCAGCATGCAGGAGCTCCCAGCATCCGCGAGTTACTTTGGAATCTGGAGACGACTTTGCGCTTCGGGAAGCCGGACAAAGCCTTACACAAGCCTCGACGCAAGGGGACGGTGTTATCCTACTGACTAGATATGAGGGCGAATCGCCAGCCTTGAAGTCTATTACGCGGAAAACAAGAACAGTATCCAGCAATATCCAAAATCTCATATTTGGGAGCTTGATCACGGAGGTTATGACCTTGCTTTCCAGGAAGACTGATGTGTCAACAGACCAAAAGTCGGGCATCACTTCGACGGTTCTGACTTTGGTTCCTTCGAAGCCTTTCCAGCAAGGGATCGTTCGCTTTCACATCTCATGGAAACCAATCCATCAATCTTTCCAAATGCCCAGTTTCAACCTCCAATTTGCAGACGTCGTGCCTAGAGATCATCCGATCATGGCGGCATCTGGCCAGAACGATTGCGCGATGTTGAAGAAGATAATTGAGAACCGGACAGCTTCCCCTAACTGCTGTACTCTTGAAGGCTTGACGCCCCTTCATTTTGCTGCGGCCTCCGGCCACGATGGTGTGTGCAGATTACTCCTGCAGGAAGGTGCCTCTTGCTCTTCAACAGGCTTTCGAGGTATAAGCCCTCTCCATGTTGCTGCTCACTTCGGGCATGTAGGGGTATTTAAGACATTGTTAGGTGTTGGCTTAGATCCAAACGACTATCACGAAAATGGATCAAACGCAGTTTTTGAGCTCCTGCTCTCTCAGCGGGGGATCGGCCTAGCAGAGGTATCGAGCCGCCTGAACTGGTTGCTGCATGGCCAACAACAACATTTCATCGATATCCAGGCAAAGGACAGCGAACATCGGGGGGTCATAAGTTACGTCGAAACCTTAACCGGCGCTCCCAATGACAAATCTGACCGGGCATTCGATAAAATCAAGCCATCCATCGAGGTATTACTGGATCAAGGAGCTCAGGCCGATGAACTTGATATTCACCGCGTGTCTCTACTTCACCAAGCATGCGACGAAGGGGACTTGGAGCTGGTCAAGATGATCCTCCAAAGAAAGCCTGACCTTGAGGTTAGAAGCCAGTGGGATCCTGGACATGATTTTGGAGGATGGCTGGACTGGACGCCGCTCCATATAGCCGTTGTCAATCAACACTTGATGATTGCCTCCGAGCTCGTCAACAGTGGTGCGGACATTGATGCTGGATCCGAGTCTAGATTTTTAGGCGGACGTACCCTGTCCCCACTGAAACTGGCCGCAAGGAACAATGACGTCGAAATGCTTGAGATGCTTTTTGCTAAAGGGGCAGGAAAGAATGATTCTGTACTCATTGCCGCATTACATGCAGCTATTTGGACAGATGCAGTCGAAGCCGTCCGTTTTCTCATCGACGATGAGGGCAGGCGCCAAATATTCACTCTCAAGAACATTGGTGCGCGTGTGCCAAGTACAAAAATGCTAGAAGTTCTATTAGAAGCCGGTCTGCTGGTTGTGGAAGAGCACGTACTCAACGGCAACGTTTGTTACTGGACTCACCTGACTTATGCAGCGTGGGCAGCAGATGTCAGCGTGGTAACGTCACTTCTTGACCATGGGGCGAACCCCAATAAAACAGCGCCTGCTCTCTTGCCTGGACTGGAAATGACACCTCTTGCTTTTGCTGCACTGGAAGGCCATCTTTCTATCGCAGCTCTGCTGCTCGACCGCGGAGCGGATCCGTCATTAACAGGTAAGGGGTCGCTTCCGCCTGCACAAGTGGCGATTGTATCAGGTTACGATGATATTGCCTCTTTGATCCTCAAGCACACTCATGGAGCAGTTCCAGAAGCACGATGGGGCACGACCGTTGAAAAGCGAATGGAAGCGGAATCATTGACGTACGACACGCAGAGTCCGATCGAGTTGGACCTTTATTCCGCTATTGATTGACAGCAACAATCTATTGCAAGTCAGGGAAATGCTTGAGAAAGACAGTGCCATCCGTTGTAGCAATGGTTATGGGCACTTCGTCAGTCCTCTTCTTGGATATGCTATCTTCAAAGACAACCTGCCGATCGCCGAGGCGCTCATCCGAGCTGGTGTGGTTATCGACGTCGGTGGCGATTCTTTCAGGCCCGGTCATGGAAGCTGCAAGGTCTCCCAAGAGCGAGTTCATGAGACTGCTGATCAATAACGGAGCAGAAGTCAACATTAAAAACGTGGACCAAGGGACTCCACTTCTCCGCTGCTTTGACCTATCCTACGCACAAGTCGAAACTCGTTGCAACAACGGGGAAACGGCCAAGATGCTCGTCGAGGCTGGGGCATATGTCAATGTCACCGATGCACTCGGGCGAACACCTCTAGGCGAAGCTGCTCAAGTCGGTAATTCGGAAGCAGTGGAGATCTTGGTCAATGCTGGAGCATGTATTGACCAGGCTTGCTCGATCCTTTCGGAAGACCCCCCAAACCGGTATGAGGTCGATAGACTCATGCTGACTCCCCTGTCATGGGCTGCACGCAACGGCCATGACGAGGTGGTGCAGCTCCTGCTCAAGAATGGAGACGACTAGAAGAGTCTGAAGAATGATCCAGCGCTGAAGTACGTCCACCGCAACCACATGGAGTCCTGGTTTTCTACAAGGAGCGATGATGACCAGTCAATCCTGGCACCTCTCAACTTGCTTGAACCTATTACGCCAAAGACGGGTGCAGCAGCAGCTCGGATTTCCAGGCACGCCAAGAGCACGTCTGCAAAAGGCCGTTGTTGCTACGAGCAAGAGAGCGAGGGAAGCCTCCTTGAAAGATCTCGTACTTTCCTTAAAGGCATCTCCCGCCTACTGAGCCAACATCTGGAGACGGCCTTCGCAAAAGTCAACCACCTCCGGCTGGAGCTGGTCGTGTAATCAGCGTGTGTACCCTCCTTTTGGCTCAGCAGGTCGTGCAGTGTTCCTCGCTGTACAAGGCTAGGGACTTCAAGCTGCTCGCCGCTGTCATTCTAGTCTCGTTCATCTTAGGTGGTTGGATGTTGCAGACAGCAGGATAGCTATCCAATAAGGGGACCCCCGTGAAGACCGCAAATTCATACGATGATGTACCAATTCCACAAGAAGTGAGCAGTAGCGGATATAGATGATGACATGGCCAATGATTTAGGACTTTCTTCTTTCTTTTCGAACAACTTCATCGGCGCCAAATATGTTCTTATTAGAATAGATATAAAGCTCGCGCCCTGAGTTGTCCGCCCGAAAAAAAAGAATAGGCGCGACAACCCAGGTCGATGCATGAATATAGCAAAACACTCCGGCCAGTCGCAATGTTTACCAAACGACAGACCGTAATACTCTTCTCTGACTTGACTGAACAAGTTTTCAGAATAGGTGGGGTTTCCCGCCAAACGCCATCGCTCAAACATGCGAGAATCATAAAGCACCCAGTGAGGTGTCCAGCATGTATACCTGTTCCTTCCAAACCCTTGGACGTCAAGCCTTGCTGGCCGTTTGCCTTTTCCCACGAGAGACATGATCTGAACCGACCACTCGCGTCACAAGCCATGACGTGGCATGTTATGGCTTTGACGACGCTTCCCTGGTCGAATCTATGCATCATGCTGCGCGACCATTTCGTAACTCTGCGTCTTCCCGCTCCAGACCTTCCACAGCGGCACCCTGTACCCAACGCCAGGGAACCTGAAAGGACTGACTCTCGGACTTCCGCCGGGGCCTCGTCTCCGGGATCCGACGATGATCAATCTCGAATACACCCACCAGATGGACACTCCCAACACGCCTGCCAGCAAGAACCCCAATGCTGTCAGCAACATCCAGTTCTTGCCCATCCAGAAGATGAATCTCGCGTCGCTCCCGTGCCAACTGCTCCCCTTGTACGTCTTGAAAAAACTCCACGCATGATTATTATATTCGCTGGGCATGAGAACCCTGACCCGCCCCACCCACGTCTCCGGATCCAAGTGCGCATGCTCGCCCATCCACTTCTTCCATATCACACTCAGGAACAATGGCCCGGTACTCGCCATGATGGTGATGTATGGAAGTATCCAATTCCGATCGGCGCCTTGCAGGCTTTCCATGACCCTGAGGAAGAACGGGTGCTGCGGAATGGCCCCCATGACATCGTTGGATATACCCGTGGGCACAGTCCTGCGCACGAACGCGGTGTAGCTGAGCAGCGGGTCTAGGCGCCGCTCGCAGCCATCGTCGAGATCGATGTACACACCGCCATAGTGCGCCAGGACGAAGTATCGAATCGCATCGGCGCGCTGGATGTTGTGCTTGTACCGCGTAAATGTGCTCAGGAACCAAGGGTACTCTTTGGCAATGAAGTCGTGCGACATCTTGTCCGTCCAAAGGATGTATTCGTAGTCTGGGTGTAGGTTCATGCAGGACTGCTGGGCAGGGAGCCAGTGCGAAGGAATGGATTCATTCTTGTACGTCTGATGGATGATCTTGGGTATCAACTGGGGCCGGTTGTCAAGGAGGGTCGAGTTCGGCGCGGGGATCTCTGAGCGGTGGATGGCATCGCGAGAGGCATCTTCGATGAGCAGGGAGAGAAGGGTCGAGACGGAGTGTAGAAGGAGGGTGACGACGATAACGGTGGTGAGGAGGAAGATGAGTAAACTTCGACGCATGGTGGGCGTGTGGCCTTCAGTTTTAAGGCCGGCCTCGTCTGGACGCAGGATCAGGATACGTAGTTCGTATGGTATCCTCGCGGAGAGCGTAGAGGCGAGACGATACTGGCGACAAAGAGAAAAGTCGGTGGTGATTAGAGGCAAATAAGGCGAGATCTGAGGATGGAGGCCATTGTCGGAGGGTGGTGTCGATCTTAAGAGGGATCCTTGCTTGTACAAAGGAGGGATCAAGCAAGTATTTACGGAGTATCTGTTGAGGGAATGACTTCAGAGAGAAAAGAGCGGGAAAAGAGGGCAAAGGAACGACGACATGGTAAAGAGTTCTACGGAGTAGGGCACGAGGAAGAAGTTCGATAGACACCTGAGAAAGGTCTAGTTTGCGCTGAAAGATTGTGGCAGTGCCAGAATCCCTGCTTTCGGAAGGCCTTGCGACGGTACGCGAGGTACGTGGTACGCTTGGTGGGTGCTTGGGAGCTTGGCCTCAAGGCCTCCAGACACCCACCAGGGTACGCATTGCTCTGCTCGCCTGGCCTGACGCAAATGCGGAATACACCTACCGACCAGTGACCACAAGTACTAGCCGTGGCTAATATACACACGCGGCCCAGGACTGCACGCTGCACAGTCATCAACGCTACTACGTATACTAGGTATGGGCTTTACTACCCCTGGTTTGACCTCTTCATTACTCCATGATGCTCCGTACTCCGTACACACTCGTCATCTACCGTCAGGCATTCTCACGCGGACACGATACATAGTACTCATCGGCCGTAGCTGATTTCTCGCCTTTGAAGCCGAGGCTGGTGAGCTGACTGCCACATTCTGCTTGCTACAGAGTACATCCAATGCAAACAATTCGGATAATCTCCTGTACCTATGCAGATGCTGTACATAACCATATCGCCGTAGTCCTCGATACCTTCACAGAATATTTCATCCCTGATCCCGTCTCCAGCCAGAAACGACGCATGTATCCTCCATCGAGGAAACAACTACTCCATAGGTAAATCTATATTGACCTGGCTCCTCAAACGAAAGACAGGGGGGTATCATGAAAAGGATAAACCAGAAAATCAGAAATAGCCTCCGTCGTCCGATGTTATGCTACCCTCAATCCTCAGGAAGCTGAAACACCGCCTGGCCACGCTCTCCCAACTTTTCGTTAAAATAATCCAAAGAAGATGGATTGTCCATCGTTGGAGTCTTGTCCAAATGCACTCGCTGCAATATTTGTGCCATTGAATCCCCCGCCCCTGTCGACGTTCGACGGCTCGGGTCACTCGCCGTTTCGTCCTCCCACGGAATTCCTTCTGAACGACAATGATTGCGAAACAAGTACTTTTGTAGCCTTGCAACCTGCACGTTCCACTTTTCCTCCAGCGTAGCAATCGCGGCCGCCACATCCTGATCGCTAAAAGATGTAGTCGACGATAGAGAACTGCTATGACGGTGACCATGACGATGTGCTTTGCCGCTTAGCCCTGTGAATGTCTTCTTGATCGTGCCTGTGCCCTTGGGAGGCTTTGAGCTCTCCACTCGGTCCATGGTGTCAACTTCGCGTCGGACTTTTTCAATTGACTTTGCTCGATCATGGTCCATGGACGACATGAAAAGCAAAGTGTGATTCTTCTCCAACGCATTGACAAGGGAAGTAAAACACTGCAAATTGATGTCGTTGTGCTCACAGTGGATCTCGAGCAATGTATCATTCTTCTCCAGGACTTCGGCCAAGGTATTTGCTCCTTGCAGACCCAGACTCTGGTATTCGATTCGGAGCATCTTCAATGTCTTGTTCTTGGCAAGGCCTCTCAATGCAATGTTCAGTCCAATGCCGAATCTGGTCGCGTCCAAATGAGCATGTTCGCCACTGATGTCGAGCTCCTCCAAGGTTCGATTCCTGGCAAACATCTCTTTCAGAGCTTCGCAGGTCTCCACGCTGGCGTCGTACGGCAGGGAAGCACGTGACAAGTCCAGACTGCGCAGGCTAGTGTTGACGGTCAAGGCCTCGATGAGTTCTCGAAAATGGCTCTCTTTGTCAAAATCCATCATTCGCATGCTCAAAGACGACGGTCCGTAATTCTGACCAATCGTCTTGAACAAGATCGTATTACCTGCTTTGAGCCGGTTCTCGTTGGCGCTCACATGCATGATGCGTGGCCGACCGTCATCCCGAGTCATTGATTGGAAGAAGGTCGCCAGGTCCCGACCTGTCAGACTGCATTGGTTGATGTGCAGTTCGCGGAGAATGTCCGATTTAGAAGTGGCGAGGTATGTCGAAATCGAATCCACTGTCTGCTCGTTAAGCGTCGTTTGTGACAAGTAGAGGCATTCTAGTTTCCAAGCATACAGAGCCTCGGGAGCCACCAGAGGTTCCGGGCCTGCAGTTTTCTGTACCCGCGTAAGGTTCAATCGGCGGATGTGGCTGAAAGCTCCGATCTCGCGCTGGAACACTTCGGGACTAAACCGTCCTTGAGCTCCAGAGATGTCGATGACCTCCATCGTGCTCTCCTGCGCGACCAGCGCGGACAGAAGCACGTCAATGTCGTGGACGGAGAGCCCACATTCACCAATCTCAAGAGCACGAAAATGGCATCTTCTCTCCGATGCGGCATCAACCAGGAAGTTCAAATCAGAGTCCGTCAGTCGCAGTCCCGTGAGGACGATCCAGTCGACGTTGGTCAAAGATCTCTTACACAGGGGTGCAAGGGCCTCCATCACACCACAATCCACGGGCTGTTCGTGATCGGCGAGCGCTTTGTTGGGAATGGTGTAGGAAAAATCCAGCCGTCTCAATCGTCGACTTTTCAGGGCCAGGGCTCGGATTTCTTGACATAAAACGGGCAGATCCTGGTGACCGACGATATTTGTGAGATTTCCAGATCGAGTGTGAAGACTATCGAGGTCGGCTCCAAAGGTGTCGTACAAATGTCGTAGAGGACTAAGATTGATGCGCGCAAAGGAAATGGACGAGAATGACTCGTTGTACCGGAGCGCTCGAAACACAGCGAGCAACTCCAATGCAGAGTACGTCTTGCCTGTCGAGGGAGCAAGTAGTTGAAAACAAGGCGCATCTTCACAATTGTAGTCCACAGAATAACAAATTCGAGAAGTGTCCAAGTCATAGCCAGCACAGTAAGCAATGAGTGTACGATCGAAACAATCGTGGTCTTCTTTGGGAAAATTAGGAGGATCCATCTGATCATCGAGCTCAGCAGGTATCTCGAATATGAAAGGCTGCCTGAGCCATTCTGGCCGCAGATATTCCGAGGCGAACCTCAATCGAAGTGCGATCTCGCCCGCAGCGCTCGAGCCCAAGGGAACATTTTGGGGCTGTCCTGTCGGTGGTTTGAATAGCAACTGAAAGGCGTCTTCTTCCGACTGAACTTGGACCATGGCCAAATCGACAATGGCAAAAGAGGTCGTGCTGTCAATGTCGTTGAGAGAAGTGCTAGACGATCGTGTTGACGACCGGTACAAGGGCACCAAGTGGATTTTATGAAGACCGATGATAAGATAGCAAACGGCTGATCCGAGCCGAGTCAAGTCTTCAGCCGAGGCTCGTCCCATTGATCTGTTGACTGAGCGCTGAACCACCTTGAAGACGTGGAAATGTTCCGGATGGTAATCTCTTTCACGCTCAGCGACTCGAGCAAGATGCTCTAGTGTATGATCTTGAATCGGCTTCGGCAATGAGGAGGTCACTTGGAGAACGGCCGAGCGAACGGCCATTACCCATAGATTTGCTTCGCGAAGATCATTGACTTGGAGTTGCATCATGGATGCTTTCTTCGCTCGTTCATCGAGATAGGCAACTTCTACAGTCATGTATGGTCGGCCATCGTCGACTCTGTACACGGCGATGATCTGGTCGAGGGGAATGCCCGAAGCGATGTCCGAATATGCCGACATCTGAAGCTCTTGATAGGAGCTTGCAGAAGACGACCGTGGGGCGTGGCCTTTATTATTGAGGCTGCTGGGAATAGTTGGAAACATTTCGACAGCTCTAGCCTGGCTTCTGAAGCGAATGAGGTGTGACTCGGTGAGAACCATGAATTGAGTCCTCTTCCGGAAGACATTGGTGGCTCCAGCGGCTTGCACTTCTCCGTACTGTAGAACCTTCTGGCCAAGGATTCCCTTCATGTTCAGCTCAGCTTCGTCATGGAGAGATGAAGCTTTAGAATCCGACCTGGTCAAGAGGATCTTCTCTTCCTCGTCAAGAGAACGCAGCGAACGTAGGGATCCAAAGACTGAAGCGCGACCGGATTTTTGGAGAGTCCTTGGCCGGGCCTTTGGGCTCGATTGTTCGGACTCGACAGGACTCGGGAGGTAGTCTGTAGACTTTTTCTCGGTAGGACTTGCGGGTATTTGTATGGGAGGGAGGGCGTGATCCGTCCTCTGGCGGAAGATGCTGAGGCTCTTCCTTCTGCGTTTGTCCGCCATGTTTGGGTGATTGACATCTGACAAACGATTCCGAGGGCACTCCGCCAGCAAATGATTGCACGACGCAGCTGCCTCTGCTGCTCCGGGTCTTGATGAAATTCAGGAGTGCACCATGCTCACAATCCCTGGCACCTTGAAGTGCCAATCTGCCAATGACCGGTGCGTCCGTCCGTCTTTTTACCCCCGGTAGGGCTTCAATCAACTCCGATCAGATCAGGGTCCGGAACTTTGCCGGCTAGGAGGAACCGTAGGCATGCGACTTTGCTGGTCTGAAGAAGATAGGCCGGTGGAAGTTGGAGGTCTCAGAGACTGTGTGTCGTGTCTGGAACCTGATAATGCTTGGAAGGACAATATATCGACAGACGGACAAGCTATAGGACGCTGCCGCAGATTGGCAGGTAGGACAGACGGTCGGTTTGAAAGGAGGGACAAGGAAATGAAAGGTGAAGATTGGGAGATATCGAAGGAGTAGATCTCTTGTTGGGTCGCTAGCTAAGTATACTGCGAATAAGAGCTTCGGACAGTAACTGAGTAAAAAGTATTCGAGGAAAGGTACTCGTGGTAGCAGCCGGGTGAAGTATCCCAGTGGCATGTGGATAACGATGCAATAGCGAGTTGGATGCGAGGATGCAGGGCGTATGCCCATCATTGCCCCAGCCTAACAAACTAGTGCGCCCATGCCAATGCCAATGCTCTGATGACGATGCAAAGGATGCCCCCCAAACCTTGCAGGCACAGGAAGCCGCCAGCGCCTATCTTGGTTAAGACTTGGAATAAACTTGGTGCGTGAGATGGGGCGTGATGGGCGTGATGGGCTTCGTGGGCTCTCCACCAGCCGCCTAGACTGCCTTTTAGGCGGATTTGTTTATCCAGCTCGCCAGCCAGGCCTGCACCAGCCATGACTCGGCTTGACGATAGCCGAGTCACGATAACCGGATGGGCGTTGGGCCATTGCAAGGCACGTGTCAGTGTCAGCTCGACGACCCTCGTTGACGTGAAAGAGTACTCATACAGTACTCTACTTAATTCCACCCGGAGCACACATCGACCGTTGTGCGTATTATCCAATTAACTGGTACAAGACAGATGATCTGACCGATGAGCAAAGACACCATTAATCAAGACCAAATGCGTCCATGCGTGTGTGAGGGTTGGTATCATCATCAGTGCTAACTCAAGCCGGCACCGGTCGCAATGAAACATGTTTCTGCTCTTGTCTTGGGAACAATTTCAGCCCCCCCAAAACACCTCGCTTGATATCATTGTACAACTGATGTCTTGACTGGTAGAGACATTGCACAGAAGGGCAAAATACACCCCCGTTGGATCCGCTATCAGGTCCAGCATGAGCCTAACACGGTGTCCTCCTCTATGGTACGTGATCGCTTTTGGAATCCAGGCAAGTATCCCATCTCTTGCTGTTATACAAACCCCATCACCGCTTCTTTGAATCCGTCTTGTCGCCAGATAAATGGTTGTTATAAAGCACCACTCTTTCTCGCTGTGCGTCGTACTCGTCTAGTTTCCGACGCCATTCAGCCCCTTCCTCGCTCATGGACATCAATCGTCTGACATAGTAACGGACTGATTCATCCTGCTCCTGTGGAGCGTCCAAGGCTGTCTTCCGTCGATTCTTGCATAACATGTAGTTCCGCTGAGTCATTGCTTCTGAGAAAGGGGTCAGCGTGTATTGGACACTCCAGCTGTCCGTCTCCTGCAAGTCCTGAGGTCGGCTGACAGGAAGCTTATTCACAAAGTTTGTGAGGTTCAGCCTCCAGCCCAGTAGTGGTTTGTTAACAACCGGTTCGGCTTCCGGCTGTGATGCAGGCTTCTTTGCCGGCACTTGTTCCTTGATAGCTTCATGGATATCAACGCCCATGATGCTCTCCAGAAACTTGACATCAGCTGCGTTCGACTTACGACCTGCGGGTGCTTGTTCTGTTACACCGTTAGGCGCATCCGAAGGAAGTGCGGTAGCCTCTTTATCCGATTCAGATATATCTGCTTCCTCTCGCTCAGCATCATGCTCTGTCCTCCTTCGCGAAACATGTGCCTTTTCCGGGTTGAAGATGCGGTTCTCAAATGCCGCGATTTCTTCCTTTTTCGAGTTCTGAATCTCAACAATCTCCGCATCCGAGACCGGCTCAGCAAAGATGTACATGTGAGGCGGTTGCAGCTTCGTGGCTTCTCTTGCTTCAAAATGGAACCGCAACGATTGCTTGGGAAACCGTTCAGTTGCTGCATTGAAGATTTCGCTAAGGAGCTTGACACTGAACCGGAACTCGCGGTCTCCTAGTGTCGGATCTGTCTGACCGTGCAGGGCGAGGTCCATCTCCGAGAGAGGGATATACTGGAACCCAAATAAACGTTCAGTATTGTGGTATGCCACAAAGATGCCGTCCATTCGTCCCATGCGCACTTGCAGCGAATATTTGAGGAATGCCGACCTCATCATATCGTAGTATTCTCGTTCGTACGACTCCCACGTGCCATACCTTTCTTTGATCTGATAGCCTGTACCTTGTTCATGCTTGCGGACCATCATACGCACTGCCGCGACTGCCCTAGTTTTGAGATCAAACATGCCTGTGCCCGGGAGTCTCGGATCATGCGCGTCGAGTTGTGATCTTATCAGGAACTGACCTAATTCGCTGTAGTGATATGCTTCTGGCTCGGAGGGCTGCACCTGCATACCATTTCCTGCGCTGTGCGTCTTGCGGTATCGTTCAAACTCCTCCTTGTCATTGGTTAAAAGCTTTTCCATCGACCGACCCAAGCTCATCAGAATATTGGCTGAATCGAACTCTTTATCCGCGTCGACGGCATATACCCCGTCCTTGTACTTTAAGAAGATTGCCGTCGGGCCTCGCTGGATCTTTGTAAATTGATACCCGTCGTCTTTGAACCCTCGAGACAGATTGTCCAGTGTCAGTTCCCGCCAAGCCGAGAGTAGAAAGTGAAAGTGAGACAGGACTCCTGACATGCTGGAAGTCGACCCAATATAGCGCTTGTCGTGCTGCGAAGCGACTTCGCGCAGCGTGGCATCCTCGGAAGATGTGATGTATTTATTTAGCGCATCATAGTTGAACTCAGACACGGGCATCAGGTTCCCCAGGTAGGGATCAAAGTTCCAGACTCTCGACCTGGGGTCTTGCAGCTGGTAGACCCCCGGGTTGAACAGTACGCGAGATAAGTCGTGGCTGAGTTGAGGTACCTTGGACCTCTCGACCTCCAGTGGTTCAAATGCAAAGTTCTCGAGAGTGACCTCATGAGCAAGAGAACTATCCAATGCTGGCGGATTGTCTTCGTTGCTACTTCCCATTTTCCGTATCAAAGGCGTTTTCAGTCTGGACGACGAAACCTTGCGAATCCTGCCAGGGCCGCGCGGAGTACCTGACAGTCTCCGGATTCTAGTTCGAATACCACCAGTCTTTCTGACGAGGCTCTTCCGAGGGCGCGGAACCTGCTTCTGCTTATCCTGGCCTTCACCTGTCACCAGCCCCAGAGCTCGGAGGACTTCCTTCGTAGACTGATCAACTATAGGTTCTGGCTTTCCTGACCTAAAATGAGCAATAGGTTCAAGCTCGCCAATGACCTCCTGGAGTGACCGTCCCGGGAAAGTATCGCGGAGTCTCCGTTCTGCTCTTTTATAACGTTGACCCAACTTTCGTTTCGCGGCGACGCTCTCCAGCGCATCTTCTAACGCCACATCTGACAGAGTTGACTCCTTCGGTCGCAGCGCCTCACCATGAGCCCGGAGCAACTCCCGGAGTCCACCAACATATTTGGCTTGTGAATATGCTTGCTTGGAGAGGATGATGGCATCATCTGCTACCAATGGTTGGAGCCCGGGTTTAGGCTGCTCCTGCGATTGTCTAGATACGGTCAGGTTTCGGGTCTGGTTGGACCAAGTGCGGCCAGCGAGGGTTCGGTCGGAGCATGATGCCTGAAGGAATGTGAGTGGCCGTGAAGAGCGGCAAGATCGGAGACTGGGTTTTGCAAGGATTACAGCTTGCATTCTGTATTGCTTTCGATATTGTAGACCCGCATGGTGCCGAACGGGGAAGGACAGCATATGAAAGTTGCGGGATTCAAAGCTTGCCAACAGACTCGTGCGGCGGGAAATGAAGCGCAATTTTAGTGAATGTTCTGGAATGTAAATGAATGAGGAAGGGAACGTAGTAGGATTAACCAAATCCTCTCTTGAAACTTGGGCGTTGGCTGCGAGATGGCGGACGTGAATTGGTGCACGATAGCGACTTTTTCTCCAGACGGCAGGGTCTCCTTCACTACTAGTATACCCGGAGTAATGCCGGTGCCATGCGAGCATAACCCAAGCATAAGGCTTCAGGCGGCCTCGCAGCCTGGTGCAGCCTCGCCTTGTCGGCTCCTTTTTCGAGTATCAATCAGTGAGTGTGCACTTCTTTAATGGCTTTCATATAGTGGGAGACTATTGACCTAAAGTACAGCGTTGTCACCCATCTCGACTACCTACGTTCTGTCATCTTCAGATTCTCCACCACCAGCAAACTTGTCAACGCAACATCATGCATACGGGCTCTAAGAGCGGGAATGAAGGCATATGTGACGCCACAAACTCAGGTCACGTTGCTGTCAGATAACCGATAAGTAGGCCAACAAGAACCAAGTAAGGAGTTCGTTTTGGCCAGTAGCTTCATCAATGACTAATGCATCTGTCCCTTTGGCCTCTGCCTGTGGTCTGGTGACTGACGCCCTCTCTCCTGCGCGAATCGGCCTCTTTGGGGGCTGCCTGATATATGCATGATGGCAATGTCCTGAATTTGAACCCGCTGAGCCAAGAATCTGGCCAGCTCAAGACCGGTAGTACTGCTTGCACCAACCACGATGGTAGTCTCTGATGAAGTGACCGGAACTTTGAATGAATCGAGAGTAAAGGGTGCTGGATGTGGTCTCCATCCCGTGGTTACTGATCTCTCTCAACGCACATCGCGGAGATCCATAGAGTGAAGCAGGAATAAGGGCTGATTCGCCTTGCCTCAGATCATTCTCCAGACCAGTTGTCCCCAATTTGCTGACCACATGATGTACGATCACCTTGTGCAGGACCTCTCACCGCCCCAAGGCCATATCTTGGGGCCCAATGAAAGCCTTTTTGGTCCCGAGCCTCCGTAGGCCACTGTGCATGCGGAAGCAATGGCAACAACAACGCAAACAGTCCCGAGCAGTATCGCGTGAGTAAGCACAAGGTCGCCTCAAAAGGTTGTGTCACTCCGCCACTCGAATTTCCTGCTCCAAATCCGTCCCAAGCTCTCTGTGGCGCTGCAGAGCAAGCGTGATTGATACTTTTGAGTGCCTTGTCCTGTGCAGCACCACCAAAGATGGCAACTAGTTGTTTGCCGAGAGCGTAAGCATCTTGCTGAGTAATCTGGTAACGAGGGATTCCATGTCATGATGATTTCCAAGTGTCCAGATTCTTCAATACGCAACCCTCTTGGCCTTCCTTGTTCACCAGCTTTCCAATCTTGAAGACCGTTTCACCTTCTGCCTCTAGGATCTTTCGGACCTCACCAGAAGCAACGTCAGAAACGACAAGAACCATTCCAATACCGTTGTTGAAGGTACGACCCATCTCTGGACTGCTAACTCCGCCGGCTTGTTGCAGCCAGTTGAAGACCGCGGGTCTCTCCCACGAAGACACATCGATTTCGGCGGTCAAATGATCCGGCAGCATTCGAGGCACATTCTCCGTGAGGCCGCCACCAGTGATATGGGCCATTCCCTTGACAAAGTCCCGTTTCAGTGCTTGAAGCAAAGGCACAACATAGATGCGCGTTGGTGTGAGAAGCGATTTTCCCACGGTCATGTCCAAGTCCCAAGGAGCCTGATCCGAAAAGTTCAAATGCATCTTTTCGACTATTCGTCGGACCAAAGAAAATCCATTCGAGTGCAGGCCATTCGACGCGAGACCGAGAAGAACATCACCTTCGATCATGCTCTCCATGTCTGGCAGCAATCGCTTTCCGGCTGCAGTATCGAGAGCACCAATAGCGGCACCAACGGCATCGTACTCAGTACCATTCAGAAGGCCTGGCATCTCGGCTGTTTCACCTCCAACCAGAGCACAGTTGGCCGTCTTGCATCCTTCGCAAACACCGCGGACAAAATCGCTCGCAATGTCGACATCTAAGATGCTGCATGTATAACAATCGAGAAACATTAATGGTTCTGCCCCTTGCACAACTAGGTCATTGACGTTCATGGCCACAAGATCAATGCCAACGGTGTCGTGGATGTTCGTCGCGTGCGCAATTTTGAGCTTGGTGCCGACACCATCGATAGCACCAATGAGCACCGGGGACTTTTCATGGTAACCAGCCCTTGTGAGGTCAAAAGCTCCACCAAAGCCACCAATGATGGCATTGGCACCGGGACGGGAGGTCGACTTGACTGCTGGTTTGATTCTGGTGACAAGATCATTCCCTGCATCAATCGACACGCCAGCCGATGCGTATGTCATTGGTGCATCCTCTGGTCGTTTCTCTTGCTCGCTCCTCGCGAACGCCCGATGCGCGATGTCTTTTCTGAAATGCATACCCTGAAATTTGATAGAATCCATTCCCTTGTACGCTTTGGACACTGCCTCTTCTAATGTAGTTGCTGTGGCGGTCGAGGCTATCACTCGGCCTCCTGTAGATATGACTTGTTTGCCATCTCTGCTTGTGCCAGCGTGGAAGACGAAAGTGTCCTCAGGCACTTTTTGTATGGTAATCGGTCTGTTCTTCGCATACGTGTCTGGGTAGCCTTCAGCACAAGCGACGACCGTGGCAGCAAATTTTGGTTCAATTTTCAGATCAACCCCATCCAGCCAATGCTCCGTGCAAGCGAGCATAACTTTCGCAAGATCAGTGTCGTCACTGAGTAGAGGTAGTAAAGTCTGAGTCTCGGGGTCTCCTCCCCTAACGTTGTACTCCAGCACTTTGGGACCAGATTTGGTGATCATCAGACCAGTGAAGAGCATTCCCACAAATGGCATACCCTCACGGCGCATACAGTCAACTGTAGGCTGAACGATCTCGCGGTCAATCTGTGCAATCAACTCCTTTGAGGCAACGCGTGTTGGCGCATAGCAGCCCATTCCACCAGTATTGGGACCCTGATCTCCGTCGAGCGCGCGTTTATGGTCTTGAGCGGGTGGTAGAGATCTGATCGTGTAACCATCACTGAAAGATAGGACGCTCAATTCTTCACCTTCCAGGAACTCTTCAATGACCACTTGTGAGCCAGCTGAACCGAATTCGCGATCAACCATGATCTTCTTCAAGGCTTCACGCGCCTCCTCTTTCGTGGTAGGAATGATAACCCCTTTCCCTGCAGCCAATCCGTCTGCTTTGATCACAACATCGTGGTTGACAGACTCTAGGTATTTTTGAGCAGGCTCGTACTCACTGAAATTTCGAAATGCTGCTGTGGGTATACCGTGGCGTTGCATGAAATCCTTGGAGAAAGCCTTCGAGCCTTCCATCCTTGCGGCAGCCTGGCTAGGTCCAAAGCAGCGAATGCCATTTCTTCGGAAAAATCCCTCAACGCCTGCGACCAAGGGAGCTTCAGGACCAACAACTACGAGGTTCAGTCCATGATTTTTGGCGTGGTGGACCAAGTCGGTGAAATTGTGGGCAGCAATATTCACGTTGATGATATTCTCCGCCTCTGTACCACCGTTACCGGGAGCAACATGCACAACATCAACTGAGGGCGATTTGGACAGCCTCCAAGCAAGCGCGTGTTCTCGACCACCGGAGCCAATCACCAGAATGCGCAATCGTTCCGCCGCCATAGCGTATAGTTTCTAGGACCTGGGAAACCCGAGGTTAGTGGAAGCCTGGGGAGCGGCAAGACGGCGAAACTCGATGATTGGAAAGGCAGGAAGTATATTAGGCAAGAGGAAGCTCAATCACTCCAACATATAGGATTCTTCAAAAAGTCCTTCTGAAGAGCCCACCCATGCCCCATTCTGGCTGGCTGGCTGGGGTGGTGACTAGCATCTGGCTGCTTGCAAAGAGGGAAAGAAAAGACCCGAGAACACGCTCACAGCACTTACTTCGAACACACCGGTACAATGTCAAGTGATGAGAGAAAGACCACTAACATAGGACATATCATCTGTAAGGAAGCTGCAAAGGCCCAGAAGCCTCGAAGTCTGGAGTAGAAAAGTTATCTCAAATTTATGCCAAGCGTCGAAAACTCCCCTATCGATAAAACAGGCGAAAAATTTCTCCAGCCCTTTCATTGGCTGTCACAACCTCTGAGAGTCTGAGAGATGTTTTTCGACTCACGTACCCCGACCTTCGCTGGCGGACCATAACCAAGTGGCCTATGTGCAAAGCTCAGGTTCGAGAACATTGTTTTCCGTGGAAACTTGCTGGTGCTGGCATAGTTGATCACCCTTCTATTCCTTCAGTGGAGGAAGCAATACCAAGAAAGTCTGAACGGGCATTTCAAGGTCCAAGTAACAGCATTTGAGGAGAACGCGGTCCAGCTGGACTCCCTCCAAACATGTATCTTATAAGTCAGTCCTTGTTCGCGTTCATCTCGGCTCCTCGAAGTAAACCCTGCTAACATGACTAGAGGTACCATGCTCGTCGGCCAACATTGGTAGGTCAATACCCATTCAACAAAATTCCCCGGCACACGGCTTCCCCCCTTGGGAGTTTCGATTTTTCCTTGGTTGACTCGTGTCCGTCTCTGCCACAGGTCCAGGCTTTGATGTCATCGGTCTCGCGTTGTCGATGTACCTTGAACTCCGCGTCAGCGTCGACACCTCTTCACCACCCGATTCATCCATCCCACTCAACTGCACAGTAACCTACACTGGTGTGGGCGCCTCAGACATCGACCTCAACCCGGCCAATAATCTCCTCACCAGGACCGCCTTATACGTCCTGCGCTGCCACAACCAGCATGACTTCCCCGCCCAGACACACGTGCACATTCACAACCCTATCCCGCTCGGTCGCGGACTGGGCTCCTCCGGCGCCGCCGTCGTCGCGGGAGTCCTACTCGGTAACGTGGTGGGCAAGCTCAATCTACCTAAGCCCCGGCTGCTCGATTTTTGCCTCATGGTCGAACGGCATCCAGATAACGTTGCGGCCGCGCTCTACGGCGGGTTCGTCGGCACCTATCTCAACGAGCTCGATCCGGACGATATGGCGCGCAAGGAAGTCCCTCTGTCAGAAGTCCTCCCCCAGCCCGCCGGTGGCGTTGACACGGGTCTCACGCCGCCCATTCCTCCTGACAATATCGGGCACTACCGAAGGTTCAACTGGGCCAAGGAAATCAAGGCCCTGGCTATTATCCCAGACTTCGAGGTCAGCACTGCAAAGGCGAGAGAAGTGCTGCCCAAGTCATACACGCGCCAAGATATGGTAAGTGACTTTAACCACCTCCAAATCTGGGGCAGAAGGAAAGGGTCTTTCTGCTCATCTGGCGGTGGCTACTGCGATATCAGAATCCTATGCTGAGCTCTACGTCTACGATTGCAGATCTTCAACCTCCAACGATTAGCGCTCCTGACGACAGTACTATCCGATTCACCACCCGATCCCGACCTCATTTACAGTGCCATGCAAGACAAAATCCACCAGCCGTACCGGAAGACTTTGATTCCTGCTCTACCTGCTATCTTATCTTCCATGTCCCCTAAAACGCACAAAGGTCTCCTAGGGATATGTCTCTCTGGGGCCGGTCCAACAATATTAGCTCTGGCAACAGAAAACTTCGACGCCATTGCGGGAGCTATCGTCCAGAGGTTCAAGGATGAGGGTATCAGTTGTGAGTGGAAGGTTCTGGAGCCGGCAGATGACGGGGCCACTATACAGGACATCCCAGGAGACGTTCCAAGGTACCGAGAGGGACTATGAACTCATGCAAATCATTTTCCGCGATAGCAACAAGAAAAGTCTACCAAGGATGTCTTACGCATGGACTATGAATAAAGATCGGAATTCATTTGGAACACTGACAGCCAGCATTTGCAGTCTAGACAATATTGGAATGGTGCTACTCATTGAAGGTCTGATGTTGCTCTCGATACATGCTCCAATGGCTCCGGACCCCATTTGGTGTATCAGAAGCGCCTGACTTCCGTGCCAGTTCCACAAATACTTTTGTCGCCTTTCATCAAGTGCATTGGCCACCACAATTCTATGCTCCGCATGCCATTTGTCTCATCATAATCTTGACGTCGTTCACGGTTGTCTGAAGTTGCTGCGTGCCCTCCGGAGGATCAAGCATGCGAAATGTCTGAAGAGTGTTTAGAAGCACTTGCGGTGGACGATTGAAGGACCACTTTCATCGTATTCCTGCTTGGAGATCCACATTTGCTGGAAGGTGGAGAGAGATGCCAAAATGGAACCACCGATCCAGACGGAGTATTTACGCTCGGGTGGCGCAATGATCTTGACCTTCATGGAAGACGGAGCAAGAGCGGTAATTTCCTTTTGCATACGATCGGAAATACCTGGGTACATGGTGGTACCACCAGACTAGTGGGGATTAGTACGAGGTCGAAAGGACGAATTGAGGGACAGCACTTACCATGACAATGTTGCCGTAGAGATCCTTACGGACATCGACGTCGCACTTCATGATGGAGTTAAAGGTGGTGACGTGGATACCGCCCGATTCGAGACCGAGAACGCTTGGCTGGAAGAGAGCTTCGGGAGCTCGGAATCGCTCGTTACCGATAGTGATAACTTGACCGTCGGGAAGTTCGTACGACTTCTCCAAGCTGGAGCTCTGAGAAGCAGTCTGGATCTCCTGTTCGAAGTCAAGCGCGACGTAGCAAAGCTTCTCCTTGATGTCTCTGACAATTTCTCGCTCGGCGGTGGTGGAGAAAGTGTAGCCTCGCTCAGCCAAAATCTTCATCAAGTAGTCGGTCAAGTCGCGACCAGCCATGTCGACACGAGAGATGGCGTGAGGAAGAGCAAAGCCTTCGTAGATGGGGACAACGTGGGTGACACCATCACCGGAGTCGAGCACAATACCAGTGGTACGGCCGGAAGCGTACAGGGAGAGAACGGCCTGGATGGAAACGTAGAAGGCAGGTGCGTTGAAGGTCTCGAAGACGATCTGGGTCATCTTCTCTCGGTTGGACTTGGGGTTGATGGGAGCTTCGGTCAACAGGACTGGGTGCTCCTCAGGAGCCACACGCAATTCGTTGTAGAAAGTGTGATGCCAGATCTTTTCCATGTCGTCCCAGTTTGTAACCACGCCGTGCTCAATGGGATATCTGAGGGTGAGGATACCACGCTTGGACTGGGCCTCATCGCCGACATAGGAATCTTTTTGACCCATGCCAATCATGATACCATGGTGACGAGGTCGGCCGACAATGGATGCTATCGAGTATGTCAGGCCTGATTTCGCATGCCTTGAATCAATGCGGGGCAGACTTACGGAAAACTGCTCGTGGCGCATCATCACCAGCAAAGCCAGCTTTGCACATACCAGAGCTGGAAAGAGCACGGTCAGTCAAATATTCACTATTTTCGTCGAAACCTTCTCTTCCGACGATTGCCGCAACCTCATTTGCGATGTTGGGAGTAGGATATTGAAGGGCGCAGGCAGAGGGGTCGACCAGGGGCGAGGCGCTTACCCATTGTCAATGACGAGAGCGGCGACTTCTTCTGTAGAGAGAAAGACGTATCAGTACTTGTTCAGACGTGTTCACATTGTCCCGACAGCCGCTGAGCTGGGATATGATTCAGCTTACCTTCCATTTTGACGGGCTATGTGAGACGATAGACAAGGAGCAGCTGAATAGGTCAAGTACTGAAGCTCGAAAGAACGGAGGTAGTAGGATTCTCCGAAAGAGACGAGCAGAGATGAACAGAGATCGTGTCGAGTGAGGATGAGGACAGAGTTGAGAATGGAATGTCGGGAAGGCAAGATAGGATGGATTTGAACCAAACGGTAGGAGGGAGGCGGTGGCCAGTGAGTGGGAAAGCGCCAAGACCCAAGCTGATCTGACCGCTGTGACTGAACCTCGACTGCGCCGCTGAACACTTGCACTTATTTAGTCGGTATAGCTTTTGCTGGGGGATGTGCTTATCTCAAATTAGCTAGTGCTCTCCTTTGATATGCCGCTCGCTCACCATAATATACCCCTTCGTGGGCCGAAGCTATGTCAAGATGTCGGCCGACAGAGGAACACCCTATCCTGCCACACGAAACACCGTGCGGTCCTGGGCCAAAGCTGTACGAGTAGCAGGCTGGTATGGTTTGGAATTCAGTGATAGGCTGCTACTAGCAGTAGCCATTCTATTCTCCACGATGGTGGCGGCATTGGCCGCGCAATGCACCTCACTCAGTCACGCTCAGTGTCCAGAGCTTCGTAACCAGCGCTTAGGAGAACAGGCAGCTGCAATACTTTCTACGATGCTCGCCTGATCATCCCTAGGAAGATTGCCACCTGCACTCGACTACGAATATCACAAACCTAGACTGTGAAGCATTGCGGCTGAATAAAAGATGGCCTGATACAGAGACTTATGCTCACATCCCGTCTATTTTTGGACCCCGCTGTCAAAGTATCTCCCTTGGGCATTGTCGATCCCATTCTTTGGATGTCACAATCCACAACAATCTCCAGGAAAGGGACCTTCGACCTCGAGAATCTAGACACTGGAGTAGAATCTGTTGGGTCAAAAGCCCACATAGTGACCTGAACCGGCGTTACAGCCTCTTCCGTTATGGTTGAAAAGGTTGAAGCTTTTGCGGTCAAAGGTGTTCCCAGCCACGTTGGCGGGGTATATGTACACAGCGCCAGTCCACAGGCCACGGTCAACATTCAGCCACCACGCCAATGAGCGACATGATGGCGGCAATTGCATTGCCGGAGTGGAGCCGGTTTCGGTGTTGCTCGTTATTTCAGAAGACAGCGACCAGATCATCAACCTGGTGTCTCAGTTGCAGAGCACTTTTGAGCTTTCTCTATGGGCACCTTGCATAAGCTACAACTGCATGTTCGTCTAGGACAAGGGTTTATCTCCCGAAGTGCCCGGTTCCGACGACATTTGGTGCTCGAAGCGTAAAGAACATTACAGTAGGTGCTCGAAAGGGATCAAATCCTATTGGCCAAGCCAAACACTCAACCTCATCTCGCTCATTGATATATCACTTTGCAACGCAGGAAACAGCGAAGAAATTTGGGAAAACTGTCCTTAATTGATCTATAGCACTTCACCTTCCACTGTGATCACAATTTTGATCTCTAAACCCCCAAGTTCACACTGTTGATCATACCAAGAACAATCCCCCAAAATGGATCCTGGCTTGAATTCCCTCCTTCAGTGGGGCATTGAGAATTCCGAAGCAGGCGGCACACAAAATCAACAGGTTCGCGAGCCCAAGGGACTCTCAGCTGACGCTCTCCGCGCTCTTATGGGCGGTCCCAGCGACGCCGACCTCATGAAAGAAGCCATGTCCATCATCGTGTCGTCTGATCCTGAAGTCACGCATGACGCCAAAATGACCGCCTTCGACAACTTCGAGCAACTACTTGAGAGCATTGACAACGCCAACAACATGGAACCGCTAGGCCTGTGGACGCCACTGCTTTCCCAGCTTGACAGCGAAGTGGCGGACATGCGACGCATGGCCGCCTGGTGTCTAGGCACAGCGGTCCAGAATAACGTCAAAGCACAAGAACGCTTGCTCGCCGTTAACGGTATCAATAAACTTTGCCAACTCGCATTGGACGATATCGACCAGGCAGTCCGACGAAAAGCTGTCTACGCTCTGAGTTCCGGGATCAGAAATTATCAGCCAGCAATGAACGAGGCTGTCAAACAGTTACCCAAGGAAATTGTGGGGCCAGATCAGGTGTCGGCGGCGGATATGGATGTCATTGACGCCATCATGAGCAAGCTGAGGGAGAAGGAATGAAAGCCGAACGGACTAGACGAAGCTAGGAAGTTGTCGACAGGCGAACCATTGGTTCCTGGCTGGCGACGATGATTGTTGGGCTCAAAATGCTGTCGATATTGCCACCACAAACGATGTTGGAGGCGAACTCTATGAGCCCGTGGCCAATTCTACGGAAGCCTCCCGCCGCCAGGCACAGTGGTGGGCGTACACGCACCAAGGCCAGGAATGTTCCGTCCAGATCCGAATGAGTCTCGCTTGTATACAGCGCTACTCGATGGACGCATGGAAAGTATTTCGTATTACTAGCCGAAGGCCAAGGAAAAGAAAAGCAGAGTCCAGCCTTGCTCAGCAAATGTATCATGACATGGAATGAATACCATAAACTTGTACTCCGTAGTCCTTGACCTATACGCTGATGCTTGCTTAAAACTTTGTTTCATACGATAGTGCCGTTGCCATCGGTCTCCGATGCAATCGTCCTTGCAACGTTGAGGAGTCCTGATATGGTCCACTTTGCCCTCCATCCAGTACCTTCGCATCCTCACAGCTGCAAGTTATACGTATAGTCATCCTCCATATTCTGGCTCACCCACAGCACCACACTACTGAGCATGACCAGTCCATTCGCCACGACGTTCGCAACGCCCATATAAACCGTTGTAAGCGCGTAGTCGTTGAACAAATATTTCAGCACCATGACCGTGACACTGCCGGCTAGTCCGCCCGCCATGAGCGCAAATCCCAGAAACAGCACCGTGCGCGCCTTCCAGGCGACACCGTTCCCACTGTACGAGAAGCTGTCGGCACTTAGGCGGGACTTCTCGATGCTATTGATCACGAGCATCCCCAGTGCCGAGCAGATGAACGGGATCCAGTCGACGAAGTTGATGTGCACGTGTGAGCCGTTAAGGGGAGATTTCGAGTAGACGCTGGCATCGATGAAAAAGAAGAAGCCGAGAGAAAACTAGACAGCATCGATTAGCGCGGATGTAACAGAGGACAAGGAGCAGGGAAGACTGCTGCGTACAAGTGCACCCGCAAGATAGACGCCTGCGGTCCTAGTACTGGCGCTGTTTAGCCAGGCGGGCTTGTGGATGTCGAAGCGGAAGAGACGATGTGAGGACATTTCGAGAGATATTTGATCCGTCAGTAGGATTAGGAGGGTTAACGTAATGCAATGCGCATAAATTCGGTGGTGGTGATGGGTTTTATTGGAGTTGGAGGTCGCCTTGCGAGTAAGGTGCAGCTTCACGGTGATGCAAAGCCTAGCCTACCTGGGATAGGCACAAGCGTGGCTGGGAATGCTTTCCGCGGGTACCCGTCACTCTGCCTGCTACAATACTACTGTACTCTCTTTAATGTACAGTGGTAGGTCAAGAGACTCGTAGCTATGATAAAATACTTAACTTTGCTTTCTGGGAGTTGTGTCGCTTTCAAGAAAGACACATGGTATGTACTTTTGCAGCACCACCCAGAGCTGGGGAGACTCTGGGTACCTCGAAGAGCAAGTCACGAGACTGACGAAGGGAGTGAACACTGGAAGGCATTCGATTGTATCTGAAGAAATAATACTGAAAGGTGATGCAATGATCCACGTCCTCAGATTGCGAGTGTATAGATGGCCTGATAACAGATTCGATTGCTTATTGTCACCAATATATCGGTTGAGCCAACTCACGGAGTACCATGATGGGAACGATATGACCTTCTTTCCACAAGACAAAGTCGCCCAACATCATCGCCCATCCCGTGCCCAGATCAAACTATTCCGGCGCCTTGATATGCATTACCATGGCCTCAGCTGCCATTTCAAAAGTCTTGCTCCTCCTTGAAGAATTGTGTAAAACTGATGATCGTGCCGTATATCAGCAGGCCCCCAACGATTGACATAACCATGGCAGGGATCTTGATAAGAGCGCAATGTGCCAGGAGGACGGGCAAGGCTGTCGACGGTGTGGTTAGCCTCTCTTCTCTCGGTGACCTCTTCATAGACCTACCAATGCCCATAACAACCAGAAACCCTGTAGCAAACCGTCCCAGGTCAATCCATGCACTCGAATTGCTTTCAATAAAGTCGTCTGGATTGGCACATCTCCCGGCTATCCAATTCGGTACTGGCGCAAGTACATAGGTCGCAACGACGAGGAGGGTAAGGAAGTTATGGAACAAAGCAGCGGAGAGGATAACGAGCAGGAATCCGATGGCAAGAACCTATGCCGAAGTCAATAAGAAGGCCTGGATCTGTGTTCTCATGCGCACGTACAAAGGAGAGAGCGATGATTGTTTTCAGTCCCGCCGTCATCGTGGCCTAGGTCCGGAGCAGGCAGGAAGGCGCTCGTTGTCTGCCGAGTTGCTCAAGTTGTATAGGCTCGCTGAAAGGATAGTTTCGCTTTGCGAGGGCAATCGGAAGGCGCTAATATATGACTGAGAATGACATTGAACTTTGTGAGTGGATAAGTCGTGAAAGAACAGTTCAAGTTGATCAACCGTGACCAAAGATGAACTTGAACTTGTGGCTGGGCTGGAGTGTCCGCCAGTGAGAAGCTCCGACGGTGGGAGTGATTCGCGGAGACACCTCGTGCATTTGCGCGTCTCCATTGCCTAATTGTCTGGCTTCACCATTTATTCTCGACAACCAGCAACTAGAATACCTCTGCAGTGCTGCTCTTCTTCGGCTCCTCAACCTTCTAACCCTCAATCAACATGTTCAGAAACAATTACGACAACGATTCTGTGACATTGTAAGGCTGCTATTGAAATCGACGTCCGCGCATGGTACTGACCATTACCAGTTCACCTCAAGGCCGAATATTCCAGGTCGAATATGCTCAAGAGGCGGTCAAGCAAGGCTCAGTAGTTGTCGGGGTGGTCAGCAAGAAGCATGTTGTCCTCACGGCCCTCAAGGTTCGTCAAGGCCTGGCAGACTGACAATCAATCGCTCACAATGGTCACAGAGAAATGCAGAAGAACTATCCTCATACCAGAAAAAGATTGTTGGTGTAGACGACCATCTGGGAGTTGCACTTGCAGGTCTTGCCTCCGATGCCCGGGTCCTCTCGAACTTCATGAAGCAGCAATCCCTCTCGTCCAAGATGACCTATGGCCGCCCCATACCAGTCGAGCGCATTGTCAATATGATCGGTGACCGAGCCCAGACAAACACACAACATTATGGCAAGCGGCCTTACGGCGTCGGACTATTGGTGGCAGGTGTCGATGAGCTGGGACCACACTTGTTCGAATTCTCTCCCTCGGGCTTGACACAAGAGATGCTAGCCTGTGCAATTGGCGCTCGAAGTCAAATGGCCCGGACATACCTGGAGAGACATCTGGAAACATTCGCGGACTGCAGCCGAGAAGAGTTGATCAAACATGCTCTACTGGCTCTCAAGGAGAGTCTCTCTCAAGACAAGGAGTTGACGGTAGACAATACGAGTCTGGCTGTGACAGGTGTGAGCGAGAAGGATGGCCGAAAGAAGCTCGAAAAGTTCAAGTTGTACGATGGACAAGACATCGCACCGTTACTGGAAGCCAACGTGGAGTCAGCAGAGACAGAAGGTGCCTCAGGCGATGCCATGGAGACTGACTCGTAGCGACAAAATGATGCATTGGCATTCGGCACGGCGTTTGGAGTGAGAAGGCTGTCACAAATATCACTCTGACATGTATCAAGGAGGGGCAAAGAGTCGATGATGATTCTCATTTTCCATGTTTTTGGGTCTATCATTGCTTGTCTGTCTATTCCATGGTCCAGTCCAGCTTGTATCGTCCTGGAGCCAGCTGATATCCACGCAATGCCTGAACAACCTCGTCCGTACTCTTGACCTCGACCAGAATATTCGCGGCACCTTCACTGACGAAACCTTCTCTAATACTGTTCCTGACCCAATCCAACAGTCCATTCCAGTAGCCATTGACATTGACCAGGACAATTGGTATCTTGTGAATGCCCAATTGATTCCAAGTCACCATCTCCATGACCTCCTCGAGCGTGCCATATCCTCCTGCCAGAGCTACAAATCCTGATCCTGATCCCCCAGCTTCAACGCACTGAGCCATCATGCGCTTGCGAGTGTGCATATCCGGTACGATCGTGGTGGCTCCGAACTCTGACTCGGGCACGATCTTACTGTCTGGATCTTCGTTGCTGTCAATGCGTTCGAGCTCCTCTGCTGACATAGTCCGTTCGACCTTTCGCGCACCATTCTGACTGGTCTCGTTCCGCTTTGAAGGATCCAACTCGGTCCGAATCAACGCGCGAGGGATGATTCCCCGGACCGATTTTGGGCCGGATAATGAGACCAATGTCTTCGCCAACTCGCCCATGATGCCCATCGTTCCTCCGCCATATACGAGACTGTAGCCTGCTTCATGCAGCGCCTTGCCCAACGTCTGGGCAGATGCTAGGTGAACAGGATTTTTGCCTGGTGAAGAAGCACAGCTTGGAAGGGTTAGTAGCTGATTTAGAGCGGAAGATAGTATCGGCCACTTGTTCTCTTCTCCTCGACTTACAAGACACATACAACGGGCTGGGAGCCGTCTGGATTTGGGCCTGCTTGCATGGTTGTCATCATGCAGATCTATCCTCGTAGGACTCCTTGTAATAGAAATATGACTTTTTCAGAGCAGTTGACGATGTTCTGTCCTTTTATTTCCAAAGTCGGTGAGCAAACGCAAGCCTTGGGCCAATGATTGTGTGTGTACCAAAACAAATGGAAGTCTATATACTATGGTCGTGCAAATGATCGTCCAGAATGAAATCTACTGCTGGCAGTCAATCCATGTTATGAGTCTACAGCAACGTGGCGGATGGACGTTCGAATATTGGGTTCTGAGTATATTATGACGTTACTCCGTACAGCGCAAACTTATCCGTGCCACGTGAAGCTATTAAACGCGAGTCAACACAGTCCAAGTTTCGCAGAGGAGGCCTCGATGCCTAAAGAGATGCCTGAGCCAGCGCCTGTACGACGGTGATAGTCTTTGTTTCTACGGGATTTGTTGGTTTGCATGTTTGAGCAAGCTCATGCGGCCCTCTTTCCGTCTCCCCAAGGGTTAATCATCGAGTCCATCTGTCAGCATCGTGGAGGCCTGGTTGGACGACGATGACGGCAGACAGCGACCCGAGTTTGCATTCTTTTGCAAGGCGGTAGGACCTTTTGTGCACTGGAAGCAATATCTGAGACTGTCATCGCTCAGCACTGCCCATACATACATCGTCCAGGACCAGCGCCATTGAAGGATGCCCAGAACACATTGATGCCAACGCTTTTCACAGCTTCATCATACGGGACCAATGCTGCATTTACTGGTAGTGAGCCACCTACAAGTGACCAGGGACGAAGTCGGATGAGCGTCGAAATGGCTTGTTAAATGGTTTGATCTGGAGCAGGCACAGCAGGATGCCATCGCTCACATACTGACAACGCAACCGAGGTTCAGCTCATGGTCATCCATCAATTGATCGGCGGGAGGAACATCTTTCGATGATATCTTTGCACTCGTGCATTTTGGCCGCGATTAATTGTTAAGGTCAGATCAACGAACGTTCACTCGGGGATTCCAAGGAACACGCAGGAACAAGAAATGGCTTCGGGAGCTGTCTCAGCCTTATCCATTGGGGGCCGCATGTGACACTTCACGTACCAGACGAACAGAGTTGGTCATAGCTTTTCAGCGGCCCTCATCAGTATTCTTTTATTATCCTCCCAGCGCTAGTCCTTAACCAGGCAGTGTGATGCTTTTATCGATTTTATCGATTGTTGGGCGCCACGGATGATATCTTCCCAATTCCCTGGTTCACGTGCACAGTCCAAGGTGCCATCCGCCTGCTTTTCACTCTTACTAGTAGTACTTCTCTGTTCTCTTCATCCACCTGGCTTCTTCCAGAGTCCAGACTGGCTAACACTGATCAGCGCCCAAGAGCCTCATCAGTACTATTTTCGGGTCTACAGGACCGTGCTCTCGCTAGCCTTACCAGTACACTAATTAGCTTGGAACCCTGTCCGCTCCTTCGTCTTGTACTCGGCGCATCGGCACACTGCTCTCGGTGCCTCTCGCATGTGTGTTCTCCCATGTCGATATGCAAACTCCATACCTTGATCGAGCGCCATCTGTCAATCTGAAGCACTACATACACACCTGAGAAGGATCTCGCTTAATTTCTCGTATTGCCTCGTGCTTCGCGAGGCAAGCTCTGTCGGGCTATCACTGCGAGGATAAGACACGACGATGGCATGTCCTTCCGCTCCCACATTGGTGGATTTTGGCCTCCTCCGGGATGTCCATCATCCCACCACACCCGGCCTTGTCCTATTGGCCACAATTGGCCTCTTACACTTCCTTCAGACTTTTGGGAACGTTGCATGCAGCCAGCTAGTCACCTCTGGACGACAAACCGTGCGCCAGCCGCCTTCAGACCCTCCCATCCTCCCGCCCTAGCGACCTCGGGATTACTCTGCTCTCGTATCTCGATGAGGCAGCTGAAAAAAGAGCACCAGAACCCCGCTTTCCGCATAGGGCTGCCGCCTATCGTTGCGGCCGAAGGTAAGCTCCCAAAGGTAATCGTGCAGGTACACCTCACAGACACTGATCCTCTGCCTATGGCCCTAGCTACTATCTGCTAGTATGGAAGCGGAGTTCTATTAGAGTCCAAGGACTTGCTGTCCCGCTCATGTCTGCTTTTTTTCCACCTGTTTTTCAGCCTCACCGTTTCGAAGGGCATCATACTCTCTCTGCGCGGCGCACTGTGCGGCGCAATCGTCAGGTCTCATAGCCATGGCGAGGCTGCTGCAGTTGACGCTGTTGCTGCTTGCGTGCGCGGTGTTGTTGCTGGCTCAAAATACTACTATTGATACGACTAGTACAACCACCACCAGCAGTACAACATCCTCCCTCAGCACGACAACTACCACCACTTCAAGCATCAGCACATCCGACATAACGACAACGACTTCTACTTCTACAACGACGATTCCGACAACCACCTCAACAATCCCCCCAGCTACTACTATCAGTACTACCTCTTCCACCACTACAACGACCACGAGAAGTAGCAGCAGTACCAGTACGTCGATTGTTCGCCCCATATTTATTTCGAACTCGCCCATCCCAGTCTTTTGTTGCGCGCTTGCTGTTCAATTGCTCTTTGTAATGTTCGATTCGGGGCAGCTACCACAAGCTACACCACTACATTTGATACCACTACCTCCTCAACCACATCGTCTGCTGCCGTAACCACTCCGTCCACAAGCACCACAACCACAACTATCCCCCCTATTACCTCTTCCACCTCCCGAACCACTGCCTCGTCCTCGCAAACCTCGGCTTATACCTCCCGTTCGACCATAGCTACCACTTCTATTATCCTTACCACGACCACTACCACCCGCTCCCCTTCTTCCACAACGACAACAACCAGCCTTCCCCCTCCTACCACCACGACCCCTTCCCCAACCACGACCCCTCTAAGCACTACCAGTGAGTATTCATCTTCGGAGCAATTGAAACATCGTTAGCCTCATTTGTATTAGCAACAGTTATTACTAGCACGCAATCTTCTTTGAATTCAGCCCTGACCACAAGTCCTCCTCCAGCCTCGAGCACTACCTCTTTGCCTTCTACAACCACTCCTAACACCTCGAGTACAACCTTGGTAACAACTTCTACAGTCGCTACCACATCATCTTCTCCAATTTCTGAGAGCACTACTTCGACCTCAACGGAAGAGACTTCATCCACTACTTCCTCTGAAGGGAGCACGACTAGCAGCGAACCGCCGGTGGTCATAACCACATCTAGTTCTTCGATCTCGTACTCCACTAGCACTTCTACTGTCACGCAAGTCATTGCAACCACCTCGAATGGCGTTACAGCATTAACAACTCTTACGTCCGTGGTCGTCGCAACGGCTCCGGCCACAACAGTAGTGGACGTGGGAACCTACACAAGCACTCCCGGAGCCTCACCATCTGTGGCTGCAGCGAACAGCGGTGCAAATGGTAGCAGCTCAGGGCTATCGACGGGGGCCAAGGCCGGTATTGGAGCTGGGGTGGGTGCGGCGGTGCTTGCGGTAGCTATTGTAAGTGCTTCTCCTGTTCTCAGAGCCGACGTCATCCGACCTGTATCCCAGCCTGTTAACCACAGCCTGACTCGTGTCACTAATTTTTCTCTTCAGTTTGGCGGGTGGTACTCATGGTACATGAGGCGCCGGAGAAACCGAAACTCACTGTCCCATGACCACTACGACGCCAATGCTCCGATGCCTGGCATGGGCGAATATGGAGGGTCCACTGGCGGACGCTCAGGCATGGGCGCCATGGCCGCGGTGGCAGGGTACTCTTCCAACCGCTCAGACACGCGATCCGAACTCCCTTCACCTCCGCTCCAGCCTCCGCCTCGATCTCCGGACCGCCTGCTCCCTGCTGCTGCAGCCATTCGATCATGGGGTTCAGTCTCACCACCACCTCACCAGGGGTCATCTGGTATGTCTGTTTCTGACCAGAGCGAGTACTCACAGGGCAATGCTCCGTATCAACAGCCTCCACAACATCTGCAGACTGTGCCCATGACTGGAGCCGCAGGTGAATACTTCCCAAACCTCAATGAGCTGCCGGAAGATCAACGCGATATCCACCAACTCCCAGATGGCCAGGCACAGGCTCAGCCTCAACTGAATGAACGGAACCTCACTGCCGGATCCGGCCCTGTATTCGCCGCTATGGGACGGGGACCGTATTCGCAGGACGAAGGCTATCATCCCAGTCATTCGTCCGCGCAAGAGTCGTATGAGCTTCCCGGTGGCCAGGATACGGATGCCGGCGCCCCAGCGGAACAAGGTCGAGCTGGTTATCGTGGTATGGATCCGGAAGTCCCACTGCATCAAAGGTACGACAGAGTACCTATTCGGCCTGGGCATTTGGGTCCTTCGCATAATTTCTAAAAAGAAAAAAGTGTATACGCTCTAAGATAATGTGGAATGTAATTCTCCCTGTAAATCCAGGCTTATCAGCCTTCCCATGGCTTCTCACATCCCCCAAGACAGTAGCTTCTTTTCTCAATGCAAGTAGACTGCGGACACCGCGATACGAAATCATAGAGGACGAACGCTCAAGCACACACATAGGCAGATGCATCCCAGCTATTGGCCTCCTGGTCAACTCAAACCAAGCTACGAGTAGCTGTGCGAGAACCGATTGTTTTGGTGGCATGTTGAGATTACATGCGACTTTTGGGAATCCAACTTAGTACTGGCGTAGCCTCGTTGCGGCCTCGCTACGTCATGACGGACGCCAGCTTCAATGGCCGCGTTCGCGGCGTTGCACTTGAATTCCAAATGCCACCGTCTCACATGTTGCGCTTGACATCTTCCTCACTACGCAATTCTAGGCTTTGTGTATTGCCGCCTGGACCTAGACTGTTCAACATGGCCGACAAAATGTCTACGTACTCGCCGCTGTCGGCCAAAGTTACGTCCGTCGAACCGATGGTAAGTTTGTCCTGGATGACAACACGAGAGCATCCGGCTGATTGCTGAAGGATCTTAGCCACCAGGAGAATCGAAATGGATCACCTTGAAAAAAATCACCTACAAAGACCCTTCAGGCAAACAGAGGCTATGGGAATCTGCGGAACGACTGGTGCGTTGATTGACCGCACTTGGAAGAAGCTGCGACCTGACTGCGGATGGGCAGACGAGACCGAAGAATAGCGAGGTTGATGCCGTCGGTGTCGTGGCCGTTCTCAACGACCCAAAGTCTACGAAAGGACCATCATTACTCCTGCAAAAGCAATTCCGACCTGCCGTCAACAAAGTCACGATCGAAGTCCCCTCGGGCCTGATCGATGCGGGCGAAGATCCCACCACAACTGCGGTTCGCGAGCTCAAAGAAGAGACGGGCTATATTGGAACAATACCAGACGATGCCAGGGCTGCTGAAGGTTTCTTGATGTTCAATGATCCTGGATTTTGCAATACCAATACCAAGATGATCGTTGTCGAGGTGGACATGTCCGATCCCAGAAACCAGCAGGATAATCTGAAGCCTGAGCTAGAAGAGAGCGAGTATATCGAAATTCTCACCTTGCCACTGGACCATCTGTGGAATGAGCTGGGGGAGCTTGAGAGGCAGGGTTTTGCGATTGATGCTCGTGTTGGGACTCTGGCTCAAGGGATGGAGATGGCGAAGAAGTGGAAGGATGTGCTGAACAGGTCTCCGTCGTAGGCCTGCGAATATCAACTATCCATGCTGTAGAAATAAGACTGATTGAGCCTGGGATATTCCTGTTACATGTCATGGTAGCAATGCCGGACAAATGTTATCAAACCGCATTACCTTGAACCACCACTCCAGCCTTGCGACTCCGATTCGTCCAAGGCCAAAAATTATGGAATGAACAGATCTCATTTCGTCAACGTCGCATGCTCTCCACGTCTCCACGTAGACATGTATTTGACACCTCTTGACGGCTTTGACACTCAGTTGCTCCGACCTCTTTTCCGATCTGGCCATCGTTCATCCTAGACTATGAGGTCGCCGTCAAGATGGGGGTTATGGGCCGACACTTTGTCGACCTTTTCGAGAAAGATCAGTGGTTCAACCTACGGCTGGTACCGTTCATCTTGATCTGGGCTGCTTTTGGAATTGTGTTTTCGGTGCGACTACACTCTGCTGCACCACCTCATAACTGCTTTAAGTATTGACAGGTTATAGGTATGGCTCTTCATAACACTCTTCGTGCCGAACCCCAGAAAACCGCTGCCCTCCGAGAAACAATTCACAACGGTCGACAAGGCAGGCGACGTTACCGACCCGGAACCTCTACCATGCTGGTACGACGACATCCTGCGCAAATACGTCCAGGCCCGCCGCGAAGAGCCCAAGCGTGAAATTGAACTTGAAAAGGAGATCGACCCGGCCGAACTGTTTATGACGCTCGTCGTGCCCGCGTTCAATGAGGAGGACAGACTTTCGGGCATGCTGGAGGAAGCTGTCAACTTTCTCGAAACAGAGTACGGACTATCAAGAGGAGACCAGAACACAGGTCTAGACACGCTCGTCGAGAAGCCTGCATCTACACAAACCGAAGCCTCTGCAACAACGACCACTACACCCCGCCAGCGCAAATCCAAAGCCGACGGCGCTGCCAAACCCCCGGCGCAGTCGCTACGAGGCTGGGAAATCCTGCTCGTCGACGACGGCTCCACCGACGACACCATCCTCACGGCCCAGACGTTCTCGCGCCGACACATCCTCCCCGCTCACCCGCGCCGCGACTCGGGTCCCTGGACACATCGTTCTCCCCAGGGCGTATCGATCCCGCCCGGCTCCATCCGCATGGTCAGCCTCACCGAGAACAGAGGCAAAGGCGGCGCCGTGACGCACGGCATGCGCCACGCCCGCGGCCAATATGTCCTGTTCGCCGACGCCGACGGCGCCAGCAAGTTCTCAGACCTGTCCAAGCTACTCTCGGCCTGCCAACGCACCGAAGACGACGCCGGACGTGCCGTGGCCGTCGGATCCCGTGCACATCTCGTCGGGTCCGAGGCGGTTGTGAAACGCTCCAAACTGCGCAATTTCTTGATGCACGGTTTCCACTTGCTGTTGAGGTTCATGACACCGCCTGCCACGGCCAAGATTGCGGATACGCAATGCGGGTTTAAGCTGTTCTCGCGCCCCAGTTTGCCGTATATCATCCCCCATATGCATATGGAAGGGTGGATTTTCGATGTCGAAATGCTCATGTTGGCCGAATTCAGCGGCATCCCCGTCGTAGAAGTGCCCGTCGGGTGGAGGGAGGTTGTGGGGAGTAAGTTGAATGTTGTACGGGATAGCATTGGGATGGCTTGGGGTTTGGCGATACTGCGGCTGTGTTGGGGCACGGGGATATATAGGCGCTAACATGTCGACTGGCTTTGTCTTGTTTGATACTTGTGTGGCAAAGACTGAGGCGAAGTGAACCACAGGATAAGGGACTATCTGCACGTTGTGGTATACAGAGTCGGTTAGAAAACCGCTCTGGTGATTGGGGACTCCAGGGTGTAGGTGTCTGGTTCCAAATGCGAAAAGCATGAATAGAATGGGTCACTGTTTTGGGTATACACTTGCATTTCCCGGGGAATTGTAAAACGATCGAGACGTGTTCGACAAACACGTCGAAAACCAAGTCAGCCTTGCAGCTCGGCACGCTGGAAAGTACCATTTATCTAGCTGCCGGTTTTGTCCTCGGTAACTCGACAGTTCTATAGCTCGCAGCTCGTGAATCATGTAAACCCGATACTCTGACACGTTATCTGCCGAGGAGATGTCGGACGACCAGTTCAACCCGGTTGCCTCAGCAGGCACGCCGTATTACCCCCTTCGGCAATAGCATGGCCTTATCTCATCTGGACTGAAAGGTCGATCCTGTGACCTTTGTCCATGCGCTTTCGAGTTTGCTCTCGATCATTTCGTCCACATGCTCGGCGCCGACGTCACTAACGCCGACACCAGCAGACGCTTTCAATCCGCTTTCCGACGACGCTGCTTGCTTCTCCTCAAGGTTCTGATCCAGATTACTGGCATAGATCAAGGCAGCAAAGGCCTCGAGCTCTTTCACTTCCGCCTCTGCCGTAGACAGATATTCATTAGGAGGGTTATTTCCATTGCCAATAGCATGAGCCTGGCGAGTAATTATGGCCAGCAGATTGGCGAGCTTGACTCGCGGCTCTCCAGGCACGACCGTGACAGCAGAGTCTAGTTCTTGGATACGCGGAGGTTGTGCGCCGGATATCGATGATGACGGCGATTGCATTGGCGGTTGTGGATAAGCCCGCGCAATAACATGAGCGTCGATAAGGTGTGAGAACATCGAGCCCAGAAGAAGTGTATGAATTCTTGTGAAGATTGGAGAGTCGATCAGATCAGCTGTCTCATCAAGGAGTTGCCGCAGAGGTCCTGACGAGGTATCGATGTGGATAGAAGGCTCCTCTCCAAGTTGCCGCTCATCGTGAGTCTGGCTGGGAGATGATGGAGTCGGTGTCATCACTCCCGACTCAATCAGCACCGCCTCTTCCTCCTCGCGGGGCGGCAGCATACAGGGTAGCCATCTAGTGGCATATCTTTCCTGCTCCGAGCTGCCCTCGATCTTCCTTCGTACTGCGAGGACCAAGTCGCTGAGTCTTATGGCTGAGATTCCCTCGTTCGGAGAAATACTTCCGAATACCTCCTCCACTGCAGTCCTCACTTTCGCCATGATTTGAGCATATCCTCTATGTAGCAAATACCACGAAAAAGTGAGGTATCTTCTGTTGGTTTCGAAGTCATTTCCGAAGCCGTTTCCTGCACTCCCACTGTCATGATCCTCGAGTGAGATGGAGTTGGCTCTTCCCGGTGGCACAGGTTGAGCCAAAGAGATGACTGAGGACAAGTAATTGAGTCGGCCGAGCAGATTGAGTTGTATTCTTGTCAGTATGATGAGGAGTGACAGACTGTAGATCAGGGTGAAAGCCCTTGTGACGGACGTGATCTTTACTTCATTCCAGAGTTGTGCTTTCGTTCTTCTTGAGCCCAACTCATTACCATCCCCTTGTACTTGGCTGGCATGTATGAAGCTTCCCGTCTGGAAGCTTGACATGCTGACGGTATCGCCCTCCTGCATACTGGAAGCTTCAGATCTCCCCTCTCCAGAAGCACGTGCCAGTCTTTCGGCTTTCTTCTGCTGTAATTCATGGGTTAATTGCTCAACGGGCAATTCTTCGAGGACATTCTCGGTCAGAGTAGGCAGGAGGGCGAGGACGGTAATGGTGCAGTCTGTTTGATTCTGTTCAAACCGGCGTTGAATGCTACGCGAGGCTGTCAGTAGAAGTCATGTACTGAGGTGCGTGGTGCTGTACTTCTCTTTTGCTATTCTGTCCATTTGCATGCGCTCTCGCGCTTCCTGGATCTTCCCAAGCACATACTGTCCCGCCAAATAGGTTGCGCCAATAACTCCAGCACCGATTGCGATGCCATTGCGATTCCGCTTGAGCCAGCGACGTGTGGCTGAGATCATCGTGATGAAAGGGAGGAAGCACCTTTATCTCGGGTAGGAAATAAGTCCTGGATGGGACATGACCGCAGTATTGGCGGAGGATGAGGCACAGAGAAGAGAGTTTCGAGCGGGAGGAGGTCTTTGGAGGTAGGTTGGAACGAGTTTGATTTATTGATCACCATGCAGTCCATCGCATGCCAGGTGGGAGATGCAGATGTAGATGTGGCTAGTGCCGAGGCTGTGGTGACGGTGCCCGGATGAGAACAGAAATGGCTGAGGAGCCAATGGGTATGGACTCCGGGAGAATAACGTGCCGACAACCATCCGGTGCCCCTCGAAGAAGGTCCCAAGGGATGTCTAAGACCTGTGACATTCACCTGGTCGTTTGCGAAGGACATCAACCAAATGAGCGTTTTCCAGTGCCTCAGGCACACCTTGTCGACGAGTATCATGATCATGTCTTGAATCACATCTTTACACGAGGCGCCACTCTGCTGGCTGCCACTCTATTTCCTCTCATCCGCTGAATCTCCCCCACCATAACCCGCTTGACATTGCGCAAAGAGACCGACAATGGATCTGCGTCATCACGAGTACATACTTGAAGTGTTTGCGGACCAAACTTTTGTAAAGGATATTGTCAAAGGTAAGCATGCCTTGCTGTTAGCAGTCAACTTGGCACAAAGGCGAGCCAGTACAATCAGATCGATTCTGACGCATGTCTCCGTTGATTGCAGGAGTGCTACATACGATATTCTTCCACCGATATTTCCCACCTGTCCGGCCTACGCTGTACACACCGACGGCTTCATCTTCTCACTCTTCGTCACACTCGGCCCAGTCACTGCCGATTCCTCTCCCCTCGATCGTTGATCCTCCAGATATTTCAGCTGCCATCGACTCTCATACTGCTCTACTTGTTTCTCAACTTACTCCACAATCGTCAACAGGCCCGGCAGCAGGCGGCTCTCGCGGGGAAGTTGTGGTACGTTTCTTTGACAGGAAAAGACGCAAGACCGGCATAACTACCGGCTGGCTTGGGAGACTGGGCGGTGGCGGTGGCCAAACAGAAGAAGAGGTTTGCTGGGAAGAATGGTGTGTACAGGTTGTTGTAGCAAGGCCACGCAGTGAAGCGGGTGGGTGATCCTTTCTTTGCCTGCGTGAGATTTTGCTAACCTGTCTAATCAGACCGCATCAAGGTCCGGAGGGCTATGGAATCGTCCCTCCAAAAGACGGCAATGAAGATTGTCGCAATTGTCAACAGAGACAAAGATCATATACCTCCTATCACCACAAGCGATCAGAATCCATTCCCATACAAAATATTTGTCAATCCAAAACAGCAAGAGAATGCTGAAAGAGGATTTGGGGGCTGGAACTGAAATGACCCCCTTTGGGTTGAGTTGCGATGCAGCAAACCACTACTCAAGTAGATTCACGTACTTTGAAAGCATATTATAAGCAAAACCACTCTTCAAATCCGTCTACCTGCAGCCAATCATTTCGCCGCATTGGTCAAGGCACCATCGATAGGTCTATTTGTGCAATTACACAGAAACGTCATTTCATTCCCATAGAGCCCAGCTTCCAAAGCAATCCACACTGCACACTCCTCGCCACAAGCATGATCCGCGCGCTTGCACCATTTCTCCCGTCGTAAGCTTATCAACCTCCAGATATTCGTCACCCGCAACAATAATTGTGTTCCGATATGTATCGCATCAAGCGTCAGCGATATCCCTCAATTCCCGTATGAAGTCTTTGTAGGAGTCTTTCAACCGTTTACTGGCTTTTGAAAGCAGCATCAGCCTTGCCTCGAACGTCTGCGGCGGTGCTACCACTTTGGCTGAAGAAGCGAGAGAAGACCGGCTGAATGAAGGATCGGAAGACGATTTGGGCACCATTAGTGACTGGGAGGGCCATCCAGAGGATCAAAATGAACTTGAATACATAGTAAAACGCTGTGAGGGGTCAGATTGATTCAGTCTGAAAGGGCTTCGAACAACATACGAAACCAGTAGACAGCATTGATCAGGCTCTCGAAGACGGTGAGGAAGGCATAGACAACCCAGTACTATTTTCTTGTCAGCATGTGTCGCAATAGAATCGAGTTCTGCCGAGCCGGAGGGACCTACTGTCAGCCACTGAGTGTCATCGACCTTGTTAGCACTGAAGAGTGCATCCAGAGAATAGTATCCTGGGATTATGAAACCGGCAAAGTTGACCAGGAATTCCCCTCCAATGTTAAAAAAGACGAGGAAGAAGTAGAGTCCGACAAGTCCGAGGAAGGCATAGACCTTGGGGACGCTGGTCTGTTTCTCGAAGTTGTTGAGGACGGGGTATTTAGAAAGCTCCTTGTCGAGCTGAGAGATCTGGTGCTGAGTCTTATCTTGGAACGACATTTTGGCAGGATGCAGGTCTTGCTCGCTACAATACTAATTGCACGATGAGAAGACTAATGGAAGTGTAAGGGAGGATTGTAAATTCTGAGACAAAATGTGCGATGCGATGGGAAGTTGGGAGTGATCAGGATGATGGAAAAGCTGACGTCGTCTGTTGAATTAGGCCGGCGGTGGATGATGTGCGTGTTGGCCAGATTGTCACCTGCAGGCAGCTCCTGACTGCTGCACTTGCCGACTTTCTACACTACTACTGACCGGCTGACAGGTGACTTGCAGTCCTAAGACGTATGACGTAAGGCGACAAGGCTTCGTGTTTGCAGAGGTTAAAGCAGCGAAACTGTAGTCGTGGCACTCGAATGGTAGTATCGATCGACTGTTATTTACGTTCTTCTGCATTATCGGTTCACTAGTCGCAGAGCGGACTTGTTGAAATACCCAGGTAGTCAACATTCTAGATAGGTACTCTTATAGGAAACAAGGTCATGGTTCTCCCTGAAAGTCTGCGCATAACCTACCTTGAGAACGGCAAGCCAACAAGTGGGTGAATGGCCTCGAGCCGAGCTTTACACGTGACTGAGAGATATTGCAGCAACGAAAACTGAGATTTTGGGTTAGTGTATGGTTGGCCCGGCGGCCATCGCATACAGGTAAACAAGAGCTGAGAAAACAACAAGTTATCCGCGCGTGTGCTTGGTACAATAGTCGTCAAAAGCCACCAGATTCAAAGTGGGCACTGACCTTGCTGTCATTGTCATCCCAGAGCCGAGCCTTCTCCCGTTCAGTTGTTCATCATTCCCAAGATACGTCCTGCCCTCAGCCACCATTGACACCCGCACAACCATTCAACTTTTCAAATGGCCCATGGTGAATGCTAGATGTGAAGCGTGAGAATCACCGGCCATAAAATATACCGCGGCATCCACAACAGGTACTCATTTCCGCAAAATTGAAGAGCTTGGACGGGATTCAGTTTGATGAAGTTGTTTGTTGACAGCGAGGCTAATTCGACGCACAGTCTCATGGCGCATTCGCCTACCCACTCAAGCATGGAGGAAGCTCCAGAATCACAAGGTCCTACCCATACAAACAATGCAACATCAAATAAAGAAAAACATCGTCCAAAGTCTCGAGGTTCGACGACCAGTCTACAATCCGTAGGTGTAGGAACCGCTTTTCAGCCTGCGCCTCGACCAGACGACCCGACGATGCCGTTAGATCACAACGGCTTTTTCTTGCAGCATGGCCACCACCCAGCCGCTGCAATGTACAATCACAACCCGGAAGAAATGCTCATGCATTACCAGCAAAATATGGCTGCTCACTATCGACAACCCTCAATGGACGGCATACCACCACACGAGATGCGCCCAATGTCAGCACAAGCATTCCAGGAAATGCAACCCTTCCCCATGCAATACCCTCATCCTCCATACGCCGTACCTCCGCAGCACATGCATCATATGCGCCATCAGTCAGAGCAGTTTGAAGGCTCGCCAGCTCCTGAAGATTCAAATACAGAAAACGGTGGGGCCAAGCGAAGAAAAGGCACTGCTTCGAGTGTCGCGAACGACCAAGAGTTGCGACGGCTCCTTGCCCAATACCAAGGCAAATCTTTGAAAGAGGTTGCTGCAGAAGTCCAGAAGAACGAGGGATCTGGAGGCAAATCTGAAAAAGCAAAACAAGTCTTTGCCATGCTATGGTATGTACGTCTACTCCAGCGACAACCCTTATTAACGCGTACAGGCTCCAAGAAAACTGCCAGCGATCCTCGAATTCGGTCCGACGAGACCGTGTGTTTACGCGATATACGGAACGGTGTGGTAATGAACGAGTACCGACACTGAATCCTGCATCCTTTGGTAAACTGGTGCGCATCATCTTTCCCAACGTGCAAACACGAAGATTGGGCGTCCGAGGTGAATCTAAATACCACTACGTGGACCTGTCATTGGTCCTGGACGATGACGAACGACCCTATGGTTCAATCCTCGAACGACCTGGCACCGCAAACGGAAGCCATCACGAACGACATGGCTCCAATGTGGAGGCGCAAAAGACCTTCAAGAACCGTGTCACTCCTCCTCTGGAAAGACCCGTCTCACGCGCTACAATGGAAACAGCTGACTTTCCTGCCCCAAGCGCTGCATTTCTATCGAGACAAGCTGTTGTTGTTGAGGATGGGCTTCCCGAGCCCGAGAAACCACATGCACAAAAAATGGACTGCAAATACATCAACACGCCGATCATTCGGCTACCCGCTAGATCGATGCCTTCCAATGTAGTGGCTGCTTTGCCCTCCATCCGCACAAACCTTCCCGCCAGTATGGCCACCTATCTCGGCATGCCAACCCTCAATTCACTGTCGCAGATATCGACGTCTTCGCAGGAGCCCCATATCGAATTTCCCGACATCCACGCTTATCTTGAGGGCACCACCTACGATGCGTCGATAGCGAAGGCACTGTTCCACCTCTACCGCTCGTACTGCATCGACGTTATCGACGCTTTTCGAAAATGCAAAGAGAAGCCATTCTTCAATCATCACTCTGCCTTCAACGGCAAAATGACCGTGCCTGTTTCCAAGCTCTTTTCTATGGAATGTTTGGCGCCTTGGATACAGGAATGCGACATGCGCATGTACAAGCAAATCGTGCGCTTCATTGCTCCGCTGGCGGTCCAAAATGTGCCTGGCGTTGTCTGGAGCGTTTTCGACCGGATAGGATCCAGGCTGGTCAGTCACTTGATTTCGGCCTTCGAAGAGAAGTGTCCTGTGCACGTTGTGGTGGCAAAGACAGTGCCAGCGGCGAGATTTGCCAATCTCCTGAAAAAGCTCAAAGGAGCGAACGCAGCGACATTGCAACTGAGTACAATGTTGGAGGATTCACAGCAGCGAACACAGATGTGGCTTGACCTGATGGCCATGGTCGATCCAGAGCATCTGCTAGAAGTGAGCATGCCACCACCCGAGAGCCTCGATAAGATGCAAGGTATTCTGAAGCATGACATGAGGCCCCTGATATCACCACTTGATGGTGAATTGACACGCGCAGCCGAGGACGACCCGACTAGTGCATATGTAAATTTCATCAACGACATGTCTGATTTTGGCGAGGGGATACTTGCCCCCGACACAAACGGAGAACCGACTCCTCTGCTGGAGAGATGGATAAATTGGTTAGAGCGGTTGCCGCAACTCTTTCAAGGACATCACCCTCAATGCATGATCGACTGGCATTCGAGAATGTGGAGCAGTCTCATGATGCAGATGGGACAAAATGGCGCCCATAGTTATCAGTCATGGTGGTTCGTGGAGTCTTTTGCTACCCAAATGCTTAGCTGGATGACTCAGATGGAAGGTCTGCTCCTAGACGAGGAAAGCCAGAAGCTCGCAGATATGCGAGAGCAAGAAAAGAGCAAGGAGATCGATCCCACCTCAACTTCATCATCACGCGGCACCAAAAGAAAGAGAACTGAAGACGACAGTGGCGATGGAGAGGACATTCGATCTGGGAGCGACGCGCGCTTATTGAAAAAGCTTGAACGAGTACCACCAACACCTCCAGCCCTTCCACCACTCCAAGAGGATGAACAAGCGCCTCAGGATGTGGATGACGACGCGACCGACGCAGACCTCGACGAGCTACGACAAGGTGGCCCTTTAGACCTGCCTAGCTTCCATACCGGCCTTAGCAGCCCGATCAAGCGACCGCAGGGCACCAACTCACTCGACGATAGCGGCATTGACCTCGGGTTGGACATTGATATCGAAGCTGAAAAGGAAGCGAGAAAGTTCAACAAGAGAGATTGGCTTCTAAGCAGCGACCCAGCTGATCCGCCAATTGGACTCGGAGTGCTTGTCTGATTCAAGCAAGCATCTGATTGCTCCTATGTTGGCAATGTATTGCCAGATTATTTCGAATCACATTATCATGGAGATATCGAATGGACGAGTTCGCACGATTTGGGACGACCTACATGACGAGATGATGGGATCAAGGTCGGACAGGAGATTGTCAGAGTTGTGACGAGCGGACACTTACTTGGGTTGGGCAGGTATTACTACTTTTATTCTTAATCGACGATCATCGTCTGCCTTTTTGGTCTTGGATGGGGGAGAAAAGCTCTATTGAGTATGATGGCGGGCTGTCTGCTTCTTGGATTGATACCAGGTTATGGATGCTTATCAGGGCTGCATTTTTGCTACTGCGGCGTCGAATCCTGGAGGTGCCTGTACAGTCTCGGCCAGGTTTTGAGTATGTTGAGCTTTTCTCTATGCTGTTTGTGGTGGCTAGCTGTGTGTATGTGCTGGAAAGCGCCTTTCTCCAATGCGAAAATTCTCTTGAGTGACAGCAGACATATTCTGCATCACTCCTAACATGTTGTGTCTCTATCATAGTCGACATCTGTCTGCAGCCTCAAGATTCGATTGACTATACCTAAGTACAGTACTTAGGTATGTTCGAGTTCGGTTCATGGCCTAGAACCGGTCTTTTGCTAGGTTGTTGGCGCCGACATCGGCAGGCACTTTAGGCTCTGAAGGCGGCATTTCAGGCATCCTCCCTTATTAAGCCTAGGCATGTCTCCCAACTTATCCCCAGTGATATCCTCGCAAGGATCTTACTGATTGATTTTGCGGTTGGTAGTTTACCATCTGTACTGCTGTCTGCGGGAACATGAAGAGCTATGTCACAACGACAGCGGAAATGGCATATGAAGACGAGAACGGGTTGTAAGACGTGCAAGTAAGTTGGTTGACGATGACCACGGCTTGGATTGGATTGGTAACCTGGTTAGGATCCGCAAGAAGAAATGCGACGAGACGAAACCAACATGTCTAAGGTATTGGGCTCGACCTTTGCGAGTTGATTGATTCGGATCCTAAACAGTCGCAGATGTATCAGAGACAAATTCACTTGTGACGGGTATGACCCTCCTCGAGCATGGGTATTCAAGCCGTCACAGAAGGATGATCTTGGGTCGGGTTCTCCGCCTGACAAGGCTACGGAGTCGTCGATTTTGTCCTTGATCGACCAAGAAAACGATCTCTCCCAATGGAACAGCACATCCTCGGAACTAGACACTTGTTCTCTCTCCCTTGTGGCACCTTCAAGTCCATGGGCCGCAGAAACAGACCGAAACTTCTGCCAGTATTTCCTGTCACAATTTGCACCCATGCTCTCCACGACGGCACAGTGGGAGTACTTCTGGCACTCGACCGTCCCTCAAGCCGCCTGGTCGGACTCCTCTATCAGCCACGCCATGGTAGCCGTCGCGGCGACCTTTGAATCCAGGAAATCCGGCGTTGATCGCACCGAGTTGATCCTACACAGAAGCAACCTCGCCATTCGGGCCTTCGCAGCTCAGCAAGCATCCACGGACATTGGTCTAATCATGTGCCGCCTCTTCTCCTCCATGGCTCAATGCAAAGGCGATTTCCGCACAGCGACCATGCACATGAACTCAGGGCAGAAAATCCTCCAAGAAGCGACCCGTACACGAAAGGCCAAGTCTTCCGACATCCTCCGCCTTATGGCCCCGACATTACTGGCCTTGTCCACGTACACGATCGACGACTCCGATTTTGTCACACGCATCTCCCCCGATAGATGGGAATCATTTCGCATCCTCAAGTCTATCCACCTGGAATACGGACGCCTGTTGCGCTCCTTCACCTCCGCTCACTGGGACAGAGCAGCGCCAGGCACAAATTCTCTTCTATCCATTGCCTGGAGCACGCTGACTCAGGCTTTCAGTTCCACGCTGCATCCAGATGTCATCTCGTTCGCCGAAGATCCCGTTGTCCCCGTCGCACAGATCATACCCACATTACAAGCAGAGGAGGCTCTTCTCTCCATCGACGAACTTAACGCCGAGTTCAGATCATTGATCCGAGACCTGCAGTACAACTTTCACACAGCGGAGGGCGAAGCGTCTTTTTCCCAAGCTATGAGACGCCGTATCCGCCGCTTAGTCGACAATTACGTCGTACAGGCCGCCGAGGTTGAACCTCGTATGACAGCCGGGACATTCTGGCACGAATACGATTTCCCACATTGCTGCATAGACAGCCACCTCAGCAAATGTGAGCTGTCAGAGTCGAAACTCTACGAGACACACCTTGGTAATACGGAAGTCCTCGACTTTGAGCGCAAGAAACACGACTTCTACGTAGAGCACGTCTGCCAGTATAGGAGTGGATTCATGCCGACATGACGACATTCAGTGCCGCCGTGGCCAAGCTTGTTGATGAGACGTTCATACTGGATATCTGGTTAAGGCTAAATTCAAGCGCATCAACGCCATCGGCTGATCCGCCTCACTTGTTAGCTTCCCTCGAACAGCCGGTGCCAATCTTGAGTCCTGAGTCCGCCTATGCCCGGACTCAGGGGGCCGTACACGTCGCCGACGATGGATGCTGATGGCTAGTATGCCGGTCACAGTCCCGCTCCCGAGATTTCTGCCCGACGGGGACGTCGAGAAATACGAGCGGCTTCCAGCAATGCCCAGATTCGCGTTGAATAGGCATTTCAAGAAGACGAGTTGCGTCGTCGATGTGCTCAGGCTGAGATGGTGGACTACATTTGGCAGTACTGCAGATATGGTTCTGGCATGATTGTGGACTACGAGCTCCTTGAAGGACGTGGGAGTTGCAATACAGAACATGCGGGTGCCCTGTGCAAGACGAGTCTACATGGCTAGCGTTAGCTGGGGTGCTTCACCTATGGCAAAGGAAGGCATTGATTGTACCAGTGAATCGGCTGACTGTTCTCACGATGCTCTCAGACTTCTCGTCGAATCGGGCACGATTGATTTCGCTCATGTGGTTTGTCCTTGCCGTGAATGCTCGGGCATGGGCTCGCTAGTGAAGGCCCCGTCCTGAACACACAATCAGATGGTCAATTCTGACAGCATTTATGGGAGAATGTGCGGGTATTCTGATCACATCGCCGATATCTCGCTTGACATCATGATGGCTACGTTGAGCCCGTCCGTTGCTCGGCGGATGGTCTGGGAGTATTCATGCAAAAGGCAGCCAATCGTTTCAGCTGCTGCGTACAATAGCGGTTTATATGGGGATTCTGCTTCTAGAACGGATTTTCAGCCACCGTCGACTCGATCAGGTGCAATGCCACGACAAAGTTCTCTCATAGGATTTTAGTCAACGATGCGTTCCTATATACAGGTAGACTGCGATGCTTGACGTTGGCAAAGTACTCAAATCAACCCACGCTAGCTATATAGAGTCCAAATGCCAATTATTTACTGATGAGTAATTACAGTTAGTGCTGCCTCAACCTCAAAAAGGGGAACATGTTTTCCCACCGAGCTTCCTAGCTAATCCATGGCGAGAATCTCTGCATCTTCGGTGGTCATTCTAGCTTTGTGTTTCGCCACTCGCTTGCTACATGTTCTAAAGATTGTTTGATACGTTACCTCGAGAAAGTCGTGCCCCCGTTCCCTTAGACGTCAGTGAACGAACTTGCGGCCATACAGATATGGCCAAAAGACACAACAGATCGCAGAACGCCTCAAAGCAAGTCAAGTCTCCGAGCGACAAATCTTCTGAAGAAGCGAAACCATCGACACCATCGAAACCATCTGAACAATCTAAAGACATTCAAAAGCCGAGATCACTTCTAGCCACCATTGCAGATATCCGGACGCAGAGAGCTCTCCAGCTAGTCCTGCTGGCTTCATTACATGCAGCCGTCTCACAGCTAAACCTTTCGCCTGTATACGGTGCTGTACCAGCCAGCCTATATCACCGATATGGATTGACCGCCTCGTTCATGCTTGCATTTCTCCTTCGAGGCTATCTTCCTCCCTGGACTGGGCGGGCAATCACGCCTTTCTGCTTCTGGATTCCGGTCATACAATTCAGCCTCTTCACGTTCAGTTCATACATGGGCAGCCCCTTGGGACCTGTCATCACAGAATGCTTGACATGCTTCCCTCTGGTATTGCTGTCGGTACACATAGCGATGCAATATCTTGACGAGGTCAACGCCGAACGGACCACTTCAACGAGCGGTGATGCCTTCCCCTCGATGGGATTATTTGTGCTCTTTACAGTGCTTCAGAGAGCTTGCAAGGGGTTCGTCGCTTCTTTCACGGGCCCAGGATTCCTCAGATCTCGAATCGGCATGCAGCTAATGATAGCCTCCTTATATGGGATGGTTTTGCCCAAAAGTATCATATGGCCTTCGCTTCCTGCAGTCGCTTTTACCATGGTTGCAAACCCTCATTGTTCGTTATCGAGGACTACAGAGGTACTGAACAACACTTTAGCCCTGTACAATTACACATTGCTGGAGCGGAAGGAATCCGTGACAGGATATATTTCCGTGCTGGAGGACAATCAGCGGGGATTTCGTGTGATGCGGTGCGACCACAGCCTTCTCGGAGGTGAATGGAAGATGTCGGCTCAGACCAATTCGAAGAGCAGGGTTGGCGAGCCGATCTATGCTATCTTCACCATGCTTGAAGCTGTCAGACTTGTCGAACGGAGCTCCCCCAGCCGACCAAGGGCTTTGAGTATTGGTCTGGGCATCGGCACTGCCCCATCTGCCATGATAGCTCACGGGATCAACACGACCGTGATCGAGGTCGACCCTGTGGTGCACGAGTTTGCACTCAAGTACTTCGGACTTCCACACAACCATACCTGTGACATCGATGATGCTGTGGCAGCAGTTGCAAACAGAAGCTCTTTTGAGGCCAATTCCTACGATTACATAATTCACGACGTCTTCACAGGAGGTGCTGAACCGGTCGAGTTGTTTACTGAAGAGTTTCTGCTTGGCCTCCGTACTTTGCTGAAACCGGACGGGGTGGTGGCAATCAACTATGCTGGAGACATCTCGATGCCTGCATCTTCCGTTATCTACCGAACCATCACATCAGTCTTTCCGTCGTGCCGAGTCTTTAGAGAAGACGAGGCTCCTGCTGCTGGAAACAAGCCTGATGACTTTACAAACATGGTTTTCTTTTGCCGAAAAAGTGATGTACCAATCACATTCCGAAGACCGGTTGAAGCCGATTTCTTGGGAAGCAATGCTAGGAGGGAGTACATGCTTCCTACACACGAGATATTGCCAAGTTCTTTCGATGTCGGCGTCGACGTCCTGCGGAGCGGTAAGACAAAGGAACTCGAAAGGTGGCAGGCGCAAAGCGCCATTGGTCACTGGAGAGTCATGAGAACAGTACTTCCGGCTGCTGTGTGGAACAATTGGTGATACCAAAGGGCACTAACGTGGTAGACTCTTATGGTACGATCTTTCCCTGCCTCAGCAGAAGTCACTACTCAATGATTATGTCGCGGTGCGGGCCATCGCTGTGCCACCCTCTGGAATTTCACTGCTCTTTGAAGTACCATTCCTTCGTTCAATTGTCCAGTTTCCCTTCTGAAGATGTCTTCCCACGGTGTGTGGCTTTCCGGAACAGGATAGCCTCCATGCGACTCCAGGTCCTTGCGGCGCGTCTTTAACTCGGATTCCGAGACAAGCAGATCGACTCGTCTCTTGTTCAGGTCGACTCTTAACATATCTCCGTCCTGCAAGAGTGCCAGGTTGCCTCCTGCGGCTGCCTCGGGACTGGCGTTCAATATCGAGGGAGACCCTGAAGTGCCACTCTGCCTTCCGTCACCAATGCAAGGCAATGAGTGCACACCTTGTTTCAAAACATGTCCAGGTGCGTGCATGTTGACAATCTAAAGGACACAGATGTCAGCGTCTCGTGCCTCCGCGAAGCCAGTAGTCGCCACGTACCTCTGCTGCGCCCGGGTACCCGACAGGCCCAGCACCTCTCATTACCAGAATTGTTCTTGTGTCGATGGGAGTCTTGGGGTCATTGATACGTCTAACATAATCTTCTCTCCCATCAAACACAGCAACCTTACATTCAAAAGCATTTGGATCATTTGGATCTTCCAGGAAACCCTTGCGAAACTCGTCCGATATCACTGAGGTCTTCATTATCGCCGAGTCAAAGAGGTTGCCAGTCATGTGCAGGAAGCCTGCCTCTTTCTTCAGCGGCTCTGAATATGCTTTGATTGTCCGACGATCCCATGATTCTTTCCCCTTGACATTTTCTTTCACCGTCCTACCATTACACGTGATAGCCTGTTCATGAAGCTTACCCTGGACCAGCAACTCAGCCATGACGGCCGGAAGACCACCAGCTTTGTAGTATTCTTCACAGAGCATTTCGCCCGCTGGCTGTACGTTCACTAGGAGAGGAACATCGAATCCGATCCGGTCCCAGTCGTTCAGATCCAGGGGCACGCCAATATGCTTGGCGACCGCGTTCAAGTGAATGGGGGCATTCGTGCTCCCTCCAATGGCCGAGTTGACGACAATGGCGTTTTCGAACGCCTCCCTTGTCAGGATATCGCTAGGCTTGCGATCCGCGTGTACCATTTCCACGATCTGTCTGCCAGTCTTGTATGCACATTGGCTTCTTTCCCGATAAGGAGCTGGTATTGCGGAAGAGCCGGGCAGCGCCATGCCGAGGGCTTCAGCAAGAGCATTCATCGTACTGGCAGTGCCCATTGTGTTACAATGGCCGACAGAAGGAGTCCTGCTCAAAGTCAGCCGTGGCAAACAAGAAAGACACGAGTGAAGCTCCGATTACCCTGCAGCGATCATTTCCACGAGTCTATCGTCGTCAATCTCGCCGGCTGCATGCATGTCTCTGGCTTTCCACAAGATCGTTCCAGATCCGATCCGGTCATTCGAACCGTGAAGACGGCCATTCAGCATAGGTCCGACGTTCAGACAGATGGCTGGGATATTCTAATTCGAGATCAATAAGAAGTCCTATGGACGGTAGGCGAGCAGACTCACAATAGTGGCGGCCGCCATCAGAAACGCAGGCGTCGTCTTATCACAGCCTGTGAGCAGAACCACACCATCAAGAGGATATGCGTGAAGCAGCTCCACCAGCCCAAGATACGCGAGGTTTCTGTCCAAGGTTGCCGTAGGTCTTCGTGAACTCTCCTGGATCGGATGTGTCGGGAATTCGAACGCTATGCCTCCAGTAGACCGAATACCTTCGCGGACGCGCTTCGCCAGTTCCAGGTGGTGGCGATTGCAAGGAGCCAGGTCGGATCCAGACTGGGCGATTCCAATAATTGGTTTGCCCGACATGAGTTCCTCCTGAGTCAGGCCGTAGTTGAGATATCGATCGGCATAAAGAGCCGACATCTCAGGATTCTCTGCATCGTCGACGTTGAACCAATTTGCCGAACGGAACTTCGACGGCGCTTTGACGGCTTCGGCAAGTCCTACCTGGGAAAGCTTCTGTTCGAGTTCCAGCGTCCGTTGGCGCAAGGACTCCAGCTCAACTTTGTAGTCTTCGATGTCGCCGACATGGCCATCGCTAGCACATGTGTTGTTGCAAGCGGAAGACTCGTTGTTACAGGCCATGGTGATGGTATTCGCGCCGTATCGTCAGTTTCTGTCCTGAGGATAATTGGGCTCTACCTACAGTCCACTTTCTCTCCAACGACCTGACGCCCTTTGATGCGATATATAATGGCAATGACGGAGACCCCGTTGGACATTGTCCAGGTGACACGGGCACCAGTCGGCATAAGTCCGAGGTGGAACATTACCTGGATGTGAGCCTAGTGAGCCTTTGAGCCCAGGGAGGCCCAGATAGCCAACGAGAAAGCGCTGATTGCAACTGTGCGGAATTCAAAGCGTCGGCCTCGGTTGATGATCGCCTTGCCGCCAAAGAGGGGCATCATGGGGAGATACTCTCGTACTTATGGAGGAAGAGGGACAGGGACTTCGGCTTTCTTTCCACCAGACAAATTGTTTACATTTCTCCAAACGTCGTTTCATACCCTACACGCTCCTACGGAACAAGCCCGAAGCTCGAACAGTTCGCTTTCCTGCAAGCCATCTATATGAGCTAAAGCTCCTGAGAGATCGCCCAACATCAGGGTGCCAGATCTCCCGTCAAGACAGTTGGGAGCAACGACATCGGCCGACAAAGGCTGAACGTCGCCCTACCAGGGCTTGAATATGTCACTGCCACAGACTAGGTGCATAGAACCGGCGCTTCACCCTCAATCGGCGACGTTGCGATCATCCTCTGAGGAGAGTTCCCCCTTGCGAGTTCGGCTACCGTAACAGATGACACGAAGCGCCTGAATCGACTCATAGCAGGACTGCAAGTGGATGTGATTCGTAAGCCCCGGCTTGGATTATACACAGGAAGAATCCAGCTCTGTTGAGCCTTGGAATTCCCGCGAGAATCTCCTTTTCTTTTAGTTCCTGCTTCATCTCTGTCGGGAAGAAGATGACGGCGGATTGGAGGGAGTGCTGGGCATCTCAGAGCGGTCTCGAAGCGAGTCTAGACTTGTCAACCACTCTTACCGCCAAGGTGCTTGGCCTTCTCCTTGAAGAGTCTTGGAAGGAGCTTCTCATATGTCCAAGAGGAAACCCCTTCCACCCTTCCCAACGGTCGCCCGGCGCGCTAACCACGGTCCTGGGGGTTTACTGGCCAAGAGATCAGGCTTAAACACGCGCTACACTCGGTATGGTATCAGCGGAGCGGTCCATGGCTCTTGGCCGTCAGATGTTGCTTGGCGCCAGGCCTGCCTGCCTACGCTGTATGGCCTTTCCAAGCACCCAAGGTCTTCTGCTAGTCTTCTGCTATGCTTGCGAGGCTTGGTCATCTTACCTGCTTCTATTCACATTTCTTGTCCGCAGTGGCGAAGCTTGTCACCTACTGCGCTTCGGTCGTGGAGACGACGCTCCTCGCGACTCCGGTTTCCTTGGAGAGCTGAAAGAAAAGTCAGCGTCGTGATCACCTTAATCGTATGTGTGCACTATCTTTACTGACATACTGCGATCCTGCCCCGGCGAGGCTTTGCTCCGCTGAACGCGACATGTGCCCCGTTCCATTCTTGGGCGTTTCATGGCTGTGATACAGCACTATGGGAACGGCGAGGAGGCGACGCCCCTACTGGCTTCCGGAAACCAATGGTTTCATTCAGAGGGCATGGTGCTGCTTCATCCCTATAAGACTACCACGGAGCCCTCAACTACGAGGACCATCAGACCACCTCATTCACTCAGTATCATCTCCTTGCTTGTCAATCGCTGTTGCATTGCTATTGTCGTTCCAAGCACTCATTTGTTACTACTATCTTCGTTCGTTCCGCCAGCCGCTATTCCACATTTGACCTTTTATTGATTGTTGGCCATGTTGACTTCAATTTTATTCCTTTCTGCTATCATCTCAACCGCTTGGGGCTGTCCGAAGCATGATAACTATCAATCGCACCCTCATCTGGGTCGAAGGCAGGTCCGCATCGACGTCGGAAGGGAGCCCAAGGACTGGAATTATGATGTCTCTGCTGACTGGGCGACAATAAAACCTGGTAAGTCTCCGTTCCCTTTCGATAGGCTCCGTTGCTCATCCTTCTGCAGAATACCATCTCTGCCAATCTGGAACTCACCAGTCCCCCATCAACATCGCGGTGAAGGAACTGGCACAACACCACCGGCCCAACTTCGAGGGCTACAAGAGCGTATCCTTGCCGGGAAACTTCTTCAACTCGCAGTTCGCACCGGCCTTCACATTCCACCACCCGGAACACGATCTGAACAGCTTGCCCCATTTCACGTTCGATGACGAAGAAGTCTTCTTGATAGGCTGGCACATCCACGCACCCTCGGAACATTTGATCGATGGCCGCCGAAGCCGGGCCGAGATTCACATGGTCCACGTCACCGAGGAAGACGAGGAAGCTGCAGTCATTGGCATCCGCGTCGGAGTCGCACCTCCTGGAACTCCAACGGAGTCGGCCTTTATCAAGCAGCTCGGTCCTCTGATCCACTACAACGACACGTCTCAGATCGAAGGCCTTCAGGTCAATGTTCGTCTTGCTATCGAAGAAGTCGGCGGACTCGAAGAGTTTTGGACCTACAAGGGTAGCTTGACTACACCTCCCTGCAGTGAAGGTCTCAGGTGGTTCGTCCCCAAACAAGAATTGCTGGTTAGTGAAGCACAAATGGTGGAGATTCTCGCTGCTAGCAGATTCTCTCACCGTGTCACACAGGAGGTTTGGCTGCACGATATCAACCTTTGAGCATTGCGGATTGCGTCGGCGAGCGTTCTCTCCAAGAATCTTTTAGGCTGTGTGGAAATCCTTTGGTGACCACAGGGCTGGACAGGAGTACCGGCGTTCGAAGACTTGTTATACGTGTTGTACATGAGATGTCCATGATAGATTTCTACGAAAGCATCTAGAAGCGGCCCCGGACCTTTGAGCCCGCGCTGGAATTCAGATTCAACGAGACATTTTGGACGGATCTTGTGCTTTCGTCTGCTTTCGCCGCCGTCTTGCCTGCTTGGATTCTCAGGTACTCGTTGTCCAATGATCAAAGCCTCGTCTCGTACTTGTTCGGGACCCGGGTGTCCAGCATGCCATGACAGCCTACCGTCCCGAAATCTGACAGTAGTTTGTTTCAAACGCAGCTGTACTCGGCACGGTGCAGCTCCGAAATGTGAGGCTTTTAGTCAGCGATCCAGGCATGCCAGGCCACCCACGTCATGTATCGACAAGTGTAGATCCCTATGTACTGTATGTATATCCTCCAGCAGATTCAGTACACCTCAACCACTACCCACGACAGACCACGGCGATGAAAGTCCTCAGCCAGGCCGTTGCAAGGGTACGTCTTCGTTCTTTGCCTTCACCTTCACCTGCACCTTCCGTCATCCGAGCAGCTGTCCATCAACTAAACACCCGCCCCAAGGTGCTGCAAGTTCAATCCGCCCTCCAGGGCTTCGCGACGACATTCTTGTTCAGCACCAACACCACGAGCATGTCGCGCAGTACTAGTGCTACATCGACGTCTACAGCGCCTTCTCTCTCACACGCCATGCAAGCGGACATCAACCGCACGCTTTCGTTCTGGTTCGACGGCCCTCCACAGAACTGGTTCGCCCCGGCGAACCCGGAGCAACACGACGCGCTCATCCGCGACACGTTCGGCACACTGATCACGCGGGCACGCAACGACGAACTCGACACCTGGTCTTCGTCTTCCGAGGGCGGGGGTGCCCGAGGCAGTCTCGCGCTCCTCCTCCTCCTCGACCAATATCCGCGCAACGTGTACCGGGGCAGCCACGAGGCGCACGCCTCCGACGCCAAAGCCGCCGCTCTCGCGACGACATGTATCGCACGCGAGTTCGACCGCCAGGTCGGCGACCTCGAGGCCCTGTTCTTCTACCTGCCGTTGATGCACGAAGAGCGGCTCGTCAGCCAGATCGCGTGTGTCGCGCTGATCGAGACGCTGCTGGCACGGTGTCAGCCGGACAGTCAAGCCCGACAGTTCGTGCAGCGCAGTGTCGGTTTTGCAAAATCCCACCGCGATGTCATCGCCCGCTTCGGCCGCTTTCCGAGCCGGAATGAGATCCTCGGACGCCCCAGTACCGACGACGAAGTCAGGTTTCTGCAGGAGCACCCTAGTGGGTACTTTTGACGGGCCCTGCTTGTCCCAAGGCACAAGCACAACGTTGCTCTGCGTGAAGGGCAGGTGGCAGTGAGCACGAGGATGTGCGGACGAGGTTTGTGATACAGTGCTTGGGTTTACTTTAGCCAGCATCAGTCCTCGATCTGTTCATGCAGCAGTGCCTTTGCACTTCCTTCGAGGGAAGGTCGGTCCCGAGTATCTCCTCCAGGATTGAGAGATCGTGAAAAGGCTAGGTCTCCCATGGTGGCTGGGCTGATCACTACTACTGTGCTGCGTTTAGTTTCCACCGTCGCACCTCATACTGAGTATGTCTGATCTGCTCCTTCTGGCCTGAATGGCCGTGTCCGCTGGATTTTATGTGCTTCGGCTCGTTATCTAGAGAGCTCGAGATACATCAAAACGAGTGGGGAGATGGCGCCGGTCCAAGTTGTTGTTCTGCTACACCATTTCTCTGCATTGTCCTCTGCAAGGAAATTGGTGGTCTGCAGATGTGTGCACTGTACTTGTAACTAGACAAATAATGAGTCAGTCAAGAAGATTGTGCATAGATGGTGCTTGTTCATTATGTAGGTCAATGTGTGTTACTCTATGCCTCACATATACAACGAATAACGAATAACCGGGGAGCTGTGAATTCAGGACGCCATAGCATGCAATCTGTTGATCTGTTCTCTGCTCATTCACTCCCTGAATATCGTACTCCTCTGGAGCGGCAGTCATGATATGATGCGGCCTGGCCGCACAAACGCCAGAATCAATACACGGACAGCCTCCCAAGACGACGACTCGATGATCTGCACATAAGTACAGTGACTGGCCAGATCTCGTGCAAGTCTTAATCAGGAATACCAATTTTCTCCTTCGGCAATATAGCAAACACAGTCCCAAGTGTCGCCAGAATGATGCATACTATGACCAAGAACCATCCTAGAATCCTCTCAAATATGTCAATGGCCGACTCTTCAGCGCTGAAGATCTTCAAGTAGAAGCTGACCGGTAAGATGATGCAGATCGTAAAACACAACGCGGAACCCATCAGAGCCATGATGCTGTCGAAATCAGGGAAGCCGATGGCAATGCCTAGCTGTATGACATTGACTAGAAGTCCGATAGAGCCTCGAGCGGCACGATGTTTGAGGCTCTTCTCGCTCTGCATTCGCGCTTTGGCATCCATCTGGCGTAAGTCAATGTAAAACTTTTTGTTGAGGGTGTCCATCATCGGGCGATTGGAGAGCGGGATTTTGGTGATGGGAATGATGGCGATGAGTATAACGACAATGGCTGACAGCGCCTCAGGATAGGATGTCGAACGCAGGATATTTGATGTGACTTCGTCTCGAACTTGGTCGCCAAACATCAGATAACCGAGTACGGCCATTGTCAAATCGAGCCCATACGTGAAAATATAGGTGTATCTTAAAGCGCGGCCATACTTTTGTGGGTGGCGCATGTCCTTGTAGACAGCTGGAAAAACACTGTGGCCGCCCCACGGTGCCATGAACAGACCCAGACTGAGTGGTACCGTTCGCCAATTCTCAGGAAAGGCATGTGTTTTGGCAACTTCGCGCAAGGACCCCGGGGCATTGGGCTTGATCAGGCCATCGGCGAAGACAATGGTGATAATACCAAAGCAGCAGAAGATGCCAATGACACTAGTGAAGCTCAACGTCTTGAAAGGGACGAAGTTGAGTGGTATCAGTCCCAATGCGAGGATCGCCTTCCACTCACTCACTCCAATAGTTGGAATGAGCGAATTCATGCTGTCGCCAAACAAGATCACGAGAGCGACGTTCGCCGCCGTTAATTCCAGGATAAACAGAGCTTCGACGAAATTTCTGCCCCACGACCCGAGGGCAAGAAACGCAATGTCGCCATATGTTATTGATGCCGAGTTTGTGTCCAGGCATTTTGCGAGCAATTTGGCCGTGTAGCACGTGGAAAGCGCAGCGAGAGTGAGAAAAGTCAATCCCAGGACCCAGCCAGAATACCTAACACCAAGAGGAAGCGCTAGGATACCCACACCGATCAAGACGTTGGTCGAGTTGAATATCGTCATTGGTACGGTGGACTCGCCAGCATATCGCTCAATCACTTCACCAGTGGGGAGAACTTCTCGTTCCAATGTTCGGTGAGGCTCATCCTTGAATTCTTCAGGATGACTCAAGGCTCTTTTGCTTGCTTCCTCGTGTTCCTGAATGAGAATCGAAGCTCGTTGCCGAGCAGTAGCCGTCAGTCGGGACGATATACTTCCATAACTTGTACCTAGCACGCTCGGTAGTGCCAACGTATCCGCAGCAAGCGAGCCAGAGGTGGACTTCAAGGACTGCTGGCTTTGCATCGGTAGTAATCTTGATTCTTCTGTTGGAGTCTCAGCGCCCTCCTGAACAGCAGCATCGTTGCCATCCGAGAGGTGGTAATCCTGAAGCTGCTGTCTCAAAAGCGACCTGTTTGGTGCGGTGCTGCTCTGCTCCGGAGAACCAGCTTCTTCGTGCTCACCCTCTCCGAAGGTGATCGAGTTTCTCCGAACAGGTGTTATCTCTCGAAACCCAGCAGCTCTCTGGAATGATTTTGCAAAGTTGTCAATGCTGTTGGGCCCACCCAACTGTCTTAAGCTATCAAATCTCTTTCCCAGTGACGACTTCCTTCTCAACTGCGGTTCATCATGAGATCCTCTCAGGGAATCATGCCGAGGTGGGGTCGTAGGCAGGAAGGTGTTCTGCTGTTCATTCTCCGGTAGAGATTCGAGCGAATCGAAGGAGGAGGCCCTGCCACGTTCGTAGGCAGCCCAGGTCGAGGGAACCTGTTTGCTGCGCTGGCTCATCTTGTGCCAGGCTCCGTCCTATCACCGATTCCAGACTTGATATAACTCCAGCCGTGGCTCGCGTGTATGGCAGAGATCCTAGCTTTGCTGATGTTGTTAGGTGACCTTGTTATCCAGCAGTAAGCTGCTTCGTGAAACACGGCAGCTCCCCTTCTATGAAGCCGCTTTTGACTGGACCTCAACGCAAGCCTGCACGTTCAACGACTGCCCGGCGGGGCGACAGCTCCTGGATAATACTTCGAGATCACGAACGCTGCAGACAGTAGGAAGGGGATGCTCAATACATGTTTCGTAAGCTGCAGATCCTCAACAATTACCAGTGAAAGCAAACAACCGCCAGAATCATGCGACGAAGAAAATTCGAGAAGAGAAGATCAAGATTGGCAGAGTCTGTAACAGCGTCACTGTTCAGGGCCGTCGACAAGGGCATTAACCGACGATATCCATGGCATGCAAGCCGTCAGAGGGTGCAAAGGAACGCGATAGGCTCTGTTTGTTGACGCTTGGTGAACTCCACCGTCACCTCCACAGTGCCTAAAGATTGCGCAGAGATAGTGGCGGTACGTTGATGATAAGCCCCCAAAGATTTCTACACTGTACAAGTAATAGGTCACTGGTTGACTGATGGCGGGCAGTTCTTCGCACGTGACCGTCACCAAGTTGTGTCTGGAATTTTCGAGTCCATGGCTCAGCCGGTCTGGAAAAGAGTGTGATGCCGCCCTACGCTCCACCCAGCTATAGTCATGGCTTATCTACCTAAAGATAGTATGACGTAGCCTTCCAGCTATCAGATGGTATTTCTATTAAAGCTTTAACTAAGCGTTTATTTCACGACCCTTAATATTAAGAGAGTCTTACTGCGAGACATCCTCCCTGATACATTCCTCGTCAATGGCGATGTACTCGAACGTAGGCATATGCTACTTTGCTCAGGATCGATACAGGATCCCACTAAATTCCTGGAGAGCCTGTTGCACGCAACCAATCTCGCCTTGACGGACACGTACTACATTTGCGTGGCGATGGCCAGTTTGCTGGTCATCGTCGCGGTGTCTGTGGGGTGGAATTCAATCAAGGGGATGAAGCAGGGCGCGGTGGCTGCGTGAGCATGGCTTTGCGGCCACTGTGTTTCAATTTTGCTCTGCAGAACCAGCAACCTGCTCCGTGACTACGAAGAGCATCGCCATGTGGTGTACTTATAGCTCCTCTCTTGCCAGTTGGAAATAAAGTGGCTGCCTATGACGAATTTCTTGGAGCATTCATATCATGTATAATTGTGATACCATTGGGAATAGAGAAACGTGTTTCAACGAGATGGGACGCAATGTTGGCCCTGGGGAGATAGTGACTTGCACATAGCATAGCCAGGAGAATCCAACTCCGACCCGCGCTGTCCAGATTGTCTTCCGGTGTTCGAGTAGGACGCGGCATTGGTTACGGAGAAATGTCAGAAAGCAGGAGATTGATTCAATCGCTGATCGGCAAGTCTGGTTAACCTCAGATCCATCTTCGAATAAGAGCCAAGTGGATAGATTATAGCGATGTGGGAAATGAGCCTCGAAAACCAAGCATGTTATATGCCATGGAAAATGTGTATCAAGGAAGAGAGTCCGATGTAAAACAAGGCAGTGTGTGAGCTCAAAATCAGTATACCAACTCGCCTGGTCGCTTTGGAAGGACCGCTTCAGTTGACTGAGTACCGCAAGAAATGTAGACCAACTTCGGATCTTGTGCCGGTGCTCGGCTCAAATGTACATACGAGGGTATATCGTCCAGTCTCATACGAGTAGAACAGGATCTGGTTGCGACGATGGGGACCCGATTCATGACCTATTACGTCTATGGCTGCGGAAGCGAAGCATTCGTGTTAAGCCGATCGAAGATTAGCGAGGGAAATTTAATACCCGGTGGATCATATTTATGTAAATAGTGTAACCAGCGAGGCTGCGATATCCCGTGTTGTAGGCCCAAGCTGACTTCACTGGCTCGGTCGGACCCGACGACATATATCAGCCTGGCCGTGCCTGGCGAACGGTTCTGCCTCTTTGGAACGTGCAGGGCAGGTTTCAGTCATAACCAACTCCGCTCTAACCCACCACAGTTCGGATAGCTGTCAATACTAACGCTTTCTGTACCATGCGAATGCTGAATGCCGATCGTTGACTTCCCAAGCTGGCTTTCCAAGTTGGCTTCCCAGGTTAGCTGTTCCCACTGTGACAAGAGTAACATCATTCTGGTAAACATGTGATTGAAACCGGGTAAGGTGAGTGGTTTCACTCGCTCAAAAGTGGCTCCCCTACAGCACGCCATGGCCTCATCTAGTCCTCTGCAAGTCCGAGGGCGAGGTCCATATATCTTCAGCATCCCTGGGAGACGGAATCCCCAGCTCTGTCGACCGGGGTAAGTCCGTGCCACGACATGATGGCGTTTCAAATGGCAGCGCAGATGAAGCTCATCATCACTATCATTTCAGCCTTGTCAGCGTGTATTCAAGCTTCACCGGTATCTTCCTCTTCTGGTTGGACTAGCTGGGGCTCGGATGAGACATCTAGTGCGAAGAAGTCGGCCGATTTCGTTATTATCGGAGGCAAGGCGTCCCCTTCCCACAGTCTAACAGGCTCTGATGTGTCCGAAACCAGGCGGTACTGCCGGCTTGACCGTCGCAGCGAGACTGATACAGGCGAATTTCACTGTGCTCGTTCTTGAGGCTGGAGGCTCACCGGATAGCTATGGGTTACCATACGATTCTCCTGCTCTAACAGGAGAGTTGGTCAGTAAGTATTATGGGACTCTGCTATTTTTGATCTGGCTAACTGACTCACCTAGGCACACCACTTGACTGGAATTTCTCTTCGCTCGCAATACCTGGTTTGAACGGCCGCGTCCTCAAGCAGCATCGTGGCAGGACCCTCGGAGGGACGAGCTCGATCAACGGTTTGACGTACGGACGAGGCAGCCGTTCTATAAGTAAATGCCTAAGCATTTCAGTTGTCGGTTGTGTTGCACTAACCACCACATTTCAAAGTTCTACGAGGCCGCCAGTGATTTGAACATCCAGCTACTAGTCTTCAAGCGACTCAGGACGTTGATCTCTCAGCCTTCTTTCGCGTAAGTGGCCAGTGAAACTTCTCTCAGCAGACGGAGAGCGTCCCGAGCGTCCCACTCACCGTGAATTCTAGGAAATACACCGTTGGTCCTGCCAATGGAGAAATCGTCCCGGGACCCAAGGTCCAGAGCGACGAAGACATTATCAACTTCATTCGTGAAACGACCGTCTCGACCGATCACCAGTCCGGGACCGCTGCAATGCGCCCGCTCGGCGACCAGGGTGTCGTGAGCCCGACGCTCGAGGTCTACGGAGTTCAAGGACTCCGCGTGGTCGACGCTTCCATCATGCCGGTCTTTGTCGACCAACACCCGACCGCTGCCATCTGCATGATTGCCGAGAAAGCAGCGCAATGATCAGCGACAAGTATGGGCACCAAATACAACTATAATAAAGGGCTTCGAGCTCATTGACGAGTCGGCGGTGCAGTAAAAGCAGGCACACTTGACAGGAAGCATATCTGGCACGGTTGATAACAAAGTTACTGGCCATTCTGAGCGAGCACATGAGGGCTACTTACTGTACGGGTAAACATATCACTGAATACGAACTGTAATTTAATGCGCGATCATCCAACGGGGCATAGGTGTTTGAGTTTCATGACCCAAAGACGCTCAGTCACCCTGAGAGGGCGCAAGGGCGGCATCCAAAGGGACGCGTGAGCACGTGCAGTTGGAGGCAGCAAGGCACGTGAGTGGGGAGCAGTTTTCACACTTGTTCTACCGCCAGCGCAAAACCGCACCCGAGCGGATTCTTGTCTAAGTTACTTGCCTCCCAACGTCACTTCAACTCTCACACTGAGTCACACTCAACTTCTGTTCTCCTCGCCCTCCCCTCTACCTCTGCACCGTCCTCTGTAGATCCGAGAAATTTTTGTTGAAAAGCAGGCCGCATCCGCTCGGCCGTCTTTGAGCAAAAATGAGCGCTCCGCAACAAAACGAAGCGGAAAAGAACATTGAAATATGGAAGGTCAAAAAACTCATCAAACGTCTCGAGGCGGCTCGAGGCAACGGCACATCCATGATCTCCCTCATCATCCCACCCAAGGACCAAGTCTCTCGTGCGGCGAAGATGTTGGCTGAAGAATTCGGTACCGCCTCCAACATCAAGTCTCGAGTCAACCGTCTTTCTGTCCTGTCAGCCATTACCTCCACCCAGCAGCGCCTGAAGCTGTACAACAAAGTGCCACCGAATGGCCTGGTCGTCTACTGCGGTGAAATCATCACGTCCGAAGGAAAGGAGAGAAAGATCAATATTGACTTCGAACCTTTCAAGCCTATCAACACCTCCTTGTACTTGTGCGACAACAAGTTCCACACCGAAGCCCTCAGCGAACTCCTCGAGTCCGACCAGAAGTTTGGTTTCATCATCATGGACGGTAACGGAGCATTGTTTGGAACACTAAGTGGTAACACAAGAGAAGTCCTCCAGAAATTCTCGGTTGACTTGCCAAAGAAGCATGGTCGTGGTGGTCAGTCTGCTCTTCGTTTCGCCCGTCTGAGAGAAGAGAAGCGTCACAACTACGTTCGCAAAGTCGCCGAACTAGCAGTCCAAAATTTCATCACCAACGACAAGGTCAATGTTGCTGGGCTGGTGTTGGCTGGTTCCGCCGACTTCAAGAACGACCTGAACCAGTCTGACATGTTCGATGGCCGTCTTCAGGCCAAAGTTATCAAGGTCGTTGATGTCTCCTATGGTGGCGAAAACGGATTCAATCAGGCCATTGATCTTTCTTCCGAAACGTTGAGTAACGTCAAATTTATTCAGGAGAAAAAGCTCATTGGCAAATATTTTGAGGAAATCAGCCAAGACAGCGGTCGTGTTTGCTACGGCGTCGAAGATACCTTGAAGGCTCTAGAGCTTGGTGCTTGCGAAACCTTGATCGTCTACGAGAACTTGGATATCACCCGCTGGGTCTTGAAGGCTTCGGATGGTTCTGAGCGGGTCTTGCACACCACAAAGGCTCAAGAAGCGAACCGTGAGCAATTCATGGACAAAGAAACTGGCCAAGAAATGGAGGTTATAGACCAGACCTCTTTCCTCGAATGGCTTGCGGAAAAGTACAAGGATTTTGGAGCCACCTTGGAGTTTGTTTCCGATCGGTCCAGCGAAGGCAACCAGTTCGTGAAAGGCTTTGGTGGTATCGGCGCAATCTTGCGCTACAAGGTCAACTTCGAGCAGTTGGCTGACGCTGATGACGAAGACGAATTCTATGATGATTGACAATTCATTGACCTCGCAACACAGCGCGAGGAGCGGTCAGCACCCGGTCTTCAAGCACCAGTCCATGACTTGAACTTGACAGCAGCTCCTCGCGCTCAGCGTCCAAGTGACGCACCCACGTCCCAAGTTACGGGAGGGACGAGCTCAACTGTGGCCGACAAACCACAGATCAGGCACATGGAGCAGTCGGGCATCAAGACCGATGTACTCCGAAAAGTTGAGCGAGTCACAGTGCCACCAGCGAGGCAAGACAGAGGTCTAGTTCATGGTAAGGCTGTCTGAACACAGTCAGTGGAGTCTAGCAGGCTAATCCTCATTTCAGGACGCTCCAACCTTCGCAACATGGTCATGGTCTGAGATGACGCCGGCGTTCAGGTTCAGCTTAGGAATACCCCAGCAGACCCAATCAGCAGTCGCAAAGGGGTTGGCTAACAATCTCGGCTGAATCTGATGTAAGTCCGACATTCCGTTGGCGATATGTGCAGAATGTGCATCGGCCGGTGCCGTCAGCAGTGATGCTGATGCGCGACTTGAAAATGGATCGAGAATTGCTCCTATTCAATCCCTGCCAGGGCAACTTCGAGGATCTGCTTGTACTCCTTGTCTCGTCGAGCTGGTCACTCTTTTAGCCTCAAGCTCATATTGTGTTCTTTTCGCAGCCAAGGTTCGAGACAGAGCGTCGCCTCGTGCCTCGCCCTTGTCAACATCTTGCGTTGTTGAGCGGTTCTTAACCAAGAGCAACCCAATAGTGGTTAGATAGTCAATCTTTACTTCCGTCTCTGTCGGCAGCCCGCTTTCACGTCCTTTTTATGTTTCTAATTGGTCCTTAAACCTGCCCAAATACCGTAGTCTCTCAGTGAACTTCTCCAAATGAGTCAACATATTCTTCAGATTGTCCTCTACTTCAGGGCCCGCTTCACCATTTCCCGCCGTATAATTATCTGCCTCTTCACACTCCACAAAAAAGACATACTGCCAATTCCTCTTACGACTTGGTCTTGTGTCTATGCTGGTCAGATTGAACGAGTGCGTCTTGAACACGGCCAGTGCGTCTGCGAGGGCGCCCGGCTTTGTGTGCGGTATGGTGAAAGTTATGAGTGATTTATATTTTGCTTTTCTAATTGTGTCGGTTGATTGTTGTTGTTGTTGTTGAGAGAAGGTGTCCCGCAGGGGGCCTTTCGGCTTTCGCATTCTGTTCCTCACGACGAAGAAACGCGTCGTATTATTTCCCGGCTCGTCCTCGATGTTCTCGGCCAGACAGACGAGATTGTGTTTCTCGCCGGCGAGTTTCGACCCGATGGCCGCAGTGAGGCCCTTGGTCGGCTCGCGAGCGACGAGCTGCGCGGCCGCAGACGTGCTGCCGACGTCGATCCGCTCGACGTGGGTAGGCGGGAAGTGCGTGGATAGAAAGCGCGTGCATTGGCCCCAGACTTGAGGATGTGTGTAGAGTGTGCGAATGGAGGATTTGGAGCTGGCGAGAGTGACGGCCGCCGCCGCCGCCGCCGAAGTGGTCAACGTCGGGGAGGCTGGGGAGGCTGGGGAGGCTGGGGAGATGAATAGGCAGTGATGGACGGGTAGGTAGTATTCGGCGCAAACTTCAATGTCGGGATACAGGGCGTCAGAGTCGAGGCCGCATTGGGCGAGGAGGTCGAGGACTTGGACGACGGAGCCGTTGGTGCTGTTTTCAATAGGGATGACGGCGTAGTCGTAGGATGTCTGTGTCTGGTCGGCGTTGGGGCCAGAATTAGGAGAGCACTGTATGACGGAGAATATGGATGAGAAAGAGGGAAGAGGGTGCAGTGTGGCAGAACTGCTGCTGGATGGTGTGAAGACTTCAATGGCGGCTTGGTGTGAGAAGGATGCCTCTGGGCCGAGGTAGGCTATGTTCAGGGCAGTGGGAGGATCTTCTTCATAGGACATTTTTGGTTATGAACGAGGCTTTGAAGACAATTAGGCCTGATATGAGCTTTTGAATCTTGGGATGAGTGTGCCTATACCCATGGTAAGCAATACTCGTACAATGCTTCAAGGCACGAAATATTTCTCGAGACACAAATTTCTCCAAGTCCCAACTGCGTCTGTGGTCTGCGTGTTGCTGAGTTTCTCCGCATTATGTCAGCCCAGATCTGATCTTTCCATACCTGATCTTGGTACGAGTAGCGCTGGCGTCAACCTTATCTTCAGTGACCTGTGACCACAGCCTTGCACGGCCGACCTCAAGTTTCGAGGGATCTTTCTACAATTCAATAACTTGAGGACTTGTAGGTTGGCCGCACAAGCTTTGCCTGTGGATACCCTATCTGGCGCATCAAAGGACAGTGGCTCTGCTGTTCACTATCAGCTCGTGGCCATGGCTTCCTTTTGCTGTCCCCACGAATTCTTCTGCGCTTCAGGGGTCGTGCTAAGAGCTGAGTGTTAGCTTGTAAGTAAGTACTGACACGAGTATAATATTGGAGGGCTTGTGGGACGCTTCTCCGTTCATTCAATGCCATCCTCCAAGGCATTATTGCATACTTTGCAGCGGACGAACGTACCATGGCGCTGGGTCAGGCATCAGTCACAAGCCCACAGGTCCTCAGGCTTTTCCTCCTCCTTAAGAAAGCCTCGTCTTCCTCTCTCTCTGTCTCATCCTTACCTTCTTCCACGACACCCTTGTTCTCCCGGTCACGGCCATCAAAAATGCCACTCCCCTCTCTCCGCCTGCTCATGGGCTTCACTCCTCGCGACCTGTTCCCATACCTCGACGGCTATGTCGAGCGCGAACCCTGCAGTGAAATCCTTGTTGAGCAGCACCTCCTCATCATGAGGCCTCACGAGCACTGTTGCGACTCTCGCCTGCACTACAAAGTCTTCAACCACATCTACCCGTACGACGGGACCAAGACCTTCAGCAACCTGCCCGAAGAGGAGCTCCAACCCCCACATCGTCTCTCCTATGAACTCATGCACCACATCCAGACATACTTGCGCAAACACAGGCCGTGGTTCAAGAAGCCATGGACCGTCAAGGGGGCAATGAGAATCGACAAGCAGAGCTCGGCCTTTTTCTTGCCTCAAGTATCGACCGATTACACGCGATACATGGTCCTGCTTGAGCGCCGGAAGCCTTGTGAATGTCACAGATCGTGGAAGCCGCGACATAAAGTGAACGTGGTGCCGAGTAAGAGGTGTCAAGAGCGACTGGAGAAGGAGTTGGAAAAGGAAAAGGCGAAAAAGATCAAAGAAGGAACGAGAAGATCAAGTTCCGCTCCGCCCACGTACACGTCTAGCGCTTATAGCGTTTACCCCGGTGCCTTAGTCTATCCAGCTGGATGTTTTGTTGGTGGAAATGCTTGTGCCAGTACATGTTGTTGAAGGTGCGAGATAGGAAGACGGGATATTGATATGAGCGCTGCATGCGGATTCTGACATCTGGTCAAGGGTATCATATTAAAAGAGAATATTTCTGTCGCAATCGACCATAGGATTGTGGAGAGCAGGACTTCCCGTTGGCTCAGTCGTACTTAAGCACATGCCGGCCAGTTAGTAGCTTGGTTCGTGAGAACAAGATTTGAATCCTGGCTGTTGATTGTTTTTGCTTTTTGCTTTTTGCTGTTCAAAGGTCTAGGCGTTTACTAGATAGTCCTTGAGCTTGCTGGCTTCGGGAGCCTGGCGTCTAGGACTGGAGCCGTAAGCGACCTATTGGATTCTGTCGAAGAACATTGGGGGGCGCCGATTTGGTTTTTTTCGGGGCAAGTCACTTGCTTGCAAATGGGATGCTTATCACTATCAAAGACGCGAGGCATAACATGCAGATTATATTGAACGATAGTGAACTTCTTCGCAGCATGTTCCTTAATTCGACAGATGGGCGAGTGCCCTCAACGCCGGTGACGTATGTACTGTTATCCAACGCACAGTTGTGGACTTCAATTCCATACAGTCCAGTAACAAGCCAACCTTGACTCTACCGTATGTTCTCACTCTTCTTCCGCAGAAACACTCGCCGAATCCCACTCATATCACTCAGGCTCATTCGGCTCTTGGACCGGCCCGTAAGACTTAGCCGTCGATCTTTCACATCACTGGCAGCGGACGCGTTACTCGGACTGGGAGACACTGTCGTCGGACTCGAATTTGGACTTAAGCTCATATACGAAGACGCGCGGCGGCTCGTCGGCGTGCTTGAGGTGACCGTGGTCGTTGTTGTAGTGGTGGTTGGTCCTTGGAGCACTGTCGGGTTTCCGCCACTGACAGCTCTAGCTTTCCCAACCATGTTCTCGACCCAAGCGTCGTTGTTGGGTGTTGATGTTGTCCCGTATGTTACGGCCCGACGTGGGTATGTCTTTGGCCCCGCTCCGCCGAGAGGAGTATAGTTTGTAGTGGCTGTTGGAGGAGTAACTGTCGTAGTTGTCGTGACACCAGGGGCAGAAATGGTGGTAATCCTAGGATTTGGAGGAGTTCCTGTGCCATTAAGAGTTGGTGTTGCTCGTCCCTCTAGGTCCACGACACCAGTGACAGCACCGACATCCGGTTTGGCAGAGGTCGTAATGGTAGGTGATTTTGTGGTATATGATGCTGGGATGGGTGGTACTGGTGGAGGGGTCCAGGGCTCTTTGTTCTTCAAAGTCTTCCTTTCTGGTTCAGGGGATAGGACCCTCGTTGATGGCCGGAGTTTGGAGTTCACCAGGTCAGGCGAGGAATTTATCTCGAAGCTCACTTGATTGGCGGTTGGCGATCTCGATTTCCGTCGGGTTTGACCTGCGGTTGGCCCGGTAGCGCCGTGCAACGCAGTCAAGTCTTTCGAATTCTTTGTAGGAAAGCTGGCTACCTCCAGGCGACCATCGCCTGTTGCTCGGCTACCATGGTGTAGGCTGTATTCTCTCAGATATTCTCCTAGATCTGCCCATCCGCCGCCCACGCGGACCATGACACGCTGACTGTCCCCAACCGTTCGGACGAACAGCTTGACTGGAGGCGCATCACGAGCTTGGCCTGTCCGAGTCAGATGATAGACTCGGACACCAGAATCTTCACTTTTTGGCGTAGACGCCTCAGCCGTGACTGGTGAAAGGGTCAGTGCAGGAGTAGGCGTTGAAGACCGTGTCGAGGCGGTCGAGGAGGGTTGCGGCGAGCGAGAAGAGTCCGAATCTTTTGCTAACCTGATCTTCGTTGGCAGATTCGTGAGTATGTCTTGGATCTTATCCTCCAAAGATTCGGCCTTTCTGCTTGAATTTGGATGACCATCTTTGACGGATGTGGCGGAGGAAGGTTGAGGCGGAACTTTCGAGCTATCAATTGGAGTGACTGGACTGGCACTTGATACTGGCGTTAATGGAGAAAATGTGCCCAAGGCGTTTGCCGAATTCCTCTTGCTCGACCTGCGTGGTAAGGCTGGCATTGCCGATGGATTTAAATCGTCTTCTCTGGTCTTGACTCTTAGTGGCTCGACCTCCAGAGATGGTGTTGCAAGAGGATTGTGTTCTGTAGAAGCTGTTGGTGCACCTAGGAGGACTTCCGAGGCCTCCAATTCAGCCATCGGGGTTCTCTTAACTGGCGAGTCAGACCCCGTCAACTGCCTCAAAGCCTTCGAAGGAGTGCTTTCAGGTGATTCAGGCATTCGAGAAAGCATGTCCCAGCTAGCACTTCGGGTCAGCATGACGCGTTTGAGCTGATCCTTGGGGACGACTTCTACACAGGCTGTCGAAGCTCTTTGAAGCATTGGTGGCTTCAAAGTCATTTGCTGCTGGGCTGCAGAAGGATTGCCAAACCAGGTAAGCTCATCACGACTTGCTCGAAAGGGATTGTCTACGAGGCTGACTTTAGGGCTCGGGAGTACGCTAGCCGTCCTAGCATCCATAATCTCAGCATTCGAAATGTCCGAAAATGTTGATATTGTGGATTCTGCCACGGAGACCTTAGAGATCTCCCTTCTGTGCCCCTTCCGTTCCGGCAAGTTCAGCTTTAGTGATGGTTTGCGTTTGGCGAGCTTTTCGCCTTTCCCTGGCGACGATGATTCAGCGTTAAACTGCTGGGCATGTTCTTGAGGCAGGGACCGCGTTTTCGCAGAGCCGTCGTGTGGCTCACTTTCAGGCGCTGCAACCTCCTTGCCCTGACCAGGAGTAGCTGGGTTGCTGTCCAGGGTTTCGTGCTCGACGCTTCTGCTGGCTGTTACCGCCAGGTCGTTTCTCAAGGCCACATGCTGAGCATCCACAACCCACGTTGCATAGTCGAGCTCGATCTTCTCTATTCGGTCGATCCACGCTTGTGGGAGCGAGTCCTCTTGCCCCTCGAGCATATCGAGAAGCCGATCAACCCGTCGAGCGAGGTCAGCCACCTGGCTACCCAATGTCACCTTCTTGCTTTCGAATGCATTTTCAGTCAGGTTGTCTGCGAGCTCGACACCTTTGGCCTCGGTGAAAGCAGCCTGGATATCGGCCTGAGTAGAGTCCATGACCTGGAGGAATCGTGGTAGTTGTCTTAGCACTCTTAAGCGGATGTCCCATGTATCGAGCAAGATATTGAGTTTGGCGAGGTCGGGGAGAGCCTGAATGACCGTGGCCGTCACCAAGGCGGTGAAGTCACGCATCCTCCCATAGCTCGTACGGATGCCCCCAGCCTGCGGGCTCTGCGGTGATGCTCTCGCTGGTACATGAGCCTCAAGCACATGGTCTTTGATATCCTCGATCCCAAGGCTCTCGAGGTCGTCTCTAATTTCCTCCAATCTCGTCTCGTATTGCTCGGCCAAGGTCACCGTGAGGAAGCCGCGATAATCCGAGCCCATCCCTTTGGCACCTTGAGGAGTTATGAACCCCAGCCCAAATGACCTTTCTCTTTTCCCTGGCCAACTCCATTTGGACAATTCATCCTTCCATGCCCGAACTTTTTGCGCTGCAAAAGCGGCCCTTATACCAATCTCTCGCTCCGCAGGAGTTGCATCACCAATGCTGGAGGCCAGGGCATCTTGTGAGGCACCACCGGGAATTGTGTCTGTGGCCTGAAGTGCTCTGAGAGTCGAGTCGGGAGACAAGTTTCCCAGAAGTGGATCGAGCTCGCGGACTGCGAATTGAGCTTTCCTGCGAGGGGACCTTGAGGGAGATCGTGAGTCAAAGGGCTGGTCGAAGCGAGGAAAGTGCGGTCGGGTAGGAGTTGTCAGTGCCATTGCTCTTGGCTGTCGGAAGGATTATCATGCCAGCATGCACACTGTTTGTCTCTCCGAATGCCAACCAGCTAACAGCTGGATGTACAGCATGCTGAAGTGGGCAGGGACCGCCGTTCGCACTGCCTAGGTTGGCTTGCAGAGGCGATACAGTATGGCGTAAGGATACTGATGGCAAAGAGCTGAACAAAAGAGGGTCACAGCAACCGCTTACTGATCGAAATCATGAATGACGGGAATGGAACAACGCCGAGGATTTTGAAATATCAAGAACTGGTGGAGTCAAGGTACGAGCTGCATGCAGGCTGCAATGCAAGATCAGGCTTCTCCTGTCTGGGACCAGGATTCTCGAAGAAAAATGTACGTGATCGGCTTTCTGCTAAGCCAGGGTTGCGAACCAGATAGGCGAGATCCTCTCCGTACCTAGGTAGTATTGTTATGGTCAGCCCCCGAAACCAAAGGCTAGCGAGCCCGGCGCGTCGCCAAATGACGCGACTCTTGCTTTAGCTTTCGAGGCGGAACACGCTCGCGTTCTTTCGTGTGAAACCAGAATCGCAGGCTTTGAAGCCCCGCAAGTTCCGTCAATAATATCAAGTGGAAAGCAAATCTACTCCCGCCGAGGAGGATGCAATGCGTTTCAAGAGTCAAATCAAGAATGTGAACTTATTTGCAAGTACGGCTTGACCTGCCATTCTCCCTTCCAGCCTCGACCCTGACCAGTCACAGAGTTCTGTGCTTCTTTGGCCTCGCTAGGGCAGATTGCCTGGTGTCGGCTGAACGATGACGATGTGCAGTTCACCATCGTGCCAGACAAGGGGAGTCAGGTATGGTCAGTCTTGAAGCCTGAGACAGTATTCGAGACGTACATTCTCCAGTCCGCGTCACCCAAGAACACCATCAATCTTGAAGTCCCCATCCAGGCACTTTCGAGGGCCCTACGGTCGGCATACAACGCGACGTCGACACAGATACGACTGACCAAGAAAGACAATGTGCCTATGCTATCATTGACGATTGTAACAACTACATTCAGCGGTGGGAGTAATGTAGTGGCAGTTCCAACAACTACCCGACAGAATGGCGAAGCTGACCAATTTGATTTCCCGGACGACCTGGCTGAGGCTTCATTGTCTCAAGCCAATGCTGGAGGGTCGAGAGAGCGGGAAACCATCATAACTCAGGATATACCAGTGAAAGTACTGACAATGGAGGTGGTGGAGAGAATTCACCAGCCACGAACCCAGGAACCGGATGTCAACATCTTTCTACCTCCCTTAGCCCAGGTCAAGACGATATCTGATCGATTCACCAGACTCGCAGTGGCTACTACAAAGACTTCCTCTAGCACGAGTCCCCGGTTAGAACTCAGCGCCAACATGCATGGTTCGCTGAAGATCTCGGTTAGGACGGATGCGTTGAATATTACTAGCCGTTGGACCGGCCTCGTCAATCCTGAGCTGGACCCTCACCATTTTCCCGATGGCTCACAGGGTGTCAGAGACCATCCGAGCACAAAGATGAAAGAGCTGGGTGGGCCAAATGGTGAAAACGAAGCAGGATGGTCGAAAGTCAGAATCGATGCTAAAGACTGGTCGAGAGTTCTATCAGTGGGCAGAGTTAGTGCACGGGTTATTGCATGTTTCATCAACGAGGGTGGTCTAGTGTTGTACGTCTATCTGCCAAACGACGAGAATGGGAGCGAGGACGAATCGTGTCTTACGGTAAGCACGTAGCTCTTGTCATTGAGGATGATAGACTAACAACTGGTAGTACTATATCAGCTCTTTCGCGGCGTAAGAGACGGCATCGTCGTCCTTGACAGCGTCAAGGAACTTGGTGCAATTGGCAGGCCACTGCCCAAATTCCGCTCAATCCTCCAACGGCAGCCGCTGCCAATCGCAGGCATGATTCAGGACAGCTGCATTAAGCGATAAAGACTCTGCCGATCTTCAAAATCCTGCTCGCCTCGAGGCCGATCAACAAACCAGGCTGGTCCCAGAGATAACGCAAACTCCGCTGCACGTCGAAACTGGTCATCTTTCGTCCGGGATGCGCTCTGGCTGTGGAATGCCAGGTGCAACGGTCTTCGCCGCCTGTTCATAGCGTTGCACAATAAACTCCAGCAAAGCACTTGGGTGCGACAGCGGAGACGAAGAGGTGCTGTTATCAGCAGTCTCACCGCATTGCCTCTTTAACAAGGTGTGCAGAGGCATCGTTACCGGCGCAATCTAAGAAGGCTGGCATGAAAATCGTCGACCTTAGATAGGCACTCCTCAGCACTGCGCATCAGCAGCATTTGCGCCAAATAGCAAGAGAACCAAGACATATCCTAGCTATTCTCTTCGAGTTTCTCTTTCACCTGTTGGTCCTCTCTTTCTCGCCGCCTCTTCTCCTGCCTGGCCATGGGATGCTCGCCATCTTCTGGGGTCTCGCCAGGCTTGAGGCCCAAGGCTCTCCGCAGTCTTTCACTTTCCCGCTCCTTTGCTTCTGCCAGCTCATGGACTTGATAGCTCTTTAGGCCTTTGCCATCTGTTCTTTTCCCACCCGATCGGTTTCGGTCCTTGTTGCGCTCCATGTCTGCGGTCAATTGTTCGCGCAGTTTGTCACATTCTTCGTCAATCTTGTCTTCGTCCACCTCGTCATCTTCTAGCTGTTCTCGCAATTCTAGGACTTTGACTTCAATCTCTCGTAAACGGTCGTGATTTAGGATTTCTTGATCTGGTTTGCGAGCCTTGGGCCCACGCGCAGACGAGTCGAGGCTGTAGGGTACACCAACCCCAGTGTCCCTGGGTTTCAGAAGAGACAGATTTCGCTGAACATAGCCAGAGGTGCCTGACCCTCGAGGTGTGGAAAGACCGACGTTGGACGACATGTCGAATGGTTATTTAGGGATCGATGAGGAACCTGGCCTGCCAAAGCCCGACTAGTTGTGAGACAGCCTTTGAACTTGGGAGAGTGATGTGAACTTTTGGGACGGGAAAGAGTCGGTGATAAGATAAGATGGGCCAAATGAGATCACGTGCAGCACATGGGCGGCAATCTGCCTGTTTGCCAGGACCTTTCCACGGTTTCATACAATTTGCTTCGAACCGACTTGCCAGCAGCCAGAATACTATGTACTTACCGCCCCATGTGAGGACGTACGGCGACACGCAAAAAGTTCGATCAAGGAGGCGTTGTGCGCCGTGTATCCCTAGAACAAGCCACCTCCGGCTGTCTCGGCTTGTACAACATCCACTCCCAACAATAACCAGGTCTTCATGACACTCCAACGCGGACGACCTGCTCGTGGCGATGAATAAAAACCATACAAGTCACTGCCCAAATAGTGACTTCCCCATGGCCCATCGAGCTTGGACTGCGCAGAGTTCTAGACCATCCACACCATCTCCCCAAAAGACAACTCACGCGGAGGACAAGGCTAGACCTTAGCCCTGTGTTCATAGACTTTTATGTGGCAGTTGACCAGTCATACGCCTTTTGCATGGAGTCATCATGAGTCTACCCTCTTAAGGACCCTGACGATAACCTCCATGTTTATATTATGCCGCTAGATCCCAAATGGCTAGCCCATGTATGTGCGCATGCTAGCGGACAGCATAACAGCAACTCGCCATCACGGCTGAACCCACACGGCAGGAAAAGGGTTCCGGCTGGCTGGCTAGCCCCTTCTCTAACAATATGCCTGGAACTAGAATTCCGCCGCCCACCTCTTACCTCGTATATATAGAGTCTTTTCTTTCCCTCTCCCCTGGCGAACGGCCGCCTCCCAAGGAAAAGCTTCGTGTTTATTGACCTGGCCGACTTGTTTTTCATACTTGCTGACAATCCTCAGTCTCTCCGTAGGACTGGGCTAACGCATCACCCAAACCCGCCTGGGCCGTCCTCTTGTCTATTTCAGCCTCTTTGAGCTTCATGATGCTCCTCTAGTCTCCTGCTTCAACTTGCGGAATCGTGTTCTCCGTTTCAAAGATACCTCGTCTTCGTATTTCGGCAACCGCACCAGCCATCTGACAGAGGTCGCCCTATCCACATGCGCTGTTTGCTCTGGCTCTCCTCAGCAGCCGATACTGCAAGTCCGCTTTGGCCACAGCGACGGCAGGTCTTCAAAACCAAGAGCCCATTTGGGCTTTGATGTTGGTTTCACCTGCGACGATTCGGCGGATTGAAGCCACTGCCCCCGCCTGGGGGCGTCGTGTCTCTATACAGGGCTGCAAGATTGCCTGGCCATGGCAAGGTATCTCCGTCCACAGCCGTTGGCCGACCAGAAGTCCATCCTGCTTGATTTGCAGATCCAAAGGCATTACCTTGCATGCTATCGTGCCGTTGTTGCCCCATCTGCATGGGTGCTGGCCCACTTTGGCCGTCTAAATGTGCCGGAGTCTGGAAAGCCATTCCCCCCATGTGAGCGTACATTGGGGAATGCATATTCATCATCCCCATACTCGCTCCCTGAATCATTGAAACGTCGCCAGGGTCATCTGGAGGCTGCCGAAATTGCTGACCGAGATCTGCAGGTATACCGTCGGCTTGATGTTGGGTCGACATTTCTTGGGGCCTCGAGTGCACCTCGTCCGAATCTGACACCCCGTCAACATCGTCTTCCTCGTCAGCACCATCGACTCCGTCAACACCGTCAACACCGTCCACCCCATCCGTCCCATCCACCATATCACCATCTTGTATCGACAAAAGCGGCGTTTGTCCTGTCGATTGTATCGACGGACGAGGTGTAAGCTTTGGTGGCATGTCTGGCGGCTGATACGACCGTTCGGAACGTGCGTCGACCCCGTCCAGTAATGAATCCGATTGACTCTTGACAGGCTTTGAACGCTCTACCGCAGGAGATTCCAGCCCTAGGCCGCGAAGGATGGCGTCGGTGGAGACACGACCGCTGCTTTCGTCTGGGATTACGCCAGGAAATCCGCGACCTTCTCGGCATGCCCAATAAAGTCTTTGCAAGGCTTCATCCATCACATCATGCATCGTCCAGTACCTGAAGATGGACACGGTTAGTGTACACAGTCACACTCAACTACGAGCAAGAAAAATGGGAAGATCAATCGAGATGCAACTCAGGAGACTCACCAGTCCCTTGCTTCTCTCCGCCTCCTTGCGCTGTATTCGCAAATACTGTCGCTTGCCACACAGCCAGAACATGGAGTGTTGCCATCACACTGTAAAGTGGTCAGCGACTTCTAATGTCTCAGACCACTCATGGAGCGGCATCACTGATTTCTAGCCAACCTTCGACTTCTTTATTTTACAACGATCACAAGCCCGCCCTATGCGCACACGAGATTTCGACTGCTCGAAAGTCTCTGACCTTGGAGGCATACGGACATCCTGTCTCTCCTTGCGGTTTGGCATTCCGATCCCAACTACAACCACTCCAACGACTGTCTTTTTGGTGGCCGAGGTTGTTACTGAGAAAAAGAATTGTCTTGCAGATGTACACACTCTGTGTTGACCGCCCCCGGACGGGCAAGGCAGCCGGCCTGGATCTCGGATGACCCCCCACAAAGTCGCCGATGGTGGTTCATTCCTCAATCAAGGGGCCCTCTCGTGTCTGGCGCATGGACTAGATTTTATGCACTGGAGTCGTGTGGTTGTTCCCTTGTTCGCCTGGATATCCGGCATGAAAAGCTGTCAAGGTGACATTAGCCAGGTGTCGTCTTTTTCCGTACGATCGGGGCAAAATCAACAGCCTCCCGCCGACCAGGTCAAAGAGGCGAATATGGAGATCTGGACAGGTCGAGTCCCGTGCGCTATCCAGAAAGGTATGCGCTAAAGGACATGGTTTCAAGTGGGCTCGTCGCTGACCAGCAGAATACACCATGCGGACCCGAAGAAGTGGCGGTCTTACTTGATCTTCTTGATCAAACGCATTTTTCCGAACACAAAACAATGCACGACCTCGGTTGTTGACGACGGCTATCGTTAAACCGGTGCAGATTCTTGATTACCATGTTTCTTTTGACCATCAAAGTACGCCCAAAATTACATACGGCCATCTCCCCCGCGGAAACAAGGAATTCGTCTCCCGGAGATCACATCCACGAGACTGGTGCAAATTGATGGGGCAACCCCCATGCCACCAATTCCTGTCACGCATCGTACGGCCAGCAATTCTTGCTGCCCAGGGCGAGCAAGGAGTGGCCCTGAGTGGTGCACAACTAAATCCTGCGATGTATGGCTCTTGCCCAGAGCCCTTCCTTCAGCCGTGATATGGGTTCGATTTTTTTTGACGGCGCCATTTTTCATGTACGGTCTCCTATCAAGATCGCAGCAGGTAACCAATGACACTCCGGAGGCATTGGTAGCCGTGCAGAGTCAAGCCTTTCCGGGACTGGTTGCTGCCTCTACGTTGAGCTCGTGGATGGAATTGCAGCGGAGGAAAGATCCGGTTTCAACTTTGGGCAAAAAAGCCATCTATGGATCATCCAATTAACAAAATTCCTTCTGCTTTGCACGCCAAATTACAACCGGTCGGTAATTGAGTCCCACGGGAGATACAACTCCAGCGGTTGTGGATGGGCCATCGGCATGGCTGGCATGCCTTGAGCGCTGATCCAGAGGCGTTGCGTGCAGCTTCTCCCACTTATCGCATACACACTGCCACCACTGCCACGCACTGCATACAGTACCTCGTACGGAGTACATCTTGGTGCAATCCAGGCAGATCAACCGCCATGCATTGCTGTCTTGCCGCTGCCATTGCTGCGTCCTCAAGGATCCGAGCTCGCTGCGGTATTTCTCTGCCTTCGCATTGTTTCATTGAAACTACCGTACGTAGACTTGTACGGAGACTCTGAGGCTGCTTATCCAAGCAAAATCCGCTCAAAACGACAGCAGTGTGGATGCTGGTTCTGTCACCTTTTTTTGTGGCTGGTCTCTGAAACAGGATTGTGGCCGTCTTACCGGAAATTTCGCCCGGTCGGGAAAAACAATGCAGTCAGACATGGACGACCCTGCTTCTGGCATGCTGTTGGGTCGATCCGCCAACTTCCGCCTTGTTGATATGGATAATACTCGTAGCAGGAAATGATCTTCCTGTCTGCTCGGTTTCCACCAACGTACTGCGTACGAGTACTGTGTACTGACTACTCGTAACTCTGAGGTGAAAACGCACAAATCTCCGAGTCGATGGTAGTAGCCGCAATTTGACACTTCATGCTCACGCAAAAGGAAGCATCTTTCTTGTTGATCAACAAGCCTGGACAGCCGTCTCAATCAGAGAATGCAAGTGTCGATGCACATCGTCCACGAGAGACCATGGAAATCCGCTGCCATGATGGGACACCCCGTAGCTTCCGTGTCAATTGGCATGGGAACACTACCGATGACTACCAACCCCAGAGAAACAACGACTTCAGCAACGACATTGGACTACACCTCGCTCAACCGTGTCACGTTAACGGTACCAATATAGGGGGCTAGGTTTCTCCTGTTTCCGCGATCTCAGCACTCTCTTCTTGTTCTTATATCCGATTTATAAAGACATATGCGCCCTCGGCGGTAAGGTGGCAGCCTACAAATGTCACAGACATAAACATCGTTACGATCAATTTGCCTTCCAACAAACGCTCATATATCGCTCACTATACAGACTGTCTTTCTCCCTCGCGAGTCTTGCGTCCAGAACCACACCAGGCATGATGAATCAAGAATCCCACATGACCTCGCCCAATGCAAGAAGCACCTCCTGCTGTCCTTTCCGGGCCTTGATACTCTCCTCCCTGTCCTCGCCCCTGAGGTTCGCGCTGTAACACAACTCCACCAGCGTCCTCAACTCGTCGTAGCTATATCCGACGTCCTGCTTCTGCGCCTTGCAGTCGCGGACATGTTGCAATATCGACTCTGGTCCTTGTAGGAAGAGATTGAAATATCGCGACGATGAGGTCAACAGGCCCGAGTCATCGTCATCGTCGGGTTGAGGCGTGGACGCCGACACAGTCGAGATGCCTAGACCAGTGGCGTCGTTCGGGTTCGTGCTTTGACCGGTGGTGCGAATGGAGGAGGTCTTCGCTGGAGAACAAGTGCTCGCGAGAATTGCCCTGAGATTCTGCTGCATGACCATTGCGTCGATGCGCACTCTCTCCGCGCCGTTCGTGTTCATCACGCCAATCACATCCGCTGCAACGACGAGGTATCGATCGACCAGCTTTGCGAGGCCGTGGAGGATGAAATTGCGCTCGCGCGTGCCGAGGTATGTGGCAATGTTCGAGTCGAACGAGATGAGGTCGGTATTTAGTTCCAGGATGCGCGGTGATGCTGAAGTTGGCGGCGAAGGCAAAACGTAGGGGTACAGTCCTGAATCGAGCGGCGGCAGGCCAGACGAGTCGCGGTTGGGGTTCTCACCGGGCGATATCGTCGACCCGTTGCTAGCGTCGACTTCGGCCCCAGGGCCGCGCAGCGTGCGCCCCAGTTGGTGGAGGATACCGCAGCGGATGTCGATATGTAAGGTCAACAAACTGGTCTGGGCGAGCATGCGGAACGAAGTGACTACGTTGTCGAAAGGAATGGCGGTCTCAGACGCAAGTGGTAAGAAAACGGGGACTGTGGCGCCGGGGTGAGAGGGCGATTTACCACCGAGTGAACGCAATCCGGTTATCAAAGTCCAGCGCTTCGCATTCTTAGCTTGTGAGCCCGTTCGAGCGTGCCCAGTATGGCTGCTTGTTTCGACGTGGCGGATCTGTGTCAGCGCGGCGGATAGCCATTGCATGGAGTTGTGAAGGAGGGAAAGTTGGTGGACGGATTTCGGGTCGGAAATGATGTCGTATGAGGACAGCGGGTGTTGTTTGGTCGCAGACAGCAAGGCTTGTACTTCCTTCATGATAAGATCGGAACGAGAAGGATTGCCGCTGGCTGACTGATCGTACTTCAGGAGGTCAAGAGCAGCGTCTCGAACTTCTCCCGACTCAGCAAACGCAGCGGCCGCCTTCAATGCCAGGGTGTTGACGTTCTGGTTCGTGGTTGATGGCGCGACTCTGCTGACTAGTGCTTTGTAGTAGCCGTAGCACTTGTCGTAATAAGTGATCAATTGATTGATGATCAATTGAGTGAACATCTGGTCCTGGGGTATCGAGCTTAACATCCCCGAGAATGCACGAACAAGGCTCATGAAGGCGACGGCGCCCTTGAATATTGGGTGCGGTGAGTGCTTGGACCAGTGTGTATCTTCTGAAAATGCTTCGAGGTCCATCATGCATTGTATACAGAGCTCGGTGACTGCTTCTTCCAACTGTGGATGAAAAACGTTGAGGAGGAAATCATCCAGGAAAGAGGTCAGTGTGCTCATGGGGATATGAGCAGTTGATGGAACGACATCCTTCAGACGTTGCAGGAACGTCAGGGACGGAGGCAGCAAGACTGTCATATTGAAGACGCCTGGCTCGATCAGCAGTTTGTGTCCGGCGGCAGAGCTGTCCTGCCCACTCCGTTCCGATATGAGATCCAATCCGTTTCTGGCGCGCGATTTGCTCACCAGCCCAGGCACTGAGCTCTTGAGAATGTCGTCCAGTTCGTCTTCTTCGGCCTTCATGGCCTCGGATTTCTGCTCCATTTCGGAGAGCTTGAACATCTTCTTGTTCTTGTCACGAATGGGTCGAGCAAAGATATCAGTGCTTGTCGTTGTGGTCAATCCAGAGCGCAGAGTCATGCTGCCATCTGTGGCTAGATAGTCATGTAGAAGTGAGCGCATCTCCATCTGGTACAATTTCCATAACTCTTTGAAGCCAGTGGTGTACCTGTCGGGTTTGGACAGTTTCTCCCGCGTGGCGATGCCAGTGATGATTTCGTGAAGTACGCGATGGCTTTCGGCGATGGCCTCGAATTTGGAATACAACGTCCACAAGAAGTCAGAGAGTACTTGGGCCCTGCCCTCATGGATCTGTAGGGACATGACTTTCCGGCTGTCCTTATTGACTTGGCCTCTCAGATGACTAGGGTATTTTGCGTCAATGTCCTGGTTAGTCTTCTCGACCACCTTGTACAGTTCCGTGGGCATTCTCTGTTCGATTCTTGAGATTGCTTCGCCAAGCTGCCCAATCTTGTGCAGCGCTTCCAGGATCATATGGGTGTAGTAGAAAGTGTCTGCCTCCGGGTTTTTGGATGCATCTTCAACCATGGGTATTGAGAAGTCGGCACTATTCAGGTAGTGGTTGAATGGCCGATCCCATACGGCCACACTGCCCATCAGGTTATCCTTGGAGTCTCTCTCCTCGCCATTGGCCTTTTTGCTCTTCCATCTGTCCTTGCAATACGGACTTCGCAGATAGAGATGGTCATGCAATTCCTCGACGAGGATGTCGAGCAGAGTGCTTTCCTGGGTCATAAAATAGCCTCGAAGATCAGAAACGGCTCCGATGCCGTCCAATTCGCTCTTGGTGATAGCTTTGAGACTGTCCATCAACAGGTCGACAGCCCCGAGAAATTTCTTTTCACTGATCTTCTCCTCGAGTTTGCCCGGCACGTCCTTCAGTGACTCGATATTGCTCAGAATGACGAGCATGTGGTCCAGATCGCCGCTCTGCTCAGCTAAACCTCTCAATTCAGGCCTTGTACTCAGCATGCCGCCCTTGACATTCATCAAGCCGCCCTTGAGCTGCCTTACTCGGCTCTGACTCTCTCGAATCGCATTCTGAATCTTGTGATAAGTGCCAACAGCACTGTTGAAGTCGGCATAATGTTCATTGACCACAGTCTTTAGACACTTCTGCAAATCCACGTGCGTTTTTGAAAAATCTTCCTCTTTATCTTTAAGCCCTAACGAGCTGGGGTCCATAAGCTTGAGGGCAATTTTGACAGGGGTGCATTCATCTCCCTCCATATCCTTCCAATTCGATTGAATGTGTCGCAGGATCTCGTCCATACTCTTCTGTGGTCTCCGTGGTGAATATTGCCGATTCGCATTCTCTGGAAGAGGGTAGGCCGGGTCGTTATAGCCATTGGCCTGGCTCTGCTGATTCAAGCTGGGAAGGGAGGGTTTGGGAGGCATTGCAGGTGGAGGCGGCATAGGAGTTCGGATGTCTCTATTTTCGCGAAACCTTGGGTCATTGTTGGCTCTATCTCTTTCTCGTGTCGGAGGTCTCTGCTGCCTTTGCTCATACCCTTGAGGCTCCCTTTCCCGGCCGTAGGAGTAGTCATTCTTGGGAGCAAGCGGTTCCTCAGCATATCTTGGACGCGCCAGGCCTCCATAACCTCCTCCTCCTCCTCCTCCTCCTCCTCCCCCTCCTGGTCCGTAGCCGCCTCCAGCATTCCCTATTCCTGGCCCTACTCGACCCAGGGGCGCAGGGCCGGGCGAGTCTCGGTCTCGCTGTTCATAGGGATTGGATCTGCGTCGTCGCTCCTGTGAGCCAAAACTGTTGACGGAAGCTGAGGACGCATTGTTCTGCTGATTCAGGTAGGGATCTGCATAACGGCCAGAAGAGACAGAGTTGGATGCATTGGTAGGCGCATATGGGTTGATGCCGTTTGCTGAGCCTCCGTAGCCGTTCAGCGCATACGGATTCTGGCTCATCGTTTCAGACGAGCTTCAGCCGCTAGAAGAGGGGGAAGAGCGACGGATGCGCATGGCTCAACGGACAGAGGTGAGGTCGTTTGTCCAGCGGCAGCGACTACAGAGTGCGAAACAAAAACAAAAGGTTGGTCCTCAAGGAGAACCAGTGTCAGATTCGAGGTGATTTGGATGCGCGACATGTTGGAGAAGACGTGAGAAGGCTGCTTCGGCGGAGTTGACGGCCAAGCTAAGCATGGCTAATGTAGCCTTTCAGGCACCCTCGTCACTCCTCGTCAACTAAGGTACTTACTACGTACTCCATCCTGTGGTATGTATTGTCTTCAGTTGATTACTCCGTAGAACTGATTCCTATCTACTTGATCATCTTCAGGGGAGAATGGTCCGCGAATCTGCACAAAGGATGGTCAGAGGCTTGTTGGTATCTCATTCACGTTGCCAGTAACGGAGTATCTATTCCAACAGTGAACGCTATCCATCTGGCTTCTTTTGGGAGCCAGAACAACCCTGAAAAGTCCGGCATAGTACTCCATATCTACGAGCCTCTTTCTCGGTGGCAGTTGTGATTTCAACAGACATCATTGCCTGCCTCCCCAGCTTCAGTCGGATTGTCCACCTCAGCAGCGGGTTGACGGTCGCGTCGCCACGAACCCGAGTACGACGCCTATCGCTCTACTGCTAACAGGAGAGCAACAGCTTCATAAGACATTGCACTATGCCATTGCCGTTTGTTCCCCAGTCATCGGTTGTTTGTTACTCCAAGGCACATGTACGCAAGAATCCGCTTGCCCAAGTTGTGCTTCTTTGGATTTGCGTCATCCACCGGTGCAAGACCTAGCGAGACTCGCCTCTCTCGTTCTTCTCGCTTTTTGTTCTCCTCGCTGGCTAGAACACTGCGTCTGAGAGCTTCGTACTGAGCAGCTTCGCCTTCAGCCAGGCGGTCTTTCGTGACGACGCCGTCGTTGACTGTAACAGCAAGAGGCATTTGAAAGTAATGTTTTGGTAGACAGATTGGCTCATCCAGGAGTTTCCGACACTGTTAAAAGGATTAAAAGGATCGAAAATGAGGCTAAAGTCCCTGCAAGTGGATTCAGACTCGAAGGTCTACCGGGTGAATCTGACAGATGGGAAATACGACTTTAACTGACATGACCTTTGTATTAGAGGATGGCTCTTTTGTACGCCTCGACGGTAAGCACAGCCTCGCGGCATCAAACGGCTGTTGGACCGGCCACTCTCAGCCACGCTACCACCCAACCACTGTAAGTTAATCAGCCCTGGTGACCCCAAGTTTTTGGCGCCTATCCTTGCCCGATGATGCCCCCATAGGGCAGACTGCGGGATCTCGGATGGTAATCTTGAGCAACCATTCGCTCGAAGCCCGCGTCTTCCCAGGTTAGAAACGCGGCATGGCAAGGCTTTAATCAACGTCGACTCTCGGAGCTCATTGCAATGGCCGAAAAGGTCTCCGCAAGGGCTGCAGCTGTCGTTGTTAGGAGATGGATAGTCCCTGGGCTCTGGCTCATTAGGTGATGTATCCAAAACCACTCCCTCTGCACGCGAGCCAAAATTCTTTCACGATGTCATTCGTCTTTCTACCCCCTCGCAAGGCTTCCACTTGAGCAACGAATCTGTTCCTTTGCTCCACCGATGTCGCCTTCAGAGATTTCTCGGTCATAACACCTGCTTCCTCCTTGACTGCTTCTCGTAACACTGTTTTGGTGAGCATAGGTTGCCTCTGAACGGATTTCTTCAGCGTCTCCGACAGGCTTTCAATTTCTGAGCGGGCGCAGTCGCCACCAAGCAGACGGACCAGGAGTGACAGCATTCGGGGTCCAAAAGCATGGAAGATGACGCTGATACGCTGGCTCGTTTCCATGACAAGAGGTCCTCCTGGAGCTGAGCAATCAACAACAGTGGCGAAGAAGGAAGCTGCAGATCGACGTGGAAGAGTATCTGGCTCTGCCATAAGGACTAAAGACAGCTCAAAGGCCACTCGTAACATTTCGTCTGCGTCTGGCATGAAGAACCACGCAGTACCCCATTTCATCATCAAGCGACCCAGAAAGTCGAGGGATGCCGATGCGAAGTTGCTGCTCGGTCGTTGCTGCGCCTGATGGTAAGACGAAAGCGTAGTCTGCTGATTCGTTATCACCGGATAAAGGATCCCCCTGAGGCAGCTCTCTATGTTGTTAGATTCGACGGCAGCCAGGAAGCTCGATGCACATGTCATCGTCGTGTCAATGGTTGGGTTCTCGAGGGTGAGCCAATGGGTGACAAGATCGAGTCCCACTGAATCCGGAAATTTGAATGGTGATGGATGCTGTTCGGTGAATCCAGACTTGATAAAGTCACAGCATGCTTCAATAAAAGTGGTGTCAGCTTGAGGTTGCATTTTTAGTAGAATGGCATGGTACAGGTTGAGCACATCACGCTGCACAGAAGCTCCAGGACCGTTATGCCAAAATATCGATTGCTGGGTGCCTGAAGATTCAAGATCGATGGGCACGTCATGCGGTGAGCGAAGACCTTTCCCTATCGAAGCAAGAGTCTGCATAGCGTCGATGCAGAGTCTTTGACGCTCGCCTTGGTCTTGGACTTCTTCATTCAGAACCGCGGACACACTGCGTATAGATGCCAGAAGCTCTGTGAGTGGTTGAATCTTGGCTTCTTCGGTAGGAAGAGCTTGAATTATAGCGGCAACTGCAGCATATAGCCGGTGACTTTCAGCCTCGGCAAGATCGCCAACAGTCGTCAAAGAGGCCATGAACTGTGGGAGTCCTTCTGTCAACGTGTTCCGATGGGATTCGCAGAGGCTGTAAATGGCTTTTGAAGCAGCAGACGCCGAGGCCTGTAAGTGAAGCGAAGAAAAGAGGAAATTTAAAACCAACACCATGCTATCGGGATGTCGTCGTAAGTATACGACGTTGTCTGCAATGAATCGGATGCCGGTCTGGCGTGCTTTGTCCGGCACAGCGGTTCCAGATTGCAAGACGTAGTGCCACGGTGCGCTGCTCAACACTGTTGTAATGAGGCTGTCGTAGGTGTCGGGGTCGAAAGACATGGTGTCAGAAAAAGCCGTGAGACTGAATGTGGCCGCCTCAAAAGCGCTCCAGTCGGGGTTGTCAACTTGGGAAAGGATGGTCTTCACTATACCTTCGATCAGCGCATTACCAAGTACCCCGAATGCCGACTGGAAGAAGTCATGGACGTCGTAGCGAAAGTCTTGGAACTTGGCTCGCTCATCCGCATCCCAGTCTTGAGTGGCAATGGACATTTGCTCTTGCGGAATTTGGATTTTGGAGAGACATGCATCGCACGCCTCCGCAGCCAGATCGCGGATGAATGTTGCAGTGAGGTCGCCTTCCTCCCAATCAGCGAAACCCTCCACAATCTCGCTGATTTTCTCGAGTGCAATCTGGCAAACGGGATCCTCAATTACCGCAACACCCTCACATCGGAGCAGTCGCCTCAGAGTTTGGACGACTTCATTGTAGCGACCAGAACGCAAGTATTCTGATGTGGTAGTATCCACCCGGCTCATGATCGACTCCAGAAGATCAACATACAGGATTCCTTCCGCACTGAAGTCGCCTTGACCGAGTAAGTACACGATCTCTTTTGCTCTTTTGGATTCCGCAACAGTTGCAGGAAAGTTTGGGACTGCATCTTGGAGGATTTTTGCAGAAGACTGCTGCAAATGAATGAGCAGCTGTAAAACATGGCCGAGGAAAGAGTCGCTGTCCAGGAGTCCGACCGCGAATCTGATACATTCTTTGGCAATCCCTTCAATTCTCCGAATAATATCGCTGTCCAACTGGAGGCACTCGTGTTTTATCGTGCTTGTCCAGAAAGGCATGGCTTGAAGGACCATTTGAAGTAATTCTGTAGAGTCTGGAGCTATTTGCGAGGTTGCTGCTTGCCTATCTTCGCGTTCAATCACTCGGTGTAGGGAAAAGTCGAATAGTTGCCATGCGTCCAGGCAATTGGCTGCCAATCGTCTGGCTATTCTATTCTCCGTAACAGCACTGGAAGTGTGACCAACGAGGTCCTCAGCCATGATCCGAACGAGCATTAGCACACCTTTCAGCTGGTAGTCTGAGCAGTTCGTTGCAGCTTCACATAGTTGCTGCATGGTCGGCAGAGCAGCCTCAGACATATGTTGCCCACCAAGAAGACATGCGAAAAGATGTCGTATTGGATATTGCCATTCTGAATCTGGCTTGGCGAAGAAGGTCACCAGCGTAGAGCAGAACTTCTGAAGGACAAAATTCGAGTCTGGTAGGGTTATGAGTCGTACGTAGTGACTCATTAGCTTTCCGAGTAGATACTGTTTCATCTGCTCGTCCTTGCCTATCCCATCATTGTCCCTGATACGATGTTAGAACAAAGTCGTTACTGAGAAGGTTCCCTATCCATACCAGTCGGCGTTTATTTTGATGGTCAAGGTCAAGGCACCATAGAATCGAATAATGGCTTCGTCATGTTGTAAGAGGTCGAGACCGCCCTGCCATGCAGACTTGTCTCGTTGTAGTCGTTGAATCTGCCTCTGGATCTCATTAATGCGCTCAGGAGCAGCCTGATTGCCAGGGTCATTGAGTTCTCGGATCAGCTGCTCCATACTTGTGGAGATAAAGAAATGGACATAGAGACATGGCCGTCCAGCTACAGGATCTCAAGCGCCGGCCTCCTGGTGTGAATAGCTGAAGAAGCAGCGGGCTGGTAGCCGTGCGAACGGATATAGTTGCTCCTGCACAGCAGAGAGAGAAGGCGGTCTTGGCCGCGGCAGATTCCTTCTTCGAGCAGCTCCTGGCGGTTGTCTCACGTCTCGGAGTAGACCTGATCTGAAGCAGCTGTCTAGCAAAGTTTGATATTGGCAAATGCCAGAAGAAGTTTCGAGTGATTCAATATAGAAATGTGTCCGCCGCTTTTACCTCACCACATGCCGAAGCCTCTGACATACATGGTTGTCCATGGAGAAGCAGAGGTCAGTCATGGATCGAGCTGCCAGGCCATGGTGACTTGTTGCACATAATCCTAAGTGACCTTCCCGTGACCTTTTATACTGCTTTGCTGGCTTCGGGGAAAGAGCGCCTTTGCAGGACATCGCAGCCTTGGTTAAAGCGGCATGAACACAGCGTCAATTCAAACACGTTCACTTCGGCCAATGAGGAATACTTGCACATGCCTTGATACCGAGTGATCAGTACCTACACCTCACTCTTTCCACAACTCGGTGTCACCTCGATGCGCTGGTCAGTCTTCCGTCTGCCTACTCTACTTCGACGCTCGTCGAGCCGAATCCAGCTCCCATCGCCCTCACAATCCGTACGCTCCTTCTCATTCTCCAGTTCCCTGCGGAGTCTCGACATGGAAACGGTAGACACCACCAAGCGATTAGCGCAGTTGCGCGATCTTATGCGCCAGCACAAATTAGACGTCTACATCGTCCCCTCCGAAGACAGCCATCAGTCAGAATACATAGCACCCTGCGACGCAAGAAGAGAATACATATGTGGGTTTACAGGCTCGGCGGGCACGGCCGTGATCACACTCGAAAAGGCTGCACTAGCTACAGACGGAAGATACTTCAATCAGGCCTCGAAACAGCTTGACAGCAATTGGTTACTGCTGAAGCAGGGTATGGAGGACGTGCCGACGTGGCAGGAATGGTATATTCAATACTGCAAGATCTGTGAACATGACTGAGCTGAGATTAGGACCACCGAGCAGGCCGAAGGCGGTAAGACAGTCGGAGTCGACCCCACTGTCATTACTGCATCAGATGCTCGCAAACTAAGCGAGACGCTCAAGAAGAAATCGCATGCTACTTTGGTCGGCGTGCCAGAAAACCTTGTCGACAAGATATGGAAAGACAGACCATTGAGGCCAACCGAGAAGGTCATTGTTCTGAATGAAAAGTACGCAGGAAAATCATACAAGGAGAAACTTGATGATCTGCGCAAGGACCTGAAGAAAAAAAAGGCCGCCGGAATGGTAGTGTCCATGCTCGATGAAGTGGCATGGCTCTTCAACCTACGGGGGAGTGATATCCCTTATAACCCTGTATTCTTCTCTTATGCCGCCGTCACTCCGAATTCGGCTACTCTTTATGTTGATTCCAGCAAGCTCGGACCGGAAGTCAAAGAGTATCTGGGTACCACAGTCGAAATCAAACCATACGACGCTCTTTTCTCCGACCTCACGGACATAGCTGAGACAGCTGCCAATGAAGTGCAGCAAAATGGAACTACGAAGTCACATGAGCCCAAGCTATTGCTGTCCAACAAGTCTTCCTGGGCGTTGAACCTGGGCCTGGGTGGTGACGACAAGGTCGAAGAAGCTCGGAGCCCAATTGCTGACGCAAAAGCTATCAAGAACGACAACGAGCTCGAGGGGATGCGACAATGCCACATCCGAGATGGTGCGGCTTTGATCAAATACTTTGCTTGGTTGGAGCATGAATTGTTGAACGGCTCTTGGATAGATGAAGTTCAGGGAGCAGACAAACTGGAGGAGATTCGGTCGAAAGGCGAGCATTTTATGGGATTGTCCTTTGACACTATCTCGTCGACCGGTCCAAATGCTGCAGTGATCCATTACAAACCCGAACCCGGCAATTGCTCTGTGATCGACCCTAAAGCTATCTACCTCTGCGATTCTGGCGCGCAATATCTGGACGGCACTACCGACACGACGCGAACGCTACATTTCGGCGAGCCCTCTGAGATGGAGATCAAGGCTTATACTCTGGTTTTGAAAGGTGTCATTGCGCTCGATAGGGCTGTTTTCCCGAAAGGCACGACTGGTTTTGCAATCGATGCATTTGCTCGACAACATCTGTGGCGAGAAGGCCTCGACTACAGACATGGTACTGGTCATGGCGTGGGCTCATTTCTCAATGTCCATGAAGGCCCTATCGGCATCGGTACCCGTGCGGCATATTCCGAAGTCTCCTTGAGTATTGGCAATGTCATCTCTGATGAACCGGGGTACTACGAGGACGGCAATTTTGGTATTCGGATTGAGAATATGATCATGGCGAAGGAAGCGCGAACAAACCACAAATTCGGTGATAAACCATGGATTGCTTTTGAGCATGTCACCATGGTGCCGATGTGCAGAAAGTTGATCGACCCAACGCTACTGGCTACGGAAGAGCGCGACTGGCTGAACCACTATCACAAGGAGGTGTGGGAGAAGACCAACGGCTTCTTCAAGAACGACGAGCGGACAACGAGGTGGCTGAGAAGAGAAACTGCGTCGATTTGAAGAGGGCATGATGATGCAGCAAACGTGCGTTCAGTCATAACAGCGCCACCAGGTCACCAAGCTCAGAAACAGGGACTGGTTATGGTCAAGCTAAATTGCTTGACAGGTTGCGCAGAGATATACGAAAGTATATCTGACAATCCCTTCTACGATAAGGAATGGTCCAGATTCATTTACAGTTTCTCCGGCTCTGGTGGCCCGGAAATGTATTACTAAATAATCAGTGTCCTGCAGGGGTGACCAAGGCGCACACTCGTAGCATTCGTCGCAATAGCGGAGCGCCTTCTAGAAGATAGAATACATGCCATTGATGATGCCTTAGGTTGAGTCAATGCTATTGGGCGGTCTCTCATTCACATCGAAGATTCAGTCTTACGCCATAGAGAAATCCTCGGGGAGGATTAGGTAAGTGACCCTGATAAAATGTTAGACGTCCGGGGTAGATCATACAGGATATTGTCAAGATCCATATTACTGCTGGGGTGGCCGCCAGAACGAGAAAGTGAATTTGACCAGAGCGGCTCCAGCTCGACGATTAGTATTGCTGTGTTGATCCTTGATCATGTGTGCCACGCCCGCCATATGATGAAGCATGGAAGGCATCGTAAGCCTGGCCGAAAGGCCGGCTGATCCTTTTTGACTGAACAGCCCCCAATAAATATTCCAGCACGAGACTCACGAAACTAGAGTTACTTGACAAAGCCCGAAGGAATCAAGAAGCCTTGGGAGATCAGTACCCTGTCTTGAAAATAGTTGCGTCGTATATTGCCTGTTCTTTAAAGCATTCTCTACTAAACTGATCGCGCGAATATTACTTGAATGCTCGGATTTAAGATATCCCAGCCAGGATCTATGAGAGCCATGGGGCGTTCCAACTATCGTTAGGACAGAGTCTCGAGAACCTGGACATGCTTAGATTTCCAAGTCAATCATTCTGCATCATCATAAGGAGTACGTACAAGTAGGAAGCTCAGTAAGGCACTGACATACGAGTCTGTAGCTTCAAGTTGTTTACCTGGGTAGGGTCGGTGGGGTCTCCAGCCTCGTGGGTCGAACTAGAACCTGCCGCTATTAACGTACCAAGCCTGATTCAACCGCCAAGTGCCATGCACGTACATAGATTGGCTGCAGGCTCACAAGGCTGTTCATCGTCAAAGCGGCAAGCTCCAATTCGATCCACAAACATTCACCACCTCGCAGTGCAACCTGCCAACCACACATCGCAACCTCCACATCGATTCGCACCTATACAAACGCACAGAAGCTCAGGATTTCACCCACTATTCACCCACTCTTGGCTAAAAGAATTTATAATTATTCCCAGCACATTTACTCCAAAATGGGACTCCAGACGAGACTCCTTAGATCACCCCAAAACTGCATCGGTGGTGTAGCGGTAGTAAGTAGTTTTCACGCCCTTACTCAGGGGGATCTTGCTAACACTTATCCAAGACATTATTGTGAGTTTTAGCCGTTGTCTCGACTTCGATTGTGATCTAACAGCACAGGCCTTCCATGAGGTTTATCTCAAGTCAGCAATAGCTCCGGGTTCGACTCCCGGCCGATGCAATGAAGACATCATATATTTTTTTGCGCTTCCTCCGGTCTGTCCTTCTTTGATCATCGTCGAAGCAGTGGGTGGGAGCCAGAGCCAGTCAACCTAAGGCTGGCATCCAACGGCTGCACAACGCCAACGTTCTTCGGCTTTCCAAAAGCATGTCTGAGTAGTTTACAATGTCATTGTTTCAGATATTATATCTGTTTTATCCATTCCTGTATTGATGTGCGGCTATTTGAGACAGTACAATATATAGGATTAGGTGAGCATTCAGGTAAGGGTGAGCCCCTCGACCGCCTATAAGCTTAACTGGAAGCTGAGTGCCAAGACTTTGCAGCAAAAGCCTTCTTGGTACTTCCATGATTGAAGGTTAGACTCACACATAGAAATAAAGCTAGAACTGTACGGAGTAACTCCGTAGAAGACACGCATATGATGTGTGTATCGAAAGCGCTGCAGGACCATACAACCAGACTTCTTAGAAGTTTGGAGCAGAGCCGAGGTGAATACAAGAGCATAGCAAGTGTCGGGCAACGAGCACTAGGAGCCTGTCTAATGGTAGAATCCTCATCGAGACTGCTTCGCCGTTAAGCTAAACAACCCCTTCGCCAGCGTCTTGGCCACTTTATATGTCTGAGCGCACAAGGAACATGTATGAGACAACCTATCTTTCTGATGACGGATCCCAGTCCGAAGAAGACGATGCCCTGCCTCTCCCAACCCTCACCGAAAGTCCACTGCATCACCCGGACTCCTGTCTAGGACTCTCCTCGAGCTTGTTGGGCACAATTCTTGACATCCTCCAGCCACATAGGATCGCACCAGAACCCTCATCGACAGGAAGATCGACGAAGTTGAAATGCCTATCCATTGGATCAGGGGCAGGACTCTTCGAAGCACTGTTGAGAAACCACGACCCCGGCCTACTCGAGGTTTACGGGCTGGAAGTCTCGTCCTCGACCAATGCGAACAAGTACCTCCCCCAACATAGGCGACACACCGTCCAGTCAACATCAACTCTCTACGAAGAAGCATCTGAATATGATGTATGGCTATTCGTCTACCCGCGGGACCCGAGACTTGTCAGGCAATATCTTGAACTCGCCTGCAGGACCAAAGACACGAGGGTGATTCTCTTTCTGGGTCCGAAGGCTGATTTTCTTCCTCCCCACCGTGGCGATAACGACGTACTTGCCGCTGCCGAGGACAAAGAAAGGCCAGCACAGGAGACGTTCGCCGCTGTCCTAGGTTCATTCTCTGATCACATCGAGGTATGCCAAGAGTTCAGCAGGTGTGAAGACGATCTGTTAAACGTGCCTAGCCAGGAGTCTCAACCAGGACAGGCGCAAAGTGTGCACGATTCGTCTGAGACGAGCCACAAAAAGCCATTCAGATCGTCCATCTACTCATCTTCCGAGATCGGGCTTACGTCGTATGAGATCTTGTGCGTGCTACGACAATGCGATCCTCGAGGCATCTGATTGGCGTCATTCCATGGAGTCATTGCCCCATGATAGCTAGAGAGGACCCCCTCCATAACAGCAATCTATGTCGGGGTATTTCAACAACTGTCTTAGACTTTGCCAGGCCAGAATCGTCCCTCCTTCTTCGCCTTTTCCTCCCAAGCATAATCATGCGCAAACACAACTTCGACCTCTGCCGGCTTGTCCTCTCCATCCACCTTAATCCCGTCTTTCGTCGCTGCATACAATCGTGCCAGTGTCTCCTTGGTCGTTTGAATGTCGACGTGTATACAGCAAATCTTTCCGGCGTCGTCCGTCCATGTCGCAATATCCCTCTCGCCTGACAACAGCCGCACATCATGACAGGCATCTCCTGCTAGGCAGACAAACTTGCTGGCGTGATCCGAGATCTTGCATAGTAGGTTGATATGCCCTGGAAGGTGACCCGGCGCATTAACGATATAGAGGCTACCGTCGCCGAAGAAGTCGATCGCATGTGGGAATGAAGCCAGCGGCTCCCATGAAAATTGAGCGTTGTCAGCGCCGTCTAGAGGTGGCAACTCTATCGTACGCTCGAGTGGAAGCAGATCTGATTCGAAAATCATATGCTTTCCCAGGTCATGCTTTGTCTTCCCGCTTAGAAGGTCAAGGGCACCATTGCCGACAACGAATTTGGTCTTCTGGCTCGTGAAATCTCGAGGAAGTCCAACATGGTCGTAGTGTACATGGCTGAAGATGACGTAGTCGATCTCCTCGTGGCTTAGACCTCCTGCGGCAAGGGATGCGACGACGTCAGGTTGCGTCGTTACCGGTTGGCGGCTGTCTAAATGCGATTTCAATGCTGCATGGTAGAGACCAAGGTCCCGTCGTATACCCAGATCGAACACAATTCGAGTAATCTTTCCGTTAGCCGCATCCGTGTGCTGGATGAGGAAAGACAGCGATGGAACAGTTCGTTTGACATTTGGATCGTTTGGAACGACGAAGAATCTTTCTGGTATCGTAATGTGACCAGCGTCCAAGGCATGGACTGTAACAACTGCCATCCTAGGAGCTGAGTTTGGCAGAACGAACGTCTGCTGCAGCGATCTCCTCCTAGGTGACAAAGCCTGGCTACAATGAGCAGAGTGGTGCCGACTGCAGCAGATAGTGGGAGGCTTTAGTTGTGGGAAGTCAATCTGTAACTTCGACGATGGAGCCGAGTACCCCAATTTCGACTACAGGACAGCAGGCCTTGTGATATAGTACCCACGAGTACCTTTAAATGTGCTACTGCTTCGTAGGAGCATGAATGCTTCCCCGCACAGGAATCGGTGTTCCCAGGCTTATGGTGGTTGCAATGAGGGGAGTCTTCCCCAGGTTTCGCCAGTCTTGACCCGATAGCTAACCGATGCAGACAGGTAGTAGATCTTCTTTCCACTCGTCTTCGTATCATGCTGTCAATTGAGTGGTTGCTGGCTGACACAACACAGATCCAAACATGGCCTGAAATTGTGCGGCGTGAGAAAGGTGCAGGGACATCGAGTCCATTAGCTTCATGCGCTCAGTGGACACTTGCGTCAGCAACTTATCGCTCGGTCAACCAAGGTGCTTGCCATGGATTTCTGATGCGCTGGGGCCTGTGGCGGGCTGACAAACAAACTAGTATCGAGCGTCGCCTCAAACAAGCCTGACTTGATCAGGACCCGGATCTGCCTTTGTTGCGTTGCTTCTTTGCAACACTGGGCGGCACAAATCGTAGCGATGCCATGGATACTTCGAGATCATTGATGGCAGCATCCGAGACACTGATGTCCGATTTGAGATTCGATGCATTTGTTTCTCGTTGTGTTCCCTTGACGCTTCTCCCGTTGTCCTCCTCCAATGCCACAGGAACAGGATCATGCTTGCTTGTCGTCTTGTGTTCGGTCTTTGTTTGCCGTCGTTGATGGCTGTTTGGCTGTGCTTGGTCGGTAGCAGTGGAAACTCTCCTCCGACGCCCTTCCCGCAGCATAGAGGTCGATTTGTCTATGCCAACGTCGACAATTTGAAAGTTGTAGACCTTCGGGAAAAGATGCTTGTCAATCAGATGCAGGCGTCTCTTCTGCGGTGTCGAGCATTTTCTGTCACAGTCTTCGACGAAACAAGCGTAAGTCTTCTCACCTTTGGCTTGCAGAGCTTCACGAAATGTATTGTGATGCTCGTCAATATGCAGGGCTAAGAAGTGAGCAGTAGGGAAGTTCTTGCCGCACGATGTGCAACGATTGGCATGATCTTTGGCATAGTGAGTCTCAAAATCCTCAACAGTAGCAAACTCAAGTGCATCTCGATGAGGCGGCAATGAACATTGCATGGCAGCTTGAAATGGCGACGTTTCGCAAGTGCTGAGTTTTGCAGGACGAGGAGATTCGAATTCTTCTCGCAAAGAGTTTGTCTCAGCCTCGGAAGAAGCGACCGAAGAGTTGCGTGAGCGCTTGACCATGGCGGTGAGAGTCGCAAGGATCGGTCAGGCGACTAACGCCAGGATAGTACAAGTATGTTTACTTGCAAGATGCAAGATAGAGCTAGACTTCTCCCACGTGCAATCGTGAAAACAAGTCCTTGCCAGCATCAGCACCATAATCCAAGATAAAATTGATTGAAGAGAGACACGGAGCGATGACAAGTATCCAATAGCAGGGACCAGGCTGGCAGGATCGACGAGGAAGAAGAGTCTTGAATGATGGATGGTGGCTAGCCAGTCCCCCAGTAAAGAAGCCAGACTGGAAAAAGGCAAGGCTACCGTCCTTAGAGGTGCATGATGGCGCTTTGCGAGATGCCCCTAAACCCCATGTATCCCTGCGCGCACCCTACCGGACCTGCCTAAATCAAGCCTAGAAGTCTTCCAGGCGGCCACTTATTCGGTTTGATTGGTGCATCGCTCCCTTCCTCTCTCCCTGTCTCTTTGTGTATCAAGTCCGCTGCCTCAAGTCCATGTCACCCTTCAGGGACAACCTTCTCCTCCACTCGTTGGCGTTTCAGGTTTCCAGAGGATGATGCAAGCAGTACGAAGCAGTTCCCTTCTCCAGTGACACAGACACGACAGACCTCGCTTGCCTCGTCTCCCATCCGGACAGCTTATGGGTCCTAGATTCGATCATCCTGCGTATCTCCTGACCCGACCGCATCCTCCTCCAAGAACTGGTCTCGAGTTTCTGAGCGGTTTCAGCTTTGAAAGTCTTTTGTTCGACGCAACATTCCTCTCAGTCTACTGGCACAGGACGCTGCGGTGCACGCGCCTCAACTCGGATCTTGACCTGACATCGATTTTCACAACGCTACTGAAATGCTAGCCTTGTGAAAGGAGGAGGAACACATCACAGTCCGCTTACGCGGTACGAGCACAGGAAGTTGACAGTGACAATGTTGGCCTCGCAACCACCGTACACGGTGCCTACTATTCCCACGACTACTCAACAGGTACCTATTCGAAACTTCGCCGAAGGCACCCAGAGAACACAGATGACTTCGCTGGCTCTCCAAGATGGCCTGTTCACCTCTCCTACCAACTCCGAGTTCTCCGACGTCTACGATGGCTTAGACTCAGTAAGAGCATGGGACGAGAAGAAAGTTGGCGAGTGGCTGCAGTCCATACGTTGCGGACAGTATGAGTCACTCTTCAAAGCCAACAACTTCACCGGCGAAAGTCTCCTAGAGTGTGACCAAAAGATATTGTCTGAGATAGGGATCAAGAAGATCGGGGATCGTGTGCGGATCAACGTTGCGATAAAGCAACTTCGAAACAAGTCCTCGGTACTACGGACGCGGAGAAACAGAGACTCTCTTGCTGTTCTCGATGGCTTTGTTGGTACCCCTTCTTCGTCCGACTCACCTCGAACACACGCGTCCAGATCACAGACTGGAAGCGGCAAGAGATTCTCTCGCCAATTTGATCCCTCGGCCTTGCAAAATTTCAGCTCAGCAAGCACCGGCTTCAAGGTCGGTTCACGACCAAGCTCACCACTAGCTGATGTACATAGCGCAGGCTTGCGAGCACATCGTTATGCTGGGAGCCCCATGGACAACAGCAGGAGTAACCCGACTACCGGCTACTTCAGTCAACCAGGTTCGGCCAATTCCACATCTGGGAAACGACCTGAAACACCTCAGATTGTCAGCGTACCTGCCCGGGCTACGCACATGCGACAAAATTCCAGTATTGACGGCTTGACTGCGGGCGGATTGCCCATAGGTTCACCCGTTATCAAGATCATTCATACTGGCGGGCAAACGAAAGTTGTCAACATCAAATACTGCAAAACTCCAGACGATGTAACCTCGACAGTTCTGAAAAAATTGCATCTTCCGGAGACTCACTTTCGCAATTACTGCTTTTACATCCTCAGTGGTCTCGATCCCGAACCTGCCAACTGTCGTCGCGTGCCCGAGTCTGAATTGATGAGGATCTGTGGCGACTCGACCCGGACTGAGAGGAACAGATTGATACTGAGGAAGATTAATGACGGACTCCCTGACTCCGACGAGCTACGCAAAGCAGCGAAAATTGCGACCGACGAATCACAGATTCTGCATAATAATGCTTTGAGCACGAACAATATGCGCAACCAGATCAAACTTCAGAAATTGACCGGCGAATCATGGCATCATATCCAAACCCCTATCTCGCCCGTTACGACGACCGATCGAAATCGCAATGTCATGGCCACGGCGGATGAATACGAACGCCAGGAAGCGCAACAACATCTTAGAGTCCCGAGCAATCAGAGCTCCAGACTACGATCATTCTTCGGCGCGCGACCTCCAAGCGAGATGATAGTACAAGAGTTGACAACGTATTTCCCGGGTCATCAGCGCGAAGACATTGAGAAGACTATGAGGATGTCAGTGCGACGATCACAGCGCATGAGTCGAGCGGCCAACCGCTTGAGCGTCATGAGCAATGTTAGCTACGCTTCCAGTCTCAAAGACGCTCCTCCCGTGCCCAACATTCCTAGCATTGCCGAGTCCTGGCTTGCTCAGACTCCAGGACAACCTCGGACGCCAGCAGCACGGCCTTTATCAGTGGTCTCTGCCAGGTTCAATTTGCCATCTTCGTCCTTCAGAGATTCTATCGCATCTTCGACTCTCCATCCCCTTCAAGAAGAATCTCCTTTGGAGCCAAATCGGAAATCTTACGTCTCTTTCGATAGCGGGTCTGATACTGCACTGGGCAGTGAGCTAGTCCGAGGGAGCTACATCGATGAGCGCTCCAGCAGCCTTGGATCCGAGCACGTCAACGAGCGATTGTCTGTCATCGTCGCCGAAGATGGCGAAGAGGAGGACCAAGAGCTGACTTCCTTCCTCAGAGGCAATAGCTTCGACAAGAACAACTGGATGAAAGGAGATCTTATCGGCGAGGGCTCTTTTGGCAGTGTTTATCTTGCACTGCACGCTGTCACCGGCGAACTCATGGCTGTCAAGCAAGTTGAACTCCCCAACGTAGCCAAAGGCACTGAAAGCGATAAAAAGAAAACTGCGATGATTGCTGCGCTCAAGCAGGAGATCAATCTGCTTCAGGGTTTGCGCCATCCTCATATCGTCCAATACCTGGGCACGTCGTCAGACGAAGACCATCTCAACATTTTTCTGGAGTATGTCCCTGGCGGATCTATTGCAGGCATGCTCAAGCAATACAACACCTTCCAGGAACCTTTGGTTCGAAACTTTACGCGACAAATCCTAGAAGGCCTGTCATACCTGCATGCCCGAAATATCATTCATCGGGATATCAAGGGCGCCAACATTCTGGTTGACAACCGCGGCGCCGTGAAGATCTCTGACTTTGGTGTGTCAAAGAAGACCAACTTCAATGGAATGAATGGCACGCCTGGCACACGGACCTCGCTCCAAGGTAGCGTATTCTGGATGGCTCCGGAAGTGGTTCGACAGTCGGGACAGTCGATCAAGTCTGATATCTGGTCTGTGGGATGCTTGGTTGTCGAGATGTTCACTGGCTCAAGACCGTTTCCCAGCATGACCACCTTGCAGACGCTATTTGCCGTCGGGAGCAATAACGAGAAACCCACGATTCCAGAGGCTGCAAGTGAAGATGCCAAGAATTTCATGGATAAGACGTTCGAGGCGGACCATGAGAAGAGACCCGGCGCAGATGAATTGCTCAAGGAGAAGTTCTTGCAGGCTATGGCTTGAAAATTCTTGGGAGTTGGACTTGACCGTGCTTTCTGAACAGCAACAATCTCTGTACGGATATGGGTAAAGCTGAGCTGGACTGAACTGCGAGAAACAAATGGACCCAGGTGGGGAACATAGTCCATCTGATGAGTTGTGTGAGTGTATAGTGCAGAGAGTGCGCTGAACGAAGACAGGAGCCTCAAGTGAGTAGGATCTGCCTAATGTATTTGATATTCAACAATGAGCCGTATGCATGCTCTTCCTTGAGAACTTTCACATCTCGCAGACAGGATAAAAAGCATCCAGGGCGGGCCCCCCTTCCCCCGTTCGCGCCTTTCTGGCATACTCTGGTCACAGAATTGGTGCTTGCTCAAGAGGAAATAAAGGCATCCAAGTGGCCGGAAACCCAAGTCCTTCAGATCGCCATAAATCTCGACCGGCTGTGTGTCACACGGCATTAGGCATATAGCCCGCGCCCCGGCTCCAGCTACGATGTGAACAACAGGCAGAGGTATGTGATCTCTTTTCATTTTTCTGCCTGACCACGGAGTATGGATACTACCTAGGTAATTTCATGATTTCATGTGGCAGGTGGCCCCCAAATAGTGCTCGCTTGGGCTGCATTAGCGATGGCTGGCACAGCCTTCATTTGAAGTCGCACACCAGCATCACAGCCTTGATTCAGGTCAATCATACCTACCAAGAACCTGGAACAGCCTCACTACTCGACATGTATTCCGACTTCAGCCTGATCGCGACGGAAGCCCGTAAGGCGGCGATATAAGCACGATGGGTGTCCCTCACGTTGTCGCATCCTCCACTCATGCTTATCTCTCGAACACAAAAGAGACACGACATGGGCAGATTCAATGGCCCATTATGGCTCCGAGCGAGGCCAAGCAACAGTATTTCATCGATTCCGCCATCAACAGTTGGACACCGACTTCGCAGGTATCGATGGCGTACTTTCCTCAACCTCACAAGCCCACTACTCCTCGTCGGCTTTTATGCTTTCATCTGCCTCTACTACCTCAACAGACCACCCGAGAACGGCATTGTACAGACTGACGACACGAACGCACGCTGGGTCTTCTATCTTTGGTTCCTAGCCTCGATTTTCGTCTTGGATTGGGCAAAGACAGCTCTTGCCAAATTCGAGGCTGCCGCTCTCATGGAGCCTCGATTGGCCCCAACTTCCGCGATGGAACTAATGTGGCATGGTGATGCCAACTGGTCAAATTTCCTATGGTGGCTACGGGCCATACGAAGTTTCCTCGTTACCCGTTCCTTCCGTCTGCGGACGAGGACTATGTGTAACCGCCACTACCTCAAGTCGACACCAGATTCTCTGTGGATTTTTCTAAGCACCATCTCTCTGCTGATCTTTGCCGCCGTACCACTCAGCGGCCTGACTATAGAGCTAGCGACCATGTCGTCAGCAGGTCAGCAACTTGCGCCAATCCTAGGGCCGAACCCTCGGACGTTCAACTTGAGAGGCTCACTAGGACCACACGACTTGACGAGAGGCAGGTGGCGTAATGGCGAGCTTACAACACCAGCCGATGCATCTATATTTTATGCGCCTGAAGGAACAGCTAATGTGTCGAACACATACTTCCATGATCGGGTACAAAATACAGGCCTATCTGGTCCTGTTCGGGCATTCCTTGGTCCAGCCGTCACAAATCTAGTAGCCGGAAATGCTTGGGGGGTCGAGGCAGAAATGCACTGTCGCCAGGTCCGTCGCCAAGATCTACAGCTCCTTCAGATATCGGACATCAACAGTACGGGGGTCAAGGTACGATACTCCCAAGGTTGGAGTTCTCCAGGAAACTCAGACATAACCCTAGCCTACAACGAGACAGGGGTATTATGGCAAAAGACTACGTTCAAGCTTATTGTGGCGGCAGATGGTACCTGGTATGGCGACACACCATATAGCGTTGCCGCCAATCATGACATGTCTACCATCGACGCGATTTTCAACCACGCACCGGAAGATCAACCGACGACGGCCGTTTTCGAGGCTTATCTATGGCAAGGATGCGATTCACAAGTCCATGATGCTTTCATGCAAAGCCTCCTAAGCAATGAGTCTAGTCTTATTGACAGGGATGAAACGCTAAACGGTTTTAATGGAGCTGGGTACAGCCTCCAATGCAGCATCAAATCTGCGGTTGGAAATGCGACAGTTGATCCTGGCCGCCGGACCTACCGCGCTTTCACACGGGGCACTGTAGCCAAAACTACCTCTACCGACCAAGACACGTATCCTCTACAAGTCCTAGCAGTTGAAGCGTTCGGCAACTGGGACATCAACAACTACGCGATGAGAGGCCACGACGGCTACAGCACGGATAACTCGTGGATAACTCTACACCTTGCATTGGGCATCCCCCCCTACTTTAACCTGATGACTCTCGGCGATGGCTACCTTGGCGATCAAGCTGATACCTACAGGGCTCTGATGCCGGTGGATCTGACCCTTGCCATCTACAAACTTTTTGGCAACGCCATGATTACAATGATGAGTCCCGGCTGCCAAGAAGCCTGGTACGGAGGCTTGCATGAGCTCGAGTATACGCGATATATCGTCGCGGGAGTTATCGGCTGGCAATACATCCTGGCCCTATTCGGTGTCTGGGCCAGCGTGGTGTTTGCCATATCTGTATGGTTACTCTGCACGAAAAGATGGTCTCCGACGCTAGGTAGTTTCGAATTCTTCAGACTTGGTGCTCAATATACGGCCGAGGTCAACCATTTCGACGAGCCCAGGTTCGAAGCGTGTGCATCGTTGCAGAACATTCCAGGCATGATTGGCGTGTTGCCCGGAGAAAAGAGCGACGGCACTGCTGGGTTCATTGGGCTGAGTGAGAACATGGCAGACCCTGACAAGGCTTATGTTTTCGACCGTAAGCTTGCGGCCATGCATCGAATCGCTTGACGCCTGTGACTATTGTTTGGATATGCACAAGGGTGCCTCGGATACTATCAATGTTGTGCAAGCTTGCTGTCTGAATGCCAGGACCTTGATGCCCTTGAACAACGAGATCGCGGTATTGCAAAGCAGTGTGGCTTGTACTTGTACGACTTTTTGTTTCAGCACAGAGGTCTTGATGCCCTTTGACAAAAAGTCCGTGATATCGCAGAAGATCTACATGGCCTGCATACAGGTATGGACGACGCTGGTCAGGTACCCGATCGTGCAAGGAGCGCAACTGCATTCACATCACCACGGCGGATTCAGAAATGTGCTACTCCCATTCGCAATTTCACTTGCGATTCTTAGTTGTGACAGTCCTTTGAATGGCACCGGAAGAAGTCTGACAAATAGACAGAAAGCTGCAACAACGATGGGGTAAGAGGATCGCGTGAACAGTGTGCACAGGAGCGCCTTGAAGCACATACGATGCTTCTTAAGGGGCGAAACGTCAATAAGAAGAAACAATTAAAAGCCGTAGTAGCCTGTCAAAACCTCTTGAGTCGTTTCAGTCTTTTGTGACCTCTACTGACCAATCTTCTGAGAGCTTTTTCTGCCCTTGAGCTTACTAAACAGCTTCTCTCAGCCATAACCTACCTGCATACAGTTCATGACAAGTCCATTGGCTGTACTGAGTTTCGCAACTGTGATTGCGGAGACGAAGGGACGTGATGTTGCTGGTTCTCAATACCGTTCTGCATGCCCTGGGTACCATTGGCGGGTTTTGTCCGTGGGACAACATCAATGGTGTCCATGAGCGGGATTTCACTAGGCTGCTGTAATGGTTTCAGCGCCTCGCTGGACTGTGGTGCGCCATTGATAGAGGCACCGTTGGTGATAGGTGGTAGAGGTTCTGTAGGTGGTGGTTCTGGCTCTTTGCCTTTCCGATACCTCAATTGGACCACCAGACTCTCCTGAGTATTGTCGTCTTCGCCCAGCTCGTCAGGCTCAAGTCCTTCGTCGCTCATTGCATCGTCATCGTCATCCCCTTCATCCTCTGCGTCAAAGTCCGGCTCCGACTCATCGGGCTCGTCTTCGTCCCCACTCCATTCCTTGCCCGAGGACTGTCCTTCGTCACTTTCTGACTCCGTTCGATTGGAATACTGAATTCCGGCAGTCTGAACTGGGCGTCCTGACCTTGATGTGCGTATAGCTCGTGTTGGTGCGGAGGCAGGCATATCCTCACTAGTCTCTGTGACGTGTCCTTCTCCTGCTGCTCTCTCCATTTCTTTACGCTGGTCGACCAACATGCTCTCGCCATACATTCCACCGAGTCTGGACTTGACCTGTCTGCCGCTGGCAGTAACCGTGGGACCAGCCTCGAGAGGTGTGGAAATACGCGTCGATCGCCTACTCGACAGTCCATCGGAGCCATACTCATCATCTGAATATGTATATCTCATTCTCTTTCCTCGGGTCCGTCCTTCATATAGCGAGAATCCAGGTTCGGGCCGAGTGAACGCGGCTTTCCGAGCCAAACGGTATTCACGGCGCTTGCGTTTCTACAGCCTTGTCAGCAATTGCGCTCGCCACTGTTCGACATGTTCCATACCTCTTCGCCGGCTTCGAATCGAGGTATGGCCGCTCTCAATTTGTCACCGTTTAATTTCGAATTCTGGGTGTGTTCTTCTGCAAATTTGTCTGCCAGTGCTGCGACTTCCTGAATAGATCCTGCCACGCTGAACCAGGTGTTTGTTTTTGCAGTTTTCCCGTCATTTTCCCTATATATTCTGAAGTATGAATCGTCTAGTCCTTCAATGAGCCAATATTTGCGCCGCCATTGATCGGAAAACCATGGTTGCACGCTTCGTGGCTGATTCTTGTCATCGTCGCGTCGCGTCTGCTTATAGGATTCTTTAATAAGGCGTTGCACGACTTCAGAGGAGTTTAGCGACCATAGGGCGAGTGCTTTAAGGAGGTTTAGCTGTTTGGCATGTCAGTAAAGCGACATGCGGACCGGCAATTAACGTCCGTACACGCTCTTCAGGGGTCATGTTGTTGAAATTCTTGCCCCCATGGATTGGGTTCAAGCCCTTCCAGGCTGTTATCCATTGGTGATGGTTCGATGAGATCGCGTCTTCGAGAGCCCTTCCATGGTGACCACGTCTGTATCGAAGATCAGCTCAGGTGTCCGGCAAGAATTGTAGCGGCTCTGGGACAATGACTAACTCGACCTCTTTCTTTCTGTTCAGCACAAGACCAAGCAAGGCACATAGCAGTTTCTCCATGAGTTCATCGGGAAGTTCGCCAGAAATTCCTCTCTCAATGTCTTGGGGACCAATTGCCGTGAGGTATTTTGGGAATGCTTCATGAAAGCGGCTCGCGAACATGACAATGAACGCGATTGCATCGTTGTCCGCGAGAGTATATTCATGGGGAGGGGAAGGGGCTCGCTTGGGTGGTGGTGGTTCTGGCGACTCGGCTTTTGGCGCAGGCTTGAAGTAGCGGCCTATACCGACAGGCTTTGACATTTTTCGGACCATCTCCTCGTCTTCGGAAGACGGTGCCGAAGAGAGGGAGGAAGTGTCTGAGTCGGCCATGGTGGCGGTGGTGGACAACAGACGCGAATGTTGGGATGAGGAAAGAAGTATGGAAGCTACGAAGACAGGCGCAGGAGCGGTCTGGGAGACAGCCAGATGTTAAATTGACTTGGCGCGTGCGAGCCACGCGTGGAACTACCTGGTACTTCAACCAGTACAAACTCTATGCCGCCGGCGATCTTGGTCCGACAAGCTCCCTGGCCGTAAGACCATCGAGAGTCCATGAACAGCAATCCATCCTTCAAGGGCCCCTTGCCAGCCTTGAGTCGTTTGCATTTGGCAGACCGTCCATCCACCAACCGCTATTCGGGTGATACATTTCGACGCGGTTTGCCAGTGCCAAGCATGAACATCCGCCGCGAGAAACCAAACCCTGGCGCTTCGCCGCTCTGTGTCATTGTCCTGATACCCATTACCACCATGCGCAGAGCTGTGCGCACCAGGCATTTCTTCATCTTTGCCCCCAGGTGGACGCCTGAACAAGAAAGACACTGGGATTCTCATTCGGGGCCGCTGCTCGAATTCCAGCTGGCTGACAATGCGGGGTTCTCCGCATGATGTGCGAGGATTGCTGCAACAAAATTTTCCTCAGACATTGACGCGCATCAAGAAAATTGATGGAGAAGCCTCCGTTCTAACGGAGAGTGCGAATGACAGGCTGGCTGTAGGGCGTAATACGCTATAGTGATAGATGGACAGTTTGTTGAGGCAGACCTTTGGCAGAGACATGCCGCGACACTGAATTTGACGGCGCGTTTCCAGCGGTCTCATAGGTCGTATTAGCATCCAAGCTGTGTCGGATCGGTGCAGTGATCTGGCAATCCAGAAGCGGACCCATATGTTCCATATTTTGGCACACGGGTGACTCTGACGCAACGCAGCCCAGCGTCGAGACGGGATTCAAGTTAGGTCATAGGATGTAGATGCCCGGAAGCTGAATTTGGTTTGTCGTGGACTGATCAAAGACAATGGATGAACGTAGAAAATGTCATACTGCTTGAGCCAATCTGCATGATTGGCCCATTCATGGTAGTGCTTTTCCGAGGGTACCCCCATTGCCGTAGGATTTTGTGCCCACTAGAAGACGCACAGAACTCACCATATACCTAATGTCAGCAAAACCAGGCAGGAGTGTCATGGATAGACCACATAAAAGACACCGCGCTCAGAGGCTGCATAACGTCTGATATTTGACTTACCAAGGGACACAAGAACTGTGACCGTTTCGAACTCAATGCTCTCTCTTATGAACTGACGGTTGCACGTTGAGTCCGAATTTATCAGGGTGGCTGCGGTGTCGATTGATGGTGATAACACGATGGATGTCACTCCGGATTAAGTTGAGGTTTGGAAGGAGGTTCTGAGAAGCTGGAGAGCCAAGGGAGCATCGGGCTTGGCGCCTGGCACGTGATGCCAAGATTTTGAAACGGCAACCGCTGCCCACAGTTTGGAAAATTGAAAGTGCGCAGTCTAACATCTCTCACACAACAGACCTCATCGCAGCCTCGCCCAGACAACGTTGTTGCAAAGTAAGACATCTCAGACAATCGATATTTGAGCATCACTGATTACAATACAGGATGGGTCGAGTCATTCGTAACCAGCGGAAAGGCCGTGGGAGCATCTTCAGTTCGTTATGACCTACTGTATTTCAATCGATCATTTACTGACAACAGACTTGCAGCTGCTCACACTCGCCTAAACAAAGCCCCTGCAAAGTTCAGAACTCTCGACTATGGCGAGCGACACGGTTACTTGAGAGGTATCGTGAAGGAAATCATCCACGATCCGGGTCGCGGTGCGCCGCTTGCGCGTGTGGCCTTCCGATCACCATACACCCCGAAAACCCACACCGAGACGTTCATCGCAAACGAGGGAATGTACAGCGGCATGTTCATCTATGTTGGAAAAAACGCAGCTCTCAGTATTGGCAACGTTTTGCCTCTCGGCCAGGTTCCTGAGGGTACGGTGGTTTCGAACGTTGAGGAGAAGACTGGTGACCGTGGTGCTTTGGGCCGAACCTCTGGTAACTATGTCACCGTTATTGGACACAACCCGGACGAGGGCAAGACGCGAGTCAAGCTTCCCAGTGGTGCAAAGAAGGTTGTCCTCAGCTCAGCCCGAGGTATGATTGGTATCGTTGCAGGAGGTGGACGAACAGATAAGCCTATGCTCAGTACGTGGATGCAGAAGGACCCTCGTTGCAGAATGTTGGCTAATAATTACTACAGAGGCATCTCGCGCAAAGCACAAGTTCGCTGTGAAGCGCAACTCCTGGCCCAAGACTCGTGGTGTTGCCATGAACCCTGTCGACCATCCTCACGGTGGTGGTAACCATCAACATATTGGCAAGGCTTCAACCATTTCCAGATATGCTGCCCAAGGTCAAAAGGCTGGTCTTATTGCTGCCAGAAGAACTGGTCTGCTCCGTGGTACCCAGAAGACCAAGGAATAGACGTGACGATTGCATGGGTGTGGAAGACGGCGTCATTGTAATATGGCAACCTTTGGGCTCATCGTCAAGTCATGAGGATGGTACCAAGCATCTGGCATCGGGAAAGCCAGTCAAAGCAGATTTCAATCAGAAAGATGAGACTCATGAGTGCCAAAGTTTTGGCTGGAATGATATCAAAAATTTCATCGTGCCGCGATATTCCTTTGACACATCTCCCACAGAAAAGAAAGACGTAGCAAGAAATCATCACCCCTTTGTCTGCCAATGTCGAGTCTGACCAAACCATCAAGCTTGGTAATTTCTTTGAAGAGGCGTGACTCGTGGTGCCATTTGGACTGTTCGGAAGCAAATGCTCGGCAGGAACATTATTTGCGTTGATAGGTGGCCCGGCCGCCAATGGATGTCAAGTAAAATATGGCATTCCAGACCTCGCGGTTCTGGCGGCGGCTCGTGGCGTTTGGCGTGGGTTTTGTTTCAGAGACGCAAGCACCACAAGAGTTTGAAGTCAGGGGTAAGAAGCGCAAACGACTGGACAATTGAGCGTACGGGAAGGGAGGGTTGCGCGTCACGATCGCCGCTTCCATCCTTATCAAATGCTGCTTCTCCAAACACCTTTGGCCTGTCCTGTCCATTCTTCCTTGTTTTGACCTGTAAGCGCAGACAATCGTTTTTATCCTCTTTTCTATTCTGGTGCTGCTCACTGCGGCTCGCCTGACTTTCTTTTGGTCGGCTTGTTCTGCCCTTGTAGCGCTGCATTCCAGTTAAATTACCGCGGGGTCAGATCACCCGGAGCCTCCGTTCACTTTCGCTCTCTCGCTCACTGCGCAGCATCAAGTCTCTCTACATAATTATCATCATCTCTACGATCTCCTCAAACCTCTCTTGCTCCAGTCACGAACCTCTGCAACGAACATGAACGTTAACAAGAAACTCGATCGCTTGAAACAATGGGCCGGAGAGCGCATGGGAGGGGAAGTCAAGACCAATGTGTCGGACGACTTCAAGGCCCTGGAAGCAGAAATGGGCCTGCGTCAGGAAGGTGGGCACATCCTTGAGGTCCTACAAGCCACCTGAAAGCGGAAATTCTAACTTTCCCCGTCTAGGCCTGGAGAAAATGCAGAAGTCCATGACAGGATACGTCAAAGCTGTTTCCAAAAGATCCGAAATCGAAGGCAAGGAGAAGACACTGCCGATCGCATACCTAGGTGGAACTATGATCTCGCATGGAGAAGATTTCGATCCCGACTCTGAATACGGACAATGTCTGACGAGTGAGTTGTCGCCAGATGGCATCCCAATCCAACTGCTGACGTTGCAAAGTATTTGGACGGACGCAAGAGAGGTTGGCTCGTGCACAAGAGACATACATATCAGCTGCTACAACATCCTGGCTTGAGTGTCTGGAAAGATCTCTCGTTCAGATGAAAGAATTCCAGGCTTCACGCAAGCGACTCGAGACAAGAAGGCTTGCTTACGACACATCTCTGGCCAAGATGCAGAAAGCGAAGAAGGAAGATTTTCGAGTTGAGGAGGAATTACGGACCCAAAAGGCGAAATACGAAGAATCGGCGGATGATGTTCAACGAAGGATGGAGGAGATCCGTGACTCTGATCCTGAAAGTGTCACGGACCTGGCAGCCTTCCTTGACGCCGAACTGGCGTACCACGACAAGTGCAGGGATGCTTTGTTGCAACTCAAGAGTGAATGGCCCGCTAGGTATGTTGCTCGCCTTCATCTCGTAGGTCGCCACTGACAACGCCATTCAGGTCACAACAGTACCGCGGATCTCGCCCAAACCCACGATCCAGGTCGAACACTGTCAGATCTTATACACAGTATTCCGAGCCAATCGAAGAACCAGCTCCAGTAGTCGAAGTCCGGCCTACAATCAAATCGAGTCGGTCACAGACAACCCGATACGGAGAGCCGCCCTATGAGTCTTCGCCGAGACCACACTTTGCTCGAGCAACCACGTACGACACTGGTCGAGACCTGTCTCCTGCCAATATGGCTCGCATCTCGCGAGTACCAAGCGATTCGCTGATGATTCGCACCGCACGATCACAACTCCGCAACGTTGAGGAACAGGACGTCTTTGCAGACGAGTCAGGCTCTTATACCAACAGCAGTCCTGACCATGTTTATGGCGAACAGTCAGTGTCACCTGCTACCTCACACGGAAGTGGATCGTTCACCCCTTTAAAAAAGAGTGGTGCACCGCCTCCGCCACCTCCTTCTCGAGCGAAAAAGCCGCCTCCACCTCCTGTACCAGCCAAACGGACTATTCTGACGTAGAAACGAGCCAAGTATAATGTCACTTTAGCATGCCGGGTGTTGGAAAGCCTTCTGGATACGATCGGCGAGTACGGCGTTCAACGAGATTTTGGGGAGTTCTGCAAACCAGTAGAACGGGGAGTCCGGGTTGGCTGCGGATGGCAGCGTCTATCATAGATACCACGTTATATTATCAAGTATAGCAAGCATGCATCGATTGACCCAGGAATCTTTAGACCGAACGCATAAGCGAACTTGGATCCTTTCTAGCACAGTCTTGCAAGTCTAACAGATGAGATATATCACGTGACTGTAAAGCGGCAGAGAAAAAGCCAGCTTGGCGTTCTGTTGCCTGAAAGGCGCAAGCGCATCCTGAACCTCTCCCCCTCGTCGCAGTTCCGAACGTGAAGCCTATCCAGGTTCGAAAATCATCACCAACGCGTCGCATCCATCTCTTCCAATCTTAATAAGACACTCTCCGACCGCTGACCGAATTGAGGAGTGCGCCCAAGGCCGGCAGATCACTCTTCGTCCCCTCTTTTCGATATCCTCAGCTTAGCCACCCAACCTCAGCCCAGTCACCAGGAGTTGTTCCATTGTAGAACTGCGCCCAAGTTCATCCATACTCACAAGGCTACCCCCAGTCCCCGCCAATCGATCGTCAACCACAATCTTCCAGTGTAATATCGATGTCTGGTCAGTCACTTAACTGATCGCCTTGACGAAGGCTGCCAAACATCACCCAAGTCATCGATCACGGACGAGTCACCATGGCTTCGGTCCAGTCTGCACCAACCATGCAGGCCCATAACACCGCTCTGCCACCGAACCTCTCCCAAGCCCAAGTGCAAGAAGTCTATCAGGTAAGACCATACCCTAAACATTGCGCAAGCACCAAAACTTTTCAGACGCGCTCCGATTCATTAACAGGTTGACAGAAATTTCAGCGCATGAAGGCCCAAAATGTCCCCGAAACCGATCCTGAGTACCTCAAAGCCCACCGCTTCCTTGCCGCGGTCCAACAGCAACAAAACTATCGCAAGATGGCTGCACTGCAGGCCCAAAAACAACAACTTCAAGCCCAGCAACAACAACCGGCCGCCCAACACCAACAACAACAAATGTCACAGCAGCCTCAGGCTCAACCAAATGGACAGCAAGCAAACGGCAACGCGAGCCAGCCTTCCACGAATGGTACTAGCATTGCTCAGCCAGACGGTGCAGGTGCGCCGGTGAATGGCACATCATCAGGTCCTAATCAACCTGCGACCGCGTCCAACAATGCCCAGACTGCCGTAACGCCAGCGCAACGCGCTGTTGCTCAGGCGAATGGCAGTTTTTCACCAGAACAGCTGAATCTGTTAAGGACACAAATCTACGCGTTCAAGATGCTGTCGAAGAATTTGCCCTTACCTCCGAAGCTACAACAGCAGCTGTTCCCGTCACTCAAACAACAAGCCGCTGCCCCAACCGACAAAGCTTCAACAATCGAGAAGGGTGCGGATGCTGCAGCAGATAAGGAGGATGCCGTGTCCAAGGAGCTTGCGCAAGCGAAGGCTCATTTCGACTCTTATCAATCTCCTTACAGCCTCCTCGCAAAAATGATAAGTTTTTCAGATCATGCTCAGCGTGGCAAGCGACAGAAAATCCCCAGCATCATGCCCATAGGTATTGACATTGAGCAAGTGCGAGAAGAACAAGAGCGGCTTCTCTACAACCGAATTCAGGCTCGCAAAGCTGAGCTCGCCTCCCAGTCTGCGAACGTAGCGTCCTGGGATGTCAGCAGATCTTCTGAGCCACATGCCGATGACAGCCTCAAAATCAAGGCATTGATCGAGTTCAAGAAATTATGTCTGGTGCAGAAACAACGCGATCTCCGACGAGAACTGCAGCAGGATCTGTACTATTATGATAACCTGGCCATGACAGCAAATCGATCGATGCACCGCAGAATGAAGAAACAATCACTTCGCGAGGCTCGAATTACCGAGAAGCTTGAAAAACAACAACGAGATGCAAGAGAGAACAAGGAGAAGACTCGGCAGTCCAATCATTTGCAGTCGATCATTGCACATGGTCAAGACCTTCGCAACAACGCCATCAGTCAACGTGGTCGGATTCAGAAGCTTGGACGCATGATGGTTACTCATCACCAGCACATGGAGCGTGAAGAACAGAAGCGTATCGAACGCACGGCCAAGCAGCGATTGCAAGCCTTGAGAGCTAACGATGAGGAGACCTATCTCAAACTTCTTGGACAGGCGAAGGATTCACGTATCACGCACCTCCTTAAGCAGACTGATGGCTTCTTGAAACAGCTCGCTGCCTCCGTCCGACAACAGCAACGTAGCGCCGCGGAGAGGTGGGGCGAAGACAAGTACATGGAAGAAGAGGAAGAAGGCCCAGGTGACTCCGACGACGAGGAAGGAAGCGGAAAGGTTGATTACTACGCGGTTGCTCACCGCATCAAAGAAGAAATCAACATACAACCTTCGATACTGGTTGGAGGTACTTTGAAAGAATACCAACTGAAAGGTCTTCAATGGATGATCTCACTCTTCAACAACAATCTCAATGGTATCTTGGCCGACGAAATGGGTTTGGGCAAGACGATTCAAACCATCAGCTTGGTCACGTACCTCATTGAGAAGAAGCGGCAATACGGCCCTTTCTTGATTGTTGTACCCCTGAGCACTTTGACCAACTGGAATCTAGAATTCGAGAAGTGGGCTCCATCGGTCAAGCGAATTGTGTACAAAGGACCTCCAACCACTAGGAAGGCTCAGCAGCAAAGCATTCGACAAGGGAACTTTCAGGTGTTGTTGACCACTTACGAATACATCATCAAGGACCGGCCGATCTTGAGCAAGATCAAATGGGTCCACATGATTGTCGACGAAGGTCACCGTATGAAGAACGCGCAGTCAAAGCTCAGCAGCACCATTACCCAATACTACACCACCCGTTACCGTCTTATTTTGACTGGCACGCCGTTGCAAAACAATTTGCCTGAACTCTGGGCACTTCTGAACTTCGTGCTTCCTACCATCTTCAAGTCGGTCAAGTCATTCGACGAGTGGTTCAATACGCCTTTCGCCAATACTGGTGGACAAGACAGGATGGAGCTTTCTGAAGAAGAGTCACTTCTGATCATCCGTCGTCTGCACAAAGTGTTGCGTCCCTTCCTCCTCCGTCGACTCAAGAAAGACGTGGAGAAGGATCTGCCTGACAAGCAAGAGCGCGTCGTCAAGTGTCGATTCTCAGCACTTCAAAACAGACTGAACGTGCAGCTGATGACGCACAACAGGCTTGTCATTGCTGATGGAAAAGGTGGAAAGACCAGCATGCGTGGTCTCAGTAATATGTTGATGCAGCTGAGAAAACTGTGCAATCACCCGTATGTCTTTGAGCCCGTCGAAGATCAGATGAACCCTGGCAGAGGCACCAATGACTCAATCTGGCGAACGGCAGGCAAGTTCGAGCTGCTCGACAGGATTTTGCCCAAATTCCGCGCTACTGGACATCGTGTCCTGATGTTCTTCCAGATGACTCAGATCATGAACATTATGGAAGACTTTCTGCGACTGCGGGGCATCCAGTATCTACGTCTCGACGGTGCTACCAAGGCGGAAGATCGTTCGGAACTGCTGCGTGTCTTCAACGAGCCGAATTCTCCCTACTTCTGCTTCTTGCTCTCAACTCGCGCTGGTGGGCTGGGTCTCAACCTGCAAACCGCAGACACAGTCATCATCTACGACTCCGACTGGAACCCCCATCAAGATCTGCAAGCGCAAGATCGTGCTCATCGAATAGGACAAAAGAACGAAGTGCGAATTCTCCGCCTGATTACGTCCAATTCGGTGGAGGAAAAGATTTTGGAACGAGCACAATTCAAGCTTGACATGGATGGCAAGGTCATTCAGGCTGGTAAATTCGACAACAAATCTACTGCTGAAGAACGTGACGCCTTTTTGAAAACCTTACTTGAATCCGCCGAAGCTGCCGAGCAAGCGGCGGAATCAGAGGAAATGGACGATGACGATCTCAACGAAATCATGGCTCGTACAGAAGATGAATTGGTTCTCTTCAAGCAGATGGACAAAGACCGTGAGCTGAATGACCAGTATGGACCTGGGAAGCCATTGCCGCGTTTGATGGGCGAAGATGAGCTTCCAGAAATCTACATGACGGAAGACAATCCTGTTCAGGAAGAGGTGGAAGAGTACACCGGTCGTGGAGCTCGTGTCAAGACTCAAGTCAAGTACGACGATGGCCTTACGGAAGAGCAATGGCTAGCTGCTGTCGACGATTCAGACGACTCTATCGGTGAAGCGGCTGCCCGCAAAGCTGCCCGAATTGAAAAGAGACGCACCAACAAAGCGAAGCGTGAGCGTGCGGCGACAGGCGTTGGATCCTCACCGGAGCCAGATCCCGAAAGCTCCGAAGAAGAGGAAGAACCTCAACCCAAGAAGAAAGGCCCGAGAAAATCGGCTGGACAAAAGCGGAAAGGTGATGACATTGAAGAGGAGACACCGGCCACAAAACGCAAGCGTGGCAGACAGCCCAAGACCACGGACACTCTGGCTCCGTCGGACCGAAGTGCTCTGCAGAAAGCGCTCAAGAAAGTATTTGAATCAATCAAAGCTTTGGAGGTTCCGGACTCGGACCCAGAAGACCAGTCGGAGGATGAGAGCGATGATGAGCCACCTACTCGATTGATCATTGGACCCTTCTTGGAACTACCGCCCAAGAAATTGTACCCGGACTACTACAATTTCATCCAAGATCCGATCGCGATGGACATGATTGAAAAGCGTATCAACAATCATCAGTACACCACCCTGAAAGACTTCAGCAAGGATGTTGCCCTTCTGGCAAAGAATGCTAAGACATATAACGAGGACGGCAGCATGCTATACAACGACGCGATAGCCATTGAGGTGAGTTTCCAACTTCCCCATGATGCGCAGTAGATGTTGCTAACAAGGAAACAGAATCATTGCAACGAAGAAATCGCGAAGCAGATTATGCACAATCCCCATCTGGCCAATATTGGAGACAAGTCTGCACAAGACGGTGATTCTACTGCAGCAGGGTCAAGCGCTGGGACACCCCGAGGATCAGTGGCGCCAGTAGGAGGCACCAAGTTGAGATTGACATTGGGAGGCGGCAGCAATGGGTTTGCCACGAATGGGACGACGAGTGGTGCAGCCAGTGGAACGGAATAATGTACTATTGTACCATAAAGCGATCAAGGGATTTTGGAGAAGAGAACATGACCATTGGGACTTTGACGGCGTCCGGTGATATTGAGGAACTGCAATTGTGGCATTGGCTTGGTGAGCGGGATGTCCTTATGACAACCTGACGAGGGTCGTGGGCGATGGCTTCGAATTCAGATAGGAGATGACTGTGAGACTAACTACCGCATGGACCCGCATGAACCAGCGTGTTCATGCTGCAGCTAGCTACTCTTCATGCTTGCTTGTTCCCAGACACACCACGATCCAGGCACATGCCCGTGATTTTTTGATAAGTGATGGCCAGAGGAGGAAAAGGGGCGGGAAGGTCGATTAGGCGAAGAGGATGGGAGGATCGAGGGCCGCGTCGCCAATCAGTCCGGCCAGTGCCATGTGCGGTGGAGATTCCCCTCTGCCTTGTCTTCTTAACAGCCTGCGGTGCGCCTCGTCTGCGATATATTGTAGGTACAAGCACAAAGGAAACATTGTCGCAGTCTGTGCCCCAACTCCGTCTCGCCTTGCCGTACATCGCAAGTTCATCTGCTTTTTCCACTTACTCGAGCGACAACTCTTCCGGATTTCTCGGTGGTCGCCCGCTTGCTGTGCATTCTCTCCGACATGCTCATTCTGTCGAATAACGTCGAATGATCATTCCATCACCTGCGCCCAAATGGCATCCTCTCTCGTTGGCGCAACATTGAATATCCTTCGTAAGAAGCAGAGATAACTCTCGGATGCGACCATACTGACAGTACCTTAGGCCGACAAGACGAAGAGATAGACCCTGATGGTGCGGAATTCTGTACCTCCTCGCCGTCCTCCAGCGCTAACACTTTGCAACAGAGCCCTCCGAGGCTGGCCAGAAAGAGATCTTCTCATCATGGGCACTTTTCATCCTGATTATGCTGCTGATCGCAGCCCTATTCACGAGTTATATGTTACAACAGAAGAGGATTCAAGCCGTGCATGAAACAGTCATATCGATATTCACTGGTACGTAACAATGGAAATCCAAGAGGCAGAATCCCACTGATGGTCTTCAGGAATGGTCGTCGGACTGGTAATACGAATCACGCCCGGAACAGCGATACAAGACACCGTTAGCTTTGACTATCAGTTCTTCTTCAACCTCCTCCTGCCGCCTATCATTCTAGCTTCTGGGTATGAGCTGCATCAGGTCAGATATCCTCACAAAGAGTCGGCCAGACCGTGGCTAATTCACAGCAGGCCAACTTCTTTCGAAATATCGGCACGATCTTGACCTTCGCATTCGCTGGGACATTCATATCAGCCGTTTCTCTGGGCTTGATTCTGTGGTTGTGGACGAGAGTTCCATTTGATGGCTTGACAATAACCTGGGTTGAAGCCATTTCCGTGGGCGCTACACTGTCCGCCACCGATCCTGTCACCATCCTGGCCATTTTCAACCTCTACAAGGTCGAACCAAAATTATATACTGTCATTTTCGGCGAATCCATCCTCAATGACGCCATTGCTATCGTACTGTTCGAGACTGCCCAGAGGTACAGGGAAGGGGCCTCTGGGAATCTGAATGTCATCAGCCTCTTTGAGGCGATCGGGATCTTCTTGTTGGTCTTCTTTACCAGTTTGTTGATCGGCGTGATTGTGGGTGTCGGCACTGCTTTGACCTTGAAGTACACGCTTGTTCGAAGATTCCCCAAGATTGAGAGTTGTCTGGTGGTTTTGATCGCATATGCAAGCTACTTCTTCTCAAATGGCGTGCATATGTCAGGTATGGAATCCAGACTCTACCACAACCTTGAAGGTGACGGGCTAATCCACGACCAGGCATTGTGTCCCTCTTGTTCTGCGGAATCACCCTCAAACACTACGCGTACTACAACATGTCGAGACGCACTCAACTCACCACCAAATTCATCTTCCAGATCCTTGCTCAACTCTCCGAAAACTTCATCTTCATCTATCTCGGCTTGACTTTGTTTACGGAAACAGACCTAGTCTTCAAGCCTCTGTTCATCCTTGTCACCGTGGTCGGAATTTGCGCAGCTAGATGGCTTGCAGTATTTCCCTTATCCAAGGCGATCAACTACATCATCCGTCTCCGCGCCAAGAGAAGGGGCCAGGAAGTCGCGGAAGAACTCCCCTGGCACTATCAAGCCATGCTCTTCTGGGCTGGTCTCCGTGGTGCCGTCGGTGTCGCTCTTGCCGCCGGTCTACAAGGAAACGAAGGACCTGCTCTCCGCGCAACAGTCCTGGTCGTGGTGGTGCTCACAGTCATCATCTTCGGCGGTACAACAGCACGCATGCTCGAGATCTTGGGCATTCGGACAGGTGTTGTCGATGAAATCGACTCGGACGACGAATTCGATATCGAGACAGCCAACGGCGGCACCTACTACAAGCGCTCAGGCACGGCGTTCGGGCATAACCCCCGCCCCTCAAATATCGGCCTCGACTACCTCCAGAGCGCTCCCCACAACCACTCCGGCCGTCCAAACGGATCAGCTTCGCGTCCGCGCCCAGATAGAGGGTACAGCAGCAGTAACGGTGCATCCCCACCGTTCGACAAGCCCAAGCGCGGTGGCAACCATCGCAAGAATTCGAACATCAGCCAGCGTGAGCGCGAGCTTGCGGCGCAGCAGGGCAAGCTTTTGGTGGAGCAAATCAGCGGCTCGACCAGCGATGATGACGAAGACGCCGCTGATCTCGACCTACCTCCTGCCGCACCGAGACGAAAACCTTCACCGCTAACCATGGGCAATGCCGGCGGACCGTATGCGAATGATCCACGCACACGCTCCGCGCCAGATGTCGTACTCAACGGTAGCGACGAAGGGGGCGCTGACGGAGATATGGGTGTCGCTGGATCCGCCACGGGAGGAACGTCGTCCGGCCCGATGGCGAGCAGTAGTATAAGGAATCTCCTGCGTGGGGCGACGGCAGACCATACGGCCTGGTTCAAGCAGTTGGACGAGGATTTCATCAAGCCTCATTTACTGCTGGATCAGCATCAGGGCCAGGGGAAAGGGCCTCCTCCTGTATAAGGATCAATGAGCGTGTAATTGGGTTTGGGACGGGGATTTTTCTTCCGAAGGGTTTCAGTTCGGAAGTTTTGCACATTTAGACCTTGACCTTCGGCTATGAGTCTGCAACGGGATGGAGGGGTCGGTCCAATGGATCGAGATGAATATATGGACTGATTGAGTTGCTTAGGGGCTGGCCTTCGGACCTGCTGGGCGTTTTTACAAGATGGATGGCATATCCAAGGCGCATCACCGCGTAATATCCCCGCGGATCCTATCTACGCGAGTGCGCGGTGCAGGGTGTAGAATCGGGAAATGAATACGGAGTATTTCTAGCCTTGTCTTTTGCTATACGCCGTGATCCGGTTCCAGTCGCATACATATGGGTTCTCGAGCGACCAGAGCAAAGCATTCTCTACAGGCTGAACGGGGGTTCAAGTACGATGCTGCACGTGGTTGTGGATGAACTTGAAGACACTCATTTTCCGAAACGGGCGTGGTCCGTATGAGTGACTCGTGCGAGAGTAGTGAAAAGTACATAGACACGGTAGGTTGGTGGTTAATCAAGAGATGCTCGCCTCGAGAATCCGACTTCATTCCATTCTGCGCGCTATGCCCACAACATTCAATAGTGCTCAAACCTCGATGCCATCCAGTTCCACTCCATGCTCATGGATCTGCTTTCCCCAACCGTTTGGTAGTCTCACAACGCTTGCGACAAGTAATATCGGGGTATCTTCTCTCGCCAAGTATAATAAACATCGCATAGTGCGGCCAAGTGCTAAGACACCAATCTCTGAATCCAAGATAAGACCTAATCCATACAAGCAAGCATGGTACTCTTCCACTCATGGACCCCCAGCTTCACGTCGCACCATCTTCCTCCTTGCCCTCTTTGGGATCGTCCCCGGGTTCGTCGTCCGGTGTGGGACTGACAACGATAGCCGGCGGAGGCTGCGACCAGCTTGGACTCAATGTTCCTCCTGATGATCGCTTATCATCCGTTGTCGTCTCTTCATCTCCGTCCACCCTGGTCTGCTTGTCTTCGCCATCCTCATCTGCCAGCTTCGTGGGCGATTGTACAGAATCTCTTGCGGCGACGCTCTGGTGCGCTGTCCGTCGTCGCAGTCTACGAGCTTTCCGTTCTTCGTCGGCGCCATCTCGTCGTCTCCTTACGTCAATCTCGTCCCCGGTCGACGGTGCTGAGCTTCTCATCTCCTGGAGAGCTCTTAATGCTCGGTCGGCGACGTCTTCACTCTCGCTCACATCACCCTTGCCGCTGGTGCCATCTTCAGCACTGAGACCATCTTCGTTGGCTTTTTCTCCCACGCTGACCAGGCCGCGGCTCTCCTCTAGACCCTCTTTCGTGGGCAGCTCCGGTAACTGTTGGCCACTAGCTACCCGCTGATCATGCTTTTCCTTCAGCCTAGCACGTCTTCTTCGATCGCGCTGATCCTTGACTTGTGGTGCTGCAGCTCGAAGTTTGGCCAGGAGATCCTCCATGGCACCATTGGCTGGAGGACTGCCAGGAGTTTCTGCACCACTGGCTCCACCACTAGAGCTTGCCCCAGCTTGTGCTCTCTTTCTGGCCATACTAACTTCGAGACGGCGCTTCGTCTCTTCCATAGTCGTGTTCTTCTCTCTGGACTTCTTCCATTCACTCACGAAGCCGCCAAGCTTGCTGAAGAACTCTCTTCTAGCATTCTCATCTTGATTGTCCTCGCCAAAGTAGGTCATGATGTCGTCGTAGGTCCTCGAGGTCTCCTCCAGGTAGAGCTGCATCTGTTCCGCCTTTCGTCTTGCTTCCTTCATTGACCTTTGCACTACCTGAGCAACACGATCTTGAGGATGAAACTTCTTAGGGTCACTCAAGTTACCGGCATCTAAGGAAGCTTGAACGTTCTTGATGTTGTCAATGTACTTCTTCGCATCTTGGCGCAGTTGGTCGACGTGGAGCTTGGAGGCAGGTACAACAGCCGCTATATCTTCGACGAAGACTTCCCATTGAGAGTACTGGTTGCGAACAATTCGCTCAATGAGGTCTGCGAAAGTTGTCTCGTTCTTGTCATCTTTGACCATCCCTAGACGAGCAAGCGAACTGAGTTTGAAACCAGTGGCTTGCTTGTTCGAGTCGTTCATGTAGTTTCCGATGTCAAGGATGAGAGCAAGTACGCTCATTAAGGAGGTCGAGTCGCGGATTGCCTCGGAGACATTGACAATCTCCTTCAATTTGCCGGAGATCTCATCGTACTCATTTTCATAGGATCTTGTCAGGGCCAGGGCTCGCATTCTTGCCTTCCAGTAATGGTGCAGCTCGTAAGCAGTCTGTAGGTAGATCTGATCCTCTTTTGTCAGCTCGGACGGGTCCTGCTCACGCTTGGATGTCAAGGCATCGGGCCCTGTCCAGTCCTTGCTGTAAGGCGCCATCAATTTCGCAATGTTCTCCGGTATCGTACAGAGATCTTCCCTCTGAAGGAAGTCCATCACCACGTTGTTATCGAGCACTTCTCTGTCACAGTGGATGATCTTTCGCACAACCTCATCGGCAGAATCATTCTTGAACTTGGCCATGGAAACATGGAAGTTTCTCATCATGTCACTGCTGATGATCTGCTTCTTATCGTTCTTGCCCTTGCCAGCACCAGTGCCGATGATCTTGATCTCCTTGGCAATAAAGAGCTTTTCAACTTCATCTAGGACACCCTTGCGCTGCAACTCACGATACTTCTCTTCTCTGGCTTCCGTGTTTGCGTTACTGGCCCACACAGTGACTTGTGGCGTATCCACTTTATCCCAATGGAAAGCCTTGAGCTTCTTCTTGGGACGCATGATAGGGTTCTTCAGCATAGGGACAGGCGCGATGGGTGACAGAGGCAGGTAGTGGCCATGCTCAGCTCCTGGAAGAGGCGGAGGAGCAGCAGGGGATATGGGACTCATAGGTAGTGAGCCAGGAGGTGGTGGAGGTGGTGGGGGTGGGGCCCCAGAGAAGCCAGGCAAGGAGGGAGTTGCAGGAGAAAGAGGCATTCCTGGAGGAGGGGGCGGCGGCGGCGGAGGTGCGCCAGCCTCAAATCCAGGTATGAGAGCAGGCGTTGGAGGCTGCGATGAACCTGACGGTGGTGGTGGTGGAGGTGGAGGAGGAGGGCCAGTGAACTTGGCTTCGGCCTGTGCTTCGTCAATCGGCGTCCTGGGCGATTCGGACTCGAGACTAGGATGAGTAGGTCCAGTTGTGATACCGTCGTTCTCTGCTGCTGTATCGTCGCTGTCGTCGTCCATTCTCTTGACCTTTGAAGTAAGTTCGCCCATGAGACTTGACTGCTGTTCTGCGTTGATCTTGGGCCTGGAGTACTCAACCAGACGTGGCTTCTCGTAAATTATTGCTTCCTCGTCTGCAGAGTCATGCTCCGTTCCGGCTTCCTCGCTAACAGCCAAAGCCTCCAATGCAGCTCTTCTGGACCCCTTCAGAGCATTGCTGCGATGGACACTTCCCATAACACTATTGGTGAGATGTCTCCTAGTCTTCTCCTGGAAATCTGCGTCGACGAGATCATCCATCTTCTCACGAAGCTCTCGGAGTCTATCTGACGGACCTTGCTGGCCCCAGACTTTCCCTTCGAGCTTGAATTGGGTCTTGGTGCGCTCAAGGTTCCGCTCTAGACGCTCCATCAACTTTTCCCTGTCCAAAATACCTTGCATTTGCGCAGGGTCTTTGTCAACCACTCCCTCTTTGGCTGCGCGTGAGGCCGCAACCTCTTGGGCGTCTTTGAGCATAAGATACAACTCTCTCGTTTCGAGCTCGTTCCTCTGCAACTCCTGTGCTCTGATTCGTTGAAGCTCCGCGACTTCAGACTTCAACGCCTCCGCTTGCCTGGACTGCATTTCAATTATGGCGGCCTGCTCCTCAATCTGCTTCTGCAATTTCGAGACCAGGCCGTCAGCACCAAGGGAGACTTGAGCCGCCATCTCATCTCGTTCAGCAAGTGCAGCTTCAGCGATTTGCCTTGATTCGGTGGCTTCGTCGAAAGCAATGCGAGCTTCATCATCGGTATGCAATCTGTCTAGCAGGCTCTGCACTGTAAAGTTCAAGCTCTGCTTCAAGTCCATGTCGGGTAGGCGACGGTCCATGGCCACATAGCTGAGCATGGAATCCACTAGCTGAAACATCCTCAAGCGTTCATCAGCATTGTTCTCTCGGAGGAGCAGCATGTGTTGCATGGCCGAAATGAAATAATCTTGAGTCCTTGTACCCTGGACTCGGGACATGATGGCATCGGTAATCTGCATGGGATCTGTCATGTCCCTGACTTCGCCCTCGATACTATCCACCATGCTGCTGCCTTCTCGTTGTAGCAGATCTTCATAGTCGATGGCCTCATTTTCGCGAAACTTGGCGACTTGTTTGTCGATGACATCGTATTGGAAGGACTCCATCTTGACCAGGATGCGCTTGATGCCGCAACCGATGAACTGAGCTCTGATGTGGCATCGTAGCTGCAAATCTCGTTCGGGGGCGTCCACCAACATGTTGATGAGAACCAATGTTGCGACAGCATACTCCATCAAAAGGTTCTCCATACCAATACCGCCGCTGCGGACTTCTTCGCTGGCTCCCACCAGACTACCCATTTTGCCTCGCCCATCGATGGTGACTTCAACTATGCGCATCCAGGCGTCGAATCGGCCGTTTTCATTGATCTGATTCTTTACCATGTCCATTGCGTGCAGTACCTTCAGATGACCCTGACCCTGATCCCAATGGCAAAGAAACGTCAGCACTTCGCTGACCAGTTTCCTTGTCGTGAGCCGAGGTGATATCAAACATGTTGCCAATGCTACTGGGATCTGCTCATGCGTCAAAGCATCGTCGGCACCGTATTTGTTGTTCATCAGCGCTTTCAGACATTTCACAATATCGTACTCCCTATCCAGATCCTTTTCCGCGGAGGTCGCTGTGCTGATTGGTGTCGGCCCGCTGGCCTGACGTCGGTTGATCTTCAGTAATACACTTGTCAAGGCAATCTGACCCTGTGCTTCGATGAATGCTTTTACCCAACTGATTGGTTGGGTTCTCAAGCTGACGCTCAAACTTTGTAGTTGTTTCGCAGTGATACTGTTATCCAAAATCTTCTTGACATACCACTCGGGCGTACCATCTACGTCTCTCGAGGTCGGACCATCAATCGTCCCCGTCTGTCGAGCCTGTTGCCTCCGCTTCTGCTCCCCTTGCCACTCGGTCAATTTGTCTTGATGCACAAGAGTCCATTTCTTCGTAGGAGCGTATGCCATCATCTGGCGCTTAGCTTGTTCCGGCAAATTTTGCCAACCACGCTTGTGCATGAGCTGTAAGAACAACTTCTCAATTTCTTCGTCGCTTTGCGGTTTGGGAAGATAGAATCCAGCAGGGGTGAAAGAGGTTGTTGAACTGAAAGGTGACGTTTGTTGCGCCGGCCAGCCGGCATGCGAACTAAGCTTTGATAGCCGAGAGTGAGTCGGAGACACTACTGACGAGGTGTCAAAGTCCTGCCGTGAAGGCACCGCTGTTCTTGATGATCTGTCGGATGAAAAGAGGCTCGACCCTCCTGTAGCCGAGGAGGCGGTTGATTTTATACTGGCACCGTCAAACGATTTCCGCCGGCTCCCTCCATAAGAGTCACTTGTGGAAACTGAATCGTAAGCGCCATGTTCGGGACCATTACTACTCCCCGGCCGACCCCATTGCTGATATTTTGTCCCGCGATCCCCAGCCTGGCTGGAGGCCATCGTAACTCCATTGACATTTGTATGGGGTGGCGGGCGCGGCCCGGTAGGATGCGAGGCGCCATTCGCCGGTGCATTAAAAGCAGGATATTGATGGAAATCGGTTCCGCGAGCGAGTTGGTGCGGCTGCGGCTCTCTCCTCGCGGAAATTTGGTCTTCTCGAGGCAGGTATTCAACGGAGATGGGAGTTTGCGATCGATCGGTTGCGGAGTAAGGTATCGAGGTAATGACACCAGCGGTCATGTTGAGGCCAGTGGTGTCGGCGTCCTGGCCGTCGTTGGAGACGACCGACTCTTTTCTCGAATGCCTTGAAGTCCAGGAACCATTTGCGTTCGACTCCAGGGTACCAAGACCCCCTCCATCGTAACGGCTGTCTGACTTGTCTCGATGCCGTCGACTGAAGAAACCTTTGCTCGCGGACGATTGTCTGGAGGCTTTGTCCGATTGTATTATCGGGGGCATCGTCTCTGCTGCGCAGGCTGAACAGGACGCATGTGTGTGAAGTTGAGATGCCCCAGAAGGGTGCCCACTTCCGGAGACTTGTATTGTCCCCCTCGTTACAAATTATTCTGACAGCCAATGTCGGAATGTCTCTATCCTTGCATCGTACCTGCCCTCCCCTGATGCACTCCGTCTCTCGTTTCGGCAGGAGGGGTCGACGTTCACGTGGGTCGTCGTGCGTTGAGTTGGATCAAGAAAGATAGGGACGACAGGGTCAGGTGTGAGGAAAGCGGTAAACAGTCGCCGGAAACAAAGAAAGCCGAGCTGGACGCGGACGTGTTCTGTGCTACCTGCAACGCGGACAGGCGACGCTGGAGACTCAAAAAAGAGACTGTCCAACAAGTGAACAAAGGCGAGTCAACCACATGGGAATTTCTTGAGAGTGATGCGAGGCAAGTGATTGACAGCGTCCGCGATGGTGTTCAGTGGTCAGTGTGTCCTGGACTTTCGCAGTCCACAGCGCCTCAAGGGGTTGAGTGGTTTGCAGATTCATGGCACCCCAAGGTAGCCAATGGTCTGCCCTCACCACACGTACCCGCTCTCTAAGATTCTTCCACCAGGCCATGATAGGGTCTGTTCAAGCCGATCATCGCCACTAAAATATGGCCGCCAAACCACTCTTCGGCGTCCTGGCTGCACGCGATCCTGCATTGATCTCGCTACTCCGTACTTTTACATACTGCTTGACCATGGTCAGAGATTATTGTTATGGCGTGCAGTTTTGCTCTCGATACAGCCACGCCATACCGATTTACACTATCCCACCGTGGCAATCATGCATGGCTCAAAGTGGATGGCCATCTATCCTCAAGCGCCTGAGGAAGCCCTGGGGATGCTAAACTGGACACGGGGGCACCCAACGGGCTTCCACAGCACCCACCCAAGCACCTGTATTATTAGGCTCCACGTGAGCTGCCACTGCTCCCCAGTCCTGCCAATCGTGTCGGCCTCGGTCACTTCAAACCTGCCTGAGGGAGCCTCAAACGGACTGCCTAATTTCACGTCCTTGATTGATCAGAACCACTATCTCGCTCTATATATTTGCTCCATCGTGCCCTGCGCTTCCCCAGTCGCCAGTATGGCGGCATCATGAATCTGCTCAAACGCTCAATCCCGAGCACAATAGCCTCGACCAAAGGAGCGCCACCTGTCCCAGTAGACGTCAGCAACAAGGACAGCAACATGGCCGGTTCCGGCTTTCTCAACTTCACAAAGGTACAGCAGCGCTCAATGAGCATTTCTTCGAATTCACGACACTAACGGATCAAATCTAGACCGTCCTCATACCAGTCTTCATAGCCGCAGTCCTTTATCTCGTCATATTCCACGCCCTCCTACCTCTGTACCGGAGACACCGAGCCCGCTATTCACAGTACCTTCCCCTCCAATCAACTTCTCTATCTTCACATCTACCCGAAGCCCTTCAACCCTCGTCTCTCCGCGATCGTCTTTCGACGGTATTCCTTCGCCTCTTTCTGCCCTCGACATGGGCTTTCCGCAACCGCTTCAACCGTCGCGATAGCGTGGTTAGCGCAGACGGCGAGCTGTTCGACGTCGAGTCTGGGGAAGCAATGGTCGGCTTTGACGTCCAAGACCGTGATCGACGGAGAGATGGCATGGAACGTCAGATGTCCAATATGGTAGCAGCGACACGCACTGCGAATCAGGTCCAAGACGCAGCTATGGACTCTGACCGACGGTTGAGTCGGGATCTAGAGGAAGGGTTTCGTGATGATAGCGAGGACGAGAGAGTTACGCATCAGGTCTTGAGTGGGGGAAGGAACACACCCGCTCGGAGATGAGGACGCCTCGAACAGATGCAAAACATGAAATGATACCATCTGAATAAATACAGTCGGATTTTGCTCCCAGGTATATCTATTGTCTCAACTACTACTTTTGTTCGTGTCCTGATGCGCCCTGTTCGCGCTTCTCCGTGGACTGGAAATTCACATGAAGAGCACCTCAATGATACTGGATTTCTCGCCAGCACTCTTCCGTAAGTCACACAACTACTGGCGTGGGAGGAAATATTTGAACACGATTGCTGCTATCAGTATCAGCATGACCCGACAGCCAGCCGATGTCCAGGGCATGAGGACGGAGGGTAGGAGCCGACGGTTGAACTACTTAAACATGTAGTCGAACCTCCATATATGATGCTGTAGGCGTCAAATACGAAAGAAAACTCATGGGACCAAGTCTTAGATCAACTTCTTCTCTCCGCGATATGCAAAAGTGCAAACGCTCAATAAATGGCAGCTATATGTACAGTTGGTCCAGGCAGCGCCATGTCTCAAGATGGCCACAGGTCGGAAGTGACCCAAAACCCCCTTTTTCAAAAATCGTTCAAAGAAATTTATACATCGACAACCTCAGCAAGCCTCCCAAAGTATACCACGCTGAGGTGATCCTAGCGTGTAACGCCTCGAAAAGCGCTCCGTTCAATGCTTAAGCGTCAAAGCGTCTAAAGAGGTCATTGGTCGCCCTCGTCGCTGCCTCGAGGGCTGGACTCTCGTTGATCGTGAGTACATCATCTCTTCCTTTTACCAATCCTCGCAAAAGTGCGCAAGAAAAACAAAACAGCACAACATCTCTTCGTGTCAGAAAATGGCTACAGATTTTGCAACATGGAAGGTTGGACAAGTTGACTGGGTGCCATCATTGGATGTGACATGGGTTGCATGAGAAGCGTTGATGGAGGTGGCATCGACATGGGCATCAGACTAGACACGCTTGTAGGACGTGTGACTTCATCAGGAGAAGAAAGCTCGTCCATGGAGCCGAACTCGGCTTCTTCGTTTTCGAGCTCTTCTTCGCTGATTACTGGAGCAGATTGGCCATCTTGTTGAGATTCATGGGTGCGGCGGTGCCTGAAGTGATGGTTAGTCTATCGTGAACAAGAGTAGTACTGATGTGTACTCACTGAGCAAGGTTGTCTGAGCGCGAAAACGCTTTGTTGCAATAAGGGCAGACGTAGGGGCGTTCCTGAGTGTGGGTTCGAACATGCCTAGAAGGGTGTCAATAGGTGCGCCAACGCAGATCACAAAGGGGTTGTCATACCGCTTGAGGTGCTCGAGGCGCTTGAAAAGTCGGCCACAGCTGGGGATTGGGCAAGAATGTGACTTGTAAGGTACACCAAGCTCCATCATGGTCGCACTTCGTGCTCTCCGAATTGGGCCCGGTCTTTCTAACCGAACCGCAGGACTGGCCTGCATCGAGGGAGGATGCATATCGTCTCCAATGAGGCCGGACATGCCTTCAGCGCTAGTCACCATGTTCATCGAGTGCACAGGATCTTCCTCTAGACTGGCCAGGGGAGTTGTGTGACGCGAAAAGTCATGGAGATGATCCACTTTGTAGCTGTGTGGGAGTCCTGGTGGCGACTGACCTGCATGCTCATCTCCCTCGGCAATCGGCAGGACGGAGCTGGACATGGAGCGTCGGAGGTCACTGGGTCTTTGGGGCATATGCGTCTTCATGCCATGGGTGACCTGGGCGACGGCATTGGCTGCAACAGCATTCATGATCGATGAAGGAATCGAGGAACGGCGCCTCCTTGCTTTATAGGTTGGGGAACCTTCAATCACAGAGTAAACGTTTGCCGGTGGGAAGGCGCGAGGCGCGGCTGCATAAGTTGGGCCTGCGAGCGTAGAGGGTGGGAGTGAAGCCATAGGGTTGTAAGCATGCATTTGCTGCATTTCCGGGATGGCCGAATACAGGCCGGTATCTTCGTTGGCAATGTAGGCAGGCTCGGAACCGACCGGCACCGCGTGCTGAGGAGGTGTGATGGGCTCATATGATAAACCTCTTGTGCTATAATCCTCAAAATGTGAAGACACGAATGAAGGAGCAGGCGAGTATTCCATGTAAGCAGGCATGGAGGCATGTCGCATGTGCGAGCGGTCATAGGGCATCCCGTTCCGATCGTAGGCAATGGCGGAGTAATCCTGCTCCCGCGACATCGCTGTGGTAGTCATGGGAGTCTGCATAGCCATGCTAGTGTACATGGGATGTGGTTGCTCCTGGGACCTGGGCATCTGAGGTACCATTTGCGGAGGGGGCATCGAGTCTGCTGCACGAAGGACGGGGGAGGTCGACTGGGAGTATGCCACATTTGAGTTGGCAGTTGCGAATGATGATGAGTTGGCCTGTTGGGCCTTGGTGAGCTGCTCAAAGAGCGATTGGGAGGAGTCGAACTCGAATGAAAGAGCTGGCTCAGCCACGGCTTTTGTGGTCGCCTCCTGGCCCATCTTCTCGCGCTTCAAATCCCTCTCGAGAGCATCGAGAAATAGGCGGTCATGAGGCACGCTGTACCAATAGAAGACCTTCTGCTTCTTCTGCGTTCGGATGCAGTTGTTCTTGTACAGGAAGTCCAAGAAAGGACTTTTGGGTTCTTCCAACGACGCGTCTGTCCCTGACTTGAGATTCCGCAGATCGGAGAAAATTCCTTCCTCGAATTTTTTGGGGTTCTTGACCGGGCGACCGAAAGCTTGAAAACGGAAAGACAGACATCTCACGATGTCAGTACCGGAGATATGGAAGAGATTGTTCCATAGCACACAGGAAACATATTCACCGGTGGGCAGGAGGAATCTTCTGATTAAAGAGTCGGGGCTCCAGTCCACAGGGGCGGAGATCAGAAAGTATTTGAGGTTGTCAACTTGCTGCAGGGCGACTTGCGCATCCTGGGGCAAGCTCTGTTGTGCCTCGTTCGAGAGCATAAAAGTTTCGGGCTTCTGCGGTTGAGCCATCGGCGCACCGCTTGAGGGGTACATTGGACGCGGATGGGACTGTTGACGCGGCCAAAAATGGCGGTGGTATGGATGGGGTGGGTAGTCGTCACTGACTTTCCCGCTGCTGCCGCTGCTTGATGTGCTATTCAATACTGCACAGAGATGTCCCAAGCTCTTTCGTCAATGATCTTGAAGCGTGGTGTGATTGGCAGTAAGGACAGTAGCTGCGGAAAGGGGATGGTAGGGAGACAGATCAGGCCAGAGAATCGGCGAGGAGCAGGCGATTGTTATGATGCTTTGTGTATAGCGAACGTTGGTACCGATGATGTAAATGGAGTCAATGCGAGAGACCAGCTTCCGCAGTACGTCCAGACGTGGTGAAGCTCCTGTCTCGAGTGAGAGGAAGCGAGGACAGGTGAAACGAAAGTGGATAAGGAGAGAAGCTAGTCTCTCAAAAGTCCTCAAGGACAAGGCCGAGGACGGGAAAGGAAGGATGTAAAAGTTGGAGGACTTGCAGCAACGGAGGGTGAAACAGATGGAGGAGTGATGAGGCTTATGAGGGATAGAAAGGGAGAGATAAATGTGTGTGTAGAGTCGAAGGGTGACACCGGACCAGCGAGGAAGCGAGCGAGAGACTGAACGAAGATTAGGTGGACGGGAAGCAATTCTCGCTGTGCTGGGGACTGGGTCTCATTGAAGTAGTTAAGCTCGGTGACTAAAGCACTTTAGCTTATAGGGGAGGAAAATCGTGGGCCGGGCTAGACGGATGGAACTTAGGCGCTACTCTCTCAGAGGCTCGTAGAAATGGCCGCCAATTGAGAGGGACGTGCCATCGAAGCCATCGACCAGGGTAGAAAGCACACATCTTGTCCATTGCCATTCAGATACTACCTCTGGTACTCGTAGATGCTCCATCTCCTCCACAACGGCTTCCTTCTGCTTTTTCCACTCGTTCTCGAAGTCGGTGCTGCTCTGTCCATGCAGAAAGCACTTGGACCGGTCATCTGCTTCTCGGATTTCTGCAAGGGTCACCTTTGCCGCTTGAAGAAGAGCCTGGAGTCATGACAGATGCATCTCCCTTGGACTGTTCGCTCTATCTTTGGGGTAGCGCGCCAACGACTCGGCCAGTAGCCTCTCCGTCTGTTCCACGGTCAATTCGCGCTAGAACAGGTACAAGTACGACCAACTCCACTGTGCGCTTTTGTTGACCTCCCCGACGGATAATGGCCGTTGACTGGTGGGTTCTTGTCTCCCTGCTCTGGAAGCAGCCCGCAAGCTTGCATGGCCAACTCCCAGAGCTGCCGCTCTTCCTCCATGATTTACATGTGCAGGGTATCTCTCCTCGGGAGGCCGATCGTCCGTAGTTCAGCAAGGCCACGGTCAGCGATCTAATCCTCAGATAAAACAGATAATGCTTCTGATTTTTTGGAATGCACATGTACAATTGCGTATGCCTTCTTGGAAGGCTCAGAGACGATCTGTCCCGGGCGAGCTTGAGAGCAAACAGCATCCTGGCCAGATGCTGCGTGCTGTTCCCATCCAGACTGGTATGAATGACTGCGCGATTCAATGCTGATTGCTGCTGGAACATCGGATGGAAGAGGCACCAAATCATTACCCAAGCCAAGCATAACCTAATCGCGGCTCGGCAAAGTGATCCAAGCTCGCAAGTTGCTATTTTCATCCAAAGAGGAGAGCCCTTGGGCGCATCCCTCATGGCGAGCGTGTCGCTCGAACATGGTCCGTGAAGGCTTGCGGTCAAAGTGCTTGAGTTGACGCAGAATTGGTGAAACGAGTGGCTGAGAAGGCCAGATCGGTTGGACGAATGGTAGTACTGCAGGCGGTTGCATGGGTTCCGCTCTGAGCCACAACTGTCCTGTGACTCGATCATTTTCAAACGCATCTCAAACAAACGCCGCATAAGCACGGCCAGTTTCAGCTTGTGCTTAGATCATCGACCCAGTCTTGCTCGCTATGATGATGGTTGTTGGAAACCTAACGCCCATATCCGTATACGAGTAGCATATAGCTGCAGTCGCTTCTAGCCACCTGTTGCACCCGGACCAACTCCGTATCCTAGCAGAATACAGCATGTACTCCGAAGTCAACAAGGGTTCATTTGACGGATGCCCCTTTTCTTTTGGACACCCCGAACCAGGATATCACCAGTGACTTTGACACCAAGACCCGCAATTGCATAAGCGTAATTGACTGCGCGACACTGGCTTGATGCAGACACAGATTTTTCCCTGTAATAAATCCAATCATATTGCTGAAATATTAGCGAATGAGGCAACTGCTCACGATTGTTCAGCTCGTAGGGGGTATGGAAATCCTCTCGTATATACGTGGTGGTGAAGGGCTGGCGCAAAAGCACGGCAGAAATCCCCAAGTGATTGCGGCGGTAACAGTAAGGGTCGAGAAAGGGCGGACAAATCGCCGTTCAGCACACGTGATGGAAGGACCATCGCGAACCTGCGGGTTTGTCTTCGTCCCCTATCACAAGCTTTGCAGCATGTCTCTTCCTCCATAGTCACAGTGATCCCCACAACCGTACTAGAATGACTACCGTTCGCACTGTTGCTCGCCTCGCACATTGGCGAGAGACGAACCTCTCAAGCCTCCAATAACTGCACAGAAGGGTCCGCAAATAGCCCTGTCGCAGCCTCAAGGGTTGCGATGGCTCTTCGATTGGTGCGCGAGTTCGGACTGGCGCGCTTGCCTCAGCGACAGTTTCATGTCTTGGATGTCAGAAGAACAGCGAGAAGTAAGGACTCCTTGCGGCAGGTCGATGATCAGTGTGCCTCTTCGAGGGATTGGTCTCTCCAGAATCTGCAATGCACGCGCCACGCCCTAAGTCAACAAGATGGCGCTACGTTTCAGATATTTATTCCTTCTGCGGCCGCATTGGTCGGGACTGGTCAACGTTGACTCCTGTCTGCACAGATGTCACCGCATTTTGAGATGTCCCTATTTCTCCGTGAGAAGCATGATTGGGCCATCGAGCTCGTACAAGCAAATGTACGGCAAAGATGCACATCATTTTTGCATGCGCAGCTGCTCCTCAGCTGCACGAACTGCGCTGCAAGGCTTCACTATCTGTTGGCTCGTTCGTGAACTCTCTAAAGATGGGAACATGCGCCCGCCATCGAGTTGGTCGAGGTGCCCAAAGTATGAAACAAGGCACCACAATCATCACCGTTACTTCCAGTGGCGTAATCGTAACGAGCGCCCATGATCCTGGCAAATCTCCGACAGACCAAGAAATGGCCCGCTCTGTCGTCTATGAGAGAAGGTAGGGTCACGTCGCGGACATACCAAAGCAGTCAACGTCCATCATCACTTACTGTTCTTGGCCACCATGTGAACTCAGCCACCACGGATGAGGCCGAAGCCGACTTATGGTGAGACCTTGAAAACGGAGACGACGTTCAATGTTGACTGGACAGGCTGGCTCGGATATTCTTCCTTGCCACGCTTGCCTAGATCTCCAAGGCTGAGGCAGTGGTGCAACAGTAAGGAATGTTCTTCGCCCAAAGCAGCGCCCGTCAAGATCGGGCGAGGGGTACATGTTTCGAAGTCTCCATGTCCACCAGTGATGATGTCGACATCACTCCGCTCATGACAAATGTGAGTTGGCTCTGCCATGGCGTCGATTAGGCGTGTAGGCCGTTCGGAGGCCTTTCGTCCTGGCCGGACCAGCCCGAAAGCCAGCCGAAAAACCCTGGCAGAATACGAAACACGTCCCTCTGCGTAGCGTCCAGAGTGAAAAGGAGAACAGCAGAGTACGGGCGGCTTGCCATGGACTCCACGTCGTCAACATCATCAATGCCTCAACGAACAGTGGCGCTATCGACGACCCTTCTTTCCGCCACCTCGACCCGGTCCCTGGATGTCGAGGATGTCTGTCCTGCTAAGTTTCAAAGTGCCACCTCGGAATCTGCCCACTGCAGGTACATCGACGCCACGCTCCCTTCGGACAGTCGATCTGGCTTTTCCGGAGGGCTTCTCCAGTATGATACCATTCTCCTTGGCTTCCTTTCTGCGCACTGCCTCGCGGCTTGTCGCCTTTGCCAGGATACCCTTCCTGTGCGATAGGGGCATTTTTTCCTGATGAAACAAAGAGTCTTTGGACCCTAGTGATTGCATTCGCATGTCGACAGCTTTATGTCGCTGTGTTCCAGGTGCCGGTGATGACTTTGCTTGCTCCAATAAGTGGGATTCTTTCAACAAACGTTGGAGATCCAGGTCATGTTTCAAATTCTGCGCTTCGAATGCGTCTTCATCGTCAGCTCCTCTGTCGGATGTTTTGCTTGCCGCCTGCTCTACCTCCTTGGGCGGCTTTGTGCTCTGTTGTCCATGTCAGTGTCTGCCACGAGGGTGTTTTGCCAGCGTACCGCTACTTACCATGAAGGTCTTGTATTGCTGCCGTTGGAATTCAGCATCTTCCCTTTCTTCGAGGAGCGCCCGATGTTCAACTATCTCCACGTTCGCATCTCTGTTCTCTACATCGGAGAGGCCTTCCCACGAAGATTCTTCCTGCGCTGACTCGATTCCGTCGTCCTCGTCCTCTTCCTCGTCTGACAGCGAAGGTGTTGCGGTGTGAGATTCCGATAAGGGCTCGAACGTGGATTCGAAGTATTTGCGAAAGACGTCTCGATCCACATCAGGTGCAGCTGCAGGAGTAGGTTTGTCGTCTGAGGTGCGCTCGCGGTGTCGTGTCACGACTGCGACTTCCCGCTTTCGCTTTCCAAGCACGTCCATTTGCGCCGGCGACCGCGCATACATGTAGAAGTCTGAATCTTAGGCCGCAACGCCTTCGTCCCGAGTGCAACAATTTTCGTCCAGGCGGATGCGCCAACTTTTGGAGTCCGACATTTGTGCCAAGGTCAAATAAAAAATTCATGCGTCAGGTCGTCCGGGGCGCGTCTGGAGAAGCCGCTCCAGTTGAGGCAAGGCGCCCGGGTTATCAGATTGCCGAGGCTAGCAGGCCAAAACAGACCCCAAGTGTACACAGTAAACAAGCACATTCCCAACACTGACCGCTTCCAAGCTTCAAATGCATGTGAGTAAGATACAATCTACCAGAAGAAAGCAACATTCAATCACAGCACTTTATCCGAACGATGGGTAAAGGTTGTGGTGCGGTAAAGGAGAATATTCTAGAGATATCCGCTGTGAATAAAGAGAAATATTCTGAGGCGTAGCGAGACGCAAGAAGTAAACATCTTCATACACGTCTCTCTTTGGCTTGTTGTTATATGAACCCCTAAGTACAGTATGAGAGGCTGACGGCGTGAGCAGGTGATTATGACAGGTTCGTATTCATTCATCCAGTCAAACTTGCCTTCCACCAGATCTCGAGTACGCTGAAGGTGGTCGAAGCCCTTGTATGCACAAATGCAGTCATTGCGCTTCTCTGTCCCTTGATTTCCCTTATATCCTGTCCGTACACTGTAGAGGGCCACAATATGTACATATCTCTGACCCGATGCTGCGGTGCACCCTTCACAAGTGAACCCCGGAGGAAAGACGATTCTGATTTTGGTGTTGTACCGTTGTCTTCTAAAAAAAGGGTGTCGTCAGCGAACATGAGACGAGATGCAAAGTGCGCGACGGATCTGCAAGGACTTACAAGCGTACCGCCTACTCGGCTTCTGTGTTGACCCATATCTAGAACAGATGTAGAGAGGTTAGTCCACAAGCAGAAATGACTGCTCCTTCCCAGAGCTGCACATTTCTCCTCTGTTATGCCTGATACGATGTTCCATATCGTCGATGTGTTGACCAGCCATGTCCACGATTAGAAAATCCCACCGGATTGATCCTCTCTGCAGCATGCACGAGCGTGAAAAAGCTTTGTCACGTGACTGACAAGGCTGTCCTCGGCTAACTTTCTTTCCTTCACCAGCTTCGATTTTTCTCCAGCTCGACATCAAACAAGTCCCAATGCATTTTCACCTTTTCCCATACCATAATCAATGCTTCGCACCAGCGCCTTGTCGCCTACACCATGACCCGGTTTCGCCCTTGCATTGATCTGCATGCTGGCCAAGTCAAGCAAATCGTAGGCGGGACCCTCAGTATACGCGAGTCTGACCTGAAGACGAATTACATCTCGTCCCATCCAGCAGGCTATTTCGCCCAACTATACCGCGATGCGGATCTTCTCGGCGCGCATGTAATCATGCTTGGACCAGGTAATGAGGCCGCTGCGAAGGAGGCACTCGCCGCATGGCCTGGCCATCTGCAGGTCGGAGGTGGCATTACTGATGCCAATGCAAAGGAATGGATCGACGCTGGTGCTGAAAGGGTGAGTCCTGGTTCTCTGCTCTCACTCTTCCTTTATGACTTGGCGGGTGTATGCTGATGTGCAAGCAGTAGGTCATCATAACTTCATTCCTCTTCCCCAACGGCCGGTTCTCGTTGGAACGCTTAAAATCTGTGCTGTCATCCCTGGGTAACGATACGTCCAAACTCGTCATCGATCTCAGCTGCAGACGGAAGGGCGACACATGGTTCGTTGCGATGAACAAGTGGCAGACTATTACGGAAATGGAGATTACCAAAGGTACTTATCTCTGATTCGTCTCTTCCCACTGCCAGCGACTACAGAAACCCTGACCGTAACCAGAAAGCATCTCCATGCTCGAGCCATACTGCTCCGAGTTTCTCATACATGCCGCCGATAATGAAGGTCTCCAACAAGGTATCGACACCGATCTCATCCGCAGGCTGGCCGAGTGGTGCACTATCCCCGTGACATACGCTGGCGGCGCGCGGACAATCGAAGACCTCGACCTTGTGAAACAGTGTAGTGACGGCAAAGTCGACTTGACCATTGGCAGTGCCTTGGACGTGTTCGGTGGCAGTGGCGCCAAACTCGAGGATTGTGTAAAGTGGAATCAGGACAATGCCAATTGAGTATCATCAAAATGTTCACTTTTCCGTGTCCTCATTTCAGGCGACTGAACATGATTGAGTCGTAATTTCAGGGGTATACTCGGTCGCTTCGCAGGCTGTATTACCTTTTTGCAATTTGTCCACGCAGCCTGGAGCAGTTTCTTGGTCTCTGGTCAAAGGTTCATCTACCGTGGCGTCATCCACAGCGAGTCGGTCGGTATCAATAGCGAAAACCCTCCCCACAACTCCGTCTCCGGTCTTTCCGCCATGATTGTCCGACGCGGCCCTATCAGCAGGCTTCCTGACTTTTCTGCGATATCCAAGATACAACGTTCGTTCTTCCGCTTCTGCGCCATCTTCGAGCCGCCTGTCCAGCCGAAATCCACCCTCAACGTCTTCTACGAACTTGCCCCATCTTGCGGCTTGATTGACCTCCAGCTGACACCATACCACCGCATTCTTTGCTACTCTCACGTTCCACTTCCGTCTCTGGTGCATATCCTGACTCGTTTGAACCACACCACGCAGCAGTATGTCCCAGTGTGTCCCATGAACAGATGACGAATCCGCGGCTGCTCCTGGTGCCTGTCCGTCCTTCCGATGATCCAGGACTCGACGATTTCGCCACGTCAAGTACGGAGAGACCTCGTTCCTCTCCCTCCACAACATCATGCTCGCACACAGAGCCTTGATATCCACCTGTATCATCCGTCATTTAGTCATTTAATTGATACCCACTGGAGCCTGGGGCAATCGAAACGAGACATACCTCTGCCGCCGCCGAAGCAACCCTTCCAATCCACCAGTCAATATGAAAACCGATTGTCTGCGGCATCCTTGCCGTCGTTGTGAGTTTGTCCCTCATGTCGCCGGTGGATCTCCATGACGCGCAGTATCTGCCTTGTCCACTGTTGGCATTGTGATTGTCTTCCTGGCGATCCCTGCTCTTCTTCCTTCTACGATGTACTTTCCCTGCATCTGCGGCCTCCAAGAACTCGCAGGATTTGGATGGCGTACCCAGCTCGGGAGCATCGAGGTAAGTCGAAGTGAAAGAACAACGTAAGGGCGGCAGAGGCATATCTGTTGAAAGGTTGGGCAAACATGGCGAGAATGAGCGTTCGAGGACAGTTTCGCCAGGAGATGAGGATGGATCATGTCGACGTGGCATGGCTAATGGATGACTACTGCATTGGTGGGAGTTGCTTGCTCGAGATGATGGCGAGGAATGTTGCCATCCCATTTGATGTTCGACGTTAAACTATACTACGAAGGGTGACTTAGGTAGGCATGATCACTGCGTTAGATTGTGAATGAACTCGTCCACATCTGGATCACCTCGTGCTCGTGCTTTTTGAGATCTACTTCACTCGGGGAAAGTGGAGTTTTGTCTCATCCCACGGGTAGTGAACTGTCCCAGATTCGAAGAGACTATCAAAGACCAAAATTTACTGTGGGAAGAATGGCAGGCATGATGCACATAAAAATACGGGAAAATAGGTGTTTGTTCGTTTGTTCAAGGTATCATTCATGACTACCTAATGAGGTGTCATATGCTCTATTGAGCAAGAGTCGTATGAAATACATGTGTTCCAAGCTCATAAAACCCGCGTATCGTGCCAGGTGTACTCAATGCTCGTTGCATCATGAAAGCCAACCTCATCTCCTCTGTTGAATCGTTCTTAGGTGCTGTTGCAAAGGGATATCATAGGTCGAGGTGACTGAGTGAGATGCTTAGTGGGTAGCAGCCTGCTTATTGCCCTCAGCAGATGCCTGTGACAATGTTAGTGAACGTAAACATCACGAGAATCGTCAAAAACGTACGGAGTTCTTGCTCTCATCAACCTTGTCACCAAGGGCGTCCTTTGCGGCAGAGGCACGGGTTCCGACAGATGCGTCAGAGTCCTTGGCAACGTTCTTGTTGGCCTCTTTGGAAGCACCAGAGGTGGCTTCGTTGACCTTGTCACCAACGTAGCTGGAAGACCAATCAGTATACTTGCAGGCAGCAGGAAGGCTGGGAGTAGAAGACGTACTTGGCGGTGTTCTTGATGGATTCCATTGTGGATGGTAGTGTTGTTTGGTTTGAGGTTTGATTGGAATATGTTTGACTTGAGGATTGTTCGAGATTGTGTGATAGAGAAAGTTGAAGGTGAAATGGGCGAAGAGAGGAGGTACTTATAGGAAGATGTTTGCAGGCAAGTGACAACGGCTCACCCATGGAGTGGTGCTGCCTGCCATGGTGAAGAGAGACAAGTGAATGCCCCGCGTTGTTGGTTATTCCATGTTTAGTCCCCACTAGTTCATTGCCTTCCTACTGTCTGATTGCTTCGAGAGGGAGTAGCCGAGGCAAACCGAGCTCTAATTGACCCTTAGTCTGCTTCAGATTCATTTCGTTCAATTCTTATGACGTTTGTCTGGCCAGGTGACAAGGAGAAAGTACGATTGTGATGGGTCAATGAAGATATGCTGGTGACATCACAGATGAAAGGAGCAACCAATTTGAGCCAATCACATCAAGGTCACAGCCACAACCCTGCACCGATTCGGGTGTGGCGCGAGGACACAACGATCAATCTTGGTGGCTACGTCACGCTAATCCGAAATCTGGAGTTCGGTTCTCTTTTCCGCCCATACAACGATGGTGAGTTCATCATGACGTATCAAGAAAACCTCGTCATTTCCTGGCTTCGCTGTTGTTCAATCTGCTTTCGCCATCGGTGCCCTCGTGTTACACTGCTCGTAACCATGAGGCAGTGTGACGCAAGCTCTCACATGTTCCAAGACCGAGAGACCACGGTTTCCTGGACTGAGACGGCATTTCTCTTGATTCGCATGTTCGGCCGCAGACGGCATTCCCGCGATCGATGAAGCCAAGGGAAAATGAATGCATGTGAAACTGCTACCCCTGATGGTTGTCGGTCCTCGAAAGGCTGTGCGTCGTGATCCTGAGATAGTACCCATCGGGATCTACCAGCCTGAAGTCTTTCAACCCCCAGGGCTGAGAAGCAATGTCCGCATCCAGCGTGCTCCCCTTGCTGACGATGAAGTCTCTTTCTTTCTCCAGATCTTCAACTTCTATTACGATCTCGACACCTTTGTTCGGCCGCCGATAGCTTTCTTTTTCCTCGAATGTCTCTGAGGATGGGGTCTCAACGGCTCCGATGAAGACGTTGTCACGCTTCAGGTAGGCGTAGTTGCTTTCGTGCTTCACCAGTTTGAATTGCAACACATTGGAATAGAAGTCAATCATCCGTCGAAGATTGCTAGGGAATATCTCGATTCTCAATGAGGCTGGCATGATGGACGACCACGCGATGACCAAGTTGGCAGCCTTTCTATCACTGCGTTCTGCTTCCGCATGTAAGGCAGACAGTGTCAAGATTTTTATATCTGCATGCCACTTCCAAGACACACTGAGAGCCGCGTTTCAGCCCTTTCAAAGATGAAGGCTTCGACTTTGTCAGCGAGAAGTTCTAGACCGGTTCCAACGCAACTCTTGGCAATTTTTGACTGAGATAATCTGGGGGAGCTAACCCGGCCTTGTGTATGTCTCGTCCCGATTGGATATCAGCTTGATCTAAAAAATGCATGCCAGAGGGAGTACATGCCGGGCCAAATCCAGCCAGGGAGTGATACTTTCGGTCACGGCGAAGCGGAAGAATGTATGACCCTCAGGAGCAAACCAAAAGGAACAGAAACATCATGTTGTAACTACCCATTGTGTATGAAGCCATCAATGCAAACGCATGTGGATGTCAGGCTATACAGCACTCATATCTTGTTCTCTCCAAGAAAGTCCAACATCAGCTTGCCTATTTCATGAGTATGGCTCTCGACCAGGAAATGTCCACCATCCAGCAAGACAAGTTTCAACTTCTTCACGTCTCTCTTGAACGCCTCAGCACCCGGTGCTGGGAAGATGAAGTCGTTCTTTCCCCAGACAGCTAATACCGGAACCTGGCTCTCACGCAAATAACCCTGAAACTTTGGATAGAGTGTCACATTGCTTCCATAGTCCTTAAACAAGTCGAGCTGAATCTCCTTATTGCCTGGGCGAGACATCAGCGCATAGTCGAGATGGTATGTGGCTGGGTCGTCGATCTTGTCTGCGTCAGGCTCGCCATGCAGGTACTGGCTCTTCGTGGCTTCGAAGGTGAGGACGGCTCCACTGACGGCTTCACGGATTTGTCTCTCTTGTTCGGCGTCAGAGGTCGCCCAGAGCTTGCGCAGAGGATCCCAGAATGAACTTAGCCCTTCTTCGTACGCGTTGCCATTCTGTGAAATGATGGCAGTGATGGCCTCGGGACGTTCGAGCGCGAGGCGGAAGCCGGTAGGTGCTCCATAATCAAAGACATAGACCGCGAATTTGGAGATTTCGAGGGCGTCCAGGAATGAACCAATTGTGGTCGCGATATTAGCGAAGGTATATTTAAAGTTCAGCTCTCCTGGGATTTCGGTGAAGCCGAATCCAGGCAAATCTGGGGCAACGACATGGTATTTCTGGGAGAGTATGGGAATCAGGTTGCGGTATTGGAACGACGATGCTGGAAAGCCGTGCAGCAGCAGGATGGTTGGGTTGGAAGGCGATCCGGCTTCGCGGTAGAAGACGCGGATGCCATTTGGGAGGGTGGTGTACATCTTGCTGAGTGCTCAAGGCGTATGACTTGTCACACAGGTTCTTGTCCTCAACCAAGGATGTGTCGAACTTTTGCTCGCTGGATTGCTTAATACAGGACTCTCGGAGCAGTGGACTTACCTCCTATATATACATCTCTCAGCCGACCTTGGCTTGAATAAAAGCAAATACCTGAGGTCAACGCCCGTCGGCAAATGATACGCGGCCTGCCATTCTCTGGTATAGTCTATCACCTTACTAATCGGTCCGCAGAGCAAGAGCATGCAGGTCCATGCAGTTATAGACTTGGCTGGTGGAAAGGCTCAAGAGGTGACAGGGAAAGACAGGAGCCGCAGACATCCACACGAGCCCGTAAAAGTGCCGTGAATTTCTCAGCTTAACAGCAACAGTTTCCACCCATAAGAAGCAATATTACCGAGATTTGAGTCCTAAAAAAGGCACTGATCGCCCGGCAGGCTCACAGAGGCTTTCTGGGTGAACGGTTACATAATCAGCCAAGTACTTACGCTAACCCAAGTAAAGAAGTACATAACCTGCCGCTTCTCAACTTCCATCTTGCCGTTATATCAATCTTCATCAGCATGAGATCTCCTTGTCTTGCTTACTCTTGACGTAGCGAGGATGTGTGAGGACAAATTCCCGATCTGGTATCGAAACTTGCCTTTTGCGCCAGCATTGACACAAATTCATCATCCAACAGCCCCGAATTCCTGCTGTTTTTAAGCGGAGCCTGCTCGCTGGCCTAGCCCACCGGGTCCACGAGCCTAATGAGAGCACGCGAAGCGTTGTGTGATGGATTCTACACTGCGGAACATGCAGGAGCCTTCCCAGCTTCAGAAAGGGCAAGGACGCGGACGTGGAATAGTGCAATTGGGGGTTCCAGTGTCAGCGCTGCTCTTCGGACTACCGTAACATCGTCTGGAAGGAATGATTCAATCTACTCTTCCTCTAAGCTCACCTGGTACACAAGCGACACTGAGACCACACTTCCCGAACAGTGCTTTTTCGTTCTACATCGTGCGTCGATACCTATCCTTGGAACATGCCATTCGCACCAGACCAGGTTTCGTCTACCCAAATCTCCTCATCACACCCATCCGGTCACTCGAGGCTAGCAAGAGATTGCTCCTCACGCTACTCGACAAGGCTCTCCCACGGGCAAACGTTTACAGTTTATGCCTCTTCTCCCCACTCGCAATCTTTCTAAACTCCTCTTGTGGCGCACCCTTCGCAAACCTCGCCATGCCCTCCATAACCTCGCGGACGCCCTGTGCCTCCAAAGCCTCCAAGAAAGGCCGCCTGATCAACTCCTTGATTTTAATTAGACTCTCCTGATTCAAATGCTCGCCCAACTTGTCCTCAACCTCGTCCAACACCTTCTTCAAGAATCCATCACTATCATTCTGGTCCTTACCCTGGAACACTTTATTCACGAACCCGCATGCCACGAGCTCGTCGCAGGGTATTCTCCTTGACATAATCAGGGCCTCATTCGCCTTCGTCAAGCCCAGTCTCTGCACGAGCCCAATGCTCGCTCCTCCTTCAGCAACCAGCCCTAGCGAGGAGAACGGCGTGAGCAGGAACGTGTGCGGTGCCGCGTATATAAAGTCACAGAAACCCAGCAACGCCGCAGACAGGCCGACGGTCGGCCCGTTGAGCGCGGCGATCAGGATCTTCGGGTGCGTGTAGAAAGACCGCGTGATGTCGAGGTTGTTGCTCACAAACCCCTTCAGAATATCGCTGCGTGCTTGATCTTTGCTGATCCCCGGCCCAACACCGGGCCGTGTCGTTGTGACATTCGCACCAGCCGAGAAGAAGCGGCCTGATCCTGTCAGCACCGTGACGCTGACGTCTGGGTCTTCTGCGATCTCTCGGAGGAGACACGAGACGCGGTAGTAGTAGGGCTGGGTCATGGCATTGAGTTTCTTGGGCTGATTGAGCGTGACAATCGCCACGCGGCCTTGCTTGCGATAGAGGACGGCTTCTTCGGGGGATGCCATGTCGGCCATCGTGAGACTCGGAAGGAGGTATAGGGAAGGTAACGTCAAGCGGTCGAGACAATGGACGGTATTCTTCCTAGCTCGTTAACGTCAAGCAGGAGCAGAGGACAGCGCACAACAAGCACAGGTCAGCAGCTTCGGTTTACAGGAAACTGGGGAAAGAAAAGTCCAAGGAACCCTCGGGTAATCGAGATGCATTGAACTGTACTTGACTGAAGAGTAATCAGTGCGCGAGGCCCTGGAAACTGCGGAGATAGAGTTTCTGGAGAAGAGAAACGCCGCGTTGAACCGAGGTCCAAAGTCCTCGGCGTTCAGCCTTTCTTTTTATCCAGATTCGTCCTCGGCAAGAATAGCCAATCGTAAGGCATACTGTCACTAGCCAGCCTCAGCCTCGTCTACTTTTGAAGAACCGAGTGCTTGCGGTCACCAACATTGCCATGCGAGTGAACATATACGAAACCACAGAAGGCGCTTCTACGGGGTTTGACCCTCAGCGAAAGAAGATACAATGAGAGAGGCTGGATGTCATCTTTAAGCCGTTCGTGACACTTCTTTTGTGGTGCACTGACCGACGGTTTGGGCAATTTCGACGGCAATAGGAGAACACGCCCCGCAATTGAACGCAACATCCTAGACCTGAGCCTTGAGACGAGGAGTATCAGCCGGCACATTGAAGAGATGGTCGAAGTTGAAAGGCCTCACGCGACTGGAGCGGGCTCGTGAGCCCAGCGAGTCGCATGTATGAGAAGATCATTTTGTTCTTGGCTGCGAATGCTTCCTTCAATGCAGCAGAATGAACGAGTGGTAGTTGTTTGCACCCGGGCGTAAGGTGTTCTTCTTGTATGGTACGGTGTGGAACACGATTGCCGCGGTCGACCGCTCGTCTCTTGAATCACGGACGCACACTTGCGTCAATCTCTGAAGAGTGGCGTTAGATGCTGCTGATGTATCATAGGCGTACAAGAGGAAACCGGTAAGCCCCTGGCTTTAGGTCCTGTGCTTGGGCTGGCAGTCCATGGGCTGCACTTCAAAGGTAATGCTTCCGCACTCGTACTGCAAACGACGGGGCATCTCAGCGGACCGCATGAGCAGGAAACATCAGCTACTCAGCGGGCTGGTTTTGAGGATGCCATTGATAACTTGGTCGTTCCTTATTGCTAGGGTAGCGGATGCATTTGCCGCAGAGCGAGCTTGGAGGGACCCCAAGATCATAATTCAGAACCTGGATGACAAGAATTTCTGTTCAGGAGGAGGTCAGGCCATAAGGCTAGCTTGCCTTAGACAGCCATCAGACATGCTGGCAGTTCAAGTACAGGCCTTGTCATACGATTCAATGAACAATTCATGTTATACTCCATCAGTATGTTATTGGTAACAGACCGGTGATGAATGTATTGGGAGGGGCGTGGACGGGTTCCGTCGTGTTCTTGGAAGCGTGATAGGATGCGGAGTACGAAAATAATGAGAGTGGTGGACTGATTCGCGGAGCCTCACCTGCTTGTTGCCAAGCCCGGAATCATGGGCGATGGCGATACAGTCTTCGCCCCTCTGATATTCTAATTGACCATAAATACTCTGAGAGCTTTGATAGCCCTTGCTAAAGTCGAAACAGGTATACCATCAGCCCGAAGAGTGTTCGGACAGGGGTGCCGGTACGATGGTGTTCAACTATATTTTACGGTCCCTCCGCGGGACGAATCTCGAAGTCTTCAAGGTAGGTACCACTCGTTGTCCACGCTCTACCAATGCGGCTCTGACAGTTTGCAGTTCGGCATGTACCTGGCCTTTCCAATAGGGTATATGTACTACTTCGGCACCAACCTGGAAAACCGATTCTCTGTGCCCGGCTTCTGGCCAACACAAGAACAAAGTCACAAGATCCCCTACGAGCGAGAAGAAATCAGAGCCGAGGTGCAGCGAATACAGCAAAAGATGACGGAAATGCGTGCGAGGTTGCCTCTCGAGCAACAGCAGAGGTTGAAGGATCGGGACATGGAAGCACCGGAACAGAATACTAGCGGGTAGGGCTCTGAGCTCCGAAGACCTCCAGCAAGTGTCCAAGTTAGTACGACAGAAAGACAAGGAATCTGTTGCGCGGATTGGAAAGATGAAGGCGGACAGACGAAGAAGAAGCAAGACTGTTTATCACAGTTTGAGAGACCGTTTCTGACGCATTACGAAGGACTTTGAGGAAGGACCTGAACCAGGCCTACATGAGCCGGACGGCCATCGACACACTCATGACCCAGCGTACATTTCGACGCACAGGGGAAATGCCGCTTTGTACACAAGTCCCAGGTCGACGCAGAAGCAACACGTTTGCGCAGCTCTGCGTTATCACGGTGTTGAGAGCAGGAAAATGGGTAACCTCAGTCCACTCAATCATGGGCATTGTCTCCAAATGGGTTGATGGCTACTCTTTGTGGATCGAGGCCAAAACGAAAACAGGCATGGCCGCCGTGCCGCGCTCAGTACATGGTGCAGCTTCGACGGAGTCATGTCGTTGTAATGGATTATATGAAAGCCGATGCTACCAATGTCGCTGCCATACAACTCCTTGTAAAAGAATAACATTAGGGGTATCTCATTTTACAACTCTTTCAACGTGGCTGTAGTCGATTCGACAGAGGCCGCCTTCAATGCTGCTGCAGTGGTCCTCAGGCCATCTGCTATGTAAATGCTCTTGTTCGCTGCTCCTGCTGCCGCTGTCTTGGATGCCAACTCGCCCTGCAGATAGTACCAGACTCGGTTGTAGATGATCAAGACATGGTTGGGAAGATAGTAGTACGCGGCGGTGACGAGAAGAGAGACGAGCATGAAGAGGATGAAGTCTAGAACAACAATGATTAGCTTAGCCCTGCAGTGTCGAGTACCCAATTGCTGTACGTACTGAAAATGAACCGCTCGGTGGGAGTGAGCATGTACAATGAGAAGGTCACCTCATATTGGTACTTTTTCAGGCGCAGCCAGCGGACGAAGGACGACATGGGTGATGTTCTGTTCTCTCTCGTGACTCTCGAATAATCGGACATGGCAAAAGTAAGAGTGGGAGCAGGCATATGGCTGCAAGGAATCTCGACTCGACAGAGGTTGATGGAGAAGTGGTTATGTCTGTCGTTTTCTCAGGATGATTTGTATCGTTGGATTTGGACGAGCTAAAGTCAGATCTAGTTCCACGTCTGAAGCGTATCGAACGTCTAGCGAGTCGACTGTAAACGAGTGACGAGGTGGAAGGCGTATAAAGGAGGACGAGACTCAGCAGCGCGTCTGGCTGAGAGGAAAAAGGTTGTTGAAGATTGAGGCTGGATCTACGGGGCCGCCAGAAGAGGAAAGGAGGCGAGCTGACCGGTGTTCAACAATGAGAAGACAATTATGGACACGGCGGTTGAAATGGAGGCCCAAAGTGCAGTGCAGTGCAGATTTTCCGATTCGATTCCCCGTCGCTTCCTTTCTCGAGCTGCTGCTGGCAACCATGAGGCTGGCCTTTTTTTGCGCCTTATGCTCTTCCCACCACGCGTGGCTCGATACGCGGGTCGGAACTTTTCGACGTGCGATCAGCTCATTCGCGCGGTACGGAGGCAACGCCTATCAGCCCATTTCTTAGCCCCATCGCTCGTCTAATGCTCATAATACAATTCTATTCTCGGACACTCATTGAGGGTTTGTGTGCACCTCGGATGGCCTTCCTCAGATCTTTCAAGAGCCTTGGGATGCAGTATATCGGCCCAGATCGAGTTGAGGTACTCAGTGCTGCCTTTTCCTCTTCTTGTCCTCCTACCTTTCCTCAGGACACTGACGCGAGGTGCCTTGAGTCTTCACCTCTTGCGCCCATCGGATTCCTGTATCCAAAAGTCTACGCGCATAAACTCGACAAGCACAGTAACTCCGGCTCGGATCGGCTGTCATTGTGCCTTCCGGTGTCATCCATGGCGCTCGCATCGTCCAGAGTCGTGAATGCGATATTGTGCTGGTGAAATCGGAGGCCATGCATTGCTCCCAGCTTCAAAAAACATCATCAGGGTCGACCTTGAAACTCTCGCCGTTCTCTCTGACGTGGATTCGGTCCTTGTCTCTGTCCAGAGGCTTTCTCATGTCCAGCGCATCTTCTCCTTCCGTAGACACGCCTGTTGGATCATCCGAGTAATATTTGACCACTGTGCGAAACGTCGAATAGCCCATGCTCTCGTACATTTTGATGGCATTGCGGTTGCTCCTCCTCACGAAAAGATCCACAAACCAGGCATTTTGTTGGTTACATGCCTTTTCAAGAGACTCGCTCAGGAGTTTACCATATCCGAGCCTTCGATACTGAGGTGCTATTGACAGCGCCGTAATATGGCCATGCCATGGTAAGAAATGTGGTGAACCTCTGCGAGAGCTTCCTCAGACCGAGCTCCTGTAGGAAAAATTGAAATGACTTACTGTAGTTGAGCAGGTGATGTTTCAACTTTGCCAATGATATACCCGACTATCTGATCGTGTTCTTCGATGCATTGGAATAAAGAAGGCCATCTCATCAGATATGTCAGGTAAAAATTCAAGTCATAGTTTTCGGTATATGGATCGAGGTTGCATAAATTTAGGTGTAGAAGATCAGAAGGCTGGACTCTCCGAATGATAGGCATCGCAGCTCATATTCAGCCCGACTCGGGTCAAGATCGAAATATCGAGGATAGAGATGCCTGCCAGTGAATGCGATAGTGGACAGTCTAATGTCAGGCACAGTGAAGCCGTCAAAACCCTCGTGTGAAAGTGTGGGGGACTTGGTTGGGTGAATACGAAACGCGCCCCGTCCCGATGGGGGCCAAATACCTGAAGAATCTCGAAGTCGGGCATCGCTTGCGGTCTTCGTAACCAATCTACCTCAACCTCAACCACTTTGTTAGATTATCTGCTTTCTCGAGGACTGCACGCTCATCGCGATGCGTCCTTGCACATGATACGATCATCTCAAACCCTCGACTTCGATTTTTATCAGCCGTCACCTGCATTAGACCATGACAGTGATATCTCCACCAGCCTCCCCCTCGACACCTTCAAGAAAGCGCAAGTCGCTAAGACTGTCCAATGTCGATTCATTATCTCAAGAAGCTTTCACGAGTCCATACACGAGTGGAACAACCAATGGCACGACATACTCGAGACGGTCGTCACGTACATCCCAAACCTCCTACCAGCCACGATCTCCGGTGACACCGCGGCCCATGTCGGCCAAATCCTCTAGACCGCCGTCTTTCTCAGTGCAGCGAAGGCCGAGTCGGACGAGTATACGCAGCGCGAGAAGTATAGAACAGATAGGCGAGAATGGTCTCGGAAATTTGGCCGATGAGCTAGAACAAGCCTGGGACGACGAGGACGAGAGTCAACCGAATTTCCTGGAGGGACTTAGAGAAGGCGATATAGAGCAAGAGCCGTCAGCTATTGGGCTCCAAAGCCCATACGGAATCAACGACATGCACGACTTCGGCTTCGGCATGGTGGTGCAAAGTCCTCACCCAGCGCAGTACGATGTGGCGTCGCCCACACTGCATGTCTTGCCGCAACCCAAAGACCTGCGTTCACCTACGGACACGAGCCGCGGACATGAGAGGCATGAATCTGCCTACGATGGGTCAGATTATGGACCCGAGTCGGACCCCGACGAAGAAGGAGACTTGCTACCCCCAATTCTCAGAAAGCGCATACACGACATCCAGAAGTTGACACGCATGTGCGTCAACCCCGAGGACGCGGTCAGCGAGGGCGGGGGAACCATCAAAAGAACAATTCAAGGCTTGAAAGATCTCGGCCCCCAAGGAAACATTGAGTACGGAGTCACACGGCTGATCACGGCATATACCTCGATGGCATCCCACCGCACGAACAAGACGCGCGATCTTTTCACCCAAAGCCACTCGCTCATGTACGGTGGGATCATGAATCTGCCGGAAGAAATGATCGACCTCCTCCTCGACGAAATCAAGAGTCTCGGCTCGACCGTGCCGTTTCTCAGGCCGCAGAACCCTCTGTTGTCTTTGCAGATCCTCGCCTCGCAAACAGAAGAGCTGAACCACACCCTCCGCTCGCTGACGGACTTACTACAAGAATCCCGACTCGCTGCGAACGCGGCCACCCGGAAACTCAAGTCGGTCCGTGATATGGTCGAGGACATGAACGTCGAAGAGGAGCTGGTGGAGAACAGCATCCTGCTTATCCAGGCCGGCGACTGGGACCGACGGTGTAGAACACGACAGGCCGCGAAGACGTGCCAGGAAGTCTGCGCGGGATTCGCAGATCGTTGGGGTCTGGACGTCAACGTCGACCTGACCGCAAAGCGTAAACCGCCTCAGGAAGTGTCGGTGCGATCTTAGGGCATCTTGTTGGAACATTGCATTGTTCAAAGCGAATTTTTTTTTGGCCCGCGTAATGGTTTTTCATGAGTGGTTACAGCATCGAGTACGCAATTATGGATTTGCTTGACTTGGGTCATCAAGGTATATATAGCACGGGTGCTACTGTTAGAAGGGCGACCCTTGGTAATACTGTCACTGTCCTGTTGCTTACAGTAATGAGAAATACATACAAGGATGAATACCTATGTAGGTACGTGCATGGCACATGTTTAATCGAACTTTGGGTAGTCAGAGCGTGCCAGAGTTACACTTGTTGAGAGATGGCGTCGAGATATAGCAATGGACAAAGGGTCCTCTTCAACATCACGTCCGTATCGATGCCTTTGACTAGGTGAAACGGCACCTTGCTCATCGCCAGCTTCTTCACGACTGGCACCAGGCGTCCTTCGGCTTGCAGGTTGTTTTGACTCCTTCTTTTCTTGTATAAAGTCACGTCTGGCCATCCTCAGGAACCGCAACTGCCAACTGGGACCTCGTCATCTTGATTTCGGTCTGGCTGAAGTCCCAATTTAACACTGATAGATACTTGACATACTTTAGGTCCAGCGAGCCAGAACCTAAGCCGGAGCAAATTGATGGGCCCGATGATCATCTCGTCCAAAACACTTACTGTGGTACTCGTATATTCTCTCACAACAATGCTTGACCAATGCGGATATCAAACCGCCTACCAATTTAATCCCCGACGATCTTTTTCATTGACTGAAATGAGTTGACCGCGTTTGATAGACACACGGACCAGCCGATGCCGCAGCGGGGCACAGCATGAAGTCAGGCCAGAGGTCAATGCTCGAGACGGCGGCCGGGCGGTGCGCCACAACATACTCTGCTGTGACCACCAGTGCCAATTCGAAGGAGCAAGTGAAGGGAAATCGGCCGCTGTCGCTTGTGCTTGTTACGGTGCATCAATGTGAGCATGATTCTGGCTTTTGGTCGTAAGAAGGGTCAAGCTCAATCCTGTCGATCTAGGTGAAAGAAGAAAAGCAACGCCATGCACATCCGAAACGTCGAGCATAGTAGAGCAAATAACGAGGACAGCATTCTTAGCAAGATGACTTCTGCGTGCCGTGCAACTTGAGAGGATCCTGGACCGCCTCCGCGTCTCGTTGAATTTGGCGCAAGGCGTAGTCTAGTCGCACTGCACAGCTGGGCAAGATGTAACGTGTAGCAACAGCAGTTTGGATCGTCGAGTGAGGCAGGTCAGATTTAATCTCAAGATAGAGACTGAAAGGAAAGAGAAGAAGAGAATGTTGAAGAGTAAGAAGTCATTAAGGTAGTATATAACCAACTGTCAAGATAGTCCCTGGGTATCCCCACCAATATGTACGCGAAGATTCTTGTACGCAATGCACATAATAATATCAGAATTTTCTGGTCAGATCATGCAAGCTAGACACCCCTTTTGTTCCTGACCTTTAGACGTTGGTAGGATGCACAAATTCCCCGAGTGATTGTGGAGATCAAGTGCGTGGCGTTGTTCCACAGCGTGCTGGGCGTTATGTAAACCTTCGCAGTTGCAGTTCAGCCGGAGACTTTCTTTCTGCTGGCTTTGATCTTCGACGCTGTTCGGACTCCTGTCCTCATGCCGGAAGAAGCATTTATGAGGGATAGGTGGCAGGAGGCAGGCCGTACTCGTATGCGGTGTAGATGCCGATGGGGCACTCGTCCTGATCCTGGAAGAACCAGAAGTTTGTGTCATTCGTGTACTAGAGAGATACCGAGTCAGCTTGCCATTCCGGTACAGTTGAGACCTCTAGCCAACTAGCTAGGGTGGCTTTCTGGACGTGAGAAGAACTTACTGTCATGCCTGCCACACAGGTACCAGCACCGACGAAGCAAGGACCAACGTCAATGGTGTAGGCGTTGCCAGGTTCCATGTGAACTGGTGGGAAGGGAGGGAAAGGACCGGGGGCGGGCTGGTTGTTCCAGGTGGTCTCTGGGCCAGGGCAGCTGCCTGGGTTGTAGCCAGTGAAGAAGAATGAGCCACCACCTTCATACTCGAAGTTGGAGGTCTTGAGTTGCGACTTCAAGGGGAAGATGAACTCGAGAGTGCAGTTGGCATCGGCGCGCGACGCGGGGACGTCGAAGCTGAAGATCGAGCCAATGTCGTTGGGGGTGAAGACACCATTGAATTGAGGTCCGAAAGCCTTGTCAGGCTCCGACTTGGAGATCTGGGTGATGTAGTGAGGGAACTCGAATTGGCCTGCCTCCAACTCGCGAGGGCAGGCGCTGTCCCGTTCTGACAAGGCACGCTTACGCAGAACCTCTCCGGGGTAGGCGGCGACAAGGCCAGCGAACATGGCAAGCGCGGCGAAGGACTTCATCTTGACGTGCTGATATTAGGTATAGCTATGAGGATGGAGGGGATAAGGGCGACGAGGTGTTAAGCGAGTGACTGCGGCGAGATTGAGGGTAAAGAGCGAGAGTGTAGGAGTAAGAAGCAAACCATATGAAGGAAAATGGCGAGTGTGGACATATGGACGTATTTCAAGCTGGGAGATTGCTTTGGAGCCCCAATCGCCGGTGCCCCAGCGAAACGTGTAGCTTGCCAGATGGATTGACGGGCCGTCACAACACCTTCTCGCCATTCTGCGCCCGAGTGGACGTGAGGCTGAATAGAGAAGCCCAAAAAAGATCGGCTCGAAGGTTGCAGACCATCGAAATGCATGATCGGGGTCTTAGTGAGACATGGAAACCAGGAGCGTTACTTGCTCAGGGACGTCGACGCGACCCATCCATGGTGTTGACCAGAGCAAAGACGGATAGTGGCACAAGCCACGTTGGTACTTGTGCCATGTGAAAAGCCTTATGATTGGAGCTTGATGAGTTTGGCTTGATCAGCAGACGCCCGGCGGCATAGACAAAGGGGCCACAAGTGGACACGGCCGGATAGACGGCGAGGCGGAGGATTGAGGGGCTTCATCTCGTGTAGCACTTCTCATTTGCAGGCTTCCTGTAGATGGGGTCATTCAAGCATTGCGATCGCCGCGAAAAGTCGGCCAAGCGAAAGTAGACAGCTTGAATGTTTTGCTTGTTTGTTCGAGGGTTGCACTTCCATGTACTGTACAGCATTCGAGGTTGAACAGCAACCGGCCCATAACCTCGGTCTGGGTGAAGGATTGAGGCGTGAACTTTCCATCTCGATGGAAGGTCTTACTGTGGCTTCCGGATGGTTGAAGAAGGTTTGTCCTCAGCCGTGAGAGCACTTCTGTTACGAGGAAGATTGCAGGTTCAGCCAGTCTCAGGGGAAGAAACGCACGCCAAACAATGGCACCAAGCCCATTCCGCTCTGGAGACAGCCACAATCTCTCCAGCCCGTGCGGCGTATCCAATCTAGCTAGGTTCCTGCTAAGCGTCGCCAATGCAGGAACTCGGCACCGCCTGGTCAATTTTTAGAAATCTCGAATACCTGACAGCCAACGACAAGTCGTCCATGTGGATTCTCGACCGCAAAAAGCTTCTCGAAGAACAAACTTCAAGCAGTATCGCCATAACCAGCAGACAACACCGCTTGAGTTTTTCGGGCTGTCATAGACGTTAGGCGTTCTCACTGCCGCAACCCAAACAGGCAGGTCGAAGTCTCTGCTATGTAGAGAGCCACAGAGCTTTGATGGCATGCAGTGCGATAGCATAGGCGACGGTAGGGCTCTCATCTCCCCATCAACGACGGCTGCAGTTCTGCCGGATCAGCACGGTATATTGAATTTTCTACCCCGTACCTTCAGTTCTCAATTTAAATTCCAGGAACAGGGTAGTACTCCCAATGATAAGTATCCATAAGACTGCCCTTCTTCTTCTAATTATATATCCAGAGCAGTGCAATAAAAGCCATATGCAGGAGAATACCGAATCGTGGTGTTCCAGACGGCGACACCCGATTAGGTTCGGAAGACCTACAAGTATGTTCGCCACCATGGAGGATACCTTGATTCGATCTCGGAGCTCTCTTGCGGGAAACGGCTTTGGGTCCCAGTAATCATGACGGTGTGCTGGTGAATTGTTGGAGTGTCTCTTAGCAGCCAATATCTCCCCAATTGTTGCACCGCAAGCAATGGCGCTGGGATTGGCACCAAAACTGTCTGTCTTTGAAGTCTTCGAACTCATTAGACATGGCAAGGAGCGTGCAGTGCAAGTACTGCTCTGCTATATTTTCGCACATATTGACGGCTTTTCCACTGGCGCCGTGGTGGAAGGATCTCGCACACCGACACCTCGAGATCAACCACATATATTGGCAAGGATGCCCAATGTTCATGGTAACACTTCGCGAAAGGTCGCTTCATACCATGTCGGACCGTCCGGCCTGAGAACCGTCGAAGTAACTCAATCCCGAACGTCTCACGGCTGTCAGTGAACACAAAGGTATGTGAATGCTGACCATAGGCAGTGTCTCATGACAACATGCCTTTGAAGGGGCGAAGGAGGAAAAGGCTGGGGAAATGTATTCTCACAGGCACCTAGACAATATGTCCGAGCATAATTTTATAGGGTCCCACTGGCCTAAAGCAGTGCCTGGCCACCCTTGCTACATTACAATCCACCATACCGCCGCTCAAAGGCTTTGCCAGACCTCTCCCCAACACCAGGATCGCAAGGCTCAGAGGCCTTGCACAAGATCCTCCGAGTGGAAAGCGATAGTCCTCGATCCAGCGAGGCATGGCAGCAACTCAGAAGTCAAAACTCCCAGCACTGATACAAATGCAAACGAAATGTGTGGTTGATCATGCCTTATGTTCACACGAAAACTCCAGGATTCCAGGGGCTGTGACCTTGAGGTAAGAACCCCGACTCTCCACCCACGCCGAAGGCGTTGTTGCTTTCCCAGCCGTAGAAATTCATTTCGCACGTCGCCTCGACAAAGTTCTCCGCGCTATACATTTCAAACCCGGTGTCGAGTGGGAGTTGGATCATGGACTGGGGATTCTGAGTTGCATCTCCGGTTTGGGCAGATTGGACCGAAGCCGAAGATCGACGCTGAGACATGTTCAGGTCGACTTCTCGCTGGTCCTGGCTTGCAGGCTCGCACAGAGTCATTGGCGTATGGGCGGGAGTGTGGAAGAGGTCTTCAGCAAAGCCCGGCGAATCCCACGTCGATGGTGTGCTGCAGCTCCCTGTCCCGAACACACCAGATCTCGATTCCGAAGTCGATGGCGAGGCCAATTGGGCCGTTTGGGGGCGATACGAGGTCCTAGGGACATGGACCATCGGAGGAGTTCTCATCTGGGATGGCGAGATCGGCCTCTGCAAGATGCGCGCTTCCGAAGGCTTTTTGACTCCTTTCTTGGGGCTCTTGTTGGCCTTGGATGTCAGGCGAGTTTCTTGGATGGGCGCCAGGTCCGGTCGTTCTCTCCGGGTCTCAACATCGACGTTGTCGTCAAAATCTTCTTCACTGCCTATCACCCCTATCCGTTCCAGGATGCAATGGACGCTGGGGGAGCCGTTGACTTCCTTGACAGGAGATCCCTCCCATTGACCTGCATGGAGCATTTTCGAGTATAGCTTGAGGACACCTGCCGTGAGAGCAGAGTGGTGTTGAAGCAGCAGGTTGGTGTATCTTGCATGGGGTCAGCAAAAGAAAGGATGACCACAAGGTCGTCGACATTGATCCTGGGCAGAGTAACTGGCTCACCTTTGAGTGGCGCTTGCAGACTCAGGTTTTCGTCGTACTTTAAAGGAACAAACAGCACTGTCAAGATTGCATCTCCGACATGGCCTCTCGCCATCGCACTATGATGAAGGTGAAGTGGTCAGCCAGTATGATCAGCAGGGGGCTGAGAACATTGGGGAAACGCCGGATTTGGTCGCGACGTTGCAAGTATCGAGGACATGTTGAAGGTTAGGTGGTCCGATTCCTGCGCCTGTCCTGCAGGGACATAGAAGCTAGTTCTTGATGACAAGAACAGCTTCAAGCATCCCAAAAGAAGTGTCAAGTTGGATTTCAGGCGGTACTCGTGTGAGTTCCCAAACACCAATTCCGGGAAAGGAGTTCCAAGCCAAAGCGATCTTGTGCGCGATCCCTCCACTTGACTGATAGCTTACCTTGGCTTTCTTTATGCGACACCTCTCACAGGCCCTAGAAACTCTCGGACGCGTGCGAGCATGTTCCTGCATGCTCTGCATGGTACGTGCTGAGGGAACGGTACAATCTTCAAAGTGGTTGGCAAGGACCCTTGAACGGCAATGATTTCGAGAGACTAGTGTGAGGCACCGGCAGTGCGACTCAAGTGCCGAATTTCTAGGATGTCAAAGATCGGACGTTGGAAGATGAATATAAATATCATATGTATGCATTCCGGGATTGTGATCCATGGGCCAAGGGTTGGATTTCTCCTAGGAGTTCATCCGTGAGGAGAGAAAACTTCTGGGGCTTTGATGGATACTAGTACTGGTTAGTGGCTCATGCTCATGCATATATCGGAAGATCTTTGTCGAAGCTGGTGGCTGTGGTGGTCCGGGATACAATGTTGACTAAGAAATCCTGCTTGGCCGGAAACAGTATATTGTATGTCACTCATGGCCAATAGTGCATGCCACAGCTAATGCCGGCTCAGGGAAGGGTGCATACCTACTCTTGCAAGAACCTAGATAATTCGAGTGACCTATCTCATGTCAGACGTATCCATAGTGTGCCCAATCGAACAGGTTGCAGCAGGATCCCCGTTGTCGTAAGAGCCAGCATGGCCACCTATTCACTGCGATATATTGCATGCAAGGATGTTGTTTGATCATCGGCCTTTTGCACCCGGACGACAACTGTCAACTCCCAATGTGAGCAGGTAGTTGAGGCGGGATTTGCTCTCCCACTGCATTTAGGAACTCGTCGAGGGGCATTGGGACCGGACAACAGGGATGGTGAAATCCGTGAGTACGACCCGATTGGACTGAGTATAGATCATGCAAAAAGAGCCTAGGCTTGCGAACAGGGTGGTGCCACAGTCATGCGATCCTGGCGACTCGTACCAGACCCTAGTCGACAATCCGTTGATCACGGTCATATCGCAGTTTCATTGGTTCATGCCTTAACAATTGACCTGGGATCGTAGATGGCCGGATATATTTTGTAAGAAGGTCGGGTTTCTCGTTAAACCCCCTGGCAGGAAACCGATTCTGACTGTGATAGACTGTTATGTGCTAGCAGCAGCAGCTTCTCTTCGGCACCGCGAGATGGAGACCGGGTAGATTATCGGTACGCTGAAGGACGTTGGTTTCCGCTCTGGACTATTGTGGAGCCGAGGCAGCCTCGCTACTACCCACTGCTCTGCTCTGCTGTACTGGACAGTCACAGTACATACTCAAGCACACCGGAGCCCACATGCGGCACGACATAATCACATGGCAATCAGCACTCGGTCAGCCGTTGGGGCAGCTTAGACATGTGGATTGTGATTGACTCCCCTATCAGTCGTTATTTAGACCACCTCAAGCTTCCTATCAGGGACTATACTAGCGGTAATGAAGACAGGAACGGAACTGAAAACAGCACATGGAATTTGAGGTACTTGCGGAATATCCACAACCAAAACCATGACTCGCGGCTCCTCGTCAGTATTTTGTCCGAGGGGAAATTCGTCATTGGCTGCATGATCATGTCCTCTCCTCTGAGGGTCCTCGAGACGTACACCTTCCATCAGAACCGGCACGGCTGGATGTTCGAAAGCCAACACCCTGAAGCAGTCAACACCATGCGTCCCATAAATCCATAACGACCGTGATGACTGCTCAAGCTCCCGTTGCCAACTCTTTCGCGATTGTATCCGCCCACTTGTCAATTTCCTTCCAGTCGCGAAAATCGCCAAACCTCCCACCCAGACAACGGTACAGTCCCCGAATGGGACTCGGCCAGGATGATCCGTCGTCCTTACCCGCAAACAAGCGGTGCTCTCTAACCTTCGGCACTTTCGACTTGATCACGTCTTCGATTGCTTTCTGCTCCTTCCTCGCAACCCGCTGTCGTATCCAACCGGGCATTCCCCCGGGAGCCGAACCCAGACTGAACGCCCAAAGCGGTTTTAATTGGAGTCCCATGGCCTCAACGTCAAGAAACCTCTGAGCGTCCAGTAGCCATTTGGCGGCGTGGACTGCACTCCCTATGATGACAGCACTATAGTTCTCGACGCTGTAGACGCGATCGACTGGACGACAGTCGACAGCAATGCCGTCGGCGTGAAGCCTTGAAGCGATGCGCTCAGCGACTTCTTTCGTCGAGCCGCGAGAGGTGGCGTAGGTGATGAGGACCGGCATGGTGGTTGTCACCGACATGTGAGAGGTATTTATCGTTCAGATAGAGAGAAAGCTGAGGCAATGTCGATCAGGCTGTTGTTATACTCAGTCCAAGAGTCGGGATGTTGATGATTATCTGTGATGTTGTTCGTAGCAATAGTACTGTTCGAAGGGTCATTGTACGTTGTCTTCGTTGTAGAAAGCACGTAAATTTCGGCTCCGAGGAATGCCAGAGGCGAGGTTGAAATACCGCACAATCAGCTCGGGCATAGTCATCTCACCTACCTGGCTGATTTTTGCGTTAATCACCAAACGATCCTCATTCGTGCCAATCAGAGGAAGAGGAATCGTGGTACGAGGTCGTGTTCCCAGCATCATTTGACCCGAGCAAGACAAGCTGACAATAAGAATACTGGCACTTTCGAGCCAGTTCGGCCTCTGGCCATTGGCCTCGCCACGCATTGCGGGAAAAAGCGTCTCCGAAGGCCGCCTACCCCCGGTGCTTTCTTTTTCAATCGGCAATCTTGGGCAAGCCAATCTACAGCTTCATGCTATGTTCAGACCGTGCCTCTGCTCGGCATTCGGACGTCACATGTCGACGAGGCCGAATAGAATTTCTGGGCTCGTGCGTGGAGAGATCTTGGGGAGGTTGGCCCTATCCCGCGGGCATCCGGATGATGTCAACCTTTGATTTTCTGGGGTGAAGAAAGGCTAGATACTAGCAGCTTGCTAACATTGGAGGACCTAGACGCTGACGAAGCTGTAGACTTGACAAGCCTCGGAAGTCGTTGCAGAGCGACAGGAGACAGGATCGCAACCTCAAGTCGAGCCAAAGGACAGCAACTCTCGTGCATATGTTTTTAGCGATTCCACTGTAGAAAGGGGTGGCTCGGATCGAAACTTTGGAAACAGCAAGGCTTCAATTTCTCAGATGCTGTGAGGGTGGCATTTCCCCACGAAACAAAGTACTACCCCTAAAGAGTGGGAGTACACTTGGATCTGCAGCACTCTACTATACAGTTATATGTGCTTCTCCGCCGATGCAACGCAAGAGGCCAGCAGCATCAGCATCAGCATCAGAGCGAGGCTGACGGTCGAAAAGTCGCCAACGTGTCATTTCGTGTTCCCAAATCCTTCCGTATCCCATTGAACTCCCGAGAAACTCCAAATCCCATGCATCAAGTTTCATTCGACGACTGTCTCACCCCAGAGCGTCCGGGGTCGCAAGCAGATCTATCAAATCTGCATCTTTGTCCTGTCCAGCGAGATCAGCCTCTCCACTCCGAGAACGCAGCCGCAGTTGTGGCGGCGAAAGAAAGCCGGTCAAAAGTCGCTCCTCTCGATCCATGGCACGCGTTGATACGGATAGGGTAGCGAGGACGGGTACGAGGAGATATTGCTTACCGCGCAATATATCATGAACGCGCCCACCGACGTCAACGCTCCCAGCGCGCCGTAGCTCAGTCCGTCGCGTACCAGAATGGGAAAGGATGCAGCCGAGATGTGGGTTGAAGCAGTGGCTTTTGCAAGAATTCGCGCCGAAGGTGAGTGGTGAAGACTTGGTAATCGGTGGGCGACTGTTCTTCTTGAGGAGTGTGAAGCGAATGTTCTGATGCCCTGACTAAGTTGAGTCACGGTCATTCGCGCAGGAGGCATGTTGAGTATTGTGTCTCGTGAGGATGTCGAGGAGGTTCAAGATTTCGGTTTTACTTCTGGAATTTGGTCTTGTGCAAAAAGCTCTCGGAGTCGAGTTTCACGTCTCGAGTTGAGGCTATACGTGTGTTTGGTAAGTTGCGATCTGGTGTTAGAGCTGGTTGTGCCATGTCCAATGAAGAAACTAGCCATTTTATCCTGGCCTACGGACCTAGTCGCCGACATTGGAGCACGCATGAGGTTCGAAGTACACATGACCTAGGTGTTCTGATCAAGAGAACAGCCCGTGTTGAAACACACTCCAGGTGCCGGATACAGGCGATCACCTAAGCTACCCCAGAGTCTCACCTCACCGATACCAAAGAGGGTACAAGTCACGAAAACGGAACATTATGGCCACGAGCGTGAAATGCCGTCTCACGATCACCTACTCCGTACTGTAGTAAGGCTACTGTCAGATTTCCAAGATTGTCACCTTACAAGTACCAAGTCGTCACACCACTGGAGACTTTGGTCTAGAACCCCTCTCGTGAGTCGTGTCAATACTTCCCCTTAGCGTGCGAGTAAGGGATAAGGGCGCGGATATCGGCTGTGCGTCCCCTGGGCCGTCGTGCACGTGCGTTGCTGTGCTCTGGCTGGTGACGACGACATACTCGTAGCTCGACAGCAAAGTCTCCCGAACAAAATACGAGATATCGCCTCGAAGCCGCAGGCTGCAAGCCACCAACTGGCACGGGCGTCCACAACCTCGCCGGAACGCCTTATAGACTCTGACACTTTGTCTCCCTCTCCTGCTGCGGATTCAACACAAGTACCTCGTACGAGTACACACAGTGCGGTAACGCAGCGCGCACGCCCCGCGGCTGGGAGGTCCGCGCAGAACGGCGCTATCGAATCACAGTACTCCGTACAGGGGCTTTATAAGTCTGCACCACGTCTATCATCGGGGATCTTCAGTATTCCCGATATGGTAGTTGCAGTCTTGACAACTATTGGTTGCTTTGATCAGGCGAGGTCCTACCCCAGGTCGTTGTGCAGATGACGCGCAGCTAGTCACCCCAGTAGTGCTTCTTGCACAATTTGGCAATTTGCGGCTTTGGACAAGGGTACCTATGCTTTAGGAGCCTGCATATGATCCAAACTCCGCTTGCAAGTTCATTGTGGAGTATTGCTTCACATTGTTGCTACCAACAGCTAACTCTCCGCAAGGTAATATCCTCCTGCTTCAATAGATCCAGCACAGCCCAGCCCCTTCTTCACTCCCTAGAGTTCTCGCGCTTCATCTTCCCATTGCGGAAGTTCCTAGTTCTGGCAGCTCCGCTTGATACGCCCTCGTCTCATTGACGACCTTGCGGATCTTCGGTGCTATGAGCGTCCCGTCTGTACTACAGTAACAGAGTTCAAAGGACTATTGCATCGCCGACATGACGAGTCAATCCCACCCGGCATTCGGCGGAGGGGACAATCTGGACGCTGGCACTAAAGGCCCGACTTCTTCCAGAAACCCGTGGGATTGTATGAGCCAGTGTGTGCACCATGTGAAAGACCATGTGAAAGAGTGATAGTGCTTTCCACCACAAGGCGCCAGCAATGATATGCTGCGACTACCGTTGTGAGGAAGGAAAGTTACAGGCTCCATGTCTTCGTCACTGATTGCCGTTGCCGAACCTCGGACAAAAATCTCCCACTTTGCTACGAGTGAGAGACAGCTTCTGATTGAAGGCTGTTGATATCCGTCGAATTCGAGTATTTTTGCGGCCGATCTTGTGTATCTCAGCAAGGTCGTTTGAAGGCAAGGTGTGTCTGATGATGTTGTGTCGAGTTGCAACTTCGTGTTTCTCTGGTCTCCTCCGTGAAATGAGATGCCATATCGCTATGATGGTTCCCTGCCCAGGCTGCCAGAAACGCGATCTCTTGTCGTATTGTGATTGTGAAACCGGGAGTCCTCGCTTGATAACAAATGAACTGGTGTGGTCCTGCTCCTCTCGAGCTTGTGAATTTCGTTCGTTAAGAAAATTGGGGTTTATTGTTGTAGGCTTCTGCCTTAGAGGTTCGACGTCTCCATAACAGCTTGACGATCGCTGGAATATACTGCAACCCGTGTAGTATGTGTCCGTGAGTGGTCCGCCGAGGGGTGAGAATCAGTGCAGTCAAGAATATATATCCATACACTGCTACAGAGCGATATTGACGCTCAATGTAGGTTTGCTGACCAGTGCTCAGGCAGCCTTGTTCTGCTCGAGAGTCCTTGACTCCCCCAGAACGCAGGCGTCTTCACAACGGGTGCAGCCTTGAAGGAAAACGCCGGTGTTGTTGGGTGATTCCTGTATAAGTACTATTCCGACTCGAAGTCCTGAGATTATGACTACTTTGAAACAAATTGTCAGATGTTGCGGAGTGCATTGGTGGTCGAAACATCGCATGACTAACGGCCGTCCTGTGGTGTCTTCCAGGTAGTACACATAGGTCATGCCACTCGTTCCTCCGCACCTCCTCCTGCCTCGCAACACCAAAGTTGCCTGATGGTTGGTTTCGTGTCTGTCTTCGCGCGCCGAACATTGAATCTCGGAATTGCGGCGATGACTGTTCCCAAACCGACTCTCAATGGAGAGAAAGGGTCCATGCAGGGACAAGTAGCTTGTCAGAACTTCACGTGTATTTTCAATTATCTGGTTCCCAAAATGGTACCGAACCCATTCGTTAGCCGGATTAGAGGTCCTGCACTGATCTGATGATTGTCATCATACTGTTGAACGAAGCAGTACTCTTCGTTGGTCTGCTCAGAGATATGGGACCCAAACAGCGTGCTGGCTATGTCGGCTTTCCAGATATGGACCGTTGCTTCAGCAATCCGAAAAATTGGTAGAGAGGTGGTTTTCGAGACGCAACGCAACATAGCCAGTGATTCCAAGCAAGACATCAGTTAAAAATTGGTATCATATCATTATAGAGCTGCGACTGCTGTGCAGTGCGCCCATCGAAGTGTTAATGGCACATAAAATGGACTCAAGCACAGAAAGTGCGAGTCAAGAATATTCGTTACATTCGTCAAAAAGCAGGTGTCCCATCCCCGAGATCCCAATGCTCGTGTCTGTCCCACGTTGAGGAGACCACAGCCCAGATACCAGGAGCATTTCCTCTCTTCCTCAAGCCCAGGACACAGCAAGACCCTTGTAAGGTCTCCTCCAAGACGCCGCGCTCAATGTAAGAGCCGTCCACCCAGCCAATGAAGCTCCTCCGGGCTTCATTTTCCCATCCCCCATTCCCGAACGCCGCTTCTTTGTGCCATTTTCCTCCCATTTTTGTAAGTCAACATGAAGAAAGTAGTCGGATGAGTAGTGTGTCAAGAGGAAGCCCAACTTGGCCGTTCCCAAACCAGGCCTGAAAGAGATGTGCCAACAATTGTTGCGCATTACCCGAAAACACTTTTTGAAGCGCTCAATTAGGGTGTTGTTGCTGTAATTGTAACCGGACCATTTGCTTGAGCAATGTGCAGTCTTCGCATTTCACGAGCTTCTCCAGTGACCGGACTCTCTCGTTGAGACGGTTGATCTCGTCCGACATGTGGCGAACCTCGACTTCGGATTGGTGAATGTAGTTCATCGCATCAGTCATGACATCGGACTTTCGCACTTTGCCCCGATGTTCCCGTGAAGTGTAGAAGTCTTGGTTGGGCATGCCAGTCAGCCTGGAAGTTGCTTCGGTCGCAACCAAGGCACGATGCAATTGCATGATCTTCCCATTGAGGTTGTCGCGATATCGCCGTTCCACGACTGAGTGCGCTTGCTTCGCCCGTAGTTGCGCTGAGTCTTCGTCACTAGAAGAGCCTTTATGGCCGCGTTTCGTTCGGACCTTCCTTTCCCGTTCCTCCTTGGGCCTTGGAATTGATTCACGGGAATTCGAGCGTGAAGTCTTTCGAACAATATTAGAAGGGAACACAGTATTTGTGTCCGTGGTGAGACATGGTGTAGAATTGCAGTCCTCGATCTCCGCAAGGCTGGTCAACTGCACGCAGGCCGGTTCCGGTCCACATCGTTGGGGACTGCATTCTCCAGATTGTCTGCGGAGTCCACAGCCAAAAGAATCATTCCGAGACAGGTCTGGTTCGAGCTTGATAGGATAGCTGATGGGCGCCTGGGGACCATTGAATCTGTTGGGCGAAATGTCTTCGCTCGGGACGGAATATGAGCCAACCTCGGAAGAATCGAAGTTCAAGAATTGTGAATAGTTGGGGGAGGGAGCATTCTGATTGTCGTTTGGTAGGCCACTGAAGTCGTAAAAGCCTGTGTCATCTATTGACTTGAAGTTGTCGTTGGGTGGCAATGAGGTGGTGAAATCGACTTCATTCCAAGGCTGCTCAAGGACTTTTGGTCAGCGAGGCTGGCAATGGCATTCCGCCAAGATACCACGTACCTGGTTATCATAGGGGGATGTGTTTTGGTATTGGTTAAACATTTGTGAGTAAGGCATATTGCCTTCTGGATTGTTTGACTGTCGAATGTGATGAAACCAAGTTTGATATTTGCAAGACTTTTTTGAGATTGCGGAATCATCACTCCACGTACGGGAGGGTGACAGTTTATTATGTTTGTTTGAAAGTTCTCAGTGGAAGTCCTGGCGTTCGCTTAGGGGCCCTAAGAAGCCCGGCGCAGAGGATCGAAGATCGATTATTGACATCAGGCCACTGAGCCTACCACAGAACGGTCGGGGTTTACCGTGGGCACTGGGCAACTCTAGCTTAGGCATGTGGGCTTCGACAGTCACCCCTGTGCCTGTCTAGCGGCAAGGCATGTGCATCGGCATGCCCAGAGCTTTCCAGGTGCCGGGTTACGCTGCGAGGCTGACGGTTTGGACTAGTGACAACACCCAAGCCCTCTGCATGTCTTGGACTCTTCCATATTGGTGATGTGTCCCCCGAAGGCCTTAGCGAGGACCCCGCATGGCTCAGCAAAAGCCCCTCGCAAAGAATGCTTTCGGGCTTGCTCGGACCCTATATGTGCTGTCAGGAGTCAGATACTAGTAGACGACAAACGAGCGATTGCTGAAAGCATCAACTTGCGACGACGGATACTCGGCCATGGCAAGCATTGAGGGACGAGCGTGAGGTTATTGTTGGCAGTACTGGTCCTTGGAGTGCCTCGTATGTACCTTGGATGGTGGTGGATCGTTGAATATCCACAAGGCCGGACTTTTGCACCTTATTGCGTTATTCGAAAAAGCCTGTACGGAATAATCAGGTCGATCTATGCAGCTTCACACTCCTGTACCATAGTAGACCATATGATATGATTATTTGCACAATTCCAATGCAGACCGCTACGCAAGCACGCAAGCAAACTCTGATCACAGATCTCCTATCCACCCGGAAAGTTCTAACTTAGATGTCGCCTTTCCGGGATCCATGCAAGGGTAACCCGTCGTCCTACACGCGGCTGATGAAGGGACCATTCATTCAAAAAGGTATGATCAGAATGGGATGTGACTGGTCCGCTCCGAAAACCACCGTTACCCAATGAAAACAACCTTGGCTTGACATAAAAAAAGCCAGGTTCTGCATTCTGGCGGATGATGCTACTTCGCCCGAAGATCGGTATTCCGAACTCAGGTGTTCAGGCTCGTATATCGAATGGTCTGGCCCGAGCTCGTATTCTCGTGTTTCGGAAGCTGGCCGCTTCGCAAAAGGTCACACCATTCCTCCTTTGGTCACGAGCGTCATGCTGTGCACTTGAAGACCATGACACCTGTACTGTGGTAATCTGCAAAGAAAATGCCGCCATTGAGCACGGGATCGAGAAAATCTTTCGGCGTAAATTGCAAGTAATAATCTACAGGGCATGAGGACAAGATGGAGAGCCCAGTACGCCAATTACTATCATTGAGTTGACTCTAAGCAAATCCTCTTTTGCAAACACCATTACTAGTACGGAGTACTTCTGAAAACATGAAGTTCAAGATTAAGACCAGAGAGCTCGAGCTCACAAAGGCCCTCGATGAGGTGTTCTTACGACTCTGCCTTATGGCCCTGCGCGTCTGCCAGGCGGTCTTCTCGATACCAATTATTGGTTTCGCGGCAGCATTTACCAGCGCACTTTCCAGCGAGGACCAGAACGTACCTTCGAAGCTATCCGCCGCGATTGCCATTGCCAGCGTCTGTACAGTCTACACAGGCCTGACATTCCTACCAGTAATCTTCGAGGGACCTCTGTTTTTCACGATTGTAGCCATCTTCGACGCTCTGTTTGTTGCTGCTTGGAGCAGCCTCATTGGAGTCTGGGACAACGAGGGGACAGGGACCTGCAATGCTTTTATCAACAAGTATTTCGATGCACGTCCTCGAAAATCATACTTCTCGACGGACTGCAGCCTTGTCAAGGCGATGTTTGCTTTCATGATCATCAATCTGTGAGTGCTGGCGCCCAAGCGCAAGTCTCTGCCTTTCGCAGAATCACTAACTGGACAACAGATCCGCATTTGTTGCATCCACGGTTGTATCGTTCTGCTTGCGCCTGATCGAGCTCGAGCATACGATGGGCTGGAAGACCCTTCCGATATTCAACAAACGCGAAGAAAGAGGACGTCATTGCGCCTGCTGCAATCATGACAAGTATCATCCTTCCCCTCCATCGAGTGTCAGTGGTGAGCGGTTGACAACACCTGTGTGAGTCACATTCTCGGAGGTTGACTTTAATGGGCTGTAACTTTGGGACAATCGGGAGATCGGGAGTGCCTTTCAAACGCTGCATCAGCGTACGCAAGCTCAGATTCTTGCAGGGAACAGTGGCAATGTATTATAGACGAGATATGGATACTGGTGCATTGATTTAGCGACGAGTTTCTGGGCCGGTGAATGTGTCAACATCGAGATTGGAAACTAATTCCCTAATATAATACCATATGATTCGCATTTCAAAATGAAGGCTAGAATTACTACTGCCCGCAAGACCGTTAACACAAGCCGCGAAAGCATCATGTATCCTTGAGAGCTCTCCCCACGGCTTTGTGAGTGGAGGCCCATTTGGTGCCATCATAGCTCGACACCCTAGATATACCGGGTGTCGGGCGCAATGAGACTGCCCGTTGAGGATTCAGAACTCCACAAGCTGGATGTTATTGACAGCATCAAGCAAACAACACAGCGAGGCCCCAAAAGGGCAACGCAGGAAAACTACCCTCTGTAGTCACTTACAGCGAGATGCGGATCCATTGAATGATCGGTCGTGCAGTAGAAAAGGCGGTGCACCCGTGACTGCTCGAATATTGTGTTAGTAACGTCTTCCGGGCTTCTAACGTGCCTATGGCCTCATAATGGCGAGCCTGGCAACAGTGAGGGATTTCCCGCACGTAAGGGTCTGAGCGAATACATGTCGGATCCCATTCCCGTGGTGCCCGTTTTGGCTTTCCCCATAAAATCCCCCCTCTCCAGGCCAGCCTTGCGGATCAGGCTATGGGAGACCGATCCTGAGCCTCTCCCAGACGAGTAAGCCATAGTCCTTGTGGTGTGATGGATCAAAGCCAAGTATTAACCACATCCCACTTTGCACAGCCTTCCACACCCGTGTGCTTGCGGGCTTAATCCAGCTGACCAGCTTTCTCTGCGGAAAAACACGTACAGCCTTCACGCCATGACCTTCCTACTCGCTCGCCAGCGTTGGAGAGCCAGTCAATGCACGTCATCCCCTTAAGAGTTGCCTGTCTGGCACACCACCCTTGTCATGCTAATAAGGTCTGCCCGTAATTCGATCAACAGCACAGCGTTATCGATTTTCACAACTCTGCAACAAGCAATATGGCTGAATGTGATGACCAGTACGACCTCTTTACACGTCCTCCAACACCGCCGGACTCGCCTTTGAGATGGAAATTCACTCCAAAAGAACTTGCCAACCTGAGGCATGTCCCAACTCCTCCGGGGATCGAAAGACCAGAAGCAGACGAAAACGATTTGGGAACCTCGCCTCCCTCGAAGTCCAACAAGCCCAAAGTGCCTCTCAAACCTCCCAATCTCGAAGCATTCTTCGCGAGTGCTGCTATGCACGATAGCCCCCCAGAGGCCACCACCAAACAGAATGACTTCATGGAGAGCAACATGTCCAGCTCCTACCTCTCACAACCGCAATGCCTTAACAACCTACCAGAAAATGTGGATCGAGCATTCTCTTCGAGCGAGCCTTACTTCCACCGCCATGAAACAGTCTATAAACGGGTCGTCAAGCATGGAGAGCCTGTCGAGACAATGACACAGACCTGTGAAATTTCGGGCCTTGATCCGTCGGAGAGGTTGGTCGAAGAATGCGAGGAGCAACCCGATGAGAAGGAGGAGATTCTTGAAGCAGTAAGGCAGGATATAAACGCTGAGCAGGGTGGCGAGACCGAGACCACCATGGGGCCCCATGATGATGACGAGTTCGCAGGACTATTCGTCTGAAGGCAGAATTTGATGGTTCAATGCGCCGGGCGCCAATCTAGGTATTACCGCGCGTCATGTACAGCTTGTCTCGTTCATTGAATTGCGCGAACCTTCACTGAGCTTGGATTCGCCCTTTGAGACACTACCAGCTGTATGCTCAACCCGGGTTTGAATGCACTCATGCTGTTGGTGTGACGAAAGGGATTTGCACGTCAATGTGATAGGAGCCTGGAGGTACAAAAGGCTTGTCGAACAGGCAGAAGAAAGCCGATTGCCACAGCAATCGTTACATTGATAGGACAAGAGATGTGATTCTTTGATGTGCTGAAGCAGTGTCAATAATAAAATGGCTAGTATCATTTGAAACAACAGACAAATCTGGGTATCATAGACTAACTAACACTAATCAATGGCCAACATCGAAGTCTGCCAAACAAGTCATAAGTCATGTCGGGGTCAAAAAGCCACCCAGCGCCTTGCTTAGAAAGAAGAGCCTGGAAATCATACTGAAAGGCCCAAAGGCTCACTCAGCCAAATGCTTCGATGAGCAGACTATTAGCCTGACTCTGAGTCATGACTTGAGGTTGCTGTGACCATAGCATCAGGTCATCATCTTGGGGTCGGTATCTTGGTTGGCTGGCCCCGCAGATGTCGACGATCTTGCGATCGGAGTACAAGTCCTGAGGCTCCTCCTCGCAGGTTGAGTCGCTCCAGTTGTCTTCCTCATCGTCGTCAGCTTCGGTAGAGTCGCTGTCGTCATCCCACTCCAGATCGTCGTAGTCTTCTGCCGCGATCTCGGTTGCTTTCATCACAAGTACACCTTTCAGGCCACCGTGAAAGTTGGATGTTTTGTAGGTCGGTTCCTCGTCTTCTAGGTCTTCGACATATTGGAATGATGGCTCGTCTTTGTCGTCTTCTTGGGCGTAATGAGCATGCTCCTCTTCATGATGCATGCGGTCGAGTATATATTTTCTTGCATTGTCGAATAGTGAGCAATGGCCGACAAGCTTGTGAAGGCGGGGCTCGGCTTTGTGGGCTTCTTTCTCAATCTTTGACTTGGAAATGTTGCCTATCTTGTATGCAAAATATTGCATGTCTGAGCCAAGAATTGGCGAGATAACAGAAGCCATTGTGTGGTGTTGAGGCTTCGTTGACGTTCTGGTTGCGATAGGCTTGGGGCTGGAGCGCTGCGACTTGTCCATTGTATTCAAATATCAGAGTTGGAACTTTTCGTTGTTATCGCTTCTGCTGGGGCCCGTAGGGCATATGAAGTGTCTTGAGGGTTCTGCTAAGTACACAATTTCCCTTTCAGTAGCATAGCTACGGTATAAGCGGGTGTACATCGTATGATTTCCGAGTTTCGGTCGTGTACTATGAGTGGACAGACAATGGGTATAGCACCAGCACGGGGCTAGTTGGGCCAGAACCCCCAGAGATACGTCGCCATGGTGGAAAACAGTCGCGACAGCAGACCCTGCGTTGTACCACGTGTCGTGGAATATGAGAGGAAGCTGGAGGTGGTCCGACCAAGTGGTGGTGTGACGAGGGCCGTATTGGCGGGTACGGCCTACCTTAGTCTCCCACTCCAGCGAGGCTCACGACTTTTTGTGGTCCATTTTCTCGCGTGATGGTTAGCGTGCTGAGTGTACGTAGTATTGTGCCGAGGCCGTGAGCCTAAGTTAGTGAGCAGTGGTGAGCCTACTCCGTACCTTGCGCACCAAACTCGTCTGAAGCCCGGGCTCGGATTTATCGGCCAAGACGGGGCTCTGTCAGTCTCACCACAATGGCATTTTGAGAGTATGGCCTGAGTATCAGCCAGTGGTACATCGCAAGCTTGAGTCTTTGAGATATCGTGAAGAGAGGATGCTTCCAGGCAGGTCTCATCGCTGCCTGCATCGATCGAAGAATTCGACGCATTTTGTGTTGCTAAGTAAGAATAGCCAGAGACCTTTGGCAGGAGTGGCTTTGCGTTTCCGGTGAGTAATATAAGAGGGTTCTCGAAGTCTGTGGGATCGCTGATGAAGGTGAAAGATTTGATTTTCGGGTAGGAGTGTAGCAGAACATTTAAGGGCTAAGAAGGCATCGTGCCAGCAAAGATATACACGATCATGCTAAAGGCCATTATGTCACGCAAGGCTAATAAGGTCAGGGGGCGGCAAAGTCTCGAGTTCCTGGGTGTGGCAACTTCATAGGCACGCCACTATGGCTAAAGCCTTGGGCCAAGGTATGATGCCATACTCATTACTGGTGACGGTTGGTCATGAAAGGGCCCTCTGCTTTGGGGTGACACATCGGAGTCTCGCGAAAAGACGGCTCGTACCTTCCAGACGGTTTGTCCAGATGGCCGAGCTAGGTGAGAGACGCAACAGTGGATGTCAAACACAATACTCCAAGACCTAGCCTGTGGTATGAATGGAGGAAATTTCTGCTTCACTGTATCCCATCTGCTGACAATATGCAGAACCGCATCCTTCGCGCTCCTTCCAACCAACGGAGCTCCGTCTTGCAAGCAAAAACTGATCCAGCACAGATCGATTGATTCAGGAAGTGACGGATTCCGGCCGTCCCGTCTCTGGCAGCTGCTTATCTCCACGGATGACGTGGGTGTCAGGCTACCCTTTCGCTGGCAGACTCACATGTGTGTATTTTGTTACAACATTGTATTCGAAGCTACTACATCCTAGAACGACTAGTGATCATGTACAGTGTATCATTTGCTACCTGAAAGATCACGACGCTGGTGGTGCGAGAGCCGTACACGCCTGATTCGGGGGAGAGATCAATACTTCGCTAGACTTCGAGTGAGCATTCTTGTGTGGTTACAGTCGTTGTTCCACGAATGCGTATCCGCCAGGCCTCAGGCGATGTCCATGAAAGAGGAGAGAACGCGGTCTAGCATACTAAGTGTATTGCAGAATACTACGTGAAAAGGTGAGCGGCTAACGAGCACGAGTAACGCCTCTGTTCATGCCCTCTAGCACGAACCTGAGGGCTAAGGGCTGAGGGTCGTGGTATGCAGCTCCAAGAAGAAGCATTTGGGACTCAGAAGAGTCGGGCAGCAAAAGAAGCTAGCTAGATTTGAAGACAGGGCTGCGGCCATGAGGCTCCGAATCTGGGGTAAATCAAAGTGAAGTCTGCCAGGATCGGCCATTGTTTAACTGGCTAAAGGGTCTCAGCCTCGGATCGCCCCAGAAAGCAAGTCATACAAGTGGCGGCCTCCAATCGCCGCCACCTCGGCCACACTACTATGGTAGGCTCAGGTCCAGCGGATCAGCTGTTGGTGGTTGCGCGAGGCTTTCTGTTGGCTCTTGCGAAACGAGGGGACTTTCGTATCAGATGCTTACGGGCCCTTGGCAACTTGCTCTTCTCCTCTTCCTGCCTTAACCTCAATCGAGGCCTCAAGTCATCGACCCCATTATACGTACATTTACATACCATGTCGAACAAAGTACAGACTCGTTGAAGGCGCAAACATATACGCTAACCTCGGCGAGAACGGACGGTAGATCACAGCTTTTTAGCCCGCGCGCTCGTGCGATATGGATACAGCCTTCCCCGGCGTTGAAGTTAGAGAAATCACTGGAGATGGAATGGAAGCCTGGTCCAGCCCAAACCTATCAGGCTGATGAGTGGCGTGCAAGCGGCTGGCCAGTTTATGCGCTAAGAAACGGCCTTCGAATCAGGACATTTTGCTGGGTGACACATCCGCGCACTCTTTGGTCTCTGAGTGGAGGCTCGAGGCACAACCGTCAGGCCACGCGGTGGTGCGACATGTCGAGCCATGACGCTTAGCCACTCTAGCCTATTAACTGACACTTCTCTCGATACTATCTCCTCCTTTCCAATCTACGATGGCCATGACTCTTGACTGTTGTTCATTCTGACGCAGAGGCAAATGAGTTGGATCACCTGTCATCGAGCACTGTGTGAGATCTAGGTTAGGCGGGAGGCGAAAGGCTATGCCTACATCCATCGGCAGGCAAGGCTCAACTGACCCGGTTAAATAGGCAGCGCGGCGCCCCTTATCCACCACCCACACCACATCGAATTGGAGTTACCTCTGCAAACAATGGCACAAACCATGAGATTCAGCAGCAGTGAGCCTACTTCATTGGCAGAAGCGTGCAAGCTGGCATGGCATACATTCTATGGTATGCAGAAAGCGTCTGAAGACTTCGAAAACCTCCGTTTCGAGGTCTGGACCGTTGCTATCAGCCTGGACTCATTACACAGCGTGGGTACCACGACGACGCTGATTGACCGACAACCAGACAGAGGACGTTGGGCGTTGACGTTTTCGAAACTTTTGGCATCATTGGGCTCCGCACTACGACCACTGCATGGTCTGGTCAGACTGTATCTGTCCAGCTCGGCCAAAGAGCGCGCGACTGTGAAAAACTGGCTCACACATCCAGACCTGACGTACGAAGGCCTTACGATCCAGGACTTTCGAAGGAAGCTGTCTATGTTGGTCGAGAGCCTGAACGTGTTTCTGTCCTGTCTCACACATGCGGAGCTTGCGAGAGCCAAAGACGTCTCGGAAACTGAGGAATGGCGTGTTTTCTCCGAAGTCACCAAAAAGGTCCTCCACAAATGGGACTCAGACGTGGCTTCAGGAATCAGGCGGCCGGCCGACAAGACTGCACAGCCGATTGAGCCTCCAGGATACGTCAACGAAGATGTCAAAAGCTACATCACGCCACTGTTGAACAATCGATCTCCGGGTCTGGGTGTGCAGATGCCTGAGCCGCCTCCTTCTCCCATGCCGCCGAGAGCGAAAGATGGACGACAGTCTCAACACCCTGGCGGAGTCATGAACCTGGAAGATATCGAGCATGGTTTCCGGAGCCATATGCACGCCATGCGTCGCATACGGGAACAGCTTCGGCAACAGAAGATGAACAACAACCACTTTTCGGACCAAGCTTCGTCGCACTTCCCGGAAGTGAATAACAGCACACTCGGGCCTCGTCCGGGGGGCATGCCTCCCCCAACTCCGACCACACCAACCCTACAACGCAACGAGTCGTCTCAGACTGACAGCTCTGTGGACTACGCCGACGCCTCAAGTAGTGGTAGTTCGGGCTCACTCCAAAGCTCGGAAACTGGCAGCGTCGTCTCTGGCTACCAGAACAATGCCGACGAGGACACGAAACCGGGTCAGCGGCGGTCACCTGCACAACACGAACGGAAACGAAGGCGAGCTCAGTATCGTTTCAAGACCGGGCTCGAGGACGAGAACTCACAGTCCAGTGACGGCTCGGGCTCCGAAGAACTGGCGGACAATCGGTCGCGGGCTAAATCACGACTGGAACAGATGTTGACTGCGGCTTTGTTCTTTGACCAATAGTTACTATACGCTATATAAATTACGGGTGTGATTGGCGGAAAGGGGCCTTGGATTTGAACGGCAATGAAACTTGCGCTGTATTTGTGTGGAATTTTTAACGACTGGTCGGGGTATAGCGAGGCAGGATTGGAAGACGGGTGTAATGGTGAAATTATATAAGATACACACACGTGCACACGAAACCCATGATGCTTGTCTGCGTAACGAGACACCAAAAGGCGAGGATTGTCTGCTTCTCGCTCTCGCCTTCACCCTCCTCTCCTCTCATAAGGTGCATAGACTGACCTTCAGCAGGCTACGTCCACTGTCGCACAAGGAGGCTGCAGTTACTGCCTGGAGTCCCTCGACGAGGTCGTCAGCAGAGGCTGTTTGGAGCGGTTGTCCTTCGTGGCCTGATCGAGTCCGCCTTTGTAAGGCGGGCCATGTCACAATCGTATCCTCGTACCGAGCGCATGGGTGTCAGGAGATAGTATGGTGGAGTGCAGGCTGCACCTCGCCCAATCTCAGCAGCTGTGAGAGCGCCAACCAAAGTATGTGAGTGGCTCATCGATGAAAGTGACCTGGCGGCGAGTCTCTGTAACAACCCTGAGGAACAGCGCACTAATAAAAATTGACTTGTGGGAATCTGAAGCGCGCACCACCACAACCAAGAGAGTATGCTTTGTCGCTTTGAAGTGCTTTCATGCTTGTGACTTGATGATTATCATTATGGGGTCTTCTCCTAACCTCTTGGTACATGTGTATTCTTCGTACTCGTGTCAGTCGTAAGTGTGTAAGTCTTGATGAGCCGTCTCCCTTCTAGCTGTATGATAAAGTCTGCCGAACTCGAGGCTACCCTGATGTGAACACCCCCTGTGTCCCTATACTGATCGGACGACAGCTGCCGCTTTCCGTGCATGTCCAGTCCCTCCATCGAACGCCTTGGTATGCCAATTGTAACGCCATAGCCGTAATTGTTGAAGTGGATGTGGGCTCACATACCGAGCTCGCAACTCTCGTCATCGCTGTCGATTTCGTGCTCAAGTTTTTCAATGTCGACAACTATACGAGAGAGCAGGATCGGTTAACATGAATGTCCCACCTCTTGGAAAAGGGTCCCCTTATTGGAAGAGCGGCTCAGGCAGACTCACCCCTCTTGACGTGCTGCCAGTCCTCCCACATGGGTTCGAACTTATCGAACCAACTGCTGCCGTAGTTGTGCATTTCTTGTTGTGATTGGCGCTCGTGCTGTGAGGACATCCGGCGCTCGAAGTCTTCCCGTTGATGGTTCAGGTTCTCGAACCAGGAATCTCCGTAGCCGTGCATCGTTGGCGCATCATTCGTTTGCCTTGACTCGCTTCGTTGGGCGTACTCGACCGCCAGCTTGTTCAGGTTCTCAAACCAGCTCTCGCCGTACCCGTGCATTGATTCCAGTGTTGATACACTGCTCGAACAGCTTGTTGATTCTGAGGCCATTGGTATGTGGTGGTGTTGTCGTGATTGATTGCGTGGATGGTTGGTCGGTTGTGTGAAGACACAAGTGTTGAATGGTGTTTGACTAGGTGGATAAATGTACTAGTAGTGGTCTTGTTTCTGCTCTGGCTTGGGTGGAAGTGAACTGCTATCAAGTCGATGATCCTCAAGGCTGTTCAAATACTTTACGCCACGTCGTTCAGGAGTGGAAACAGATGTTACCATAGGTCAAGGCTGACCAGTCATCTGCACTCTGAGCCATGTTCGAATGTTGCAGTAGGCACTCACCGAGAGACACATCGGGAACTTTCGGGTTCAGCGAGTAGAAGGCCAGACATGCAATACTCATCAAAAGATCTACTGATGACGAGGGAAATTGCCAACGTTCGGTCACACAAACTTCGCTGATGGCTTCGAGAAACATGAGTAGATGGTGGTCACACCACTTTTGCTGGTTGGTGGAGGAATTGCGTGCAATAATACTGGCAAGTCCCGGCTTCTGACTTGGACCATTCGGAGCTGAGAAGCTGAGAGAAGCCCAGAGCAACTCAAGACGGCCGAGAGAGCCTAGGAAACCCCCTGTCAGCCTCACAGCCTCACAGCCTCACTAACTAGCCCTAAGTCACGCCATCTACACAGGTCCTGTTCCAGATTCGTCGGGAGGCGCCGAGGTGATACTTGTGCTATTTGGTTATTCACGCATCAAAACTCGCTCATGCTCATGCTCATGCTCATGCTTCCCCAGATTCCTTGTGTAAGCAATTCACGTTTAATACCACCTTCTAAGGTCTTAGCAAGGTATCATTTGACTACGAGACCACCCTCGTAGACCATGACACGAGAAGCTTCGTCATGGCCGCCAAAACATGCGCAAGCTGTAAGCAAGTCTCGAGTTACCCCCTTGTCTGCGTTCACCTCCAGTGCTTCTACCGAAGGTCACCAGAGATCTTTTGTCAGGCTTGGTGGGCAGCTTCGTTGTCAGAGATGTCTGTTGGTATCTATTAGACATCAGACTTTATCGAGGCTTGCGTCTTCACCAAAAAGATGCGAATGGAACGACCATTTCGTGTCAACAGCAAAACCAATTCATGAAGAGTCTAGATTGACAATTTTCCGCCGAAATCTAAAACCAAACCGAATAACCATCATGTGCGCCGTTGTCGCCCCTTCAGGCACGTATATCCTGCAGATGGCGACGATGTCTTGCTGGCCCTTTCGACTTCCGTCAGCCTATGCGTGTCGCCTGAGCTTGTAATCCATGAAACCGACAACGGAGTTTCTTCTCTTCCTGGACGAGAACGGGATCAGACACGGGCCGCAGCGTCTGTCAAGTGGACGAGATCACCTCGAGCCCACTCATTGCCTTCTCGCTGAGCCTTGCTTCTTCCTCGCCCTAGTATGAGTGCTGAAGGTGGAGTTGGGAGCCTCTTTAAGCCCCTGAACAACCCATTCGATATGTTGAATGATGATTTGGGCTTGCAGGTCTTCCTCGACTTCTTCGAACTTGTCGGTGGCGGCAGGTGGCAATAGCCAGTCTCGCGATAATGCATCGATTTCCGAGTCGGTTCCCGCGTCGAACAATAAGCCGAGACGACCTCTGTTCCCCATTGCCGATAAGGTCTAACGCAACCTCTGATTGTCGATATATCTTTTCTCTTGCTATAGCCCTGTCTTCTGGCTTTGCTCGATTGCTCCGCAAGAGAACTCTGCATTCACTCGTCCCAGAACCCCCTTCCCTTGCAAGAGAAGGATGAAAGAATATTCTAATACCTGGACATGCTGCGCAAGATAAATGGAACTGCTCGGCCTCAATGCTAGAGTGTAGAAGTCATCCAATCCCGACACATATCCACTATCAACGCTGGTTATCAGCACCATCCTGCCACTCACATCAGTGGATTGAGCAACGCCCATAGCCAGGTCGTCGTACTAAGTCAGGTGAGTCAAGCGCTATGCCCTTTCCTCGAAAATCAGACCACCCTTGCACCACATGCTGCGCTCAGCACATGGCCCAGGCTGGCCTCTCCTGTGTTTTGCCAAGAGAGGCTCCAAGCAGCTCTCTTAAACATGCACAGCCTCGACAGTACTAAGTATTCGATGAAGATAACTATCACCTCCATAATGCCAGCTGCGTTGCTCATGGCCACAGCGATACCGATGGTCTGGCCGCTTTACTCCGTGGTACCTTACGTACACTGGAGTGCGGTGTCCGTGGGCATGCTTGCTTCGAGATAAGAATTGGACCATCATAAGGCTTCAAGCATAAAGCCTCGCCTCTGAGTAGGAGAGCCGTGGAAGGCTGGAAGCACGGCTGAAACGGAAGCGGACAGATCTTCGGGGCCTGATTCGGTGGCCTTGTTGCAACGCGTGAAAGAATCTCACCCTGTGGTTGATCATGACCTTCCACAATCAACAAAGACAGTTACTGCTTGCTCCACGTGCAGAGCATAAGCCGCTCATCGATGGGAGGCGAGGTTTCCACAATCAGAAACTTCTTGCTTGGGTGCTTGGTAAAATTGGTATCCGCGACTTTGATTCATCATGGGCCATGATGGGCCCTTGCCTTCACGTGGAGAGGCGAAGGGCGACCTGATTCGCTTCTTTTTTCTGCCCGGGATCCTCGTCGATCACCCCAAGACATTTGGGAGTAGACCCCTTCCATAGCCACCTCTGACAGCTTTGCAGGCCTTCTGTCTGGCATCTCCAGTAATCTTGGATAGCCGCAACAGTTCTCACAGGTAGGTAATGGAGATGATGTTGGCTTCACCAGAACATTCGGGGTCCAAAGGTATGCTCCTGTAGCTGAGAAGGCCAGGAGTCTCGAAATCCCCCCCCCC